TATTTGTTACCTCATAACTCCGTCAGTTCTAAACTGATTTAGAAAATTCTTTATTTTTTAACTTAAAGAATATACTGAAAGGAAAGGAAAGACTGATCCTATAGAAATTTTACCAAAATCGATTAAGTAGTTTAATTTTTAGATCAAAATAAATATTTTTTTCACAATTGAAGTCAGCCCTTCTGTGTCCTTGTGTGGAACACAATCTTTATTTAAATTAATAGTTATTATTGATAATAACTGAAATAATAACTAATAAATGAAATAATAACTGTAAATTTATCTGTATCAATCATATCACAAATAGTCGAACGAGAAAGTACAGAATAAACAATAATAGTAGGTACAAATAGCGAAAGTAGCAGTGGGCCCTTTGTAAATACATGTTTAAATTTAACATAGGCGGGGCTAAATATAGATAGAGAAAGTAAAGGGCCCACTAGACTAGTGTGGTGCTTTCTCTTCACTTCTGACCCTGTCGGCGTGTTCATGCCGTATCTAACGCCATTATTTGTTACTATTTATTACGTGACATCTAATCCCATTTAGATTTTTCTCGGTCTATCTTCACTGCTACAATCTGAATTAATTCCAGCTATATCCTTAGTAGTTTTCTTTTACTTTATTTATTTATATTAATAAAAATTAAATACTGTCCGCAATAATAAGCGAAGCATTTTGAAACAATTTGTGTTTTTTAGTTTGCAATAGTTCGATTATGATTTTTAAGTAAAGAATTATCGTCCGAAATTACTTACAAAATGTAATTTAATTTATATCTATAGTTTTTTTAAGGCAATCACTTGATTTCCCTTCATCAATTCTTGAGAGTAAACAAGTTTTATTTTTAAGTTGTTGCCGAATCAAATATACATAAACAATTGCTTAATTTTTTTAGTCAAGCAATACTCGTATATAATTGAGTAATAAATAATAGGCCTTCAAGTTCATTTAAGAAAACACTTTAGTTTTATATCAATAATTAGACAAAATACCTTTTGTTTCCATATCAGACAAATAAAAACAAAAGTTGTATTACTAGTTTTTTTAAAAACTCTCACTTCTCTCCTATACTCGTATTTGGTAAAACAAAAATACTCACTATAAAGTCTCTAAGGTCTAAACAACTCTCCACTTGGTATCTATTTGGCACTAGAATTCTAACTCGCCTTTGACTATATTAGTATTATTATTTATCATTCAAACAAATTTTAGAGAACTCTCGCCGCACTCAAGTGACCTCAAATGACGAAAAAAGTATATATCCGAATATCTGGTTGACTTTGCCATTTCAAATCATTTACTGGACACACTAACCTTTGTTGCCAAGTCGAATAAGTAAAAACAAAAGTTGCATTACTAGTTTTTCGAGATAGGCAGGTCGAAGGCCCAATATGCGAGAGTCATTACACATTTAATCGACCTCGAATTTTACTTCGAAAACTTTCGATGCCCCATAACAAGTCGATTTGCGCTCTTATTGTAAATCTATATGCAACACGGTTAGCGAATTTATGTACATATATTAGAACGATATAGATTTCAAGTGCATTAGCCTACATATATAGATATTGGCATATGTTCAGTCTAAATAATAAGTAGTTTTTCTTTGGCTATTATTAAACTTGTGATATATAAAGAAATGTTTATTTTCAATCGAACAGAAATAAACTCTTACGTAACAGCCCTAATGGTGTACATTATTGGACTGGCCGTATGATTGCCACATTTGATATATAATATAAAATATCATCATATCAGTAGTTATGTGTTCACTGCTGAGCATAGGCGTATGTATGTACATGAAATATAATTTATATGAAATAGAACAATGTTGAAATTCTCTTATTTTTACGTAGACATTTAAATATATTTCCGACCAAATTGGAAAAATAAAGTTATCAATTAGAGTTATTTTGTTCTGTATGTTATACAATATTGCCGCTAATTCGGAACCGAAAAACGAGAAAGTACTAAATGTTGCTTAATCTTTGTCCTTGTGTATTCCTAGAATTAGGCACTTAGTATCTTCTCTAATTCTGTACAGATTTTAATAATTTTTAAGATGATAGGGGTTACGTTAGTTCGCCAACTTTTATTCTATTAAAATCTCTTTTTGGAACCAAATTATTCAACTAGATATTTTTTTTTAATCAAAAGAGTTTACGTTTATACTTAGCCATTAACATTTTCTATCAATTTGAAGTCTGTATTCCTTACTAGCTTTTATCACAACTTCCTCCTCGTCACCCAAATGTAGTTAATAACCAGAACAAAATGTAGCCTATATTCTTCTCCATCCCATATAGTACTTGTATACCAAATTTCATAGTAATTGTTTAAGCCATTAAGGCGCCAAGCGGTAACAACCCATTTTTAGATTTATAATATTAGTTAGGATTGAATCATATTTTAAATTGGTCTCTGTCTTTATATATATCTATATAAATTACTTTTTCGCAATTTAATTTCACGTAACAGCCTTCTTACATAAATCATCAATGATTGTTCGGCACTAGCACATAATTTATCTACAAACGGTATTGTACTTGAGCAAGTTGTATCGCAACCACAATAAACGTCTCGTTTTGTTCTTTCGCTAGGTACCGTGAATCACGGTGCGTCGGTTGCATCCAATTAGAAAGTTTTTATATTATAAACAGCGAACAAATTCGATCGCCCTCTTTTAAAATTATTAAATTGATGTCGTAAAGATAAAATAATATCCTTAATCTATAACTTGATACCGTTTTATGTTCTATGGACTTGTCATTAGCAGAAAATTTTTCATAATGTTCATACTAAAAAAGGGGAATTACAAATTCTTTTTATTCATATATAATACCTTATATACCATATATAATACCTTACCCTATATAATAACATAGATAATACCTGCATTATTTTTCTATGACGAGTCCAACAATATTTAATTTAAAATGCAGCGGAATTAAAACCCTTTTAAATATATGTCTATAATCAGGTAGAGCGTCAGCTTGTTTGTATTCTAAGTTTCATAAAGAAAATCCAACAAAAAATAAACAATTAAGGCAATAAACATACTTTGAAGAACATAAAACAAATAACCTGATTTATTTACATACAAAACATATACCAGACACAGTAGTTTAATTAGAAAAACAATCAATTCTCATTATATACTTTGACCATAGGTATTACAATGTCGTACAATACTTGATACTTTTTATAAAACTTCCTCAGTTTTCGAACATGTATAAAATCAGAAGACACTCGCGTTAAACGTCTGCTTAAAATATTTTCGAATTATTAAGGAAATTAGAAAATGTATACCACAATATTATCATTATGGTATACACTCACCTAATTTTCTATACTATTTTCCATTTCTAACCCTAAACAAATGACTAGAAACAATAAATATCTATATTAATTATATTATATTATAAAATTTTTAAATACACTATCGGGACTTAAAGCGATGAAAACTTTTTGCAGGTAAATAGTACCTACATACCTGCTTCTTTATTACCGACGTTCGGACGTGAATTGCACCACGTCGTAACCACAGCAAGCATATAGGTACTATTTACCTGCAAAATTGTTCATCGGTTAAGTCCCAATAATGTATTTAAAATATGTGTAAACAACGCGAAAGTTTAAAATTAACTATTATAAAATTTCACGTAACTTATACATAAATTTAAAGTGATATACCCTAATCATACTCTGACCAAATCGTTATAATTCATAATCATAGGCTACCTAATTAGAAAGTAATTATAATTACCATATACTAAGAAGTTTTTAATATTTGAAAACGAAAGAAATTACGTTCCATCGTTTGTTAAGTAGATAGATACGCAACGAATATTAGGTATCTACTTAACATTCGAGCCTTTGTTGTATTTCGTTATTAAACTAAGAGGTAAAACATAATCAATCTACAATGTCAAGAACATAATGAAACAAAACCCAACTCTACGTATCTTCCACGACACTTGGATGCTTGAATTTGTTTCCATAGTAAATATTTCAACGTATAAATTAATTGTAATTTTCATGTCTTTTGAATGGCAAATATGGCAACGAGCGGTTAAAATTTGGTGTTTATATTGCGTATAAAGTACCAGTTACGGTGAATGTTTTATCATTATTATTGTATCAGCCGTCAACTGTCCGCTGCTGGACCTAGGCTTCCTCCATAAGGGGTTTGACAACCCAAGTTAAGCTTTGGTGATATTTTAAGAAAGACATTGCTGTCCATCCCTCGGCCATTAAATTTCCTTTATTCACCTCTTATGACACCCACGGCACAGGAAGGGCTGACCCATTCTATGCCGGAACCATACGGTGAATGTTCCCTGATGTGATTTTTCTAACCACAAAAAAACCCATAATGAAGTAGGTACTCAATCCAGCAGATATTGTCTAAACTACTAAAGAACTTAGTTATAGATAGCCTTACATATACAATAAAGTAACCAATATAGCCCGTGCCTCTACGCAAAAAGTCGATGACTCGTCTGCCGCGAATAATTATTAAAGGGCGCGAGCTATGGCGACATCTCGTCTCGTCTCGAAGAGCCCCTCCCCCTTCCACTCCTCTTTCCACTACGCCCCTCCTGTGTACACCGTTAAATTTAACTGACTCGTCGGCTCTCCACATAGCAACGGACTAGATAGGTATCATGAAAAGCTTGGCTGTATCGTATTTTTATTCATGGTTATACTTTTTATATATTTTACAGTTAACGTACTTTACGTAATTAAACCAAACACGAAACTCTTTAAATATTTTAAAGTCATCCATCGTTCTCTTCATATACCTCTATATTCGTAACTATGAATAGCAAAGTTTACTTACAAGTTATGATGCAATAACGCATCGCAAACCAGAATATATTCATAGTGTCTGTAACGTGCATAATTATTTATGGCGAAATAAGAGATTGCCTATCCTATGTATCAATAATTGCTCATCTACCAGATATTTTAAATATGATTGTTTATATTTTCAGGTAAGAGCAGATGCTCGTGATGGTGCGATCCGACGACAGCGTTAGATAGCCGCTTGGAGGAAACAAGTATGGGTGCTAATATGGGCAAGAATTCGAGCCTGCTCGATGCGCTACCCACTGCCCAAGGCACACTCCACGTCGTCATGTTGGGCCTAGATTCCGCCGGCAAAACCACCGCGTTGTATCGGCTCAAATTTGATCAGTATCTAAACACCGTTCCCACGATTGGGTTCAACTGCGAAAAAGTCAAAGGCACTATCGGAAAATCAAAAGGCGTTAACTTTCTGGTGTGGGACGTGGGCGGGCAGGAAAAGCTGCGGCCACTGTGGAAATCTTACACTAGATGCACAGATGGTATTATATTTGTGTTGGATTCGGTAGATATAGAAAGAATGGAAGAAGCTAAAATGGAGCTTATACGTACTGCCAAATCCCCAGACAATACAGGAGTGCCGATACTCGTATTAGCAAATAAACAGGACTTACCAGGAGCCAAAGAGCCCCGAGAACTGGAGAGATTATTAGGTCTACATGAACTGGTGTCATCTCCGCATAGCTCACGGGATGGGCACTCCTGGCACGTGCAACCTGCATGTGCTATCACAGGTGATGGCCTCCACGAAGGTCTAGAGGCACTATATGAAATGATACTTAAGAGAAGAAAATTAGCTAAGTTGCAAAAGAAACGTGTCAGATAAACACTCTTTTAAAAACCTAAAATATCAACAATATGTATGATATTGGTTCAGTTTTGCGAGATAAGTATTACAAAATGCTCATTTTGAGGATATTTTCAGTAATGTCCAAGTTTGAAACACCAAATATTGTTTTTACTGTAGATGTATAACGTCTTATGAAAATATTCCATCATAATGTTGCTCAAGTAATATTGAACATTTTGAAGGATACGAATATTTTTTTAAATCTAATTTAAACTACTAGTCATTTTCTTTTGAAAATAGCTAGGGGAAGGATGAAGATACAAGATACATGCAAATTATATATTATATGGTATTAAGTTAAATTGTGTACATCGTCTTGATCATGGACATAACGATTTCTATATAATATATTGAAATGACGATTAATTGATTTATCCACAAAATATTTCAATAATCATTTAATTCGGATACGGCCTAGCATTTTACTCAAATAATATATACCAAATAGAAAATGTAATAGGTATTTTGTAACTCCAGGAATAACTGTGTACACGAAATGAATGTAAATGTATGTGGCTCACAATATTGTGTGGGACCATTAGTGTTTAATTGCAAAATATGTTAAATGTGCGTGCGTGATATGTTCATAAATATATGTATTATGTTATTGTTAATAATGAAGTGATACACTTCGATTATTTCAATGTTATCGTACTCTACTGGTGTATCTTATTATTTTTCAATTTAACTTCCTATGTATAATTTTCATTTCAAATTATATTCTTGTCTTCATCCTTTTTATACTAATACTTTATAACCCTCCATTGAGTATCAGAAGTCACTTGAGTAGCCAGTTAACAATTAGGCTGTAGAGATTATTTAAAAATTATTGTGATGTTCTATGTTTAACTTTTATAAAAGAGGCTTTTAATGTTTGCGTTTGTATGGCTTCTTCTTTATGTAAATACACTGTAAATATACAATAAAATGTTAAAACTCTATTAAAAAGACAGCACTCTATTGTTTTATAAATGGTCATTTTTATTATTAAATCAAAAAATGGAAATGTATTTATTTAATTTCGCTTCTTCTTCTTTTCGAATTTTACTCCAAAAACAGTCATAAATATTTTCTAGAGAAAAAACTATTTATTTAATTTCGAAATCTACAAACTGAGAAAATTTTAAATCTGGAAATAGAAACGATAATAAGTGAACAAAAAAGTAATCATATTATTTTCATAAAACAAAAAAAAAACAACTTTTATCGTAGCATTAGAAGTACGGGACCAACCCAATCAGGATATAGAAGACCTTCAATTACAAAAATATTTTCCAATACTAATACTTAAGCTTTAGAAAGTCTAATAAAAAATCACAGTACCCTAGCAATTTATGACTTTTTATGGAGCAAAGTACATCACACATCACATTTTTTATGAATATTTTCATTATGTATACCTTTTTATTTAATCATATTTAATCCATAGATATATATTATAAATACAAATAGTCAAAAGTAACATTCAAGTGTGAGCTTTAAAATCTAAAATTTTCTTTTTATTTTGTAATTTTATTAAATAGGTATTATTTATTTACACATAGAGATACAACTTAGTAAACCCTAATGTACTGAATTACCTAATATGAAGCTTTTACCAGAGTTTGTGTTACTCGCCTTGTAAATATGTAAATTTCAGGTAGATAATCATCTATACCATGAAACCAAACATCTTATCCGTAGTACCTATATGTACATTTTGTTACGAAATATGTTTGTTTATAAAATTAACTTTATGGCATATTAATACTGTATTGTGTTTTATGAAAATACTTAAATAGACGTTTTTCATATTGATTCCCCGTAAATAAAGTCTGTTTTCAATAACTGCTTGAGTTTTATTAATAGCGTTTTAACAAATATAATATAACATTACTTTGACATTCTGTTTTCATCAAAATGCAAATACTTTGCAGGATCCTCATTCTGAGTCCATTCTGTAAATAAATTAAGATATTCCAACTCGGATTCATTGAGACTTCTCCGAATATTTTTTTCATTATTAGGTTTACAATACTGTTGTTTTAGTTTTTTTGTAATCATTGTTTTTTTAATAAATACCTTACTCCAGTCTCTCTCTACGAAAGGTGCATGCGCGCGCAGCAAATTTCTCTCCAATCTATCAAAAACACGTAATTCCCTAGAAGCCACCTTTGCTCTCCTAATCTTCTTTTGTTCTCTCTCCATACACCGTTTCACAGCGCGGTTTACTGTATCGCTATGTATTTCATCTAAAGCTTTTGAGTAATCCATATACATAGTTTCCAAACCTTTTGCCATTGTCATTATATCTAAATTTATTTGTTTCTCACATATTACTTTTTCATAACTGAATTCCAAATGCAAAAACAGTTTTAAAACTTCTGGTGCACTGACACTTTCGAAGAATAATCCATAAAGAACTTTATAAAATCTATTTTTTAATTGAGCACATCTTTCTTCGCTAAATTTTAAAAGAATTTCAAATGTTTTAATAGTGTTTATAAGTAAAGCACTGTCTTGTGCAATAAACTCCTTCAATGTTTTTATTTCTTCATTCAATATTTTTTTAAGCGGTGCGAGATGTGTGACATAAGTGAAATGGTGTAACTGTTGTTTTTCTAAACCATCAAATATATCAAGTAAATCACGTGGATGTGTAAAATATAGTGCTGGCTTAATAAGATTACCGTAGCATTCTCTTTGCATATTTTCAAATACTATAGTGAATGTTTCTTCTTCGCTTCCAGCCAGATCAAAACCTTTCGCTTTTATTTCTACAGAATGAGCAAATTCTCTATTTTTTATTCGCCAACTTGGAGGAGACAAATAATACAAAAATCTACCATACTTTTGTTGTATTTTATACATATAATCTAATCCCATCAATGTAGATATTATAGGAAACTGCTGAGCAGCAAAATTTTGTAATTCAGATATTTTAATGTTTACTTTTACTTTCAATTCATCCCATTGTTGAAGAAGCGCCACTGACTTATGATAGTCCTCAAATATAAAAATATCAAAATATTTCACTTGTTCAACATATCTTTGAAAACTTTGCTCGTATTTTGCCGATTCTTTTTTGTAATTGGCTTCTATATTAAGAATACCATCATTTCTGTAACCAATCGCTTGTCTCAATCTCAGCCGGCTACTTAATGATGATTTCAAAGATTTAAAAAGTGGTACATGATCTGATAAAGCACGTCCATTTGCATTAGTAAAAAAACCTTTGTCTATGTCAGTTATTGCGTAAATATGATCACAAGGTGTTTCTACGTATAAACGTTTCTTCATGTCTGCACTAACAATTTTATATTTTTTGTGTACATCAATACCCAATCTTTGTTTATGTTTTTCGTTTTCTTGTTTTTTCATATATGACCTGTATGCCAATAGAAGTTCTTCTCGTTTTAAATCATTTACTTGCAGCGGATTATTACCAAGCATATAATACTTCCCTAGCGAAATTTCTAAAGTTTTCTGCATATTATTCCCAATATTTCGTTTTGATATTTTCTTAGTTTGTAACTTTTTTATAGAATCATTAGATTCTTTTGTAAATACTTTTGATATAGGTATATTAATTATTAATGAATGAACATCATCCATTTCGACTATATTAATATATTCAATGAAAAGATTCTCAAATATATATTAAAAGCAATTAATAAATAGACATTGTCTTTTTTACATAATATCATCCAAAGCCATCTCGTTTCAATTCTATTTTCAATTCGAATATGTGATTTATGTGAATATAAATATTATGATAACATAATAATCGCTATTTATACTTACTATACTATATTTTATATTTTTATATTATAGTAAAGGTAAACAGATACGATAAAGTTAACACTAAAGATTTACTTTTCTAAAATTCTTTATAGGAATATACAATAAATCGAGGTATATATAATAGAAACCCATGTTACGAGTATGAGCCAAATAGATATTATTAAATAAACACATATATAAATGTCAAAATTAAGATCTAATAGATTTACTTGGTAACCAATCAAATGCCGGTTTAACAAATGTAAAATATTCCTGTAAATAGGGTGGAAATAGGATAGATTTGTACCTTCGCACCAGTCTGTAAAGAGTAACAATCCCTCTTTTTCTTCTTAATTTAATTTATTCATTTTGATTTTTTTACATTCTCCACTAAACAATTGACATTTCTTTTTTTCCGCATTTTCAAAGGACAACTTATTCTTTTTGTCTACAAAATTTTTAAGAACAGGTCGAGTAAATCTTGCTGGAGGTAAAAAAGCTTTATTCATAGCAATAGTCATTTCTCCAAAAGCCTTCAACTCCCTTTGAGCTGTGTATGCATTCCTCATCATTTTCAAGTCTTGGGCATAAAAGTCATTTCGAGCTTGATTGACAATTGTAAAGTCTAAAGAATCAAGACGTAAATTATAATCTTCGTACATGACCTCTAAAATCTTCATAGGATCCTGTAAGCTTTGATGACCTTCTTCACATTTTCCAAATACTTGTTCATAAACATACTCAATACAAATTTTCAACTTTAGTGTACTAGAACTTGCCACACTATCATAGAAAGTTTCATTTAATATTCTGAAAAACTTTTCTTGTAAATGATTTTCATTGTAACATTCTCTAGCAATTTCATTATTTATGCTATCTATATAATATTGAAAATAATCAAGTTCTTGCTTCGTTGCCTGTTTAAGCTGCTTAATTCGATCTCGTAATAAACGAAACGGAGCATCGGTTTTTGCCAACTGTATTAGATATTCCCTACTCTGTAATTCCATTGTACGAAACAAATAAATCATTTGCTCAGGTTTTTGGAAATACAAACAAGCAGGAAATGGATTCTTTAATTCAGTTTTCGCCGCCTCAACGATTTTGTCAATATCTAAAGTTTCTACTAAATCATTATCAGTCACAAACTCACCTGACTCAAATTGGATTGATTGTATTCTTCCTTTTAAATTTTCATCATTTTGTTGTCTCCAGTATAGTGGAGCTACAAATATTAAATAACTACGATACATTTTTAATATATTTCTAATGGCATCTAATTTGAATAAAATATTGTTCAATATAGTTAATGTAGAAATATATCCGAGCAACTCTGAATTCTTAGCTACTAATGCAGTGTAAACCTTTACCGCCTTAGATACTTTAGAACAGGCTTTTTTGTAGTCTTCAGTTAAAAATTTTTGAAAATTTTTAATATGGTTTTTGACATTTTCTACAATTATATCATATTCCTTTGTTTCTTTTACAATACTTTGCTCTGTCTTCAAAATTAAATCACGACGATATCCAATTTGTTGTCGATTCATAGCATAATTACGAATATTACTTAAATATACTTTTATATCGTCAAAACATCTTAAAGGACGGCCTTCAATAACGGTATAGAATTCAGGATGGATTTTAACGACCGCTCTTACATCATCTAACGGATCTTCAATAAATAATCGTTTAGAAATGTCTCTGGTTGCAGCTATTTTGAAATTGTCTTTTAGAAAAAGTGGTTGTGCTAACCTTTGCTGCATAGTTTGTTTTTCTTTTTTGTCGCTATATTTAATATATGATAACAACTTCTCTGACTTTGCTATACGAAATGGGCGGACTCGTTTTATTTTCTCTTTTTCAACTGACAAAGCGTGGTTCCTATTAGTAAAATAATGCTGTGTGTTTGGCACATAACGACGTCTAAATATAATATCTAAAGTTTTTAATGGAACCATAGGTTTGTTCTTTTTTTCTAAATAAGACATTTTTAATAAAAGTTACAATTAAGTAATAATGCGGTATAAATTAAATATAATAAAATTCTTCAGGAACGAATTACGAAGCCTTGTAAAAATATAAAAGAAATATATACTTTAATGTCAATGTCAGAAATATAAGTTACATTTCTCAAATAAGTCCATACTAGAAGTAGTTTTTAAAATAAATTCTTCTAGATGAAAAAAAAATTACCTAGTAACCAATTAATTTATTGTAACATCTTTTTCTCGTATAATAATTATATTATTTCCTTCTGGTTGGTTCAAACGCAGATTTTAACCGTCGGCTCAACTTGTCTATCTCTTTCAATAATTTCGTAGCTTCTGTAGCATCTTTTATTTCTTTTTCTCCATGCTCATATATTTCTTTCTCGATAGTTTTTACGTATTCCAAATCAAAGGCAGATATATCCATCATTAAATTATCATATTCACTCTCTAACGCCATAGCCATTTCTAAAGAACTTAGTTCAGTTTCATTTGAAGTAATAACTTGTTCATAGGTAAATTCTACGTAATTAAAAATCTGCAGAGCCATCTCTGATGATACTAAATACCTAATTTTTTCCTCTAATATCCTAAAAAATATTTGTTTTACTTCACTTGCACGAATATCATTTAATATTATTATATCCTCGATTTCCTTTATCTGCAAAAAAGACATAAATAGTAAATTGTGAATAATCATAATCAGGATATATAAAATAATAGGTAGTATAATTTAGTAAAATATATCTAAATATTTATCTTACCTTTTGCTGAATAAAATCCAATTCTTGTCTCAATTTTATTTTTAAAATATCTAAAGTTTTCATAAACCTATTTTTCTCAGAGTTTAACTCTTCTGTAACTAATAAATAATTTAAATTTTGTTTCTCCAACGAATCAAAAACTATGAGTATCTGCTCGGGTGTCTCAAAATACAATCGTGGTTCAGGCAGCTGACTTAATCGTTCTTTAATGGCATTAATATCGATTTTACTGAAGATATCAGAATCCATAGAAAATATCTCGTTATGTTTAATATCTAATCTTATTTTATGTTCTTCTCGCCATAAAATTGGAGCAGCTTTATACAGAAAATTTTGGAATGATAATAAAATCACCAAAGTTTCATCAATGTATTGCAACTTGGACTTGAGGGAGGCCATTTCATAATTAGCTTTTTTACACTCATCAGACCGATTAACTAAATCTTTGGCTAATCCATCTGATTTTTTCATTACGGAAATCGTTTTATTATTATCATCTGCCAAAAATTTATCAAAACTGTTTTGATATTCCTCAAAATGCTTCGATGCGGTTTCATAAATATTCTTTTCTGTTTCAATTTCTTTATCTATTCTAAGTATTTCATCTACTAAAAATCCATGCAGAGTCCGCTTCAGTGCTACTTCTTTTATATTTTGCTTATATTTATGAATAGAAGTGTTAGGTTTAATTGGCCGTCCTTCCACTAGAGAATAATAATCTGGATCAATATCCAAAATTGTTTTAATTTGAATATCAGCAGCCGGTCCTATTGGAGGTAGTTTTATTCCAGCAATTGTTTTTCTCGTTTGTCTTCTTATATTCTTTTTATTTTTACTATCCATGACTGACTGACAATACTAATAGCAAATTGAATTAGGCGATTAAAGTTATCACAGCAGGATAAATCGATATCACTATAGTAACACATCTATTGTTTGCAAATATGTATCGCTAACAGAAAACTACCTGATCGTAATATGTTGTGCCAGCCGTTAACTGTCTACTGCTGAATATAGTCTCTCCCACAAGAGAGTTTTGTATGTAGTTGTCACGCTTAGTAGCCAGGTTGGCAACCGCAGTATGGCTTTTGGTGATGTTTTAAGAGGGACGATACTACCCCTTATGGTGATAAGCTTTCTTAGCTGCCTCTTACGACACCTACGGGAAAGGAAGGAGTAGCCTATTGTATGCCAGGACTTACACGGCTAATCTGATCATAATGTGTGATTTAATAAATATTACAATAAACAAATTTCGTGTTATGGTATTATCTTCAAATTATTTATTCACTTACAAGAAAAAAATTCGTACTCATCTCTCATTTATATTTCATTTCTAATATAACATATTTTATTATTATTACAGTCCTCGTTTTATTCCCAAAGATAAACTAGCTTTTAGGCCAGCAAATATCGAACAATTCGTAGGCCATAAACGCAATGCAATGCATCCAATGTAATGCAATGCAACATCACCAACATCACTCCCGTACTGCCAACTCCTGAAATTTGAAGGTCTTGAGTTCTCACAGAACCCAGTTATTTTACTGCCATTAACTCAACCTTCAAACTAGTATAAACCATGGGAAATGTACATATAGCCACCTTACAAGCAGATAACTTTATAGGGTCTCTCACTGGTACTGTAAAATGCGTAGGTTTGTAGTCCGTAAGGTATCGTAATTTTTGTACCTAGAACTAAGACATTCACAATATAACTAAATAGAGCTAATTCACGTTATCTATTGTCAAAGGTAACATAGTATTTAAATTGTTTTATATTAATAAAAATAAGTACATTAATTATATTTATACACATTTTATAATCTTAGAAATATGCAAGAAATAAAATATAACATAAAAAAATTTTGTAACCTAGATTTTTTTAATTAGGTACAGGATATTTTTGGTGCATATGGTAATATAAATTGCAAGTACTGACTCGGTTATATACTATAGATTAAAAATATAGAGAAAAAAATAGATAATCACTAGTTGACGTCTAATCAGTCAGTGGATGAACTTCCACTCTGTTCTTCTCTTTCTTCGTCATCTGTTGTCTCCTTGTTGACAAGCTCCCAAGGCATCACCGGAAGTGGTTCAACAAACAAATCATCAACCTTCAACTTGTATAAGAGACGGGGGGTGAATTGTGTTGGTAAAGGCCAAACGTTTTCTGTAGCAAAGTTAATACAAGAAAATTTAGTAGACCTTTCGGAAATTATAATCTTAACGAAGTTGTAGACATATTTACATCGGCAGGTTATACAAGTCAAATCCTATTATGAGCCGTATACAACAAGGTTTTAACCCCTAAACATAAATTCGAGTATTCTAACACTTCTCTAAGCTTAACTGAGAGAGAATGTTTTTAGCATTAAGTCGTCCTTGTACATGTGTACAAAGAGGATTTAATGCTAAAAGCAGTCTCTACCAGTCGTTATATCGTTTCAATCATATACATTCATCATATCAGGACAGCATATACCTTTTATAGATCTGCATTAGTGAATTTATTAGAGAACAAACTTTGTAATCATTAATATTTATAGACATATCGATCTTTCGATGTATCTATAAAGTAGAAGAGGCCTCATACTCACCAAAATAAAAGCAGTAGTCATCAACTCGTCGGTGTAAGTGTGCAACGTGACGAAGATCGAGGATATACTGCGACTGCAACAAGTAATCCAGTAACGCGACCTCAGGCAACGCTTCCATTTTAGCATCAACTGCGCTCAGCCCTTCGAACGATAACTGCAAAATAATTAATTAAAAAAGAGACATTGTATTCTTATGTCCTTAATAGGAAGTCTAACAAGATCTGCCCCATCAAAACAGCCTCCACGCAGTACTCCTAGAAACCATTGCAGTTAATTTCTGTTGAATTCGCCACGAAGGACCAAGCGACCTGTCTTTATTATTTACGCATAAATTATTTATTTTATTTGTTATTTTATATTTTAATATTCAAGCGTAGTCAATTAGAACTCACTGTTTCTTCACTTTTTGCTATTTGACATAGCCTATTAATCTTATCCAAGCATATCCGCAATTGTTCCATGTGCTCTGCCAAGGGTCCAAATATGTCTAACTTCCCGATGAGCGAAGGCGGATTTGCCGTCACCGCTTGCCACCCTTCAAATATTAACTGAAAAAATAGTTAATTTGAAGTCTTTTTCAATAACTTTACATTATTACTAACAGTTTCCTGGAGCTCTACCCGAATGCATCAGTATATTACATGTGCTATGTGTTAAAATTACATAACCTACTGTAATATGTAGTATTATATTATTACATATTAATAAGTTCGTATAAGCGACTTACAAACATACAAACACCCAAACTTTCACGTTTATAACATTACTACAATTGCGTTAATCTTATTATTATTTTATTTCATTTCCTATTTAAAAGCTGCGCTCGTAGAGCTCTTGCCACTCACTACGATTTTCAACGAGTCTCTTCATTTGATACAACACAACACTAACTTTTTCCTTGATCTGCCCGATGTAACTAAGCCTTAGTCTCTCCTTCCCGTATTCCTTCTATTTTACCATCTATTATAATGTTCATAATTACGTCATATCGTATCAAATGTCCCAACATTTGCTCCCTTCCGACCCCAATTATTGTTATTATTCTTATTTTAATTTTTATAATTTACCGTCTGTATAGAATGGTAAACAGTTAATATTTTTAAACGTCGGAACATTTGGCGTTCAGATCTCTGATGAGGCTCGTCCTCCATCATCACTGTAAGTCCCTCCGCAGCTGCTTCTTCTGCTGCAGCAATAGCCGCCTGGGCCGCCTCGTCGTCCAACCTACGCATCTCTTCTATCCAATCAGTTTCAGATTTGAAAAGAAACCTTAAATGTCTATGCACTGTATCCTCCGATCCCTGTAGTATGTTTACAAAGTACAAATTATTAAAATAAATACACTCTTTGAGACGTGAGTACGGGGCATTGAAACATAAAGTCTGCATCAATAGAACTTAATGAAAATGATACTTATAATTGATTCAACTATTCTTATGGTCAAATCAATTATAAGTTGACTAACTGCTGATGTTTAATAGTAGCACAAATTAAAAATGTTTGTCTAATAATTTTATATTATTTGGTAACTTGTTTATTAAATTCTATTGAAACAAATGGATAGGTATTAGTATTTCACAAGTCCTCGTATTACGAGAGCCTCTGTAAAAAGGTACCGAAAATAAGCTCCGCGAAATATATATTCAAGAGTTACGTTCACCGCAACGGTAACAGTCGACATAATGTTTCCTACTCCCATAAGGGATTACAATTGTAAGTATATATATTTTATTTAAATGCAAGGGTGGAGCTTCAGTGTCAGAATTTTGTAGGCCTTCATTGTATCTACACCAAATGAAGGCTTGTGACAGCTTACAGAATCCGCAGCTCGAAGTGATAATATTTTTTTAAATGATCTTAACGTGAAATTGTAAAATTCAGATATTTAGGTAGAAGTTCCAAATAACAATAAAACATTCAAGATAATACATATCTATTCGCAAATATAAACATAACCATCAATCATGTATCAAACTTAAGTACTATAAAATCCAAAGGTCATATTTCTGTGCACTGGTTATTTTTTTCCCCGATAATTACATAAATAGTGGTATGTCTAGAATAATTTTGCCTGTTTGTTACAAGAGTGTCATCGGAACAAAATAGCTGAACGAATTTTAATATTTTTTTAATTAATTGCCAAGATTTAATTATTTTTCAATCAATTCTAACACACCCAGACAGACATTAACTAACAATCCTCTCTCCATATCAGGTCGACCTCCACGCGGTTCCTCCTGGAATCTACCTTGGTTAATTCTTGCAGAATTCGTTACGATGGACTAACTGACCTGTTGTCATCGTGTGGAGAGGAATTGTTAGTAATTGGGTGTAACAGCCCCATTGCTAGTGCATTCCCTATTAGGTCAACCCCCACGCGGTACCCCATGGAAACTAATGTGGTTAATTCTTATAGAATTTGTCACCATAGGCAAACTGACCTGCTTTCATCCTCACCTATTATCTCCCACTGTTGCAGTCAATAGTCACAATAGGCCAAAATAAGCTGACTTCATCCTCGTCTTACATTACCTCTAATGTTCTACCAACGTATACCGATAGCACAAGTGGGATTTTCATTCCATTTTTATATCTCCCCTTCTAGCATTAGCTGTAGTATTATTTTATTTATATTTCAATAATCGATTCTACTCATACTATAGTATAGCATAAAGAAAACACTGTATTAATTCTTACTTATACAAACCTCTATAATATGTACAAAGTAACTGTCATACACCAGCAGCAATCCACGGACATTTATTTCACAGTACGAAGCATTTACAGCTTGTATAGTCTTACGAAATTGCTTTATTATTTCATCTTTGGGTAGTGTGTGTTCACCGATGTAAATCATACGAATGGCGTAAGCTTTCTAGAATATTAATAATTAGTCAATAATTGTACCTATTTATGTATGTAATTATTTAATTAATGCGGTGTGGGTCCAGTATAGAATAGCCCACCCCTTACTTTGCCATTGGTGTCGTAAGAGGCGAGTAAGATGCCTTCGCCTGCCAAACGTGGCAACTACTGGTAACCTCCCCAAGGACAGTTAAAGGCTGACATGATAACGATGAATGTAATTATTATTATTCTTACATTATATATACATACCTACTTATATATACATACCTACTTATATAATGATGATTTCATTAACTAAGTACATGCAAATTTTGTGACCATCATGTTATAGAAAACCTTTAAAGGTTGAAGTTCTTGACTTGAGTTCAAATTTAGCTAACACCAAAAAGTTTTGTCCAATTAAATTCCCAATGTTAGAAAATATCTTTTACAAACTAAATCAATGTGAGACAAATTGTAACCTCACCCCTGGCACTTTGAATATATCCATGACTCAGTTCACAAAATAATAATAAGTTCAACACAATTAGACCAGTCGTCTGTTCCTCAAGCTAGAATATCTTGTATTATGAGAAACCAGGCAACAAACATCTGATAAATAAAAATATAAGTAAGCTGTTTAAAGGTCCTGCCACCTTAGACAATTTGTAAACTGATCTATCGATAGATACATTATCGCCACTACATGTAAGAAATAGAGCAACATTTTTGTTGTATATCTACATTAAAACATATAGGTACGTACCGATAATTTTGGTTGTAATTTATTTAAGAAAGCAGTGTACCTCGCTAAATTGAACCTTAGAAGTAGTTTGACTGTATCCCATCTTGAATTTTAGTCATAAGCTTATTCATAATTTATTTACATTCATAACAAAAAAAATAATTCTGAATGGACACGTCGTTGGTGCCTCTATCCAATTTTTACCAAGAGGATATAATAGCCAAATAAAAAAAGGAAATATAAGTAAAACTAACCAAACCGACTTTCTGAAAGTTTTCTTCCACAACATTTAATACTGATCTCACGTCTAAATCAGGCAAAGCCATTGGTGTATTATATACAACAGTAACATCGAATTGTTTACTTTCTCCTCCTTGCCTCGACGGGTAAAGCCTTTCATATATTATGTTAAGCAATGATTATGTCAGATCACAAATTAAAACATTATACTTGTCAGCCTATGGCGTCGTCAAGCGTCACTAGATAAACAACTTGTAGCTGAAATATGTTGTCATAGTAACGTTTTTTCTACACATCTATAGTCATAGATAATTATATAAACGGGAAAAGGTAAGACAATGAAAATGATCTAAGACACAGATAATGAACAATACTTATAAACGCTATTTACATCAGTAAAAAGAATCAACGAAATTGGTTCAAAACTGGCGAAGACACCATTACATACACTGCAATCTTTTCTTAGATCAGTTGAAAATTATCTCATTATTATTTTGGATTTTTAAAAATATATTTGATTTCGTAAGGGAAGTTGAAAACAGAAATAAAACTAGCAAATTTCTATCAACAATTCTAATATGTACTAAACATTATAATGTACATTTACTATTACCGCTATTAAGTTTGTATAGAATATACATATAATTTTGATGAAATTAATATTGTTACAAAGATAAAATACTAGGAGATCAACACAAAGTATAACACATTTCACTGATACTATACTGTACTGTATTATTAAATTAATAATAATCAGCTTAGCTCTACCAATGAGCCTGAAAGTAAGATTGAATATTATAATAAATTTCAGTTCTAATCATCAATTTAAACTGTAATTATAAAGCCTGTAACTGAAACATATTTTTACTTTACAGAATTTTTAAAATAACTTTAAATCAAAGTAACAAATTCGAATAGATATTATATTATCCGATTACATTTGCCATTTATACATAATTAAACGCCATCTAAAGAATTTGTTAATTATCTATATTATAAAAAATCGGCTAAAGAATTTGTTAATATCTATAGTTATTACTATAGTTGCTTGGCTTGCTAGATGAACGATATTTATTGAATCTCCTATTTGAATTCCAGCTATATTGTTTTGATTTGTACTTTGCTTGTTGTTGCTGTGCTTTATCCTCGCTATAACTTCGCGACAAATCTTCCAATTCTTTTGGAACATTCTGAAATTATAATAATATTAAATATAAAAAATGTAATGTACAATAAATATATAACATCTAGTCAAATACAATCATGAATATAAATGATTGTATTGTGCAGAAATCGAACCTGGAACTACTGAAGAAAAATTTAAAGAGATACTAATCGACTGATCACAACCAAAACGAATTTTAAACTGAATAAGTACTAAGAAGGGATTTCTTAAGACATGAAAGAAATAACAATTTCAGCACAGTTACATTAGCGGGAGTCATGTGATGGTGAAGATAAATCAAAATTATTAATATCCTTTTAAGGAAGTGTTCTACCCGTGAAACTGAACACTTAGTAAAGAAATATTGATTGAAAAAAAATCTTGACCTCTCAAAATGACAGGGCACGTCCCCACAGTTAAGTTAGTATGGGAGACTTTAAATTTTGTCGTTTTTGGATTTTTTATTTACGAAATAACAGATTACGAAAAGACAAATTTTTAATTATAATCAATAACATAAGTAGATTTTTAATTTCACGTAACACTAACGACTTCGATTTCACCCTATGCTTAATAAACATACCTGATTAGCTTCTTTCAATACAGCTATTAAATTTTGCGCCTGCCGTGCATCATCATTGGTAAGCATCGTGTGAGCCACGCCCTTGTTCTGATTCCGGCCTGTCCTCCCTATACGATGAATGTAATCCTCAGATGTGTTCGGGAAATCGTAGTTAATTACATGAGTTATACCATCCACATCTAAAAACATTTGTAAGTAAAGTTCACTTTTTGTACTGTTGTTATACATTGAACATTTTCTTTTTTTAACTAATAAATAAATATGAAGGTATAAATATGTCACTATTTTCATTTTTGAAATAAACTTTTCTCAATTATGAAATAACAGGATACAATACCAATGGTATAGTATTTTTTTTTTTTTGTTAATAATGATATTCCTTTCCATCCTCTTTACCTTTAAAAATTTTTGTTACCTAAAAAATGAATGACTATTCAAATAATCCTTTTTATTCTACTGTTAATAAATAACAAGCAAAATAACCCATCTAATGGAAAATGGTAACTATCACCAATATGACATGAACAACATGATGAAAAAACAAAACTTTATCTTTATACATAAAAAAATATAAATCAAATAAAAAAACATTAATTTCTACTTTTTTTTATGCAACTTAGAATTGCAAACAAGCTGACAGCCCATCTGATGGAAAGTGGTAACCGTCACCTATAAACAGAATTAAGATCAATACAAAAATTAACTCTATCAATTTAAAAAACTATCAAAATTTATTCAAAATTGGAGAAGAATAAAAACGCACAATATACATAAAAAAAATACAAATTGACAATCTTCTTTCTTTTGAATTCACTAAAAAATATCACTAACCTAACCCTCTTGCAGCAACATCGGTGGCTACTAAAATATTAGCATTGCCTCTTTTGAATTTATTGATGATTGTATCCCTCTGAAGCTGAGTTTTATCACCATGGATGCCAACTGCAGGCCAACCGTTCCTTTTAAGTGCTAATGACAACATATCAACAAACTTCTTTGTATTAGCAAATACCAAAAGTTTTCCAAATCCATCACCAGATATACTGTGCATTATTGAATTCAATCTGTAAATAAATATGTAGATGCATGCAGTACTTATTTTCGATATGTTTACTTTTATTAATTTTGTATAGTTTCATGATTCATTTTACAAAAGTAATTTTGAACTCTTGTGAAATATTCTTATCAACCTTCTATGTAAATAACAATACATAAAAATAAATTACTAGACTAAACAACTTATTACAACCTATGAAAATAAGGAAAATGTGTTCAATTTCATTAACTTGTTAAAGTACCTAATTAACAGAAATTAATTAGGTACTTTAGCAAGGTTTTATTCTTTATTCTTTATTGTACACAAAAGGTTATTGAAATGTAAAAACAAACATAATAGTGCACAAGGGCGAGCTTATCTCCAATAGAGATTTCTTCCAGCAAACCCAATATGAGAAAAGTGACAGTTCATTAGTAGTTACAGTCATACATGTGTACCAATGGACTTAAATGTTATAGTTAAAAATTAATAAATAAATAATCTTTACAATTGAAAAGACGTTTTACATTATTTAATCTTCATTGTTTTCTTACTTGAAATTTGTTTCTAATTCTAAACCAAAACCTAGCATTATAATGATAGAAAAAAGGACTCACATTTTCATTTTGTCCTCCTGTAGGCAAATGTGAATCTTCTGTTCAATATTATGATTAGCTGACAATTCTGTAGAACCCACATTTACCTGTACATATTCTCCCAAATAATCCTTAGCTAAATGCCGCACTTCTTTTGGCCAAGTTGCAGAGAACATCAGTATCTGTCTCTCAAGAGGTACACCATTCAGAGCCATCCGGATCTGTGGTTCAAAACCCATATCCAACATCCTGTCTGCCTCATCAAGCACAACATATGTGCATCTACTAAGATTTGTAGTATTACTTTTTAAAAAATCATTCAGTCTTCCAGGTGTAGCTATTACAATATCGACTCCAGATTGCAATAATTCAGCTTGCCTGCCTCTATGAGCTCCTCCATATATACAAACACATCGAATATTCAATAACTTTGCAAAATCTTTTGCCACATGTTCTATCTGACGAGCCAACTCTCTAGTTGGAGCCAGAACAAGTGCTCTTGGTCCCAATCCTTTCCTACCTTGTTTCTCTTTAATATGTACTACAGCTGGCAAAAGATAGGCAAGAGTTTTACCTGTACCAGTTTGGGCAATACCAACAAAATTCTGACCACTCAGTGCTACTGGCCAACTTTGAGATTGTATGATAGTAGGTTTCTCAATTCCTTGTTTATTTAAAAATTGTTTTATATAATCTGGAAATTGACTATTTTCAATATCAATATATGGACTTGGAATATCTTGTCCGATAACAGTAATGTTGTGCTCATTACGGTAATTATCGTCATCAACATGAGCAGTTTTAATGGAATAAAATCTAGAGGTAAAAAGTAATCTTAATGGGGTGTGAAATAAACCTTTCTGCAGATTTTCAAATGGCAATTTCCCATTAATTATTTTGGTAGTAAACACTGTACTGTTGGAATACTGTTTTATATCATTTTGTAATCTGAAATAAAATAAACAAATTATTAGTAAATAAAAAAAATATATAGCAATATGCTGTATATTAAATTACAAAACACAAAACTACAATTACTAGTATAAAATTTTTTAATCCCATATTTATATCATATAAAATCTTTTAATGTTTATGTTGTCTGTAGATATGTCACTGCATCATCATTTTTGCACTTATTATAAGTTTCCTAACATTTTATTATTTCATATCATAAATATTGAATAATTAACTACGAACCACAGATATCATCTATATATACATCAGAGATATTATTGTTATCATGATCAAAATTAAAAAATGGGATTATGAGAAAATTAATATTAACTACATGGTACCTTCTTCCATTTTTTTTTAAACTAGTTTGCTGATGGATTTTAGAGCATCAACAAACAGGAGCTGAGTTAGAAGCAGAAATACAGATTTATGATACAATTTATGCTTTCAAAGCTAAAGAAGCAGATAGATAATAATGGGGATTAATGGGTTGCCTGCTAACCACCTCCTCAAAAACCATCATGATTAAATTATAATGATTTTTTTACAATAGATCAACTAATCTACTTCATGTCCACTGGTACTCCGACAATATATACCAATAGCGCGGGCAATATTACCATCCCATCATCGGATGATAATGGAATAGGTATTTAAAAAAAAATTATATCGATATTTAAAATACGGAATGTTACAAAGTTGAACACTGCTAGTTAATAAAGCCTTCTCAGATCTCAGAGCTGCAAGATTCAACCTCCGATGTGTATAGGTTATAAATAAATTATAAAACATTAAAAATAAATAAATAATACTTACAGATATCTACATAAATCTCTTCGTTTCAAAAGCTTGGAAAAACAATTTAAGGCCATTTTAAAGGATAATTTTAAAAAGTAGATATATTATTTATTGTATTTCATGTAAATAAACTTTCTTAGTAAGAAGAATTTAAGAACACTCCATGCGTATGATAAAACGTTAATAGTAATTAATATCATATAATTTGGTTTTATGTGGCAGGCTTTACACTATCGAAATATATTCTCTTCTGTTTCATTTAAATTATTCTCATTCCATTTATGTAATATCTACAATACTTGCTGAATAATTCAATTCTCGTTTTAAAATATCCGAAATAATTTTCGTAACTATTTATTAATAGAATAACCCCAAATAAAACACATGTTTCTAAATAGGATCAAACTGATAGACAAACCCACAGACTGACAAACAGTGTATAAAGATCATTCGCCACAGATTACAATAACTAAAGACGGTATAAGCGTTCTGTCACAAACTAAATAAACGATACTGCGTTCAGCAGAACTCGCCAAAAATCAGACGCCATATAGCCTATTTTTTTATTACAATACAGCCTAAAATCTCCCTATAATTACGTAACGTGTCTGTCTAAATTATAAAAAAACCGATCAAATGCTAATTAAACTCACATGCCAAGAATTCTATGCATAAATCAGACATGTAATAATGAAGCTGACAAAACATAAATCGAAAGTCTGAGTAAGATATTTCTCTTTTGTTCGCTGCTGCAGTAAAATTAATGTTACTGTTTTCTTCTACCACGTGTAACAATACTGTGACGCAAGTCTTGTTTTGCTTGTAATGTAATCTGTTAAGAACCTCCTTGGTTCAATGGCAGGCGATATGCATTCTAGCAGCGCTTGTCAATGTAAAATAAAGAAAAATAATATTTGAATAAATATGACAGATTACCCTTTTGTCTTACATACTATGAACTTTGACTGAACATGCTAACTGACTAATATTAACTAGTGTAGGTAACCAAAATCCTAGTCCTGGTTTTCCTTAACACTGATCCTGATCCCGGCGTTGCTTAATACTGGTGAGTGTTACTACCAATTTCCTATATTAGGTTATGGGCTAATACCAAACTTCAAAATGGATGTGTCGAAATTTCAAATTAATAAACTAGAAGGTGAAAATTGGATACATTGGAAGTATCGCATGTCAGCACTATTAAGGGGAATAGACGGTTTAACGGATGTAATAAATGGATCAATTAAAAAACCGGAAATGCCAGATAGTAGTGCTGGGGATTCAGCAGCTATGGCTAAGTACGAAGAGGACTTACGAAGCTACACTAAGTTGGATAGTATAGCTGTACTTGTAATTACAAATAATATTTCTGATAATATCCTGGATAAAATTCTAAGGTTAACGACCGCAAAGGAAATATGGGATGAATTGCATCGCCTATACGAAGGTGTATGTGAGGACCGCCTGTATGATTTGTGTTTAGAATTTTTCAGATATAAGAAAAATCCTGCTGATGACATAGCTTCACACATCTCGAAGTTGAAAAATCTGTGGTATAAGCTCAAGCAAGAATTAATGAAAGAAGAGGAAGGTAAGGATTTACCTGAAGTTCTATTAATTTGTAAAATCTTGGATACTTTACCTGAAACATATTTTTCATTCAAGTCAAGTTGGCTGTTAATGTCTAAGAAGGATAGGAATATAGAGAATATCACAAGTCAGCTGTGTGCGCATGAAAAGGCACTCGGTAACAATGTAGACAGTGAATCTAGTTGTGAGGCCTTTGCTGTCAAAGGAGTCAAGAAGAAACCTAGTAAGTGTGAAGACAAAGGTAGTAATAACAAGGACAGTAGCAAAAAGTTTAAATGCTTTGGTTGCAAAGAGGTTGGTCACCTTAAGAAAGACTGTCCTAAGAAAGTAGTTTCTCGAAAAGATTGCAGTAGTAAGGGAATTAACATGATGTTACTGACTGTGAATTCGGCTGAAAGTAGTATTGTAGATCGTGACCATTGGAATGTGGATAATGGGGCTACGAATCATGTTACAATGCGGAATGATATCTTTCAAGATTTCGAATACTTCAGTGAAGGTCACACTGTAACTACGGCGGACAAAAATGTGATCAAGGCAGTAGGCAAAGGATCAGTTTGTATTGAGGCCGATGTTAATGGACATACTGTGAGATCGACTTTGAGAGATGTTTGGTATGTTCCTCAGATAAGTAGAAATCTGTTTTCTGTATTATCGACGCAAGATAGGAATCCAGGTAGCGTGTTTGAATCACGGGTCACTACTTGTACTATGAAAATAGGAGGAATGATTACTGTGACAGGAAATAGGGAGAGGTATGGAGGATTATACAAGCTGAATTGTAGAGTCGTACCGCCTATTAATATGTCAGTAAATTTGGTACAGAAAGTTGATATATTGCAACTTTATCACGAACGTTTTGGTCATCAAAATAAAAGACATATAAGAAGTCTGATAGATAGAGAGTTGGGGATAAAAACAAAAGATAGTGAAGAATTATGCGAAGGTTGTATCTTTGGAAAATCTCACAGACAAAAGTTTGGTGTACGAGATAAAGCTACGAAACCTGGAGAACGCATACATTCGGATGTTTGTGGGCCCTTTCCATCTAGTTATTCCAAATTACGATATTTTGTACTTTTCAAAGACGAATATACACGTCATCGTTTTGTGTATTTTCTTCGGAATAAGTCGGAAGTACACGAGAAATTGAAACAGTTTCTAGTTGAAGCTAAAGTAGCTGGTCATGTTGTTAAGGAACTATTAAGTGACAATGGTGGTGAATTCGACAATGCACAAGTACGGAAAATATTGGTGGGAAATGGAATAAAGCAAAGACTGACGATACCGTATACACCGGAACAAAACGGGAATAGCGAAAGAGATAACAGAACGATCGTGGAATGTGCTAGAGCTATGATGCATGCACATGAAAGGTTACCTGAAACTTTGTGGGCTGAATTGGTGAATACTGCTGTATATATTTTGAACAGGACAGGACCAACGTCAGTGGAACACAAGTCACCCTCAGAACTTTGGACTGGTATAAAGCCAAGGATTAAACACATGAGAATCATTGGGTCATCATGTTATGCTCACGTGCCTAAACAGACTCGGAAAAAATTACATAAGAAAGCTATGAAATGTATTCTAATAGGGTATGATAATGATGATGGATATCGTCTCTGGAATGGTTCTACTGGTTTAGTAAGGTCAAGAGATGTGACATTTGATGATATGTCTCTGCTTAGAGGTGAATCACTGAAGGTGTGTGAACCCATGCAAGCAGAATTTTCTAGCAATGTAATTGAGTTGCAACCTTTAGCATTACAAGAGATAACTCAACAGAGGAATGATGAAAAATTACCTCATGTAGAATCTTCTGATGCTCAGAATATTGTAATTGATAATGATGAAGTTGAAGGTCTTGTAAATAATGATGAGTTCATTGATAGAGAAGACACTTCTGTTATTAATGAAGATATATTTGATGATGCAAGAAGTAATACGCTAGAACAAACAATTGAATGTGGGGGAGTATTAGAAGGAAATGACGAAGCCGAGCTTCACGAAACTATGGATGAACATGAGATTATAGAGGAAAGTAGTCGTATTCTTAGAGATAGGTCATCGCTTCGTCTACCACAGAAATTCAATGATTTTGTTCTATATAATATAAATGGAGAGAGCACTGGTAATCAACTGGAACCTAATAGCTACAAGGAAGCTGTGAGAAGTGCTGAAAGTAAACTTTGGAGAAAGGCAATGGATAAGGAAATTAATTCTCTGAAGGAAAATAAAACTTGGGTGTTGGTAGATCTCCCGAAAGGTCGGAAAGTCATACCCTGCAAGTGGGTTTTCAAGGTCAAATTAAATGCTGACGGGAATGTCGACAAATACAAGGCTAGGCTTGTTATTAAGGGATATAGTCAGAAGAAAGGCGTGGACTATTATCAAACATTCAGTCCTGTAGCAAGAATGGCGACCATTAGAAGTGTATTAGCTGTTGCCGCTAGTGAACAGATGCATATGGCGCAATTTGATGTATCCACTGCATTTCTGTATGGCGATCTTGATGAAGAAATCTACATGCGACAGCCGGAAGGTTATGAAGATAACTCTGGTAAAGTTTGTTTACTGAAGAAAAGTCTTTATGGTTTGAAGCAGGCACCTCGGTGCTGGAACAAGCGTATATTAGATTTTTTCAAGGAAATCGGTTTGAAAGTATCTGATGCTGATCCATGCCTTTTCACAAGAAAGGAGTCTAGCGAGAAGCTCATTGTGGCTCTTTATGTGGATGATGGTTTGGTAGCTGCGTCTAATCAGAAACTGATCGAAAATTTCCTAAAAGATTTAATGGGAAAATTTAAAATCACAACGAAGTCTGTATCCTACTTTCTCGGTATAGAGATAATAACCAGAGAAGACGGCATAAAAATTCATCAGAAGTGTTATGTGAACAAAGTTCTTCGACGGTTTGGGATGGACAGCTGCAGACCGGTGCATACACCAATTGTTAGAGACATGTCTCAAAACCGGGATAAGGTTGACATGAGTAATATGTTGTTGAATTATAGACATATTGTTGGAGCCTTAGCATATCTCATGGTTGGAACGAGACCTGACATTGCATTTGCTGTTAGTGTCGTCTCAAGAAATTTGGAAAATCCAACTGAAGACGATTGTGTAAAGCTAAAACGGATTCTGCGTTATTTACAACATACGCAAGATATGGGTATTTTGTATCAAAAGGACTATAAAAAGGGCATCATAGAGTGTTATAGTGATGCTGACCATGGAGGAGACGTTGGTACTGGAAGGTCAACTTCTGGAGTACTGTGCATGTTTGCTGGTGGTGCTGTATCTTGGATGAGTCAAAGACAAGCAAGTGTTGCAATTTCAACCACTGAAGCAGAAATAGTTGCAGCCAGTGAAGCAGCTCGAGAATGCATTTGGCTAACTAGGATACTAAGCGAACTTACTGAAATACAGTATCCTCCTGTATTACAAGTGGACAATGAAGCCGCGGTGAGACTAGCGGAAAATCCTGAGTTTCACAAGAGAACAAAACATATTCTCATCAGGCACTTCTTTGTTCGAGAACTTGTGACAAAAGGTGATCTCATGGTTCAGAAAATTAGCAGTGAGTGGCAGCTTGCGGATATTTTTACCAAAGCTTTACCAAAGCCAAGGTTAGAGAAGATTAGTAAGCTGCTAGGATTACACATCGAGAGAAGATGTTAAGAACCTCCTTGGTTCAATGGCAGGCGATATGCATTCTAGCAGCGCTTGTCAATGTAAAATAAAGAAAAATAATATTTGAATAAATATGACAGATTACCCTTTTGTCTTACATACTATGAACTTTGACTGAACATGCTAACTGACTAATATTAACTAGTGTAGGTAACCAAAATCCTAGTCCTGGTTTTCCTTAACACTGATCCTGATCCCGGCGTTGCTTAATACTGGTGAGTGTTACTACCAATTTCCTATATTATAATCATATATCCTAACTTCGTCTCTGCATTTGTATAAATGTTAATATGTGGATTTTCGTGAGCCATTTAATTTTTCCTACTTAGTCTGTTTTCTTATTATATTTTTTATTATTATTTCAGCCGTTAACTTTCCAATGCTGGACATAAGCCTTCCACATAAAAGGAGTTTTACCAGTAGTTGCTACGCTTGGTTGCCGGATTGGTAACCACAGTTACGCTTAGAAATGTTTTAAAAGGGACGCTGCTGCCCCTATCTCGCCCTCCCTTAGTCGCAGAAAGGAATAGGTGGCCAATTCTATGCTGAGGCACACACAGCAATTATTATTATATGTCTGTGACTAAGATAAAATAAACTTTATTGTTTCTTACATAAATTCCCCCGATTATATACTTTTTGTTATACAAAGTAGACATTAATATTAGGACCAATTCTGAGACAGCATTTCTCAAAATCCCTTTATTTCAGACATTTACTGTCCACTGCCGAATATAAACCTTCCCCATAAGGGGAGTTTTGCCAATAGTTGCCAGGCTTGGTAAGCAACTACAGTTAGGCTTTTAAAGAGGTTTTAAGAGGCACTGAGGGACGCTGCTACCCATCCCTCTACCATTAACTTTCTCTAGTCGCCTCTTTCGACACCCAGAGAAAAGGTTGGCCAAATCTATACCGGTTTGGAATTCTTTTTTGAAATCTGAAAAGATATACAGATTGGTCCCATAGAAATTTTATCAAAATCGATTGTCATTTTTTTTTGTGGAACACAATCTTACTGTATGTATTTTTATAATGTCTCTAAAATTGTGCTAGTTAGAAACATTTTTTTACTATACGAGGATAAGGTGAAAAGTTCTCGGCCTGACAGAACTGGCGTTCTAATCTGCAAAAAAATTTTTTTTGCCTAGGTGCGCCTAGGCAAAAAAATTTTTTTTGCAGATGAACTGTCATTAGTTCGTATGACAAATTTAAACTTGTTCTCTTAAATAGTTTATTTACACTAATTTTTGCAGTAAATGTCGTGCATGTTTTTCATTAAAATTAATAAATTTAAATATCATGCGATCCTAAAATTCGGACGATTACGGGGTACGATTTGCTGTTACCTCACTATTCTCCTGATTTAGCACCCTCAGATTTATTAGTATTCGAAAAATTAGCAATTTCGATATTTAGTAGTAAAAAGAATTTTCAGTATAATATATATATATATTTGGAATGAACGTATCGTTTTTTTGTCACTTGTTTATAATAAAAAAATTATAATTTTGCAAGTGACGAAGTCGCGAAACTATGTACCTTCTTCGTGGGATGCGCCATAAAAAAGATTAAATGATCTAATAAAAGTACAGAATCTATCCATCAGCAAATAATCGATATTCAATCTAGAAAATGGAAATTCCATTTTCAGAATTATTAAAAGATTTATCTAATAACAATATTTAATTAGGATATTTCATATAATAGGACCTCCTACCTGCCGACGAAAATAAAATAAAAACAATTTTCATATAAATTATCCATTTATTAACTATTTTATACACAAGGACAAAGGATAACGGAACAATGGAATGAATGAGAAAATACATAGACCGTAAAAAACTTTTGCAGAATAAATTAAATATTACTCTGGAAATGAAATATTAACAAAAATATATTTATCGAGGAAATCAATCATATTTTACTTATTTTGTAAGTCCACGATTTAGTGAACTGTTTTAGCTAATCCTCACTAGAATCACAGATAATAAAAATATCACAGTGCAATAAACTTAAGTAAAGATGATCAAAATAATATGGATGCATAATTGACCTCTGAATAAATAACTAGCATACTGAAAACTCAAACAATCAGAGCCAAATCTATTACACTCACACGATCAAGTATTCCTATGAGGATTTGCTACATTTATTATATCTAAACATTTAATATTCATTAAATCTTTTATGGTTACCACCACCCCCTTGTCCTCCATGGCCCCTGGAGAAATTATTACGTTTAAAAGATCCGCCTCCTCCACGTCCTCCAAATCGGTTTCTATTCCAACCACCACCACCGCCGCCGCATCGGTCAGCCATTGATTGAAGTTGCGGATTGACAGACTAAAACATTAAAAATTATATATAATTTCAAAATTTTCCTTTAAGGTTGTTTTATAGGCGATATTCACCAATATCATTCATTAGCTTTTAAAAAGATCCTCAATTTGGTTATATTGTATTTGTTACCTCAGAACTCTCATCATTTATACACTAATTTTGGAAATTGCTTTTTTACATAAAAAAATCGGATAGTTTTCATAGAAATTTCATCAAAATTGCTTCAGTAGATGTTTTCAAATCAAAATTTTTACTAAATTTGATTTTTTTCTACTTTTAACAATTCTTTTTCCAATCAAAATTTTTACAAATCCATCTTATACAATTTGTACAGGAGCAAACTTTTTTTGGTGTTTAAAATTCCTTTTTGCTACTTTATATTTACAATAAATTCTAACACAGTAAAATAAAATATAAACATTAAGGTTTAATATTGTTACAACATCTGAGGATGGGATTCAGACAAAAAAATGTGTGAACACCGAAGGCATATAGCTGTATTTATGTACCTCATACTTGCATTCATGTTACGCTATGAAAACGTACCCATGCCAAAGGTATGAGGAAATAAGTTTTTTTTTCTCTTATGTAAATAGCAATGTAAACAAAATATTACCTGGTTGGCTTCTTGAAGTACAGATACTAGATCTTTAGCTTGACGTGAATTGGAAGGTGTGAAAAATGCATAAGATGTTCCTTTGGTTTTTGATCGACCTGTTCTACCAATTCGGTGAATATAATCTTCAGAAGAGTTAGGATAATCAAAGTTAATAACATACTTTATTCCATCCACATCTGTAAAAAAAAACAAACAATTTAGCTTCCATTTTGAATATCAACAGTAAAAAGGTTAAAAACAGATGTTTACAAAATCTAAATAAATTTAATAAATACATATAAATAATAAAGACTAGCCTTAATTTACATATTGTAACTCATAGCTGTATTACTTACATGAATGAGTTACACAGATATATAGAACTGTCAATATTGCCTCTCACTCAGAACCCAGGAGTCTTGTCAAGGGCATAGAAGTTTACCTTATACTCTATGTAACACCACTTAGGTCTCACTGTCCCTTTTAAAACTCCATTTGGCCGAAATAGAAAACCCTTGACCTCTTGCCAATCATCATAACCCATGGTCAAGTTTTTCAACGATGCACCATTTGCCATGTCTTAAGTTGGTAATCTCATCTATTCAATATGCAGTGCATCACCAGGTTTTCAACACTCTCAAGTGTATCCGTATTCACGGACATACCATCAAGCTTTCCGGCCTCGGGTCCAATCATAGTGAAAGGCACATTGGAGGCACCATAATAGTGACGAGTTATTGCATTCTCTAGTAAAAACGAAACTGCATCAGACTGGTTTCTCATCTACAAATCCAGTGCAGTAATCTTGCCCATAAATTTAGGGTGGCTATTAGAACACAATAACTTTCCGCCAGTGCCTCTGAAAATATAAAAACAAATGCATGTTATATTAAAAGAATTTGTAAAGCATTTGTCTTACTATAGGAAATCTATACAATATATATATTACAATAAAAAAAAAATATATACCTAATCCTCTGGCTGCAACATCAGTCGCAACAAGAATACTGGCACGGCCTTGTTTGAATTGATATAATGTTTCATCTCTTTCTTGCTGAGTTTTATCACCATGCATACAGACTGCTGGCCAACCATACCGCCTGATATTTCTAGTTATATTCTCGACTTTCCTTTTAGTTTCAACAAATATTATAGTCTTAGCCCCTGGCTCTTGACTTTGGCCTATTTCTTGTAATAATACATTTAATCTGTAAACAAAAATAATAATTAATAAAATATATATATATAAACTCATAACAAATATTATTTTATTTATTTAATCAGATCTTCTTAGAGGATAATGGTTTTATTTAATCAAATATAAAAATCATAACATACATTTCATCATTAATAAAAAAATACTTCATTATTTTTATAAAATGAAACAGATACAGATGTAAAATAACAAAAATCTAATAACTTCACCACTTTTCCAACAAAATGATTACAGAAAAATATGAATACTCACTTGTTTTCCTTTTCATGTTCTTGACAAACATCAACTATCTGTAAAATATTATGGTTTGCAGAAAGCTGTAGTGATCCAATGTTAATTTGCAAGTAATCTCCCAAGTAGTCTTCAGCTAATTTTTTCACTTCTTTGGGCCATGTTGCAGACCACATTAGAGTTTGTCTATCTGGGCGAATCTGTTCTATGATCTTCCTAATCTGAGGTTCAAAACCCATGTCTAACATGCGGTCAGCTTCATCGAGGACCAAATAAGTGCAGCGTTGTAGGTTTGTGGTGCCTTTTTCTAAGAAATCTATTAGTCTTCCAGGCGTAGCAATGACGATTTCCACACCTCTTTCCAGATCACGAGCTTGCTCTCTCTTTGGTGCTCCACCAAATACACATGTATTACGGACATAAGATGTGTTACCAAATTCAGTAGTTACTTGTTGGATTTGCTGAGCTAACTCCCTAGTTGGAGCCAGGACTAAAGCAATAGGGCCATCCCCACGTCTTATTTTTGGCTGATTGTTGATATGTACTATAGCAGGTAGTATGTATGCCAGTGTTTTACCAGATCCAGTTTGAGCAATGCCAACCAAATTCTTTCCTGACATAGCAATTGGCCAGCCTTGTGCTTGAATTGATGTAGGCTCTTTGTAACCCATATTGCTTATACTCTGCATGACATAATCAGGAAAGTTGGCTTCTTCGAAATGTTGTATTGGATTGGGAACATCTAATCCACTAACAGTAATTTCATGTTCATTTCTGTATTCTTCTACTTCATAAGCAGATCTATTTAATACTTCTTTATGTGGATTGTAAAAATCTTTATTGAATGGTTGTAGAGTTAAGGTGTCCCAGTTAGGTCTCCGCATGTTCTGACCACCCGAAAAGTCTTTCTTACCTCCAAAGCCACCAAAACGACCACCACCACCACCACTACCTCCCCCAAATTTCGAGCCCCCAAACTTTGAAGAGCCATTATTAGCAAATTTATTTCCTCCAAATTTGGTACCACCATTTCCACCACGGCTATTGCCCCAATTTCCAGACCTGACAAAAATATATGATAATTAATGCTTAGAATCAAATCTTAAGGTTGACATGAGTAATATGTTGTTGAATTATAGACATATTGTTGGAGCCTTAGCATATCTCATGGTTGGAACGAGACCTGACATTGCATTTGCTGTTAGTGTCGTCTCAAGAAATTTGGAAAATCCAACTGAAGACGATTGTGTAAAGCTAAAACGGATTCTGCGTTATTTACAACATACGCAAGATATGGGTATTTTGTATCAAAAGGACTATAAAAAGGGCATCATAGAGTGTTATAGTGATGCTGACCATGGAGGAGACGTTGGTACTGGAAGGTCAACTTCTGGAGTACTGTGCATGTTTGCTGGTGGTGCTGTATCTTGGATGAGTCAAAGACAAGCAAGTGTTGCAATTTCAACCACTGAAGCAGAAATAGTTGCAGCCAGTGAAGCAGCTCGAGAATGCATTTGGCTAACTAGGATACTAAGCGAACTTACTGAAATACAGTATCCTCCTGTATTACAAGTGGACAATGAAGCCGCGGTGAGACTAGCGGAAAATCCTGAGTTTCACAAGAGAACAAAACATATTCTCATCAGGCACTTCTTTGTTCGAGAACTTGTGACAAAAGGTGATCTCATGGTTCAGAAAATTAGCAGTGAGTGGCAGCTTGCGGATATTTTTACCAAAGCTTTACCAAAGCCAAGGTTAGAGAAGATTAGTAAGCTGCTAGGATTACACATCGAGAGAAGATGTTAAGAACCTCCTTGGTTCAATGGCAGGCGATATGCATTCTAGCAGCGCTTGTCAATGTAAAATAAAGAAAAATAATATTTGAATAAATATGACAGATTACCCTTTTGTCTTACATACTATGAACTTTGACTGAACATGCTAACTGACTAATATTAACTAGTGTAGGTAACCAAAATCCTAGTCCTGGTTTTCCTTAACACTGATCCTGATCCCGGCGTTGCTTAATACTGGTGAGTGTTACTACCAATTTCCTATATTATAATCATATATCCTAACTTCGTCTCTGCATTTGTATAAATGTTAATATGTGGATTTTCGTGAGCCATTTAATTTTTCCTACTTAGTCTGTTTTCTTATTATATTTTTTATTATTATTTCAGCCGTTAACTTTCCAATGCTGGACATAAGCCTTCCACATAAAAGGAGTTTTACCAGTAGTTGCTACGCTTGGTTGCCGGATTGGTAACCACAGTTACGCTTAGAAATGTTTTAAAAGGGACGCTGCTGCCCCTATCTCGCCCTCCCTTAGTCGCAGAAAGGAATAGGTGGCCAATTCTATGCTGAGGCACACACAGCAATTATTATTATATGTCTGTGACTAAGATAAAATAAACTTTATTGTTTCTTACATAAATTCCCCCGATTATATACTTTTTGTTATACAAAGTAGACATTAATATTAGGACCAATTCTGAGACAGCATTTCTCAAAATCCCTTTATTTCAGACATTTACTGTCCACTGCCGAATATAAACCTTCCCCATAAGGGGAGTTTTGCCAATAGTTGCCAGGCTTGGTAAGCAACTACAGTTAGGCTTTTAAAGAGGTTTTAAGAGGCACTGAGGGACGCTGCTACCCATCCCTCTACCATTAACTTTCTCTAGTCGCCTCTTTCGACACCCAGAGAAAAGGTTGGCCAAATCTATACCGGTTTGGAATTCTTTTTTGAAATCTGAAAAGATATACAGATTGGTCCCATAGAAATTTTATCAAAATCGATTGTCATTTTTTTTTGTGGAACACAATCTTACTGTATGTATTTTTATAATGTCTCTAAAATTGTGCTAGTTAGAAACATTTTTTTACTATACGAGGATAAGGTGAAAAGTTCTCGGCCTGACAGAACTGGCGTTCTAATCTGCAAAAAAATTTTTTTTGCCTAGGTGCGCCTAGGCAAAAAAAATTTTTTTGCAGATGAACTGTCATTAGTTCGTATGACAAATTTAAACTTGTTCTCTTAAATAGTTTATTTACACTAATTTTTGCAGTAAATGTCGTGCATGTTTTTCATTAAAATTAATAAATTTAAATATCATGCGATCCTAAAATTCGGACGATTACGGGGTACGATTTGCTGTTACCTCACTATTCTCCTGATTTAGCACCCTCAGATTTATTAGTATTCGAAAAATTAGCAATTTCGATATTTAGTAGTAAAAAGAATTTTCAGTATAATATATATATATATTTGGAATGAACGTATCGTTTTTTTGTCACTTGTTTATAATAAAAAAATTATAATTTTGCAAGTGACGAAGTCGCGAAACTATGTACCTTCTTCGTGGGATGCGCCATAAAAAAGATTAAATGATCTAATAAAAGTACAGAATCTATCCATCAGCAAATAATCGATATTCAATCTAGAAAATGGAAATTCCATTTTCAGAATTATTAAAAGATTTATCTAATAACAATATTTAATTAGGATATTTCATATAATAGGACCTCCTACCTGCCGACGAAAATAAAATAAAAACAATTTTCATATAAATTATCCATTTATTAACTATTTTATACACAAGGACAAAGGATAACGGAACAATGGAATGAATGAGAAAATACATAGACCGTAAAAAACTTTTGCAGAATAAATTAAATATTACTCTGGAAATGAAATATTAACAAAAATATATTTATCGAGGAAATCAATCATATTTTACTTATTTTGTAAGTCCACGATTTAGTGAACTGTTTTAGCTAATCCTCACTAGAATCACAGATAATAAAAATATCACAGTGCAATAAACTTAAGTAAAGATGATCAAAATAATATGGATGCATAATTGACCTCTGAATAAATAACTAGCATACTGAAAACTCAAACAATCAGAGCCAAATCTATTACACTCACACGATCAAGTATTCCTATGAGGATTTGCTACATTTATTATATCTAAACATTTAATATTCATTAAATCTTTTATGGTTACCACCACCCCCTTGTCCTCCATGGCCCCTGGAGAAATTATTACGTTTAAAAGATCCGCCTCCTCCACGTCCTCCAAATCGGTTTCTATTCCAACCACCACCACCGCCGCCGCATCGGTCAGCCATTGATTGAAGTTGCGGATTGACAGACTAAAACATTAAAAATTATATATAATTTCAAAATTTTCCTTTAAGGTTGTTTTATAGGCGATATTCACCAATATCATTCATTAGCTTTTAAAAAGATCCTCAATTTGGTTATATTGTATTTGTTACCTCAGAACTCTCATCATTTATACACTAATTTTGGAAATTGCTTTTTTACATAAAAAAATCGGATAGTTTTCATAGAAATTTCATCAAAATTGCTTCAGTAGATGTTTTCAAATCAAAATTTTTACTAAATTTGATTTTTTTCTACTTTTAACAATTCTTTTTCCAATCAAAATTTTTACAAATCCATCTTATACAATTTGTACAGGAGCAAACTTTTTTTGGTGTTTAAAATTCCTTTTTGCTACTTTATATTTACAATAAATTCTAACACAGTAAAATAAAATATAAACATTAAGGTTTAATATTGTTACAACATCTGAGGATGGGATTCAGACAAAAAAATGTGTGAACACCGAAGGCATATAGCTGTATTTATGTACCTCATACTTGCATTCATGTTACGCTATGAAAACGTACCCATGCCAAAGGTATGAGGAAATAAGTTTTTTTTTCTCTTATGTAAATAGCAATGTAAACAAAATATTACCTGGTTGGCTTCTTGAAGTACAGATACTAGATCTTTAGCTTGACGTGAATTGGAAGGTGTGAAAAATGCATAAGATGTTCCTTTGGTTTTTGATCGACCTGTTCTACCAATTCGGTGAATATAATCTTCAGAAGAGTTAGGATAATCAAAGTTAATAACATACTTTATTCCATCCACATCTGTAAAAAAAAACAAACAATTTAGCTTCCATTTTGAATATCAACAGTAAAAAGGTTAAAAACAGATGTTTACAAAATCTAAATAAATTTAATAAATACATATAAATAATAAAGACTAGCCTTAATTTACATATTGTAACTCATAGCTGTATTACTTACATGAATGAGTTACACAGATATATAGAACTGTCAATATTGCCTCTCACTCAGAACCCAGGAGTCTTGTCAAGGGCATAGAAGTTTACCTTATACTCTATGTAACACCACTTAGGTCTCACTGTCCCTTTTAAAACTCCATTTGGCCGAAATAGAAAACCCTTGACCTCTTGCCAATCATCATAACCCATGGTCAAGTTTTTCAACGATGCACCATTTGCCATGTCTTAAGTTGGTAATCTCATCTATTCAATATGCAGTGCATCACCAGGTTTTCAACACTCTCAAGTGTATCCGTATTCACGGACATACCATCAAGCTTTCCGGCCTCGGGTCCAATCATAGTGAAAGGCACATTGGAGGCACCATAATAGTGACGAGTTATTGCATTCTCTAGTAAAAACGAAACTGCATCAGACTGGTTTCTCATCTACAAATCCAGTGCAGTAATCTTGCCCATAAATTTAGGGTGGCTATTAGAACACAATAACTTTCCGCCAGTGCCTCTGAAAATATAAAAACAAATGCATGTTATATTAAAAGAATTTGTAAAGCATTTGTCTTACTATAGGAAATCTATACAATATATATATTACAATAAAAAAAAAATATATACCTAATCCTCTGGCTGCAACATCAGTCGCAACAAGAATACTGGCACGGCCTTGTTTGAATTGATATAATGTTTCATCTCTTTCTTGCTGAGTTTTATCACCATGCATACAGACTGCTGGCCAACCATACCGCCTGATATTTCTAGTTATATTCTCGACTTTCCTTTTAGTTTCAACAAATATTATAGTCTTAGCCCCTGGCTCTTGACTTTGGCCTATTTCTTGTAATAATACATTTAATCTGTAAACAAAAATAATAATTAATAAAATATATATATAAACTCATAACAAATATTATTTTATTTATTTAATCAGATCTTCTTAGAGGATAATGGTTTTATTTAATCAAATATAAAAATCATAACATACATTTCATCATTAATAAAAAAATACTTCATTATTTTTATAAAATGAAACAGATACAGATGTAAAATAACAAAAATCTAATAACTTCACCACTTTTCCAACAAAATGATTACAGAAAAATATGAATACTCACTTGTTTTCCTTTTCATGTTCTTGACAAACATCAACTATCTGTAAAATATTATGGTTTGCAGAAAGCTGTAGTGATCCAATGTTAATTTGCAAGTAATCTCCCAAGTAGTCTTCAGCTAATTTTTTCACTTCTTTGGGCCATGTTGCAGACCACATTAGAGTTTGTCTATCTGGGCGAATCTGTTCTATGATCTTCCTAATCTGAGGTTCAAAACCCATGTCTAACATGCGGTCAGCTTCATCGAGGACCAAATAAGTGCAGCGTTGTAGGTTTGTGGTGCCTTTTTCTAAGAAATCTATTAGTCTTCCAGGCGTAGCAATGACGATTTCCACACCTCTTTCCAGATCACGAGCTTGCTCTCTCTTTGGTGCTCCACCAAATACACATGTATTACGGACATAAGATGTGTTACCAAATTCAGTAGTTACTTGTTGGATTTGCTGAGCTAACTCCCTAGTTGGAGCCAGGACTAAAGCAATAGGGCCATCCCCACGTCTTATTTTTGGCTGATTGTTGATATGTACTATAGCAGGTAGTATGTATGCCAGTGTTTTACCAGATCCAGTTTGAGCAATGCCAACCAAATTCTTTCCTGACATAGCAATTGGCCAGCCTTGTGCTTGAATTGATGTAGGCTCTTTGTAACCCATATTGCTTATACTCTGCATGACATAATCAGGAAAGTTGGCTTCTTCGAAATGTTGTATTGGATTGGGAACATCTAATCCACTAACAGTAATTTCATGTTCATTTCTGTATTCTTCTACTTCATAAGCAGATCTATTTAATACTTCTTTATGTGGATTGTAAAAATCTTTATTGAATGGTTGTAGAGTTAAGGTGTCCCAGTTAGGTCTCCGCATGTTCTGACCACCCGAAAAGTCTTTCTTACCTCCAAAGCCACCAAAACGACCACCACCACCACCACTACCTCCCCCAAATTTCGAGCCCCCAAACTTTGAAGAGCCATTATTAGCAAATTTATTTCCTCCAAATTTGGTACCACCATTTCCACCACGGCTATTGCCCCAATTTCCAGACCTGACAAAAATATATGATAATTAATGCTTAGAATCAAAGCAATGATTTTGACATACAATCTTTTATTTTAGATATATAGGTACTTAGCATAACTATAACAATTTTAGTATGTCATTTTATCTATCATGAATTTATTAATAATTACTAATATTATAAATGTGAAAGTCAGTTTGTTACCTTATAACTTTAATAGCTTAAAAAATCACTATGAAATTTGGTATAAAAATACTATATTGAATAGAAAAGGAGGCGAGAGAAAGGCTACTTTTTATTACGGTCAGTAAACACATCCCAGTGAGCAAAGTCATGGGTAAAAACTAATAAAAAAACAAAGCAGATAAAAAGTAATAAATATATATAGTATATATAGTGTACATATAAATATATAATTTTTATGTACACATATTATTTACTACATTATACAATTATTATATATAATAATTGTATAATGTAGTAAATAATTGAAAATTAAATATATAATTTACCTATATAAAATAACCTATCTGTAGGTAAATTCAATAGTTAATATTTGCATGCCATTTGATGTGGCAAAACATAATGGACATCTTATAAACTTCACAAATGCAAAATATTATCTACAATGTTTCTAGCAAATGAATTTCATTTCATTATTTATTACCTAACATGTACTCAATTATTGAGTACCTACATAGGTAGTTTTTGATCAACCCTCTTATTAATAAAAACGCCAAACGTCTCATAAAGCTAATTTACCTATTGAACTGTTTTCTCTTTTGCTAAATTTAAAACAGTAATAGTTAAAATAAGTTTGTAGGTTTTAGTTTTTATGAATAAGAGAGTAGGTCGTTTACTGTGTTGGTCAATTTGTTGGTAGTATTAATTTTTGTAAGTCATGTTTACGCACACACGGGGATGGATAAATTTTAAAAATTAATAAGATACAGAAACGCCATTTTGTCGACATGACAAAAAACAGTCTACCTAACAAATTCAAACCACAGTAAGAATTAACTAACCAAGTTACCCCATGGACAAATAGATATGTATATGCAAATTTATCACTTCTAATATATTAAGTACACGTCGATAAATCATGATAAAAATTACCTCTTATGAATTTCAACAAGGCATGCGCGGTTCACATTAAATAATCAATAAGTAAAAAACTTATAGGTTATATGAAAAGAACAGATCAGAATCCAATTGTGAAGTGATAGAAATTACGAAAATAAAATCAGTGTTAAAATTGAACCACGTATCAATAATCACTAGGCGCCTATTAAGAACACCTATTGATTATTTAAGGAAATATATCTTAAAATACATTGAAAATGTAATAAAAACCATACTCACATTATAAATATCCAAAATTAATTGACGATGATCTAAATAATAAAAGATTTATTTTCAATCTAATTGAAGCAGGGTCAATCTGAAACAATATGGAGGATGTTGTAGTTACAAATAATCGTATTCACTTGCAAAGCACTTTGACCAAAAATTAAACTGGGATTAAAAATTTATAGATTGCGTTTATATAAATTATATATTCCATTCATAAAAACCCAAATATCCAAAAATGAAGTAGAAAATTAAAGATATTAAGAAAACGTCTCAACTCGACCACTGCTTTTACAGAAAGAAAGGAAAACGGTGCGAACTTGTCGCAATACAATAAAAAAAAAAGTTCTCTATAGTCTATGCTTAAGTATCTAGACTCAAATATCGATCTATTGTACTTTAACATTATTGTCTATAGCTAATTTTTATCTCCTTTTATTCATATTGCTTAGAAAAGGAGAGCTTGCTTAGAGTTCCTTTAAGCAGAAATAAAAATATGTCCTGCTAGTATGCATGAGTATATTTAACAGTTATCGAAATTAATGTTACATTTCATTCATCTTCATTTGGAACATTTATTATTTTTATTTACAATCATATCACAATTACAAATCACAAAATATGATTTTCACTAGTAATGAATTAATACTGTGCTTTTATATTATATACATAGAGTGTCTCCATACAAATGCTTGGGGTAAAGCGAGTTAACTTTTTCATACAATTTTGCGTGATAAATAGTTATGAGTGATTCCTTTGTAACTTCTATATTTACATTGTCTTATAATTTCTGCATCATTTTAATACGTAAACACTCATTTTATTTATTAAATTATATGGTAAATTACGTTGTATGCGTAAATTTATAGAACACTGACAATAAACGAGTCAGCTAATTTAACAATTAGCTGACAAAAAGTTGACCTGTTTTTGAAACTTAATGTTCTATCTATATAATCTACTAGCGGCCCGTCCCGTCTTCGCACGGGTGGACATTTATAAACTTAGACAAAAAAAAAATGCAATTATAATCGTCAAAAATTTTTCAATATTTGTTACGACCACTAAACCGCGCGACTACCATTTCATAGATGTGCCCGCTCCACTTGCCTCTCTCTCGCACTGCTACAATGCCTGGCTAGCAAGCCATGTGGCCGACACGGCGCGGGCGGCAGGCGGCGTCATTTCTATATCTGACTTTTTAATATAATATCTTTCGAATGGAATATACCTATAATTTGAAAAATTCAAAAGTAATTTACATAAATTGAAATAGTCTTGAAAACAATATGATTTATTTAGATAAGGATTTAAACAGAAGTATGAATAACATGGTGTAATTTTGGTCGATATTTCTATCAAATTTTAATAATGTAAAAAGTGGTTACTTTGACATAACGATAATAGTTGGACATATAGTATCGCGAAGTTTTTTGTAGTTATTGATATCAATATTGTAGAACATACTTTTGTTCTATCGCCAATAATTTCTGCAGCCCACGCAACGAAAGATATTTTATAGCATTTTTTACACCTTGAGTTACGTTACTAAAGTTTTAGTAACGATCCGTACTCTTTTCTAGCAATAAATATAGCCTATGTTACTCAGAATAAATGTAGCTTTCTAATGGTGAAAGCATTTTAGAAATCGGCAAAGTAGTTTTTGATATTATTCATTACAAACATACATACACACAAAAATACAAATCTTTCCTCTTTATAATATTAGTATAGAAGACTGCGCTATGGAAAAGTGAGCAAATAGACACTTTACAAGTAAGACAGTTTTGTAAAATGTCTATTCTCTCGTTTTTTATGGCTTAGTCGAATAAATCCGTACGCTGCGACGATCTATGATTTCATTTAGAGTAATTTGTAATAATTTAAATAAAGCAACGTAACTAATGTGACGTTTGATTTTTTAAGAACAAATGATTTTGCGGGTCATATATTTGCATATTTTACATGTGACATCACTACATAGTATAAAACAAAGTCGCTGCCGCTGTCTGTTCGTCCCTATGTATGCTTAAATCTTTAAAACTACGCAACGGATTTTGAAGCGGTTTTTTTTTTAATAGATAGAGTGATTCAAGAGGAAGGTTTATATGTATAATACATGCATAATATTGTAGAGAAACACTGAAAAATTTAGAGGTTTCTAAGTTTGAGGTGATGTCGTAAATATTTTTTTTGTGTTTACAAGTGTACAACTTACAAGTGTTGTAAGTTCGATACCGCTTGTACGCTCAGGCTTACAAGCCCAGGATTACAAGCTATGTCCAATTTATATATATAATGTGGGCAGTTCTCATAGCTCGTTGCACTGAGTTGAAGGGTTCAAATTGGTATCTACTCCCGCCCATAAGTGACAGCAATACTTCATGAGGGGCCGGATTTGCGATCAATGTACAAATATCTGTAAGTTCAATAAAAAACATTCCTAGGTACCAATTTAATACGATGGAAGCGTTATCGTGTTATAACTTATATGAATTTTTTCTTTGTTTTAGTCTGTAGTAAAAATGAAAAAGGTCCGAAAATAAGAACAAGGAATTACATATATAGAAGGAGTGATAAAATTGTCAATTCATAGCAGACTAATGTTTAGAAAATGTTATACGGTCGTATAACCCTACCAAATTCAGATACAACCTGCTTGCATACTTTTTACATAAACTGTGTCGAATTTATAATCTAGTAATGTAAAATTTGTTATTGACAAATACAACATATCAAATATTTTCTATATATATTATATTATATTTTATACAGTAGCCTGCTATGAATTGAGAAAAATAGCTGTTGATGGTGTATCTTTCGTCCTCTTTTTACTAATTATATTTGCGTAAGAAGTAAGGAGGCATCCATATTATTTATAGTTTTTATTTTATCATTCTTTCTATATAATTCCTATAAAGCATATACTACACAAGATGGGTCTATCTTCGGACACAGTGTGCAGACTGTGCGGGGAGAAATCGGAATCCATGGAACACTTGATGTGCAACTGCGATTCGTTGACAAATATGCGTATGAGTCTACTGGGAACGGCTTATCCAGAGCCAAGGGACTACAGATATCTTAAACCGCGGGATATCGTTAAGATAACACAAAGGATCTATGAAATGTTGGTATAAGGCAGGGGGAAACACAAAAGATCCCAATGGGTCGACGTGCAACAGCTTAGCTGACCCCATATGCAAATATAAGATAAGATATAACTTGGTGGTTTTTTAACTTGCGATGCAAAAGAGGGGTATTAGAAGTTTGACGTATCTGTATGTTTATCTGTGGTTTTGTCTGGGTGTAACCCTAGTTCTAAATGAATGAATTAATTACGATGAGGTTTTTGTTTGTGTGTTGGGACGTAGCTACAATTTATGAAGATTCGTTCAGAAGTTTCGGGATTATTTAATTTTATTTGAGTTATTGTAGAATTCATTATTCCATAGACTTAGTTTAACGTAACTTCCATTCTCACCCATCAAAAAACAGCCTACTTACATATCTACCTACCTATCTCTCCTAACTTAATCTAACATAGAAAATCTTGCCCCTAAGAACAAGGATGTCCTGCACCATTCGTGCAATTATCTGTCAAGTTATAGACATGTGTCAAATCAATTTCATTCTGGTTCATTCGCTCATTCATTCACTTCATTTGTTTCTGCATTGAAACGCGTTCTGTATATTGTTTTGATAAAGCTATCTAAAATAAAAAAATATTTCATTAATTTTTTAAATTTCTATAAGTTTAAGTGATGGCTATGCAACCACACAGTAAGAAAAGAGTCTGCTACTATTATGATAGTAAGTATTGTAAAGTTAAAACCCTCCGCCGACGTTGTCTCGTTGTAACACATGCTATTTTTCTTAAAATATATTCATAATATTAATATTAACAGTGTAGAAATATAATTAACAAAATATATATTCCTTTTGAAGTGCTACTATTTGAACTTTCATACTTTTATTCTTCTTAGTATTTTTACTGTATTATGTATTGGATCATTTGTTAGCGTCTGTACTACATTCAGCGCTGCTATTGGTCTGTATTAATTCTGTCGCGTCTGATATGTGTGGTACAGACGGGGATGTGTCAAGCCACAAAATGGACTGAATAACATCATAGCATGTTGTTAGAATTGATATTTTCAAACTTTTTCAGAAATAACATCCCATAATGTTGTTTACTATAATATATTTGGTTATATGTGATGATTATTTAATTACTTATTCAAAGGGATATTATCAAGCGAAATTTTAATTATATTTTATGGTAATAACTGCAACCTTCAGTAGATATAGGTAACTGAAAAGTCTTAATTTGACAACAATTTATCTCCGATTGTTTAATAATAATTAAACATCTGAAGTACTGTTACATTCTGTAAAATAAAGTTCAGTAAATTGCATGTGCTCAAAATACAAAAACAAGTTTTATGAAAAAAATAAAACAATCGTAACAAAATGGTTGAAGTATAACTTTAGGTGTACTATGGGCAGAGGAATCAGAAAAACTTTGATGACTTTTTAGATGTCGCAATAATCTCAAGTTTATGGGTTCATCGGATAATGTACCGGAAGAGATTAACTTTGATTGTGTCATATTTGACTCACTTTGAATTATAGCACCCCAAACATTTCTAGGATTTTGGAAATGTCAAACATATTTTCAATATCATGGTACCCCACTTTTTTTTTAATGGATTATAATGGAATGGTAACCCGACCCGCGCTATCGGCATACACCGGCGGGGCACCACTGAAGGATGATAGATGAGGATAAAGTAGGTCAGTTAGCCCATTGTGACAAATTCAACAAGAATTATTCATGATGGTTTCCAGGGGGAACCATGTGGAGGTCGACCTAATACGGCATATTGCTAGCAATGGGGCTGTCAAACTCCATTACTAACAATCCCTTTCCCTCGAATGGTACCCCATTAATTTCTTAAGATGATAATGCACGATAAGTGATAAGTGCACCAGTAAGAAATGATTAATGGAAACCATCATTGTTAATAATCTTCATCATATGATTTTTTTTCCTAAGTAGTGACTTCCAAGATATATAAAATTTGCAGTACTATTGTAGCCATAAGCGCATAGGATTTAGAATAATTTTGACAATTTATGAGGTCACAATAATTCTACTTTTATGGGTCCATCTGATAAGGTGCAACTGTGCGCATAGTGTATTTTTTCACCAGTCATTTCGTTTTCAAGTTATAGCATCTCAAACATTTTTAGGACTTATAAATTGAAGATTTTAATGAGCAAACTAATAAGCCTAGTTAACCTTTTTAGTGCTGGGAGCCGATATATCGGCTCCTGCTACACTTGCGAAAAGTACCAGATCCTATATATCGGCTCATGTCTGTTAGCGGTTTACTACTTACATTGTGGGAGAACTCTATCTCAAAATAAATTTGTAATGTGTTATAAATGATCTAATTTCATTACAAGATAATTAAAAAAATATATATTTTGTTTGATGTTTTTCCTATCCCTTGTAAAACTGTGAAATTCAGCCGGTTTTTTTCGCATAGGTACCTCTATTTCGCACGGCACTAAAAGGGTTAATATTGTAATTAAGAAAGTAAAAAAAAGGTGGCATAAAGGAATTTAATGGATGAATTTGTAATGGCAATAAATTTGATTTGTGGTTAATTTGCTAGGAATTAATTATAATAGTATCTAAAGGATACTATATGTAGATCATCCTGATAAGGTATATTGCTAACAACTATTCTTTGTTACTACTAATCCCCACCCTATAACAATTATATAGTATAATGATTAGTCAATGATTTCTAATATATTCCTACTATAACAAGTGTCTACTTATTTACATAAGTGGTAAGAACAGTTTAGATATTAGGGGAAGTATGTAAAACTGCTACTATTATCTAATAACAATTAAGTAAATAAAAATCATAAAAAAGGTGTGATTCTATTTACTCATGCACTTAATCATATATTTACTACTTCAGTATCTGTTTACACACACTAAAAAAGTTTGCAGTGAACTGAATGTCTTTAGAACTTTAATTGTGTAAATTTGACATTGATAGGCATTTTTACTTATAATATGCTACTTTATTAGAATACAAAAATTGTCTTTTGTTTATGAAACTTGTTATATAAAGCAATAAAAACATTGAAATTGTTAATGGCATGTTAAACTATTATTCTAATAAGATATAAAATTCATGAACCAGGCAAATCACCACAAAAAAAATTCATCCTGCCGTACTAATTCAACTACTGAAAGTATCATATCCATATAATGAGCTCAAAAGTTTTTCAACTCATATTGGTGAAACACCCTTATGATGATTTTGATAATGCTTTTTATTTCATTCTACATATGTACATTTATTATTTAATTTCTCTTTATGTATCGAAATACATACATATTATTTTTTATAGGTGATATTGGGAATTACTATTATGGACAAGGTCATCCCATGAAACCTCATCGCATACGCATGACACATAATTTACTTCTAAATTACGGCTTGTACAGAAAAATGGAAATTTATGTAAGTTTTATTATATATTAGTAGATATTAATTACTTTATTCATATTCAGATTAAGTCAATGAAAACTAATTAAATCCAGATGAAAAAGGGAAAATACTTTATAATTGCAATTTTTATAATATTTTTTTAAATCTCATATCAAATTTTTTAAAATCTCAAATCTAGCGAGACCCTTTGAATAAAAAATTATCTAAAATTTCAAAGTCGTATGATACACAAAATATAAAAATATATAGTCGCGATGTTTAGATCATTGTATCAAATGAAATGTATGCATCTAAATATCATCTAAATATTGAAATTGAAACTGAAAATTAATGTTTTGTAGAAAACTTCAAGACTATGCTTATTTCAAACATCATCTTATTATAGTTATCAATATGCCTAAATTACTTTTTGCAATTATGATTATAAAATAACAACAAGTCCTTCTTGTTAATGTTTTATCATATTTCAACAGAGACCACATAAGGCGACAGCTGATGAGATGACAAAGTTTCATTCGGATGACTACATTCGCTTCCTGCGCTCCATCAGACCGGATAATATGTCTGAATATAACAAACAAATGCAGAGATGTAAGTTATTGTGCTAAGTTAGATCAATTAACCAATTACAATATCTTACTAATGTAATAAAATAACTATTAACTATTTGATGATTGTACATGGAAGATATATTGAGGAAAAAATAATAGAAAGTATAGTAGAAGCCAATACAATAATTTGTAGACATCTTGTCCATTTGTTTTAGAATCGTGCAGAAACTACTGCACCCAATTGTTATGAGATTTTCACAGTTGTTTTCCTGAAGGTCTAACTGCAAATCAAATGTATATTTTATCATGATATGTAATATAAAAAATGTCTATTTTCTTTGGTTTTCCTACTTCTGAAATGTACACACATGAAGTAGCTGGCAAAAAAGCTAGTTCAAAATAGTACCTTCTTGTACATTGATCTGTCATAGAGTAACTGGGTAAAATAAATATAAACAGACTTCTGATAAAAAATAAAACTAGGTTAATTTTTATAGGCCAAATATATTTTAATGTACTTGAATTGATATCTTCATGAATCAATAATATTTTCTCATCATGATTATCAACATCATATCAGCCCTTAACCGATTACTGCTGAACATAAGCCTCCCCTTGGAGGGTTTTGCCAATAATTGCCACACTTGGCAGGCGGATTGGCAACCACAGACTTTAGAGATATTTTAAGAGGGATGCTGCTGTCTATATTTAGCTGTCCCTTAATCTACTTTTACAACACCCATGGAGAGAAAGGGGTTTTCTCTCATATGCAGAAATTAAAACAAATCTCTTTGTATATTTACAGTCAATGTTGGTGAAGACTGTCCAGTGTTTGACGGCTTGTATGAGTTTTGTCAATTGTCTGCTGGAGGTTCTGTTGCCGCTGCTGTTAAATTAAATAAACAGGTACTAATCTTCTCATTAGTTTCTTGTTCTTACCTCTGTATATTTTTCATACATCTTAAAATTGTAAACAAGACTAAGCTCATAATGAAAAATGCCCATCAAGACAAAATTTCTGAAATTAAGTATTGTACTATCAATAATTTCACTACCATATCTCAATATTCAAGCTGTAGTAAAAAAAAAAATAAGTGATAAATTTGTATTGTTTTCATTTCTCAATATTTCTTGTTTACTAGATTTTAATGTTCTTAAGGTATGTGACTAATGCAAAACAAATTATTAGGCATCAGAAATCTGCATCAACTGGGGTGGTGGCCTTCACCACGCAAAGAAGTCGGAAGCATCAGGTTTCTGCTATGTAAATGATATTGTACTTGGCATATTGGAGTTACTGAAGTATCATCAAAGAGTACTGTATATTGATATTGACGTACACCACGGTGATGGGGTCGAGGAAGCTTTTTACACCACAGACAGAGTAATGACTGTCTCCTTCCATAAGTATGGGGAATACTTCCCTGGAACAGGTCAGTATTTTTAATACACATATACATTACACTATAGAGAGATACTAATACATTTTGTAGCTGAAAATTTAAGTAAACCTTCCCCTAAATTTTATTGGTTTGAAATGTTATTTATTTTCTATTTCATTCGCATTAATGAATTTAACATTATGATATACTAAATGTATCTTATGATTTATATAAAGTGGCTCTTAGGATTTTTCAAAATTGTATCAAAAATATTATTTATTTCCTAAATAAATAGGAAAAGAAAGTCATAAATTAAATGTTATACAACTATAATAACAATAATTCGATTACTTTTTCCAGGGAATATCCTTGAAAAAAAAAACAATATAAATATTGACACTATATTAAAAAAAATAACAGTAAATAATGTCAGTTGTGTTGTTTATTTACTCTCTATTTTACATTCAGGTGATCTCCGGGATATCGGTGCCGGCAAGGGCAAATACTATGCTGTGAATATTCCCTTGCGTGACGGTATGGACGATGAATCATACGAGTCAATTTTCGTACCCATCATATCCAAAGTCATGGAGACCTTCCAGCCGAGTGCGGTGGTACTTCAATGTGGAGCTGATTCACTTACTGGTAAGATATTTGTAATTATTATTTTGTTATTTATTGACAAATCTTTCTAGTATATCAATGTGAGTGTTTGTAAAAATGTTTTATTGTTATTAATTTAAACAGTTGAATAGATTTGAAAGAAACTTAATGCACATATTAATTATATCCTATATTAACTAGGCGAGGTTAACATTATATTTTTTTATTTAAGAATAATAATTCTTGGTTGTTCCAAAAGCTTTATTTTTTCTATTATTAAAAATTCTGTCGACTTTAATTTTTTTAATTTGCTGTTATTTTTGTCCAGGTGATAGATTGGGCTGTTTTAATTTAACAGTCAGAGGTCACGGCCGATGTGTGGAGTTAGTAAAGCGATTTGGCCTACCTTTCCTTCTTGTGGGAGGTGGAGGGTGAGTAGAACACTCTTGTTATTGTTACAAGTAAAGAAAGTAAACATAAAATATAATAACCATTTTTTTTTTTTACTAAAATCTAGCATAAATTTTCTAAATCATTTTTTCTAAACTCCAAGTGGTCTTAAATTCAAATTTAGGCAACTAATAAATCAACTTAAAGTTCTAGCAAATACAAGTACTCTAGTGATTATCACTAAATTTTGACATATTCATCATCATTTTAGCCATACTCCGTCCAATGCTGAACATAGATCTCTCCCATAGACTGCCATAAAGAACTATCCTAAGCCACCTGCATCCACTGACTCCCTGCATCTTAGCACATTAAATTTGATTTAGTGTATGCAAAGAGGCCAACTCGACTTTTGTTTTTTTTTGTTGATAAAATTTATTCAACTACCACATGCAATTTTATCTATAATAATAATACAAAATAATATACATTTATATAATAATAATAATAAATGCTCCATAGTTAGGAAATTTTTAAATAGTCCAATTGCTTATATTCCCATTAAAAAAATAAAATATGAGAACAAGTGACTTGGTGAACAAACCCATCCTTGTCTCGACAAAATCAGCTATAGTTGAGAAATAATACATATACATAATAATAATATATATAATAATATAAAAGTATAGTTTGTTTCGACAGATGATAAATAGATAATGTGAATAAATAAGTAAATAATTGACCTGACCATAAGTCCACTAATATCCTAAACTAATACACTAAACAGTAGTAGTAAATAGCAATAAAATAGTAAAAAGCATAACTGTAGTAACAAATAGATTAATTTATTCAATCTTTCAATTTGTTACTGATATCATTTACAATGTTTCTGTGATAACAAAAATTGGTTTGCCTTTCATATAATTCTATTGAAATAGATTATAGTATGATGGGTCAATAGTGATGAAAGTTAAAAATAGATAATCTCTTGTTCTTTCCAATTGTATGACAAAAAAAGCAAAGAAATACGAGAATTTGCTTTTCATGTGTTTAGATATACGATCCGCAACGTGTCACGGTGCTGGACATACGAAACATCAGTAGCACTAGGCGTTGAGATCGCTAACGAGCTGCCCTACAATGACTACTTTGAATACTTCGGTCCGGACTTCAAACTGCACATATCACCCAGCAATATGTCCAATCAGAACACTCCAGAGTACTTGGAGAAGATTAAAAATAGGCTCTTTGAGAATCTACGGATGTTGCCGCATGCACCTGGTGTACAGGTACGAATGATTTATATTTGTCTTCACGCCAAATCCTTACGCAGTAGGCAAAAATTAATAATTGATTTATTTTCTCTTCATAATTCATCACAGTGAAATACAATGAGACATGCTTATATTAAAGTAATCAAATTATAAATATAATTGTGAGATGATGGAATGCTAAAGGCCTATATACTTAATTACATCTCTTAAGTAATTTTTAATCACCATTTATAGACTATTTTGAGCATTTGGCGTTCCATTGTTTCTGCCTACCCTAATGGGAGACAGGCGTGACAGATATGTATATATATGATGCATAGACTATCTAATATATTTTTTTAATTAAAATAATATTATATATAATATGAAAATTATTTAAAGAATAGAACCTTAAAGATTTTAAAAATTTTATTAGGTACAAGCCATTCCAGAAGATGCGGTAAATGATGAGTCAGAAGACGAAGATAAGATTGACAAAGATGAAAGGCTGCCACAAAGTGAAAAGGTATATATTTTTAAGTTACTTTTATGGAATATTTATATTGTAAAAAGTCCTTAACCTATTAAACAGTGCTTGTCAAAACCTTGAAACGCTTGCAATCGTATACAACTACAGTCCACTGTTCCCTTTTAAATAACAATTATACCAGTTCATATTTTACGATACACACACAGACATTAACCATCATTAACTATCAACTGCTCTGCTACCTAGAGGATCGTTAGCTGATCTCTGACCGTCAGTACGGCTTTCGACGGGGCCGCTCGGCTGGTAATCTTTTGGTTTATTTAACACACCGATGGGCGGTGGCAATCGAGAATACAAGAGGCCTTAGCTGTTAGTCTGGATATTGCGAAAGCCTTTAATCGGGTGTGTTCGTTTAGGTTGCCTGCGAGATTATGCAGTTAGGTCGCCAGCTTTCTTAAGGAACGTAGCATTAAGGTCTTAGTCGACGGAGCATGCTCTGACTTAAAACCTGTGAATGCTGGTGTCCCGCAAGGCTGTGTACTATATCCAAAACTGTTTCTTCTGCATATCAGTGATATGTTACAGATCAGTAATATTCATTGCTATGTGGACAACAGTACAGGAGATGCATTATACACCGGTCATGCAAAGATCTCGCGGGCACATACCGATGAGCTCCGGAACAGACTTGTGTCTGAAATCGAAACTTCACTCGATCAAGTTTCGATCTGCGGCGAATGCAATCTTGTTCACTTTAACCCTAAGAAGACAAGTCTACGCGTTCACCGCAAAAAATACCGTTTGTCATATCTTCTCACATCCAGGGCACTTCCCTCGATAATAATTCTAGTCTGGGGATTCTTGGCCTTGATATATCTAGCGACGTCCAGTTTTGCGGTCATTTGGAGGAAAAAGCTAAGTTTGCGTAGAGATGTTGCATCTCTGTGCATCTTCTATTGAATTTATCATGGGGAGTGCTCTGAGGAATTGTTTGGATCGATACCTGCTGCTGATTTTCACCATCTTACAACCCGCCATAAACTAAAATTTCATCCCAACTATCTGGACGAGTAGCGGTCCACCACCGTGCGTTTTTCAAGGCATTTTCATCCACGCACAAACACTCTTTGGAATCAACTTCCAGTAGCAGTTTTTCCGAACCGATACGACAACTTTCAAAAGCATATTCCTTTTTAAAAGGCCGGCAACACACCTGCAATGCCGTTAGTGTTGTGGGTGATCATGGGCGGTGGTAGTCACTTACCACCAGGCGAGCCACATGCTTGTTTGCCCCCTGTGTTGTAGAAAAAAAAACAGGCGGAACGCTCAACTTATGAACTGTTCTTATATGCTCGCTTTTTATCAAAATTTTCGCAGTTTGTACGAACTTAAAAAAGTAATATTAAATTACGCATATACTCTTAGAGCTGCAATTTTACACACATCTCTCATAACTTGTCTCATCACTGAATGTACGTCGCTTCTAAACTCATTTACGTCGAACAATATTCAGATGGCATTTTGACAGAAATATACATAAAGCATTATCCGCAAATTTATGTCCATAACCAGTATGTTGAGTATGATATTGTTTAATTAGGATAAACGCATTACGGGTGACGGCGAGTTGTCAGACTCTGAAGACGAGGGTGAAGGCGGGCGGCGCGACAACCGCTCGTACCGCGCGCCGCAACGTAAGAGGCCCCGTCTCGACAAGGACGGCTCGCAGATCAAAGACGAAATTAAAAGTAAGTATTCATATTTAAAAATAATATGTAAGTATAATGTGAATTAGATACATTGATCTCACAATTGTCGCCTAAGCATAAGTCCACATTAGTTCCAAGCTTTCCTTTTTCGGTTTTTACCCTTCATTGGTATATTTAAGATTATTTTCCAGGAGAGAAGACTAGACCCCTTAAAAGAGGTGTATATGTATTATTAGGTATACACTCTTTGCCCATAGCTGAAAGCCTTACTTCTGATCCTGATCCAGTATAACACCCTAATGGCTAAACACGCCTATGTTGCCATCACGAGAATTATATACTTCTGAATATCTTTTATCAGGCCAGTTCTATGATTTTTTTCCAATTTTGAAACGAGTATGTATTTGAAGAAGTTTTAAAACCGTCACAGATAAATTCAAATATTGTCATACTTTTCTGGATAATAATGTCAAAATCTGAATTGTATTGATTGATTCGTTATCATATCAGTGGTTATTTTCCACTGCTAAATATAATTTGAAGGGTTGAACTGTTAATTTTGCAATTTTTTTCTGATAGAAATTAAAGAAACTATAGTTCCCAATTTAATTTTATACTTCTACATATGTTTGAGTAGTTTACTCTGCAATTTTATAACTTTTTTTTTTATTTTACTCTTATATATTATAGCTGAAGATATAAAAGATGACGTGAAGAATGTGAGCAGTGTAGAGGAACCAAAAAAGGAAGTGCCACCCAATCCCTGATGCGGGCGTTAAGTGATCAGTTTGATACTAATCCCTGATTGCACAAGTGTCTAGACTATAATATGGCGATACAGTCATATTTTGACCATGTGCTATATATGTGAACTCATGAAGTTTGATCCAGGTTGAACTGTATGATGTTAACAATATTTTCCTATGTCTTAGTTAGTATGTAGTATAATAAATATAAATGATAAGATGCACTAAATGGCCTCTGTATTGTAATTCTTACATAGCATATTGTGAACACAATATGTTCGTAAATTGTTTAAAAAAAATATAAGTATTAAATTTTTCCGTAAATGTTTACTTTTATGTGAGTATATAATTATTTCAAAGGGTAAACTATTTAGATCATTTTCAAAACCTTAAAATTTCGCTTTGTTGTATTCTTACACTTTTTTTTTTATATATTTTTTCGGCAAAATCAACGCTAAAAATAATGTCTTGAATCAATGATATATGTCTCCATAAATTCATGTATTGAATCCAAATATATAAAGCATGCAACCAATAAGGAGCAGGTGTTGCAATTTACAAAATTAGGAGTAAATTTTATATATATGTTGAAACTACAACTGTATATATGAAGGCTATGTAAATGCTCTTGTAATAAAACTTCTGTTGTTGAAATCATTCAAATTGGAATTGTCTGAAGATTGATATATTCAGTCAGGATCGATGTAGGTTATATTAAATAATTAAAAGATTGTAATAACAACTCTTGATAAGTAAATCTCTGCATATTTATAAGAGTTTTGACATTTGATATACTTACAGTTTCGAATAAATAAATCTAGTGATAAGTTGTTTTGACTATAACTAGGATCTCGAATTTATTATCAAAATGAGATTGGTACTTGTATGGTTTTTGTCACTAGACATTGCCACTGTTAAGTGCTTCAATACACTCATAAGAAATTAACTAAAATCCATTTTATAAACAAGGTATATACCAAATATGTAATGCACAAGTTAAAAAGGCGTATTATTTCTATTAATTGTTTAGATCTATACAATTTTTGTGTTAGAATTAGGTCAGTACCGATAGATATTGTATAAAATAAATAATACATTAAAAACTGTAAAGGAAATGCGGACGGCAAAACATTTAAAAATTCAATTCCTATTGCCATGTGTCCGAACTATGGGCATAAGTTAGTGAACACACAGCATGTTTGCGTGTTTGATATTTTCAATTCTAAGTCTTGCATTCTGACTAAACTGAAATATGTTTTAATTTTCCATTTTGTAAAGTTTATACTTCTTACGGAATCTTTATTTCAAAAGCATTGAAATAGTTAAATAATATTTTTAACAATAAAATATTTTTATTGTTAAAAATATTATTCTAATTATATAATTATAATTAATAGAGTGGTTTTAAATAAATAGGAAATAAGCAATAAAATGTAAGAGAGTAATACATATAAATGAATTAACACATATATTTTGACGTACGTAAAACAGCATGTTAAATTTAATAGTATTAGTTTATCATTAGCCAAGAAGAAAACAGGATTATGTTTGCATACTAAAAGTCATCCGCATTTCTTCTTAAATATAGAAATGATATGAATATAAAAGAATTTCAAATAGCCTTCCCATTGTGTATGTACCTCTATAAGGTGTAATAAATGTTGTCAACTTAAAATTAATCACAATATCATCAAATATAATTATCTAATTATAGTTCATTTAATTTAAAATTCTCAATGTAAGTAGATAGGTATAATTTACGATTAGCGGATGATTGTAACTTCTAATCTGGGCTCTAAATCAAATCTATTTTCCTTTAAGACCTACACATTTATAATAAATTATTTTCTTAAATGTAATGGTAAGGCATAACCAGAGATTCTAGTAACATTTCCTTCAATGAACTTGGAAATATATAGAGATTACGATCTATTAGTAAAAAAGCTGTGTATGTAGCAATATAATCGAGAAAAAGAATATGAATGATATGAATATCACTTAGACTGAAGTTTCATAGTTTAAAATACATACATATAATTTTCTTACAGGAATTGTGTAGAATTTATATATATACTATAAAATTGTAAGTAATTCTTAGTTATTAATATTAGAATTATCATAAAACCACCAAATTTTGAGCTTCTTTTTATGTATCATATTTTAATATCCGAATCTCGAGGAATATAACGATCTATGAATACAAGGAGCATATCTAGAGCTACGCAGTATAGTAGTACAATATAGTAATTAGGTAGTTTTTGTTTGTGATATTATTGAACAGACGATTTTCATATGTTTATTCAATTCCACTGACGACTGATTGACATTTAAAACACTTGTGAGTATTGATATAACCTATTTGCGAAGTATTCAATTTTCTGCACTGAATGTGAATATACTTGAATATCCTTTCATTATGTAGTTGTAGCTCCGTATGACACCAAATTTCATGTGAAGAAACTTCCATTTCTCCAACAGTATGTGGTGGTCATCCAACAATGTGATTAAATTAAACAGGTCACTCTTGTAATTGTGCCGATTTTATATATGTATACGGATAAAACTGTATGTAGAAATTAAAAGAAAAATAGTTGCTATTTATTAAACGTGGGAGACAAATATTGAAAAAAAAAAATCCATCTTATTAATTTACCGTTAGGAGGAATATTTGTAATCCATCACGTATGAGACTCGTGAGCAATTGTTCAGATGTTAAATGACTTTCTTTCGCGGCACGTTTTTTTCCTTTAATTTTCTGCCAGCCAAGACCACATTAAGCAAAGATAATTTCGTAACAATAATAAGAGTATATGCACCTTACGTAGTCTTTTAAGGATACATTTTTTAGAGACCCTAAAAGTTTTTCTACATTCACGAACAACACAATATACAAATACGAAGGTAAGTTGCACGATGACCCCATGCTGAAAGAAAAGTTAAGGAAACACGATATTGGTTATGACTGTACAACAAGATAAATAGATTTCAATTAATATAATAGTAAATAACGTATGCTTGAGTAATACTTTTTAAACAAAGTAACACTGGTGACATTTATTTTGTTCTAAAACCGACTACTATCAACGTAGTGTATATTATTGTAATTGGTGGTATTAGTGTAAATATTTTTTTTACTGTTAATTAAATAAAATGTGTCGAAATAGATAGTTTTATTTGATTTTTTTTTCCTGATATTTAATTTTATTTCCTTATCGGAGAGTTAAGATACCTTGAAATCCTGTATTCTTGCTACTCTGGTTAAAATGGACCTTGCTTTGTCTATAAAGATTTGCCAACCAAGTATGGTGACAAGGTGCAGAATTGCTGATTGAAGTCAAAATTGTCATTGTTGGTGCCGAATGAAAACTGTCCTATAAGCGCAAAATTTTATCCTAATGGACAAATTATTGATAAGCAGAGCATAAATACTCTAAACTTTATGTAATTATAGTACTTCAACTCAAATAGCGGTTATGGGTCTTTTTTAATGGGTGATAATACGTATGGTAACTCCGCCGGCGCTATCGGTATATACTGGCGAGGCACCAGTGATAAATGGCAAATGGGGATGAAAGCAGGTCAGTTTGCCCATCCTGACAAATCCAACTAGAATTAACCACAATGCTTTCCAGGGGGAACCACGTGTAGATAGACCTGACAGTGTATTGTTAGTAATGGGCTCACTTTCAGGGCACTTCCCTCGATAATAAGTCGAGTCTGGGGATTCTTGGCGTCGATATATCTAGCGACGTCCAGTTTTGCGGTCATCTGGAGGAAAAAGCTAAGATAGCTTCCAAAAAGTTGGGGGTGCTCAATAGGGTGAGACGGTATTTCACGCCAGAAAACCGCCTGAAACTGTATAAAGCTCAAGTGAGGCCACACATGGAATACTGTTCTCACCTGTGGGCAGGAGCGCCACAGTACCAACTCCTTCCGTTAGACCGCATTCAAAGTCGGGCAGCTCGAATTGTTGACGATCGGCGTCTTACTGTCCGGCTCGACCCACTGGAACTGCGTAGAGATGTTGCATCTCTGTGCATTTTCTACCGAATTTATCATGGGGAGTGCTCTGAAGAATTGTTCGGATTGATACCTGCTGCAGATTTTCACCATCGTACAACCCGCCATAAACTAAAATTTCATCCCAACCATCTGGACAAGTGGCGGTCCTCCACCGTGCGTTTTTCAAGGCACTTTCTCCCACGCACAACCACTCTTTGGAATCAACTTCCAGCAGCAGTATTTCCGAACCGATACGACAACATAACCTTCAAGAAAAGAGCATATTCCTTTTTAAAAGGCCGGCAGCACACCTGCAATGCCGTAGGTGTTGTGGGTGACCATGGGCGGCGGTAGTCACTTACCATCAGGTGAGCCGCATGCTCGTTTGCCCCGTGTTGTAAAAAAAAAAAAAATGGACTCCACTACTAACAATCCCTTTCCCCCCAGTGGTTATGGGTTATGCTGTACATAGCTGAACTAAAAAATATAATAGTAATAAAAACAAAATGTATTTTGTTGTATATTGTAATTTTAAACAGATTATCACAACGCTCTAGACATAAATTGCACCATAAATAAAAGTACCGTAAAATCAGTCTGGTACCAAAGAGCTAGGTAAAACCAACTAAATTGGAATGAATATAAAAATACTATGAAATAATTATAGTTTAGCCATAATCTATACATCTACATACTTAATGATTTGTAAATTTACATTGTAAGAACTTCAATAAACGACAGATTAAAATATTCAATAGATAAATGAACAAAATTGTTTACAAGTAGTTATTCTAATGAACACTTAACATGTATGGAGCGTTCTCTACATTTATCAAATTATCATAAAATTGAACCTTACATCACTGCAATAGGTATACCTACTAATCTAAAATTTTCACCTCACGTTTTGAACATCATATTAAAAATCACACTTCATTATTAATTCATTACATCCGATCTCCAATAAATAATAAAGGAATGTATAAACTGGAAGATATTCGCCATGAAATAAATTTATTTTAGTTCTATGAAATTAATATAAACTAGTATTGGGTTGGTGCATATGAAATTGCCAATTGCGCAACAATGTAAAACAGTAGGCGCGTATTATCGAAAACACGTTTTAACTTTTCATTTTTGTTATTGTGAGCAAAGCGATCGACACTTGATTAATATTTTAAATACCATCAGAGGATTCAGACGTTAGACATGATTTTCTTACCATGGATTCGAAAAAAATTAGAGGTATCATGTTTTATGAGTTCAAAGGTGGATCAAGTGCACGTGAAACAGCAAAAAATAAACTAATGAGAGATTGGGGAAGAATACAATTTCTGTAAGAACAGTAAGAAATTGGTTCCGAAAATTTCATTGTGGAGTAGAGAAATTTGAAAATGAGCCTCGCGGTCGACCTTAGCGCGTATTGGATCTGCAAATTTTACAACAATTAGTAGAGTCCAATATGCATATGAGCACACGAGAACTTGCACAAGAACTCGCTATTCATCATACAACTGTTGTACGAGGCCTCAGACAAATAGATAAAGTAAGGAAGCTTGATCAGTGGGTACCACATGAACTTTCAGAGCAAAATAAACAAAATCGTTTTATCTTTACATCATCTTTTTACCATCAATAAATAACTGAACCTTTTCTTGACCGTATAGTGACATGCGATAAAAAGTGGGTGCTTTATGATAATACACGAAAATCTGCATCATGGTTAGACAAGAGTGCACGTCCATGTTTGGCCCCAAAACACGAACTTCACCTTCGAAAAGTTATGCAAAAAGGCACAAAAAGGCGTTATCCATTATAACTTTTTGCCACAAGGTGTGACAATGAACGCCCAAAAGAATTGTGTTGAACTGCAAAAGATGCATGAAAAATTAAAAGAGAAACAGCCAAAATTGGTTAACAGAAGTGGTGGAATCCTGCTTCATGACAACGCTAGACCACATGTCGCACAAATCATTAACAAAAAATACATGAGCTGGAATATGAAATTTTACCGCACCCACCATACTCGCCTGATCTTTCTCCAACAGATTGCCATATGTTCAGAAGTTTTGGCAATTTTTTGAAAAATAAGAAATTTAAATCTGATATCTGTATATCATACAAAATGCCTTTGGTGAATTTATTGATTCAAAAAAAGATGATTTTTTTAAATTCTTTTGTGGATCGTTGGTTGTTGTATTGAAGCCAATATTTTGTCACGAATAAAAAATTTTTAAATAAATTATTTAGTATTTTTGATCCTCTGTTTAAATTTCATATGCACCAACCCAATATATTACAAATCAAATGTTACAAGCGTTCATACCAAAGATTGGGAATGTCTGCATTATCTATCAATTTGTAAAAACTATTTCCTTCTTTTTGAATACTTTAGACGGTTTTCTATCTATAGAACATTATTTTTTTATATATATATTTCTCTTTAATATGTATTTATTTAAAATTGTTTAAAATTTGTACGAATTTTGACAGCTAATTCAGACATAACCTTGCGGTGAACACCCTCTAAAAAAGAGACTATAATATTATATATAAATAAATTTGTGCGTTAATTTAGGCCTTTAAAAATGACTAGTAAGACCAATTAATTAAATCCTTACAAATTTCTTTTAAAACCAATATATAATGACAGTGATAGGGTATTTCCTTATATATGTAAATAATTTGAGGCTGTGTGACTTGCAGGGGCCAAATATTTCAGACTTTCAGATCCTTTAAAATGATTGCAAATTACTTATAAATCAAAATAAGGAATACCCTATTACTTCATATAAATGTGGTTAGATTGTAATTATTATTAAACTTACTCTACACTTGTTTCGGATATTTCGCTACATTTATTACTTAAAAAGAGCATGTTGTGACTAAATAAGAATATCCCAAAATAGTGTAAATTAATAGATATAAATTATAATTTTTAAAATATCAAATAAATTTATATTAGTGACTAAGCGAAATGAATATATAATACTAATTGAATCACAGTAAATGATCATTAGTCATTACAATTTAAATATCTAATTAATTCTACCATAAGTTACTTGGTATTATTATGATAAAGTATCGTCAATGATATATAAAAAAAAATATCAAATTATATCTGGTAGGAATAACTAAAATGGCGATTGAAATGTTTAATACTAACCAGTAACTATTTTACTGTCTAAAAGTTAAAATCCTAAGTGGCACAACTGTGAGCATCCGAGAATAAAATCCGATTAGTGTAATATCTGGACATTGAACCCTGCTCATCTATCACGTAAATCTCCCAAGCTCTGCACTGTGCAGCCGTCTCGTTTAGGCCTCCGTGGTATCTGGAATTAAATAAGAATCTAAATATTACAATTTTATGAGACTCACTTTACCTAGACGATCCGTCTAGCATATTTCTGCTATAAAGTAATAATGCATGATTTATTGTATGAAGCCAATGCATGAGGAGTCCCTTAGACATTATTGTCAAGGTCGAAAATAAAAAAATAAAATACGGATGAGTAATATGGAAACAATGACACTTTCAATGTACTTTTAAAACTTTTAACTAAACTTTTGAGTAATTAAAAACGTCCAGCAATTTCTATATTAACTCGGAATAAAAAATAAATTTGTCCAGAAATTTCCAATCTCATATTGGGAATCGCTGCAAGATTCTTAGATTGAGGGTTGAAAAAGCTATATAATATTTTTTTTAATGAAAAATAGTATTTCCGAGCAAATAAGAAAAGTATATTTTATGAAGTCTATGGTATTTGTGTTTAAGTGGCAAAATCGTAATCGTCAAATATATATAAATAAATATAAAAACAATTTGCTTACAAACCTGGAGTTAAGGGATGTTCTCGTAACATTGAGCCTGTTGGATAGAAAATAAATTTAATAAATGTGAATGCGAAGTTAATTAATTAAATATAAAAGAAAACTGTTCACGAGAAAAAAAAAACATGCATAATAATTACAAGTTAGTAAAGTATACGGTGCACTGGATAGTAAACCGATATGGTAGCATAATGTCCCCTTCCTTGTTAAATATTGACAAAGCTCCACAAAAGGTAAGGACAATTCCTTATCCCTTCAGGAACTAGGCCAAACTTTATTTACGAAAAAAGAAACCCGACGCTCTACTGGTACTAGTAGCCTTCTTATTTCATAGTAATATAACAATTTTAATTTAGACAAAAAAAAAAAAGGCTAAAGGAATTTCCAAAAAGTACGCAAAATTTTCGTTGTTAATATAATTGATAAGTTATTATTATAACAAACATTATACAGCTACACATGCAATTATGGTTACTACACTATTTTTTTTGCGAAAGGGCGGCAAACGAGCTGCACCGCCTCATCTATTTATGAAAATTTCATGCAATTTTAAATTTAAGACGGAGAAGTGGGAAGCAAGCGATCATCTGATGATATTCAATTACGCAGCCTATGAAATTTTAAATTAATATCATCATTGCCTTGCCATCTGTATGATTTAAAAAACTGTCGTACGTACAATAAATATGCAGTTTCTATATAATTTATTTATAAAAATTTATTTCACATTTATATACCTACTTACATGTAAGCCCTCTTTACCGAAACAAAATTGGCTGATGAGATAATTAAACTGCTCGTCAACTGAGAGTGGCTCCCTCTGATGTAATGTTTCCGAGCTGCTTTCGTTATACGTACCCTCCAAAGCACGAAACAAGTGACAATCGATTACGTTTATTCCAAAAAGGATTTATAAAATTCGTTATGGTCTAAGGTTCGTTCTTAAAATCTAGAACTACAGAACTCCACCAACCGAGTCACCATTTCTGTATACTGACTGTTTAATACTAAATTTACCTATCTAATACTTAGAAATATTTTTGGCTACGGGCATAATAGAAAACATTACTTATACACAAATATAATCATTTTCTAATATTTAAAAAAAAATCAGAAGCGGTTGAAATTTGAACTAGCCACCGTTCTGATTGAACTACCGCTTCATTATTTGATTATAAATACTAGAACATGATTTTAATATTTTATAAATGTTTTACAACAATCATTGGAAGTTAATAATTACCAATTAAACGTAATTAGGTAATAATGCAAGCATTTTCAAAGACCACAATTTAAAACGGCACAGCACACGTAAAGCGGCAAGCTCCAGTTTTACCTATAGAGCGGCAGGACACATGGACAGTAGGCTCAGTAAAGAATAGCGTCAGAAAGTTGGTTACTGGTTAGTGCGGCGCCCGGCGTGATGCCCACAATGCTGCCGCCGACGCACGCCTCCACGCCTTCTGTTGGCCACCACCACACCCCCACACACAGTATTAATAACATTCTAACATCTCAATACGTGTTAAAGGAAGTACATGAGATGTTTAGCATTCAGACAAAAGTACAAAATGTTTAATGATTTAGATGAATGAGAATTTAGATGAAAGAGTTTCATTCCCTCTAAACATAAATAGATACTGCAACTGCATTATATGCTTTACGCATAAATTTTTCACTAACGTATATCACCATAGAATTCATTTGAATACATGTCTTGAATAGATGTATTCATTTAAACTCTATGTATTTTTTGCCATCACCACAGTTATTGACTAGACATCAAGAAGTATGAATTGTTTTACTATATAAAGAAATCTATCGTTTACGACGCTGTTTAACAAGATAATAACTAATACAAAATACATACAAAAAAACAACAACATGCAAATTCATTATAAAAAATATATGAATAAAAAAAAATTCATATATTAAAAAAAGTTGATTTTTTGATCTGAAAAATGGAAAAAAATCATTAAGGCATAAATTCATTCTAAGTATTTTCTTTTGTGGTATGCAGTATTTTTTATAACATGACAAACTAACATATGGGTACTAATGGCGAAATGATAACGTGTGTGTGTTTATATGTTTATTATGTGTTTTTATAACGTCGGGCTAGGTTACTTAGTAGGAAAACAAGGGTCGAGTGGCTTTTCCCTACAAAATTTGCTAATATGTATTTTGAAATGTTTTATTGAAAAAGAAGGATATACAAGGATTTCTAAAGATGAAGTAATACTACTTTAGTACTGTTACTTATACTGTGGTAATTATATTATCAATGTAAATGTTTATAAAAGTATTTAAATCTTTTTGTTACTCGATCACATTTAAATGACGAAACGGATTAAAATGAAATTTGGTACATTGATAAATCATATTCTGAATTAACACATAGTATATTTTTCCTCCTAATTCAAGCTAGAAAAACTATGGGATACAGAGTGGAATAATATTATTAATGTGAAACTTTACAAGGGCATTTATGTAATATGACCTAAATTCACAATCTGGAGATTTTTCATGCGGGTAAAGCCGCGTAATTAGAGATGACACGGATGTAATGCACGGCATGCAAGCGATTTAGGCGTATTACCTGTAGTGCAGGCGGCAGCGTTAGTGTCTGGATTGACGCCAGCTACGGACCACGGGCGAGCCTTGCCCGGAGTGCGCGCGCACCCGTTGCCTACGTACCGACCAGTACCACATGACCACAGGACACATCACATATCACCGAGTAGCCACAAAAACGCACAAAGAGACCAATCTCTTATGTACACATCGAAAATTTGACATTCTTTTTTATGCTCGACATGTGATGGTACAACAAATGCCTGAAAAGGCATGATTCGATATACATATTCATGGATTATAAACCTCTTTTTAGTTCTATGTCAAAATAGAATAGTAATTAAGACAACTCTTTGGTTTTTCTTTTTCTTTGATAGTAAGTTTTACAAATTAAATATTCTCGAATTAATTATTCATAAAAATATCAGTAAATACAAATTAAAGATTTTTTTTATTACAATTTTTCTAAGTAATGATTAAGTTGAAAAAATCAATACATATATTGTAATTTCATGAAGAAAGCAAAAACATAATACAATTATTGTACCTATATTTGAAGTAACAATAATATATAGAAGATGATTAAATTATATTGTGCATCCAACTTTTTAAACGAGAGAACCGAATCAAGACTAGAATGGAAGGCAAAAATCTATAAAATCAAAGGTCAAATTTTTTATGTGTACGTTTTACAATCATTAAATATTAGGTTTCAGAACATATGACATGATTATTATGGTATGAAATATTATTGGTTTTGGCGTTTGCGGATCCCGGAAGCTCATCAGCATATCCGTTTTTAAATAGAAGCCTGCTGTGATTTGCACATTCCCAAAACGCTGTGACATGGACGACCACATATTACAAAGAGCTTTTAAGCTGAGGGTAATTATTCGGAAACAAGTTAGAAATTATATCAGCACATAAAATTGTAGGAAACATTAATGAATGGTATTTCATTAAATTTATTCCTTTTTTTTTTAGTTTGCCATTTGATATTATTTCACAATTTTATATTTATAAATCGCTACCACTGGATGGCGTATACATATATCGATTGGTAGTTTCAGAGATTAGCGCGTTCAAACAAAGTCTTCCAATTTATTAATCGGTATAAATTCACAATAAAAACGTAATGTCTAAATTTTTTTACAAATTCTTTCTTGTTTCCGACGTAAACCCGTAAAAAATTGAGCGTGCTTGTAAAGTACGTACCCATTGTGTTGACATTATCTGAGGAACGTGATGGAGGCGGAGTATTGGGTGCCTTTACACCTACATTGTCCGACGATTTGCACCGAGACACTTCTGAAAGAACCGTAACAAGGCTATTAATATACTATAATTGGCTGGAGTAAGAATTACTAAAAACAAACTGCGTCCCTATTTAATTATATTATTTGTTAGTTTTAGATAATTGTAAAGAATTAAATTTAAAAACTTACCACATTCTAATAAAACCGGTGTACTTTCCCCGGATGTAACGCTATACCTGAAAGGTATAAAGAATTTTGTATATTGTTTTTAGCTTGTAGTAGGCAATTTCCAAATATTAATATGTAAGGAGTGCTTTGGGTGTCCTAAATTATTTATAAGTTTAAAACTTTTCTGACACCAATGATAGTGAGTAGACTGTGCGACATGAGGGACATTAACGCCTATAGACGCCTTCTCGTTACCCAACGGCGTGTGAGACGGGTACAAGAACTTATCACCATTATGCATACTAATATGGCGTCTTCTCTCTACAATATGGGTGCCTCAGTGGAAAGAACGAGGTGGATTGGACGACAACGTGAACAACGGGTGGTCGTTTGTACCTACAACAACGTTTTCTCGTAGTCCGTCGGCGTATGGAAAGACTGGCACATAAGAGCATAGCAAGATTCTAGTATACTAACATGGTGTCATCCCGCTGCAGCGTGGGCGAGTGCCTGAGCGGGGAGGGCGAGGGCGAGGCGGGCGAGGCGGAGGCGGAGGCGAGCGACGACAGCGAGTGCAGGCTGCGCGACGTGAGCGGCGTGCGCGCCGACAGCGACGCCTCCTCGCTGCCCGGCGGCGTGCGGCACGCGCGCCAGAACTCGTCCAGGCCTGCACGAGCACGAGCCATGTCATTCGAGGACTTATACTTCGTACATATGTATATGAGATGCAAGATATATGATTATATCAACAGATTTTTTTTTAATGGGTGATAACGACACCCGCACTATTGATATACACCGGCGGGACACCAGTGAAGGATGATAGGTAAGGATGAAGCAGGTCAGTTAGCCCATCATGACGAATTCAACAAGAACTGTTCACAATGGTTTCCAGGGGAAACCAAGTGGAGGTCGACCTAATAGGGCATATTGCTAGCAATGGGGCTGTTAAACTCCATTGCTAACAATCCCTTTCCTTCCTATCAATAGAATTCAGTTTTTTAAAAATAGTCTATACATGGGTTTGTTCCACTGAATATGTTATTTGTAATAGATTTCTTACTTTATTGAAGATGTTAAAAGTAATGTTAAGTGTTATCACATAAAACTATTGTAATGCTATTATAAAATTGGAATTGCAATTCAATCATTACCTTCATCGATATCCTGCGATTGATCTGTAATAGGTCTTGTCGGCGCTCTCGTTTTATTTCGTCTAGGACGACCTAACAATGATAAAAAATATATAATAATAAGTTCAAATAATATGACGTAAATATATAAATGGCATCGTATATATACGACATATGTTTGATGACTCTAATTGTTGGAATGTAGCAACAGACCTTTGACGAGGTGTCGCAGCTTATGCGTGGGCAGGTCAGCGAGCGCGTCGGCAGCCTCGGCAGGCAGCGGCGGCAGCGACAGCATCTCGTTGCTGCTGCACTGCTGCTCCGCTACCGACTTGGGTCGAACGCGACGCGCGCCTCGGCCTCGCTCGCGCCGCCGGCAGCCCAGCGGCGTCGCCTGTACATACAATCACGGTGTAAGGAATGATCAGTGCCTCAACATCTGCTGTCCTAAAGTACAGACTTTACCGTTGGAAAACAGATAGATGAGAGTTCTTTAGACTGACATAACTACAAAATCTTTTTGTACATCAAATAATATGAGAGTGTAATAAACGTAACCTAAATAATTTTACACACATACATATATATAAGCATCTACCACGTAAGGATTTAGTTCAAGTTGTTTTCGAAATCAAAATTATAGTGCTTATTTTCATCAATTAAAAAACCTTCCAGACACATGACCATTTATCCCGCCTCAGTTATATTCGTAATAGGAACTATTAAAAATATACGGCATTACTACGAATATTATTATTTTAGATAAATATACATAAAAATATGTCTAGACAATTATTGTGTAAACAGAAATTAAAGTTATTATTTCTATTTTGACTTACCAAATTCAAATAGTCCAACTTCTGAACAGCATGAAATATGCAATTTATTCATATAAATGAACAATTATCATTGTTTATGTAATAATTTCATTATAATCATCAACATAAGAACATTACCTATTAGATGTATTTCAATTAAAGGTAGAGATTAAATATATTCTGTATTGCACTTGTAAGTTACATATAATGTATTTATAAATGTTGTGAGCAAGGGTGGATTTATCTCTGACAGAGATCTCTTCCACTTAACCCAGTACAGTAAGAAAGCATTTCGTTAGTGGGCAGCTGAAGTTTATTAGCAGTCTATCAGCTATCATCAAGCTGAGCAAGTAAATTGATATAAAATATTTTATTTTAAAGTTGTAACCTATGATTATGATAACTATATATAATATAATTAAAAAGAATAAATAATTAATTGTCACAAAGTATTAAAAACTGAAATATTTAAAAACTTCAAAACAAAATTATGGATAAGATGGCTATATGGGTTCAGTCCCTTTAGTCTTTCAATGGAATAAACAGAATAAAATATGAAAATCTGTAAAAAGATATTGCTGGTGGCACATACTCACCCCAGAATGTGAGATTGGCGCGAGCAAGTCTGGCACGTCGGAGCCTGCGTGAGTCACCGGTTCGCATTCGCCGTCTACACTTTCGCACGCCGACAGCGCCAGACTCTCCACCGCCTCACTGAGACACAAATGTTAAATGTAGTGTACATTTCAATTATTTGTAATAGGAACTAGTATTCTAAAAACCTTACTTTCTAGCCTCTTTATGTTACATGGCAAAAACCTACCTCAATGTATAGACTTTTCGACCTTTCTCCCATGGCGACTCTCACGAATAGAATGAGTGAATCCATGAGATAGAATGAGACGGCGACACCTGGTGTCTTGTACTTTCTAGTGTGAACGCTATGCAAAACCAATTCTAACGACAGATCATATTATTTGCCATTTATCAGCTTATCATACCGGTCGTCTCATTAGCCTATTATTTTATGATTTTGTTAGACACTAGCGACCTGTCTCGTCTTCGCGCGGATAGATGGTGTAGGAATCTTTATTTCTAATAAACAAAAATTCTATTAAAAAAAATAATAGTAATAGGGTCGATAATTAATATTATTCCTTTCTAGCGACCCGCCCCGGCATCGCACGGGTGTAATATTTATTTGTATAACTTTTAAACTGTTCAACACATTTTAGTAAGTCTGGTATTTTAGCTTGTATGAAAATATTGCACTTATATTCACTATAGAATAGAATAGAATAGAATAAATTTATTGTGATGATTGAACTATGAACTATGAACTATTGAACTATGATTTTAAAATGAACGCCCTATTTAGCAATTTCAAATGCGCGCGTTTATATAGGTTCCTCTTGCGCCCCTCACCTTCGCGCCTTTTATTTCGCATTATCTCTTGATTAACTGCAGTAATTAATTTGCTGTAAAGAGTAAATTTCATTTCCATTTTGATTTAACTATTTGTTTTTATAAGAATTTGGAAATTATACTTCAAACGTGTACCCAAACTATATCTTGTAAAATATATTTTACTTTTAACAAAAAGACAATTTTTTGGCTGATTTATTAAACTTAGATATATGGTGTCACGGACTTTTTTGTAAAGCTACTAAAGTTTACTATAGATTTTATTCCTTTATTTCAAACTGTTTAAGCAGTGCATACCATATCATAGAATTTATGCCAGCTTCAAGTACATTTATCATGATTAGTTATTGAAAATACATATTTACCAAAATAAAAAGCCTATAACACTCAGAGATAATATATGTTTTTGATAGTGAAAGAATTTTCAAAATTCTTTCACTATCAAAAACATATCACTAATATATCCAAACTTACAGTTTTACCACTTTATAATATTAGTATAGATTGGTAAAAGAAATATTAAAAGCAGAATCTATATAATTAAAAAAATATATTATATATAATTTTTTTATAATATTTTTTGTATTATTTTTGTATGCGACAAAAGTAAACAGAAATACGAAATACATACTTAAGTAAATCCTGTAGCGTATTGGAGCAAGGCGCCATAGCGTCCCGTACAGCTTGTAACGTGACGAGTTCTCCGCTAGTTCCCGCTCCACCCATCGCCGCGAATACCTCACCGCATCGCTGAAACCATTATTATTATTAAATTAATAATAGTATATGTGACATTATTAGACAGCATAGTTACTGTCAGTTTATTGCCATCAATGTGTATGGTCTACAACCGTACATATTGCTCGATCAGCATTTTCGTCTAATTCACATTAGACGAAGTGAGTAAGTGAGATTAAAATAGCTCTAAAAAAATATTTAATTACACTACAGGAATTTTTTAATGAGAAAATTTTATTGTTATTGTACCTATTTGTTTCAATGTAATAATGTTTTATTTATTTTATGTTAATCGACTATACATATATATAATATAAAAATTTTGTTATGTGCTTTATGAAATATTTATTAATGTGATTACCGTGCTCTTCCAAGGTTCATGTTGATTCTTTACTTTTAATAACTTAAGACCTATATTGTTACAACATGAAATAGCAATAATAAATAAATTGAATTGAATTAAAATAATTTTCGAGAGGAATTGTGCAGAAATCAACCTGATTAGCATATTGCTAGTAATGCTAGACGCTATAACAGTACCTATCCCTTCTTATATAAAAAACTAGAGCAGAAGCCAACAAAAAGTAGCATACGAGATAGTATATGCAAAAACGGACAAGACAATCGACCTACAGGTAGCACCTCTTTACCTTTTATAAAAAGTACTATTTTTTTAATACAACTCAGAATGGCGAACAAGCTGACGGCCCACCAGATGGAAAGTGGTAACCGTCGCCTATAGACATGAACGACCTAAATAAAATAAAATAGACATGAAAGACCTAAAACCAATTAACGACACCGAGTGTCAAATCTATACTAGAGTTCTATTTTAGATTGAAATATGCTCGACATGTTTTTTTATGCAACTTAGAATGACAAACAAGCTGATTTCCCACCTAATAGAAAGCGGTAACCGTCGCCTATAGACATGAGCAGTACTATGGACATAATAGAGTATACTGTTTCGCCCATGATACCTCCCATGCGTTGCCATCCCTGAGAACTCAGGTGTTATTTCTCTGTACCCTGTAAATACTAATGTACTAGTAGTAATGTAATAATAATGTACTAGTAGAGCCGAAGTCAACAGGAGGTGATATATACTACTGTTGATAATACGGTACGCGAGTACGGGCGAGGCCACCGACCTGCAGGTACTGATGCAGCAGGTGGTGCGCGGCGGCGGCGGCACGCTCGAGCGCGGCGGGCAGCGGTGGCGGCGGCAACGCGGCGGCCGCCTGCGCCGCCAGCGCCGCCGCCGCCTCGCCGCCCGCCCACGCGCGCTCCAGTGCCAGCGCCCGCAGCGTGTGCGTCTGCGTCGGCGTACTGTTGCTCGCCAATCTGCAAAGAACAAATCGAATATTTGCAATGGTAAAGTTCACAAGCATTCAAAATATTAACTTAACTGCTTATTAAACTGTTATCCTAATTTTATGAATCTCGACAAGGAGGGGAGAATGCGCTAGTCACAGGGACGAACACCAGAAAAGTATTAAAAAACATTTTCAATATAATTGCTCCAGTCCAGTAATGTCGCTTATGAAAATAAATATACAGTCAAATAATAAATTACTTTTTCATAAAATACAATTTGAAGCAAAATTAATACAAACTAAGAAGTCAATAGGCAAGTTGTCAGGGGGGCATTCTCGTTCTTCGCATTCTCAAAACACCCCGACCGCTCTAACCAGTCCAATCTTGGGGGGAAAGAGATTGTTAGTAATGGAAACTGAGAATCCCATTGCTAGTAATATACCCAACCAGGTCGGCCTCTTCGCGGTTCTCCCTGGAAACTATCAAGGTTAATTCCTGATGAATTCATCATGATGGGCTAGCTGGCCTGTTTTCATTCTCATCTATCATCCTTCACTGATGCTCCGCCAGCGTATCCCGTTAGCGCAGGCGGGGTTACCATACCATTTTCACCCATAAAAAAAAACAGTCAGATCTGGTAAGGAGTCATACGAACCGCTCGTGCAGCTCGCGCCACAAGGTGGCGACGCGCTCGCTGGCGCCGCGCCCGCCGGCGGCCGCGTCGCAACCGGGGAATTCCACACGCCGGACGCTCACCGAGCGTCGCAGCGCCGTCGCTATGTCCGTCAGGCCTGCGCAATCAATACCGATACATTATAAACCTGCTGTTTGTATCAAAATACATAAGCTGTTGTTTGCTAAATATAAGCGATATTCTATGTCGACGCGTCAACATAGGATATCGCTTCGAGTGAAATCAGAGTGATTTCATACAATGTAAACCTCCCACTTCCCTCTCAACCACTCCTAATATAGTATAAAGCTAGACGAAAAAGTCTTATTCGTGTTTTTTTACAGAACTGTATATTGTCTGTCTTTCGATTTGAGTATGGCAACAAAATTAATGGGTACATGAGAATAACGCTTTAGTTCTCGAGAATAGCAATCAATGAGACCATAGACATCAGTCAATATTCTGTAATATCCGTCCATAGTGCATGTCTATATGCGGAAGTTACCATTTTCCATCAGGCGACTCGGTTTTCGCAAGCTTATCTTTCCAAGTTATACAAAAAAATAAATAAGACCATATGATATCAGTTCGTAAATTGAATGCATTTGGATATATACAGGCGTGCGACAGTGTTGCCAACTATATTAATACTAACGTGCTACGAGCAAAGCCGTTCGGCGCGTATCGAAAGGTGAATGATCTGACCTTGTAAACTGAACGCGTTCCGGTCTATATAGAGCGTATGCAGAGTGCAGTTGCACTGCAGCGCCTTGGCGAGCAGTCGCGCGGCTGCATCGCCAGCCACGTTGCCGCCCACGTCGAGTGTACGTAGCCGCCGAGCTCCACCAAGGGCGTTTAGCAAACCGTACAGGTCGCCCTGCCGACCGGTAACGTACCACGCAACATTCATTACTGTCATTATTAAGTGTACAATTAGTCTGACAGTAAGCGATCACTGAATTCTGGTAACACCAGTTATGTAAGGAGCATGAAATATTTTTAATACTCTGTAGAGAACCTCATACAATTCAGAGCTCATTCCATATCTCCAACAAATAAACAGTTTGGATTAATAAAAGATTCAAACATAAGTTTGAAAAGTTGAGATGTTTGAATTAAAATTTGATCTTGGGATCCTTTGACTATTCTCACTGTGACAGACTGTAGATTAAGAAAGGTTAAGCCATTAAGGGTATCCATATTATTTGATCTATTTGAAGTGATAATTGGTATGGCATTCTGGTAATTTCATTTCCATAAAAAATATCATTATTTTATATCATGTGCACTTGTCAACTTATTTGCTGTTCCTAGTAGAAGAAAAAAAAATACTATATATTGCAACTAGCTATAAACGTGGTTTTTCCACGTGAATCGGAATAAAAAATATAAACGGTAGTTCTATGTGTAAGATAATTAAGATTTATCTACCAAATTTCATCCACTCCTTTTTACATTGTTTAGTAATAAATAATCATCTAATAACTGATTAATAATAATAATAAATAATAACTCATTTATTTTTGATTACAATATTAATAAACTAAACGGTAATTAAAAATAAAAAGTACCTTGAGTTTACAATCGCTGAGATCTAAAGAAGTTAAAGCTGTGTCTGGTTCTTGCAGTACATGTACTAAAGCCTGTAAAATAAAAACAAACCCATAAATTAGACTGTTCAAAACGCGAAAACATTTGCTTTATAATTATTCTATGAACTACTCATAGGACAATAATATCATAAGTTGAAAATATAATATTTTTCAACAAGTCATTCATATTTTTCTTTCATGTCTTTGCAATTATAAATAAAAGTGTCATTATGTAAAAGATGAAACAAGAAAACATTTTAATTGCTTCTTATAAAACAAGGTCTAGTTTAGAATTTTATTATTATTAATTATGTACATATTTTATTAATACTTCTTTTTTATTATAAAAAGATTCTGCATAAAAAATTGACTTATTAATATCACTAAATCTCAGAAAACTTACTTGTATTAAAGGCGGTGCATAAGATCGTTTTCCAGTAAGTCTGCTTAAAGATAAGTGAGTAATTGAGTGATTCTTCCCTACTGCTCTCACAATACCCGATAGTTCGAATTCCATACCTACAAAAACAATAATTATGTATTAACAATTAATAATAATATGAACAGTTTCTATATTATGTAAAGGACTAATTAGTCACAATTAAATCACTTAGATTCATTCAAATGACACATAATTTATCTATTCTCATATACATATTATTTTATTATTAGTGTGTAAAATAATTGTACAAGAAAATAAAGTAAAATTATAAGAAAATGTGTATAAAATTTAAATATTTTGAATTTATATATATATATATATATATATATATATATATATATATATATATATAATATATATATATATATATATATATATATATATATATATATATATATATATATATATATATATATATATATATATATATATATATATATATATATATATATATATAGTGTACATTGACTGGTACCTATTTAATAACGTATCAAAACTAGTTTAACAATGGAGTCAATTCTCTAAACTTATCATTCAAATGTCAATTCGATATCATAGCAATTTTTTTATTTTAAGAACCAATAAGAACTGAGTTTTTAATAGATTTATTTCAAAATGATTATAACATTATTATTATCCTTATTAATATCATAAATTTGAAAGTGTGTTTGTTACGTAACGGCTTAACTACTACTATGAAATTTGGTATACACATAATACATGGGATAGTGATAGATTACCCTGGTCAGTAAATAAATGGCAGTAACACTAACGAAGTACCGGATAAAAGGTAGTAAATAATAAATCCTAAAAGTATAATTATCAAATTGAAATTAGGGTCTGGATGAAGAGCGTGCAACTGACTGTTGTCGGAGAGGTCGAGTGAGCGCAAACAGCGCACGCCGTGTATGCAGGACTCGAGCACGTGCGCGGCCTGCGCGGACGACAGCACGCCCGACAGGCTCAGCGACACGCCCGCCGCCGACTCGTTGCACGCCAGCCCCAGCAGGAGGCTCCTGCCGACCACATCATCATCATCATCATCATTTTAGACATTAGCCGTCCACTGCTGGATATAAGCCTCCCCCATAGACTGCTATAAAGGTCCTGAGCCACCTGCATCCATTGACTCCCTGCAACGCATTTCAGGTCGTCACTCCATCTAGTGTGGGGTCGTCCTACACTGCGTTTACTCATACGCGGTCGCTACTCAGGAAGCATTCTTCCCCATCGGTTGTCGGTTCTTCCAACTACGTGACCAGCTTATTGCCACTTCAGCTTGCTTATCCTTCGGGCTATGTCGGTTATTTTGGTTCTTTTGTAGATATCCTCGTTTCGGATTCTATCACGCAAAGACACTTCGAGTAGAGCCCTCTCCATAGCCTGACCACAGCAAAGTTGTAAATGTATGTTCTTGTCATATGAGGTAAAAGATTTTTTAAAGAGGATACTCTCAGAAAAATTCAAGTTCAAAACACATAGCCTAATAAAAATATAATTTAAAAATGACAAAGTGTAAAGTGTAAAGTTTATTACGCACGTTAAAGGATCTTAGTATGATCCGCCAATAGCATTCACATATTAGCCTTTATACAGTTCTTATTTAAAATTGTGTTAAAAACATATATTATAAAATTTATAGGCAATTGTAGGTACATATTTGTTAAAACAATAAATACCCATATTACTAGTCATCGTCCAGGTACTGTGGTAACAGTACATAAATAATGCATGAGACAGTAGACAAAAGTGCTACGACATACTTTTAATATTATAAATGTAATAGTTTGTAAAAATGCTAGAATAAATAAATAATAATAATAATATTTATACTATATATAATATACGACAATACGATATAGATAAACGGGTAGGATATATAGTAACACATAGAATATATACCAACTGAATAAGCAAATTTTTAATACATAGTCTGTTTGAATACCTATCGTATGGATAAGAAAGCCACATTTTTATCAAATATTTACATTTGATTTTTATTTTGTATTTCATTTATTAATTTAATTCCTGATTTTGTTGCTATATATGGAGCGCCTTTTATCTGTATTGTTGCTATTTATGAAAAGCTATTTGTGGCTTGGTTTGTGATCCTAAACTGTATCTATTTGCTCTGGTGTAGCCCTGGTTTTCCTGTGAATAAATAAATAAATATACACTGATTCAAAGCTACGGATATCAACTATATATTACTTAAGAGCGTCCGGCGGCATTTTACAGTAGGAGAAGTCGAGATCCTGCAGCGCGAGGCACGCGGTGAAGAACTGTCGGAAGGAGGGCGGCGGGTCCTTGGGGCGACGCGCGGCCGACCACGGGTTGCGGCCCACCGACAGCGTCGCCAGCCGCGCCGCGCACCCGCGCAGCAACGCGCCCCACATCTGCACGGAATCACGCCTTCACTAGCACCATTGTAGACATAGGCAGCTAGCGTCACACATTCCACGCTGTCAAACACCCGATTTGATACTACGAATATAGAGCGTATATCCAATAGATATCGTAAAACATATATTTACGATATATATTTTCATAAAACTGGTTATCGTGATATTTACCGTTTACCATCAGGCCGTACGCTTGTTTGCCACCATAGTAGTATAAAAAAATACAAAAGTGTACTTTTTACTGTACAACATTGGAACAAAATACATAATGTATATGCAACTGACATGGACCATCCACCGAATGTGGCACATATGAAAACATGCAATGCGGTCTTTCCCGATTAAACGCTAACAGAAGTCATCATTCTAGAGAAAGAATTAGATGCTGGAAGCGATTTTTCGTAATATCCATATAAATACAATAATCACTCACATTTTCTAACGTCGTCTCTGTGTTGGTTAAATTCAAATATGTCAATACATTTGGTTGTGCCAGGAAATTGTAAAGGTTCTGTAAAATAGAAATACAATTACTTTTGCAAAATCATACATAATTTATTATGAAGGATTTAATGTATAAACTGTGTCAAGGATTATTTGATTCTCTTATATTTTGCACAGATGATTTCTACATTTTTTAAACGAAAAAAAAAATCTTCACAGTATGATTTAAAAAAAAGGAAACCCCAAATGGAGTTGAATTGTTATGTTTTCAAAACCATCTATTGTTAAGTAAAGGACTTATGTAGTACCAATTGTGTAAGTACTTCTTTAATCACAATGCGTTAAATAATATAGATAAAAAAAAACTTACGTGTACATCATCTTTCAGATTGTTATGCGAGAGATCGAGATGTGTGAGCGTGGAGAGATGGCACGGGTTGTCGTTGAGCATGGTGGCGAGGTGTGTGACCGTCTTGCCGGTGAGACCGCATTGCGACAACGCGATATATCTCAGCCCGTCCGGGTTGTTCGCCAGCCCCGACAATATACTAATAGCACCTGTTATACACAAATGATCCAATATTAAGTCATTATTGAATAGACACATATAAATAAACAAACATTTGCAACAAACAATAGCAGTGATATGGATGTTATATTAATGTTTTAATTATAACACTTCGTGGATAATGTAATTGATAGTATACATTTTATTATACTAATAAGAATGAATGAGTTTTTGTTTTGGACAGAAAATAGGTTTTTTTTATGGGTGAAAATGGTATGGTAACCCCCCTGCGCTAACGGGATACGCTGGCGAAGCACCAGAAAATAGGTTAGCAGAACATTACAGAGAAACAGGCAATAAAGATTACATTTATGTCTCACTGCATCATTGCATCTCGTACGCTAATGGGAACAAGAGAGTTGCGGGCTGGGATCACTAGTTACAAGCGTAGGCGCGTAGCGACTAAATTTAGGCGCCCATAAACTTCACTGTATAATCGTGCTACAATACTAAGAGAACAACAACCAGCATGTTGCCGACCCCATAAATAAAATAATACTTTATAGCCGTTTCCATGAGCCCACATAAAGTGTAATTTTTTTTTAATGGATGATAATGGAAAGGTAACCACGCCTGCGCTATCGGTATACGCTGGCGAAGCACCAGTGAGGGATAACAGGTGACAGTGAAAGCAGGTCAGTTAGCCCATCGTGTCGAATTCCATTAGAATTAACCACGATGATTTCCAGGGAGAACCGCGCGGAGATCGACCTGACAGGGTGTATTGCTAGCAATTAGTCAGTTAGATCCCATTACCAGGCGTAGGTGTCGGTGTGGTGGAAGCGGCGGGTACCTTTGTCTTCGATGTGGTTCTGCGAGAAGTCGACAGTGTGCATGGCGGGCGGGCGCGCGGCGCGGGCGAGCGCGTGTCCGAGGCGCGCGGCGTGGTCGTGCCGCAGCGCGGCGGCGCGCCACGACAGCCGCTGCGGCGGCGGCCGCGCCGCGCGCACCACGCGGCACACGCTCTCCCACGCCTCGCCGCCCGCGCGCACGCCGTCGCCGCACACGCCGCGGAACCACGTGTTGTGCTGCAGCGCCATCACCAGCGGGATCAGGTCCCTGCGACGCCGCGCGCACACACACCCGCACCGTTAGTTACATACAGTACATTGTTTGCTCAAAACAAAGATCTTACTGAATAAGTAAACAGAGGGCCTACCATGAAATATTTTCCGAAATTTCGGGCACGAACGAAACAGAAATTTGATGTTAAAATTACATAATACATGCCGTTTTAAAAATATTAAAAATGTTAAAATATCATTTCTCTGAACTATTAGGATAGGATTTATGATGAACGATGTTAAGCTCCATTTACTGGGTCGGAAATTCGGAATTTCATTTCATGGTAGACCACCTGTTCCATATTATACAAATGTAAATAGAGACGTAGCTGTGAATTAGGAAGCCCCGCAAAAATATCTATAAGTACTAGAGAAGTCAGCTTTTAAATTAGTATGAGATGTCCATTTTTTGTGCTAACATATTTTATAATATATGTAAATTGTTAATTTTATATATGTCTAATGATTTCTATTTGTGTCTGTAGTTCAAGATTTTATCCCATTAAAAAAATAAACAGATTTCAAATATGATATAATAAGTATATAACATGAAAGTACACTGTAGAGAATGTAAAATCAAGATAAATTTGGCATTAACGAAGATATCGGTAATAAACAAAATATACTTTTGGATAGTGACAAGATAAGAAATCCATGGAAATATTGATAGTGAAGTAAAAAAAGAAAGCTGCTCATACATAATGGTCTGTCTGTGACCCTGCATAATTAGAATGAACCGAGTACAATCGTTAATTTTCCCTTCTTCGGTAATTTTTATCAATAAACTAGAGAGACACGTTAACATAAATTAATCAACAAATATAAAACATACATAATGTTCCCTATGATCCATTGTACGACTTAGCTATGGTATGTAAAAGTTATCACTTAAAATAATATCATCCAGACAAAAACTTATGCTCAACAATAACCAAAATACGTCATAAGTAACTTAACACTGAAATTGATGTATGTGTAATAGCCGTGTGGTCCCGGCATAGAATAGGCCACTCCTTCCTTTCCCATGGGTGTAGTAAGAACCGACTAAGGGAGGGCGAGGGATAGGCTGCAGCGTCCCTCTTAAAACATCTGTAAAGCTTGACTGCAGTTACCAATCCGCCCGCCAAGCGTGTTAGCAAAACCCCCTAAGGGGAGGCTTGGGTTCGGCAGCGAACAGTTAAAGGCTGATATAATAATGTATAGTTACAATAAAACATTATAAATACCTTTGATCCAAGTGGTCAAAATCTTTCAAATGCAACATTCTTATATCGTGTGCCAGATATATTGTATCTATATCCCACGCGACTTCAGCTCTGCAACAAAGAAAAGCTTATAGCCTATTGACAAATACCAAAGTATAACCATATTTAACAGCACCAAATCAGAATAAAAAATACCTGAAAGGTGTTTGACATAGATCACACATAGCGGCATATTGGTTTGAGAAATCACCGCATGTTGAATGTTTTCGTGTTCCACTTACATGCTGTAGTTGAAATGGTAAATTTACCTGCAATTTAAATTACAATAAATATATTTTTCATATTATTATAAGTGAAAAACCTTTTAAAGTATCAAAGTTTAATAGCTAAAAATAATAATAACGTAAATATAAAATAATAAATCTAGTATAATAAAAATTAAACTTGAAATATTTAAAATTACATTGTAAATGACCTTTTGAATAATCCGTAATATATTTTGTATTCCTAAATATTTTCCCCCTAAATAAGCAAGTATACAAGGTTTGATGATAATTGTATATAGCCGAAATTTATAGAAAGAAATAAAAATGTCAATTAAAAGCAATTATTAGTAGTCACGATATATTCAATACGATGGCGAATTCTATTCAACTGTTTATATGACAGTAAGAAGAATAAAAAATACTACACATGTACGAGTACAAATACATAGAAACTCTTTTTTTAATGTCGTAAAAACATCCTTACTTATATTATAAATGTAAAAGAAATTTACTTGTTTGTTACTACTTAATGTCTTAATTGTTTAACTAATCATTATTAAATTTGGTACATTTAATATATACGAATGAGAAGGACATAGGCTACTTTTTAAGCTGGTCCGTGACGATGTCCCAGTCATGTGGACGAAGTCATAAGTAAAACCTAATGTACCTCACACGTTACCTAATAGGGAAGTATTTATTATGATTTCCTCATAATACTGAACTTAAATGTGAAGAAATTCTATATTATTTAACTTATACTCATATTTATTCAATCCATTATTTACATCAATTGTCGAAATTATAATAATCTTATAGTATTATGTAAAGTAGGCGCATTATTAAATTTAATGAAGTTGAGTCAGTCAATTCCAACAATTAAAGTCTATTAGAGTTGCATGTGGAAATTAAACGATTCGTCGGAGGTGATTATTATGAATCATAATTTAAAGTTGGCTAAATACAGACCTTGCATACGATATCCTCTATGGGCACATTTGGGAATAAATCGTCAAACGCGGCGACAATAGCGTGCATTACATTTATAAGCCCTTCAGAGGTACCTTCTTCACCTGAAATAATAAAATTAAAATTTTATATTGGCAACTTATTACGTTGTTGGACACAAACAAACGTTACGATTAATACAGTTACATTAATATTGCATAACCAACGACTTATGTTACTGGAGTTAGTTTCATTCGATGCGTGATACGTTTTTATTATCATCTTTCTATATTTGATCTAATCCTTACTGATAAGTATGATAGCTTGCTTGCTTATTTGTTACCTCTTAGCGTCTTAACGACTCAACGCCCTTTTCCATCCCATATAGAATATGTAGGAAAAAGATTATGTGAGAAGATCATAGGATACTTTTTATCTCTGCTCAGTGAAGATATCTCTGTCACGTGAACCAAGTCCGGAGTAAAAGCTAGTCTTACTCTATTTGTATGAATACATCAAAACGTTTGATGGGATAATAATAACTGCCTTTTTTTAATGCTCATAATTATGTAACTGAAATATTTGCAGAAAGAAAAAAAACATTGGAATTTTCATGGGTTTCATGGGTTACTATATGTATTTTATACGATGCTTTTTAAGAAAATCGGAATTTTAATATTCTGTCGTGATTTACATAATTAAATTTGATTAAATACTATACATCATTTATGCTCCAAAACACTACCGTCTCGTTTTAGAACTCCATCAATTTATATAAAATATTTTAGAAGATCAAGCAGTGATAAGAATTGTGTACTTGTAAACAAAATTTTTAGTCATAGATAAAAAACAATCATAATAGATGATGCTGTTTTTTGAGTTTTACTTTTATAAATTAATAAGAAAAATATGATATTAATAAAATTTAGCACCACAGACGGAACCATCAGTTCTTAGCGCTCTGAATGTCTTTAAACTCTGTATAATCAAATAACATAAATGCAGAAATGGTAATCACATTAGGTAAGCATATTACGTATACCCAAAAAAAGTTGTATTCGGCCCGTAAGTGATAATTAATTAGTTTTGACGCCGGGTTAATGACATGCGTCTGTAACCTCAATTTTAAACAATGACTGCAATTAAACACTTACCTATAAGAATGGACACTGGCTTATGTTCATGGACAAGTGTTATTGAAAGGTGATTGGCTTTTTTGCTTTCCAATGCTTCTATTTCCATCAGGTGAAATCCATTGTCAACCTAAAATTTTCAACTAATGATTATTCCATGGCAGGTTTATTAATATGAGATAGGGCAACAAGATGCATTTACTATAATAAGGATATTAAATAATGTACTCATAGCTACCGCTATATTAATAAAGTTTTTATATTCTATTATTTTATTACCGATAATCTAGATTTTTCTTCTCTCCAAAATATTGTTCTATGAAAAAGTGTCTAGCTACATCTGCATACATCATGTGTGAAATGTATTATTTTTATGAAAATCATAAAAATACTATTTAGTATACCTATGTATTCATGCCAAAACTATAATAAACTATTGTTTGAATTGAGAAAAAGTTTAATTTCATGCTTAATCATCTCACCAGAAATTGCTTTACCAATAAAATATAGAATCATATTAATGACTATTCAAAAGTTTCAAATTATTTTCTTTTAATTAATATTTATTTTTAATATATTCTATATGATACATATAAGTAGTATATACATTGATGGTGTTAATTGTTGATACTTAGCAGTATTTGTCAAAACAGTTCATATACTTATTATATAAAAATAAAATTGTGAAATAGTGTTTTTTTTTTTAACAACGAAACCATGACAATATTTTATAAATATATTTTATAAGTTTTAAACAACTCTTAGTTTTTTTTTTATTTATATTTTTGCTAGTATTATATATTTATTTTCAACCTTTAATAAGTAAAAACAATAAATTATCGATCATGTACATAATGATACACAATGCATTTTGAATTGTCTCATACAGTAGAATGAAATTTTACATAGTGCCATCTAGCTTGTAGTTTCCATTTTAAGGTTTTACCAAATAATACAAAAAAAGTTTTTAGAGAATTACAACTTACCCTAGTTGGAATTTTTGTAGTAGTAATAAAAATTCTATATGCTGTAACAACCTGAAAACAAAATTACTATTTAAAAATTGTTTTAAATTATTTTAAAACTAAAATTTTTAATAATCAATTGCATCTCTTTACTTCCATAGTACTTTTAATAATTTTATCCAATAAAAAAAATATATAAATGCTTACTAACATTATAAATGTATAGTGTATTGCTATAAAATAGGGCACACATTCTTTTCCTGTGGGTGTTGTAAGAGGTGACTAAGAGAACTTTATGGTCACTATTTAAACATCACCAAAGCCTAATTGCTGTTGCTAACTTGCCTGCCAAGCATGGCAACTACTGGCATAACCCCCAATAGGGGGAGGCCTATGTTTAGTAATGTACAGTTAAAGGCTGTTATGTATGAATGAGTTGTAAATGTGAAAGTGAGTTTATTTATTACCTCTTTGCATCTTAATAGCTTAACAAATTACTGTGACATTTGGCATACACATACTATATGAAACGAAGAATGATATATGCTACTTTTACATTTTTTTCTTTCATTACATAGATAAAGATATGAGTAAAATGTAATAAGTAATAAAAAGAAAATAGCAGTAACAGATGTTTAATTTATAGTCAATTTCTTTTTTAATTATTTTTAAACTAGCTGTGCAAAAATAATTTAACAGTATTTGCATATTAAATAAAAAAAATTATTCTGTATTTTTTTTTTTTGAGAAATTTTCCAACACAAAAATATTTGCAAAATATCTATGTGATTCAGTTTTAAAGATAAGAATAGCATAAAACATTAAATTGTAATTGCAATAGAAATAAAAATAAATTTAGGTATATTTATATAAGAAAAAGTGTTTTTATATTAGAAACATTTGTATGTAAGGTAATTTTATCTCATATCTAATAAAATATTACATAAAAATATACTTAAATTAAATTTTATCTAAACCTTCAGAATGTGACTGTTCTAGTACACTCACATGCTGATAGTCAAATATCTAATTTCATCAATTTATTGTTAAAACTAAAGCTGATAAATAAAGAATTTCTAGATTCAAAATATTGAACTGCACTTCTAGTATACACAGTATGCATTCATATATTAAATGCCAAGTTACATCCTCAATATCAAATCACAATGAATAAATTGATAGATACAATTTCATTCTATTGTTGTCTCTACACAGAATGTGGTGGGAGTAAGTGTTGTGTCCATAGCAACTTTGACAAATGTAATAGCATAGTAGTTGTATACAGCATAAGACACACCTAAATGACTCATATCATTGTCCAGAAAATTATCTGTTTAATAGATAAATATAGTAGTTTAATTATACCTATATGTAGTACTTATGTTATACCTATTCTTTTTACTAATGCTGTTAACATGGATATTATAACTTTTATTATTAAAGTTACCTACTTCTTACTGAATATATTGAAAGTAAAAAAGCATAATAATATTGGCCCATTATTATTCTTGTATTGTCACATTAAATATCTTTATATGGTAGGTATGTACATAAACAGATAATAACTGAGACTTGTGGTTTATATTGGTCATCCATGTATTGCTTTTATCATTACTCTACCATCCTTAATCGCGGTTATTATAGCCATCAATGTCCATCGTTGAATATGTCCTATTATTGCCCTAGCATATAGAAAAAAAAAACAATAGTAATAAGAAACTTACCAAAACCCTATTGTCCACTTTGTCACCTCTAGATTCCATACGAATGAGAGATTTATATAATATTTTAACATTTTTACCCAAAACATTGCTGATACTCTCTGTAAAAATGTAGACAATAATTAAAATTAACACTTAATAATTGTATTGTGTATAACATATGATGATTTTCACGTTACAAAATTTTACTTATATTATTTATTAAAATAAGTATAAATAAATCAGACCGATGTCTTATACGATTATAGTAAAATAACAAATATTAATAATTAAACTTACCGCTTAATTCAGTAGTTATTTGTGATTTTGTTGACATTTTCGCGATTTTCTTCAGTGTCATTACTTAGGGATGTTTTTATTATTTAACGTACACTACTAAATATATTCATGGCATATAATCGAATATCTATAGAAAAAATAATGATTCATAGAATGTACTAACACAAAAAATAAAACACATTTCATTAAATTATTGACCTAAAATTCCTTTTAATTTAATCTCCAAAACACACACCTTTATTCGTTTCATTACGAACACAACCGAGAATGAATAAAAAGACTGGCTCATTTTTCGTCTCTCATCTCGTCAGTCAATAGAATAGACGAACCACGAACAAACTATGAATGAATTTAAAGCTCCGCAAACGGTCTATTATAAGATTGTCCTTTAAAGCATATGGGCATGGGTTTTTTTTTAATGGATGATAATGGAATGGTAACCCCACCCGCGCTATCGGTATACACCGGCGGGACACCAGTGAAGGATGATAGATGAGGATGAAATAAGTCAGTTAGCCCATCGTGACGAATTCAACAAGAATTGTTCACGATGGCTTCCAGGGGGAACCACGTGGAGGTCGACCTAATAAGGCATATTGCTAGCAATGGGGCTGTCAAACCCCATTGCTAACATCCCTTTCCCTCCTATGGGCATGGGTTACAATCATAAATGACAGACACCGTAAATGAAGTGAATTGGGATTAGGATATAAAAAGGGACAAGAGAAGAGTGAGATTTGGAGTAGAGAAAATAAATATTATTGACTTCATATATGTCAATTAACTATTTTTTCCAATATTATAACATTTAATCTCCTATGCTTTCACACTGAAACAATATAAAGTTTGATATATTGGCATAAATATTGTTTTCTAAATGGGTCATTGTACTTGAATATTTTTTAGAATTACATTAAATAAATATTTATATTCTGTGTAATAAATGTGAAATATGAGGTTAAAAAAAATAGTAGATGTGTGAATAGGATCGGTTATGTGACTGAATGAGAACACTATTTTTTGGAAATAGGAACGGCTGAACGGTAAAGTTTATATTGGCAGAGGGTTGTCACTTATATATATTTTTTAGTTAAATGTCGTACGTTGTTACTCCGTGGAAATATTTGTCAGACATATTTAATCGTGTTAATATGTTGTTTTATGTATTTCTAGCATGATAGCAGAGGGTTGTTTATTTTATTCTAGGTTTTTATTATCACTGAAAGACTTTACGGTTCTTTAACGTTATCTTATTCCTTTTTATTTCCTAAGAACAAGGAATTACATAGAAGGAATGATAAAATAAAAACTGTAAATCATATGGTTGCCTCCTTTCTTCTTATGCAAATTTAATTAGTAAAAAGAGGACAAAATATACACCATCAGTTGCTATTTTTCTCAATTGATGGGCTAACTGGCCTGTTTTCGTTCTCATCTATCACCCTTCACTGGTGCTCCGTCAGCGTATCCCGCTAGCGCAGGCAGGGCATACCATTTTCACTCATAAAAAAAAAAAAACTACATACACAGAGTAAAATATTATTAGGCATAATGTTCAACATAATCTTGAAAAATTCTTCATAATGGACGAACTGTCCTGCTTTCATCTCATCATTCACTTCTACTCGCCAGTATTTATCAATAGTTCAAATGAAATCATCATTCTATTATTATCAATTTAAAAATGTATCGCGCTTTTTCTCATTCCTAAGTCAATATTTTTCAAATCTACTATTCTGTATTTTACTGTATTATGATTTCATTCGTACTAAAACTAAAATATCAATTCTGGAATATCCTCTTTCAAAAATTGCTCCTTATTTTACGTTCAAATGTAAGCTTTGGTTATTGTAATATAATAATAATAAATCGTCTCATTATAATAACTAGTTTTTGCATATTTATCCCAGAAGGAGCAATTAGAACTACATTGTTAACCATTACATCATCTATTCATACTCCCATATAGTAACCGCTGCTCAATTTTTTGAAACATTTTTCCATATGCAAGATGAATGGTCGGGTTAAATATCATATTTTAGCCGTATTCAAGAGTCCGATTGAAAAGAGAACAAAAAAGTCTATGGTACTGTCAGTCTATATGTGTCAACAATGTCATGTCATTGTCATTTTCTGTTTGTGATTTCCTTTTGCTTTGCTATTTTTGCCATTAAAAATTTGTCACCTATTTTATATTAAATTTTCGTAAGGTCTGGGTTTAGGTCACCATTTACCTAGTATTAAATAGTTGGAATATATTATTTTATGTTTATATACTAAATGAGTAACAGAGATGAACAAAAACTACGAAAGATGTACACATTGTAATCGTCGTAAATGGCTTACAACAGGATGCCTACGGAAATGGATAAAACCAATGGAATGTAAACATTTTCAACGAACTATTGATAACAAACGAGATTTCTCGAATACAGAAATTAATTGTGTATTTCTACCTGAACGCAAGCCTCCTATGAATACAAATAAATTTGTAAAATTCTGGAAAAACAAATTGTTTATTACTGGCAGTGTCAGATCTCTACAAAGATATTTTGGAAACAAAACTGGTGGTGAACATATTTGTAATTTTAATAATAAAAATAATTATCCTTCATCAATAACAGACAAATATTTAGGATCTCATAACAACTGTGAAAATAAAAAAGATTTGGAAGTGAGTAAACAGACAATGAAATGTCAACATTCTGAGGGCCATTCAGTCCTACGTGGTCATCATCAACATGCTTCTGTGGAGACTTGTGCTATATATTGCCAATTATCTAAGTAAGTATCTTTATCTACCATACATTTTTAGTCTCTGAGCAATTTAAGTGTCCTTTTTGCATTATTTCTATATTATATTTTTGCAGACATGGCTGGTATTGGGGAGGAATAACTTCAAGTGAGGCTGAAGAATTATTAGCTGGACAACATGATAATGTTTTTCTTGTACGTGACTCATTTGATTCTCGTCATATACTATGTGTATCATTCCGGTGTGTAGGACGCACTCTGCATGCTCGCTTAAGACATGCTAATGGACTTTTCTCTTTGAACAATGAGACTTTTGTACCGGCAAATAGGATATCTGAGCATTGTGCTGCTGTGGATGTGAGATCAAACTTATTTGAGATGCCAGTCAAATTGGCTAGACCTTTAAACAGGTAAAGTTGACTCTAGTTTATCTTTACTTATAATTATAAAGAAATGTTTTTCAATGACTAGTTATTTATGAGCCCACTATATGTACAAAACTTAACAATGCTCTTGGATCTACTCAAATGCTAGCTATTTATTTAAGTTAGCTATGATAATAAATTAATAAAGTAATTTCTGACAGATACACAGATAACAAAAAATTTATTTAAAAATGATTGGCTCCTAGTTAGTCATAAAGGAGATGATCATTATTTATCTGTTATAAAATTTTATTTAATATTGTCAACATTTGATATCTACTAACAATGCCTCATTGGTATCTTTATAATATGAATGTAATATATGTCACTGATTATACCATTATATTGTCATAGTCATAGAATACTGATGGATCTGAAAATATTACATATATATATATATGTCACTATTCTATGACTATATATATATATATATATATATATATATATATATATATATATATATATATATATATATATAAGCTATGTGGTTCCAGCATAGAGTGGGTCACCCCTTCCTTTCCCATGGGTGTCATAAATATGCCTGTTTATCCACTGTTGACAAATAATGATATATACATGCAAATAACATTCATAAGTTCTAAAGCTGCACATTTCTAGTAGTAGATATTTAATTTAAAATTATGTATCTCCAATAAAGAATATCTGTTTCCAGATTTGCGAGATTGGACTCTCTACAAATGATCTGTCGATTTGTTATACGTCAAACAGTCTCAGCAAGTGTGTGGGAAAAGTTGCCTTTACCACCAAACTTAATATTATATGTATCTCTGGGCAGTGATTACATAGTCCCCTCATAGCCAATACATATTGTAACACTGTGCCTTCAGAGTCAAACCACTCCTTAATATAAGCCTACTTACATGTAATGGACTGTGTCATTTATTATGACTATTATTATGTAGAAAGTGTTCATAAATTTTATACAAAATATTTTAATAATAAAAATTAATTCATATTGCATGTTCTGTTTTCATAACCTTTTTTAAGTCTAAGTACAATTAAAAGAATGATAATAGTTAACTTTTTAATGTAATATAGTTATAATACCAATGCATCTTGTAATAACATTTTTTATCTAATTACAACATTAATTCTATTATAATCTTCAATCTACTTCAGTGTATTTATTCCTAAAATATTTTTGGCCTGAAAAGAAAATAGGTAGATTAAGTATTAATTATATAATTATATTGTAGATATACCTATTATTTTATAACACTACAAAGAAGTAACTGGGCTGTAATGATAATTATAAACTATGTTTTTAGCAATAAATACTTAATTTGATATTGTTAGGCAGTCTCACATTTTTTTTTTTTTTTTTTATACAACTTAGAATGGCAAACAAGCTGACGGCCCACCTGATGGAAAGTGGTGACCGTCGCCTATAGACATGAGCAGTACCATGGACATAACAGAGTATACTGTTTCGCCCATGATACCCCCCATGCGCTGCCATTCCTGAGGACTCAGGTGTTATTCCTCTGTACCCAGTAAATTCACATATAGGGTTACTTTAAGATTGGTAATATATCTCACTTTTTGTTTTTTATTTATAATAATATAACACAGGAAGGGTCTCTGAAATATAGAAATATTTCTTACTGTTACAAAAGCTGCTGTTAGGGTCTGTGGAGCTGCAGACACGGGACTCATGTTAATGGCCGTTTGAATCAATTGAGCGTCTCTAATTCGTGACGATACAAAATTTTTGGTTGCACTATTGTCCTGACTCTTATCTGTCAGGTAAAATAATTCGGTAGCTTTATAAATACCTGCTAAACCTACTCGACGAATATACCAGTTGAACTGAAAATAAATATAATCGCAAAATATAAGTAATATATCTATTGTTAATAGCAATTATATATATATATATATATATATATATATATATATATATATATATATACTAAGGAATCGATATATCTTACATCCACACTTCGGTCGCCAGAGTGGTAGCAAATGTCATCTACTAAGGAGAGCAAAGTGGCTAGACAATTAGGTACATTATTTGGAAGTGCCTGTATAGCCATTGCTTTTGGCCAGGAATCCCTAAAAATGTAATAAAAAAAACATAAGATCCTAAAATAATCCAATTATAAACCTGAAGCTGGAGATAACTTACTTATAAGGTTCTATCATTAAAAGTCTCGTCATTATAGCATTTTCAATAAATTTTGTTGGCACTTTGGGCTCCTTCAATTCTTCTTTTGGCCACTAAGTAAAAGAAAATGTTATAAATAAGTATATGAAACAACTGTAACAAAAAATTAATTGGTATCTGAAACCTAGAAAGAAACTTACACTCTTCATTTTTTTCACAAGATTGTCATTACACCTTACATTGAAATAGTGAACAAGATCTGCTCCTCCATTGGGAAACAAACCATGTGTCACACCTGGATATCCAGCTGCTTCAGCACCTGCACTAATAGATTCAACAGACCAACCATGTTTTGGTACAAAATCTAGAGCTTTTTCCAAAATATGATTTTTAATATCCTCTTCATATTGTTGTTCCTCATGTTCAGTTGCAGCTATGGCCACCTTTACTTCAGATTCAGGCCGAGTTTGACAATAGTTTCTAAGTAACTTTGAACTTCTATTAATTCTTACAGACATAATGGGCAATATATATCTGTGTCCACTCCTCAGTGCTGTTGACAAAATCATTATAATGAAATATTCATCCTACTCAATAATGTGATATATGTTACTCAATCAATTTTAAACAAATTGCTGAACTAATTTGAATAATACAATCCTACATTGTCATAGAATACATCTTAACCTATTTCACGTAGGCAAAACTATGGGTAACTAGTGTATTTGAAATATTATTGTACTATGACTGCAAATAAAAAAATGAAAATAAGATTAAAAATTTATTAAAAATGTACAAATTGTAATCCATATTAAGTTTGCATCTTATTGATATTAATACATTCAGACAATCGAGCCACAAGACCTTCAATAAGATGGAAAGCATTAAGTGCCGAATGTATTATTTCTTTCTTGTTTTCTGTTGGAATTTGTTGTAACATATTTCCCCCTACATTTATTGATACATTCATAGCTTCCTCTGGAAGCGTCTTTCCTTCTTCTATATCTTTCAATTTTACCTCATAGTGAGCTTTAGACATATTTAGCCCAATTCTTAATTTATTTATGTAGTCTGTTTCTATTGTAGGGAAGAAATCTTGAATTCCTGTTATATTTCCAGTATCTTTTAAAGCCAAATATCTCAAAAGATTAAGTGTAGATATAATTTGGTCTGCCAATTCAACTATATCAGATTCTTCACCATATGGCAAGTAACATATCTTTTTAATCATACTCGAAAGTTGGGTACCAGTAAAACATTCATGCAGGACTGGCTCTTTGAATGCATCATCAATAGAATTCTTAAATATTGTTATGGCATACCCAATCATACCAGAGTGGTTTGTAACTCCTATTAAATATTTAATTAACATATATCTTCCCTTATATTCAAACTTATTTATATGAGCCCCTATTATGTTTACAGCATTCTTACGGATGCTTTCATAAGTTGAATAAATAGCAACATTAGACAAACTTTTACATAAATCAAAATGGATAGATGAAGACAACAATATGTGTGATACATTTCTAGTAAGTCGGTTCAAGACTGCTTCACATAGGGTGATTCCTTTAGCAAGAGGACCATATTCAGTAAAGCTCAATAAATGAACAACTGACAATAATACAGTATTAACAACATATTCAGTGCTGTAAACATATGGTAATGAATTTTCAGGCATTTTAAAATGTCCTGATAGTGAAGCATAATATAACCCTGAGAGGCTAGTAATATTTAATTTTTCTCTATGGTCATAGGGAGACTTTTCTTCGTCACTATCATCAGTTTTTGACTTGGACTTCTGATGCTCCTTGTAACAGATTTCCAAGTAGGTTAGAAATTTCAAAACATCATTTTCTAGAGTACAAATATCTTGTATAATTGTACTGCAGCATTTCCAAGCTTCACTTTTAGCACTTGATTCAGGATCCATATCAATAAAAAGCAAAGGTTTACCCAGAAGACTTATAAGAAAAGCATTGATTATTTGGTTTGTTCTTACATCAGGCTGTTTTAATACCTCTATAATGAATGGATTATAAAATGATGGTAACATTGTATAAACCTTAATAATTCTCCTGACATTGGGCTCAGAATCCATAAGGAGGCGCTCTTTACCTTCTAGTTGGTATTCAGGAGTTGGAATATTTTCAATATAAGTGCTTATAGAATTTAAACACCATTCTAAGCATCTTCCCTTTTTTGTAGTGATTCTATGTAAAAGGTTTTGTAATGGCGTCAATATGATACCAAACTGAGCATCATTTTTGGCCAATTCAATTTGTTCAATAAATTCCAATAGACCTTCTTCAGGTAAGACCTTCTGTACAATAATAGATAACAACTCTTCACAGGTGCCATGTAGAGATGGCTTAATAACAATAGTGTCATCATGTATCTTGCCTATGACAATTGCTATCAAATCCCAACAGTTATCTTTAAAATTTTCTTCATATTGTTGTTCAGTAGGCAGACTTATAGCCTCTTTATATTTTCCCGAATCCAATAATTTAGAAACAAGATCCACAATGTCTATACTCTGTTCCATGGTTGATGTTGCAAAAAGAGTTCGTAATCCAAAGAACTCTGAAATTAATTGTTTAAAATACGTTATCGACATTTAAATCGAGCGGGGAGAGGTTCTAACGATGCCGTGATCTCTTCACAATACGTTTTAAAAATAGATATGTAAATTTAAGCAAGAATACTTACATCTTAGAACTCTCGGCAAATTACTCATGCCTAATGTTGGGTTGATAATAATTTTAGTGTAATAAAATTCTTGTACTTGAGATTACTATCTTGGAATACTATCATAAATCTTCTTTTGGCTACGGCTAAATAATTCTAAATTAAAATATTCCTGTAAGTAATAAAAATTAACTATTAAAATTCATACATGGCGAGAAAAAAAGAAATTATTACATGCAGACGTCAATCTGACATCAAGATGTCAATGTCAACTGAATGATAAAATAAAAATGTCATATCATATACCTGGTCCATAGATTAAATGATATATAAAAATATTCTATGGTATGTAACCCAAGAACAAGGAATCTTTGTACCAAACCTATATGTAGAGCATTTTGGTATTTATTAAGTATATAAATACAATAAAGTATTCATATATTTTTATTTATATAAATTCTTTATTCATATAAAGGTAGCAGAATAGAGGATGAAATGATAAACGAAGAGGGTAATAATATAATAATATTAAATAGAAGCTATTTTTTTGTCGATCATTTTGTAAAAGCGATACTAGTTAGTGATTAAACAAAAGACCTAGATATCGTATCGATTTGAAGAAAAAACTGCTAAGGTGCAAACTAGGTAATAAACTTAGTGAAATTAGAAAATAGAGAAAGAAAAATATTATTGCCTAGTATCCATAATATTTGTCATTTTTTATAAATTGAATTCCTAAAAGGTGTTTTTACAAATTAAATAATATTTTAATATAATAGTGCGATATAGTGTTTCGTGTATTTAGTGTCTGTTGTCTTAATATAAATAAATTGTCTAGTTACTTGGACTACGAACTAAATCTTTTGTATTCAACACAAGTGCTACTACTTTCTTCATGCTGATTTATCATTTCATGTATATCTACTCCTAATAAGGTAGGTATTAAGTTGCAATTCTAACAAAAACAACTACGCAATTAGACTTTTGGGTAAAAATAAAAAACCCCATCTAGCAATACTGCTTGTCTATGTCTAACTCTTTAGACTAGATATTTTTTTTTTTTTTTTCTTCTTTTGTGGCGTTCACCCCGATATTAGGGTATTTTGCCAAGAACAAAACGGGGAAACGATAATAGTAATAAAAATACCTAACACAAACGAATTTAAAAAGGATAAGGATTAGGTCTAGGATATTTATAGGATATGAAGGATATACTTGTACATATGAGAATATACTTATAAATATATAGGAAAAGCAATTGATGCAACTATAAATGTATTCATGTAATATAACTAAATCTTAATATTGTTATCATATATATATGAAGATAGTATTTTATAGATAATAGGATCATTGGAAGAAAGTAGAGTAAGAATAGAAGTTGGGAATGGAACACGGATGGATCGGAGATGATTAAAAAGGGAGGTGTGGTCAAATTTAGAACATGAGAAGAATATATGATTCAAGTCCGCCACTTCAGCACCGCAATTACACGACGAACTTTGTACAATACCAAGCTTGTATAAATGAGAAGGTGTGCATACGTGACCTAGACGCATACGAGTTATAATAGTTGTTGCGGTCTTTCCAAGCTTTAATTTACAAAACCATGGTTTGAAAGGAATATCGGGTTGTATAAGGCGATAAAATCTTCCTTTTATTGTACTTGTTTTTTCCCAATATTCCTTCCAGGCATACCTTAAATATATTTTTGGGAGACAAGCTAGGTCACTACAGTAATTATGATACGGATACATATCACCACAAGTTACAGCCTCTCTTGCAATAAGGTCAGCTTTGTCATTGCCGCTAATACCACTGTGTCCTGGTAACCAGGCAAAAGAAACGGAATACCCTCTCAACATGCAAAGATAAAGACTTTGTCTTATGTCACAAATAATGGGATAAACTGGTTTTGATTTAAACGGATATTTGGCTAGAGCTTGCAAAGAGCTCATAGAGTCAGTGAAAACTATTGCCTTATGTAATTTCATTAAAAGTATATATTCTACAGCTTTTAAAATACCATAGCATTCCCCGGTAAAAACTGAAGATTCCGGTGGAAGTTTAATTTTTTGAACGATATTAAATTGTGAATGAAACACACCCACACCTACACAACCGCTATTGTCTGGTTTTGATGCATCAGTAAAGATGTAGTGCCATTCATTCCATTCAATGTCAGTTATAAACATAAATTTGGCATTCAATTCTGAATCATTTTTTGATAACCCAAAATCATATTTAATATTAGGAGATAAAACTAAAGATTGATATGAGCATTTATAAATGGGAAAACAGGACGATGTAAAAGTGGGAGATTCTATGGATTTATATTTTTCATAACTTTGTATTAAACATGGAGGTTTTTTATATTTCCAATAAGATGAAGACGAAATAAAGATATATAGTTGAGATAACTTTTGAATAAGCGGATGATCAGATAATTGTAAACAACGAAAAAAGAAGCGATCAGATAAATATTGCCTTCTTAAAACCAAAGGTGGATCACCGACTTCGAGCTGTAAAGCATTGATTGGACTTGATTTCATTGCTCCAGAGATAATCCTCAAGGCCTTTGATTGAATTAAATCCAATTTCTTAAAAGCAAATGAACTTCCTGGAGCTAACAAAAAAGTTCCATAATCAATGACACTCCTTATAAGACCATTATAAGCAAGTTTTAGTGAAACGGGATGTGCTCCCCACCAAACTCCAGCAAGGCACCTAAGAATGTTAAGGTTACGCTCACATTTCGTGGAAATATAATTACAGTGGGACAGACCTGTTAATTTATTATCTAGCACGATACCTAAAAATTTAATTTCAGTCTTTATAGGAATGTATGAGTTATCATAAAGCACCTTAATTTGTTGCGGTGATCTCATTCTTGAAAACAAAACTACACTACTCTTGGTTACAGAAAGATTAAGACCATTTGCATCTAACCACGTTTTTAACAAATCTAATGAATCAGATAATTTGGCAGAAGCAGATTCTATGGACTTCGCAATAAAATATAATAAGAGATCATCAGCATATTGTAAAATTTTTACGGATTTATCAAGGAATGATTCTAGATCGTATGTGTATATGTTGAATAAAATTGGACTGAGAACAGATCCTTGTGGAAGGCCTTTCCATACTGTTCTAGATAATTTGGTATCTTCATCTAGATCCATATGTATTGTTCTTTGTGATAAAATATTAATAATGAAATTAGAAAGCATTACCGGTACATTTAAAGCTTGTAATTTAGTTTTTAAAATAGAAATTATTACATTATCATAGGCAGAATTTATATCTAAAAAGGCTGAGAGGATTGACAAATTTTGTGAGAAAGCTATATGAATATCTGAAATAAGAATGCTCACATTATCTAAGGTGCTCTTACCTTTCCTAAAACCAAACTGGTTCGGGGATAGTAAGTTATTACTTTCTAAAAACCATTCTAGACGGTTCTTCACTAAATGTTCAGCTAGCTTTAGTAAGACAGAGGAAAGTGCAACAGGACGGTATGAAGATGGTTCAGAAGGTGGTTTATGAGGCTTTAGAAATGGTATAATAATCTGAGACTTCCATGAAGTAGGTATATTTCCCGAAATAATTATGGAATTAATTATATTTAAAAAGTAAATTAATGTCGCATCGCTAGCATTTTTAAAAAAGGAATACGGTATACCGTCTTCTCCCGGTGCAGAGTCTTTAATACAAGCTAGAACACCTTTAAGTTCTACAAGAGTAAAAGGAGACTCAAGTTCGGATAATTCGTCAGAGACGGATAGATAAATATTGTAAAGGCATTCCGGCACATAACTAGGAGCAAGGCGATCTAAAAATTTATTCGCTAAAGTTAAATCGAGTGCAGAACGTGATGTATGATCACTAAAGGCAGATCTGAATCTTTTAATATTATTCCAAACGACTGATGAATTAACTTCTGGACAGATAGAAGAACAAAATCTTCTCCAACCTTCCAACTTCTTTTTTTTCAGTAGTTTTCGAGTAGAACGTGAAACTGCGGTGTAAATTTCAAAATTTTCTGATGTCATGTAATTATTATAATTTTTTTCAGCCTCTTTACGATTTTTAATTGCTTCCGTACAATCTTTGTCCCACCAAGGTGGGGAGGGAATTTTCCCTGAAGCACTATTTTTAACAGGAAATAATAAATCAGCAACCTCCTTCATATTAATTATCAAGTCATTACAACAATGATGTTCATTTCCATGGTAAACAATAGGTAACTCCGATATTTTATTATCTAAATATTGTTTGTAAATATTCCAGTCTACATTTGATAAATTATATTTAAGTCGAGGACCACTCTTTCGACTTGAGGGAATGGAAATTGGAAAAGAAAGAATGAGGGGAAAGTGATCGCTTCCGAAGGTAGAGGAATGAGGATACCACGACAGTGAAGAAGCTAAATCAGAAGAACATATTGAAATATCAGGAGCACTAAACCCTTCATTCGGTGCAGTTCTACGTGTCGGTACATCTGAGTTAATAATACATAAGTTGTAAGTGTCAATTATCGTCAGGAGTTTTCCACCATAAAAATTAGAAGTAGAACTGCCCCACGATTGGTGCTGAGCATTAAAATCGCCCATTACGAGAAAAGGTTTAGGTAAAATTGAAAATAATTGTTCTAGTTGTGAATATATTTGGCATGTAGGATCAGGAATATATAAAGTAACAAAACAGATACCATTTATAATTATAGCAGCTGCATTAATGCCGCTATATACAGGAAGCGAAAAAGAAGAAAAAGAAGGGAGTTTTTGACCAATATGGCAACACCGCCATATCCGTCAGCTCTATCATCACGGAGACTTGTAAAGCCTGAAATCCTAAAAGGATATCCTGGCTTTAACCAAGTCTCTTGTAGAGCTATTATAAAAGGATTATATTTATTAATCAAATAAAATAAGTCTGATTTCTTATTTGTTATGCTACGACAGTTCCACTGAATTATTTGGACTTTGTAATCCATTGTGAGAAGTTAATAATTGAGAAAATACATTGTACATGGCATCGTTGGACGGTGGTAAAGTTGTTTGTATCATTTTCGATTGCGATAACACTTTAATAAGCATGAGAATAATATCAATGATGGATTGATTATTGTCAATATTATTTGATGATAATGCACAACCATTAGAGGGAGCAGGAATATTATATTCCTTAACTATGGCTTCATGGGCAGAACGATCATATCCTTGTTGTATTTTTTGAGGAGAGCGTGGTTTAAGTGTAACTGTTTTTTTATATGATGATTGTATATGTGGTAATGATGATTTCTCTTTAAGGAAAGAAGATTGAAAATGAGATTTATTGGAAGGAGATGATGATGTTAATACATCTGAATATAGTTTAGAAGTTGGAGGATGAAATTTTGATGCTTCAGCATAAGAAACACAACTATGGGCCATTGTTTCTTTAATGGCTTTCTGACGTGCATATTCAGGACATTTTTTACTAATTGCTGAATGAGAACCATTACACAAGATACAAGAAACATTTTCCTCATCTACTTCACATTTATCACCTGTATGATTTTGCCTGCATTTATAACACCGAGGATTTGAACGACACTGCATCTTGACATGTCCGAACCTACAGCAGTTATAGCATTGGATAGTAGGGTAAATGTACAAATCTACAGTTAATGATGTGTAAAACATAAATACTCTTTTTGGCAATATTTGTCCATCAAAAGTAATAACAATGGTTTCAGTATTAATAAAACTTGGTTGTCCTTCATTAATTGTCTTTTTCTTTATTCTTCTGGTTTTTAGAATTTTCCCACAACCTATCGGTACTGATATATTTTGGATTACTTCCTCTTCTGTCCAATCTTTAGGAATACCCCTCACAATTCCCATACGGGTTACATGGAAAGAAGGTATAAATGCCTTAAAATTATGTGTCTCTAAGTTACTATTATTTAAAAATGCATTTGCATTTTCAAAATTTGAGAAAGAAAGCGATAAACGGTTTCTTCCTATTCTTTTGAGGCTACCATTCACTATATTATTTATCTTATTAGTATGTAAAAAGCGACCAAATGCAATAGGATGTAATGTAGTGTTATCATTAGGATGTGTTTCATTTTTTTGTACATGAACGACATAAGGTGCTATATCCTCGGCATTGTACAAAGTTCTGCTTAAAGTACTGGGTGGAGAAGCAGGTTTAACAGACTCGGTATTGTTTACAACTGGTATTGATACTTGAGTTTGATTCTCATCTTCAATACATTGACAATCACTATCTTTAATTTTAGATTCAAGACCCTTGGTGTGCCTCCTTCGTTTTTTATTGCAATGTTTGCAAATGCGACGTTCACCACGTACTCGCTTACGTTTAGAACTTGCAACGCTAGAACCATCTGTGTCCATACTAGATTCACCTAATATATCAAAACTATTATTGAATGGAATAGTTATATTTGCAGACACCTGGGGGGTTGTCCCCTCAGGGTCTATAGGTGGATCCATAATGTTAATATAGGTAATTTACTTACCAATATTTACAGCAACAAACACTATTACTACAAAATATACAATTAAATATATAATCTAATACACAATATATAAAAAAGACTAATCCTTATATAAATAAAAATAAAATTAATTTAAAGAAGATCAAAAAACACTCCCGCTTTTTTAAACGTTTCCCGCGCTTTTTCTACTCAGACTAGATATTAATAATACTCTACACTGTATTGTGCGATATCATGATTATGTTGTATGTATCTTTTTAATCTGTGGTATTTATTTTGTGTATGAAATATCCGGAATTGAACTTAATTCCCGATTCCGTTCTTACTTTGTTCATTATTTATATTATTCGAAATAAAAACCAAAATAAAATTTATTGTGTGTTTACCTAAGCATATCTGTAATGTAATTTAATACTTACATTCTACAATAGATATACACAAAAATGGCAACCAAGAAGAAAAATATATTTACGAGAAGTAAACCTTTAATGAACATTTATAGCTCCATAGACCATGAAGGAAAAGAGGTAAGAATAATTAATAAACAAGAATTCTTAAGGTATGATGAGCATTTTTTCTAAAAGTGAAAGTGGAATAATAACCTCACCTGCGCAAACGGTATACCTTGGCGGAGCACCAGTGATAGATGATGATAGGTGAAAAGGAATGCAGGTTCAGTTGGTTCATCATAATGAATTCATCAAGAACTTACCACGATGGTTTCCATAGGAAAGAGCGTAGAGGTGTATTATTCATTTAAAAAAAAATTATTAATATAAATAAAAAAAGTTTATTTAAATTTATCTAGGTAGAAGTCAGAGAAGATGCAGAGCAAATTGTTAAATGGCATGAAATATCAGATGCACTAGTCGCTGCTGGCTACTATCGTGCCCAACTTCAGGGGCTTTCACCTTTTGACAAGATTGTTGGAGGCTTGACATGGTGTATTGAGCTATGTGATATAGATGTGGATGTTAGCCTTTTATTCGAGGAGAATCTTACAATAGGAAAAAAAATGTTAGTAAACTTTCCATATTTTGTGTATGTTTTTGTTTTAATAAAAAGCTAGTATCAGTCACACACTTCACAATAAAATATTTTATCAATTTATAGAATATTAATGTTTATATTTGAAACAATTATTTATAATTGTACAAAATATATTAACCTGTTAACTGAGTGGGATATATAAATATGTCAAATGGAAACAATAGTGAGTATGGGTAGGACATATGAATGTGTCCTTGAAATATATGTTGCACCCTGGAATGGGTGGAATATATAGTTTCATAAAATAGAGGTATTACTTTTCTGTATTGATGTGAATTGTGTTTGAATGTGAATTTAAGACATGGAGAAAATCAGTGTCATTTCGCTATTGAGAGTGGTGAACGTATTCTGGATCAGTAAGTATACTTATTTTCGTATTATATTTGGAGAAAATCAGTGTCATTTCGCTATTGAGAGTGGTGAACGTATTCTGGATCAGTAAGTACACTTATTTTCGTATTATATTTGGAGAAAATCAGTGTCATTTCGCTATTGAGAGTGGTGAACGTATTCTGGATCAGTAGGTACACTTATTTTCGTATTATATTTTATTTACTTATATTTTTTATTTATACATTATTGTTTATATTTTTTATATTTCTAACCTTTTTGTTTTAGAATACTTTTTTATCCATTAACATGATTGAAAGTGATATCCGCAATGATGAAATCAATGTACCAGCAGGTATAAAAAAGGAGATGTATTATGAGTTTGTTATCAGAGTTATCTGATAGAAATTTTTGATTAGGATAGGAAATTAAGCAATACTGACAATGAAGATGGTAAAGAAGTTGATTAAGTTGATCCTAGCAACAGCATTGTTTCTGAAGAATGGCTACCTCAAAATGTAGAAAGACCACCATTTCCCTTTACTGAACATCCTAGAAATACTTTCGATATTCCTCCAAAAAAAGTTCCTTTGTTTTACTTTGAGAAGTTTTTAGATAAGGAACTTATTAAATTAATTACAGAGCAAATAAATTTGTACGCCACCCAATTTTTTTATTATAATCTTAAGTTGAAACTACATTTGTGAATTCGAAAATGGAAAGATACAAATGAAGCTGAAATGAAGGTTTCTTTAGGACTTCTAATTACTAAGAAGAATAATTGAAACACCATTTTTTTTACGAAACTGAGCGAAAGTAAGTTTGGATTATTATGTAAATTTATACATTTTGCAGACAATCTAAGTTTTGATCCTAATACATCTAATAAAAAAAACATATAAAATTGATCCAATCATCAATAATTTGACAGAAAAGTTTAAAAGTTTTTATGTATGTGAATGTGATCCATGAATTTCTTTTATTATGGAAAGGAAATTTACCTTAGAAACAATATGTATTTATAAAAAGAGCTAGATTTGGAATGAAGTTTTTTATTTTAAGTGAAAGCCAATATGGATACGTACAAAATATATTTTTATACATAGGCAAGGACACAAATTATGGTTTAAACTGTCCTCAAGAAAAACAATCGACAAGATTTGTTCGGAGTTAACACATAAAGGGTATAAGGATTTACTTAGATAATTTCTATACTTCAATTCGTTTGGCTGAACTCTTGTGTCAAAACAATACAGACATTGTTGGAGCAATGACGATAAATAGAGTTGGAATCCCTGGTGAAATAAAAACAAAAAAATTACAGAAAAATGAATATATAGTAAGATTCAAAGACAAACTTATGATTTTAAAATGGAAAGATAAAAAGACGTATTGATGCTCAGTTCTATTCATAATGATGAAAAGACAATGATTGAAAAGGTAAGAAAAATCGAATATTGCCCTGGATTAAAACAAAAATATAGGCGGCGTAGAGTTGGAAGATGAAGTTATGGTGGGCTTACACGGCTCGTAATACACTAAAAAATGTTATAAAAAAAATTTCTTCCATTAACTGATATTTGCTGGTTTAATGCATATATTATATACAAAAAAGATAAGGTTACTTGGATCGATTACACTTTTTGATAGTGTCTAGAGAAATTGGTGGATAACAACATAGTGAAAACCCATCCAAAGACCTACACTAGCTCTACACCTAAATCACTACGCTTAGTTAAAAGACATTTTCCAGAATAAATGGAAAGCGATATAGGAAAAACTAAATCGAGAAAATGCCGAACTTGCTACAAAAAAGATGTTAGGAAAAAATCTACATACTGGTGCCTGGATTGTAAGGTAGCGCTATGTATCGACAATTGTTTAAAAATGTGTGATATACACGAATAATTTTGAATTTTCACATATATATAGTAATTTTTTAAACTTAATATTTCTATTTTATTTGTGTATTTTTATTTATTGTTCTGTAGTTGTTAATTTTTTTAATTTTTTATTGTGTATCTAAATAAAATAAATATATTTTTGTACTTGTTATAGTAGATACCTATCTACTTGATACGACACACTCTCAACGGCGATCGGATCAGACCACCTAGCATGACGCAAGAAGGTGCGCTACCGAGAAATACACCTGCGTCGAGTCAGCATTTCAATTCCCACAGCAAAAATACCCATTCCCTTTATGTTTGATTCGATATGACTGCACTTACGGATCACACATCGATCTGAAGACACTTATTATTGTAATAATTAATTTTAGAATTAAATTTAATTATATTTAGAAAATTGGTTTTTTTTTTGGGTCTTCCGCCAGCGACTTCAATAACTTACTCTTTATAATTGTTTGTAAACTGTTTGTAAAATTTATAATTTCTTAATTCAATGTATCCTTATTTTTGTTGGTATTCTTTTCTATTTGTTTGTAATTTATTATTTTCCTTTGTATTATATATAAAATAAACAAAAACGTATATATTTCTTAGTCTTTTCATTTATTTTAGGCATAAATAAAAATATGAGATTACTTTCTCCGGCCGTGACGTACTGACACGTTCTAGTGAAAGAGCTCACTCTCGTTATATCTTGCGCAATTAAAGGGAATTCCTCGGTTAACAGGTTATATAATATAATGACACAACTTAAAAGGTAGCCTTCGTATCACTATAAACTTGTTTATTGATACACATTACTTATGTCTGTGCCATATTTTTATATTACTTAATAGATGTTTATTTTATTAAATTTGTGTCAAACAACTTTTGATTACATAACAATGACAATCCAATATAAAACTGAAATTTATTCATTTTGTCAGTTTCATTCCTATTACATTTTCAGAGCATTAACTGAGAAAATTGTTAAAGTTCTGCCAACAATGAAATGTCCACATGTGATTGAACCTCATCAAATCCAGGGATTGGATTTTATCAATATTTTCCCATTGATTTTGTGGTTAATAAAGTATTCCAGTGAATTCAGAGAAGCTAAAGAAGATGAGCTACGAAAATTTGCTGTTATGCAATATGAAAAGAATCACATGTTTGAGTCTGATAGAGCATTATTTCTTCAGAAAGAAAAGTTATTAAAAAATTTAGCTATTGTTCGGGTATGTATTTGTTACTTCATTAATGTTGGTTTTTTTTTTTTCAGTAATACTCATTAATTAAACAATTTACGTTCATTAGCTATTTATATATTATGACAATAAATTGTTGCTAAGTAGCCTACTTCAAAATTATAACTACCCTACCCATGACTTCATTTGTGTAGAATTAAATGATTTAATAAATGTAGTGTTGCTTTTCCTAAGTTTCCCTATTTAAAATTTTATCAAAATTGATTCTGCCATTTACGTCTATAAACCTTGCAAGTGGTTAGACTTAATTTTAACTTAGTACTTACTGTAATAAAGGCGGTACTACAGTCCCTCAAGCGGTGTCTAATTGACTATAGGTAAACCGAAGTGTTGAAGTGTATATACAGTAAGGCTACAATGTATCTATCCGAGTATAGAACCAGAGTACGAAACCCATCCCAGTGGAGAAAGGTGTAAGATAGGGTGACGTCATATCCCTGAAACTCTTCACAGCTGCATTGAAAGATGTTTTCAAACTCTTGGATTGGAAAAGATATGGTATAAATATCAATGGCAAATACAACACTCACCTTCGATTTGCCGATGACATAGTAATCATGGCTGAATCCCTAGAGGATTTTATTACTATGCTCAATGACCTCAATGGTGCTTCTTAACGGGTAGGTCTTAACATGTACGTGGACAAGGCTAAAATCATGTGTAACGTTCATGTCACACCTATATCGATTACGATTGAGAACACTACTCGAAGTTGTCGACGATTAGGTGTACCTGGGACAACTTGCCCCAATATGTAAGTCCAACTTCGACTGAGAGGTTAACCGACGAATCCAACTCGGCGGCTGAATATTGTTCGGAAAAATATGTCACATCTTTTCATCCAAAATACTTCAAAGTTCAAAGACGAACCAATGCGTGTTGCCATTGATGACTTATTAAACCGAAATATGGCCCTATACGATTGGCCGTATGCAAAAGTTTCAAATTATTCAGCTGGCTATGGATGGAGGGGTATGTTCGGTGTTTCTGCGTGTCTATCCGAAACGAGGATATCAGCAAAAGAACCAAAATAATCGACATAACTCGAAGGATAAACAATCTGAAGTGGCAATTTGCCGGTTACATAGCTTGAAGAACCGAAAACTAATGGGGAAGAAAGATTTTTGAGTGGCGACTATGTGCAAACGCAGTGTAGGACAACCCCCAACTAGATGGAGTGACGACCTCAAATGTAGGGAGTCAGTGGATTCAGGTAGCTCAGAATCATTTATTATGGCAGTCTATGGGGGAGGCCTATATCCAGCAGTGCCCAGATAATGGCTGAAATGATAATGATGACTTACTGTAATAGCTTTGTAATTTATTAATAACTATTATAAACATTATAATTTTCTAGCATCTTTATAAACCATGCAGAGTACGAAAACGGAAGGGTGGACTTCCTACCAATGAGCTAGAACAAGTGAATTCCACTCTTTCTGAATATGACCAGCGGATGTTAATGCACGTATCTACAAATAAAGACACAACCAAGAATGATGAAGGTCTTGACTTCTTAGTAAGTTTAATTTCATATGAATAATTTTTAATACACTTAATAAATAACAATATCACTTAATTATGTACTTAATTCTCTATGATCTCTCTTCTCTATGATTATATCTATAATTAATTAATTATGTAATTAAGTTTTCACTTCCTTTGCTTTTCAGTATGACTATGAAAAAACTTTGGCTGATCCATCTGAAATTACTACGAAGGTAAATGTGCTCATATTTTATTTTTTACCTATGACTTTAGTTAATAGGAATCAGTATATTTAAGTACTAAATTTCTTTTATTCAGTTATCACAAAGTTAAGTTACAAATATAATACACACAATTGTAGTAGTAGGAAATAACAGTATTGTAATGAAAAAAGGAAAGTAAAAATGAATATTTTTTGTAGTCGTGCAAAATTTAAGACAATAAATACTTAGAGAGTGACTCCGTGAAACCCTTAGTTTGTCTAATAGGTTCAGGTTAAATAAAATGTGCACAGGAAGTGCACTGATGTGATCATTAATATAGTGACATTAATTTAAAACAATAATATGTCTACACAATACACAAAAATGTATGAATGTACTTTTTTTTTGCTATTTTGTCTATATTTGACACAGACAGATAAATATATCAATATACAAGAGAGTCAAGATGCAGCAGAAACTAAAATACACTATGCAGTGCTACACTCAGAGCTAACTGGGGAAATTTCTAAGGAACTTGAAATGAGTGAAAGGATAAAGTATTCTGAGGATGTCGAAAAACTCACTAAGGCAATTGATAGAATGGAAAAGGAAATGGAGGAATTCAAGAAAGACCATCATGATAGAATTGAGGCAGCAAAAAATAATTATACTAGTATGATGGAAAAGTTACAAAAAATTACATATAAATTAATGAAGTCTGATGACTATAGGTTGGTATTTGATTTACATGAAAATATTATTACAACTCAATATCATCTACTATTTATGAAATGTACTTCTTATTCAAATTAAATCATTAAATCAAAACATTGATATTTTATATAAAATAAAATGTATTTCTAATGCATCCTAATGGTTCAGTTAATCTTCTTATGCCATCAGGAATATTTCTTATATAAATTATGAATAATATTTAATATTTTAATGCATAATTTTTTGAAAAAAAAAAATTGTTTTTAAACTAAAATTTTCAGTGATAAAAATGTAAAAAAATTCTACAAATCCCTTAAGGAACTGGCGCAGGAAAGAAATGAATTACTTGAAATTATTAAGAACAGGGAGAAAGAACATAGGAGATTAGAAGAGGAATTGAGGTAAGATGTTTCACTGATGAACATATAATTTGTTATTTAATATTGTTAAAATATAATACACAAAGTATAATACTTCTTATTTTACAATCAACCTCATTACTGTTAGAAACCATTTATCTTCTAATGTTTACCACAGGTTTCTCATACGATATTTCGTCATAAAGTACATCTCACTTTTGAGATGGTCACTCCGCATTGCGAGAGATCGCTCTACACTACGCCAGCCTGGGGTTGCCACTTGAGAACCTTTCTTCCTATATTGCTGTACTATATATGGTCATTCATTTTAATTCTTTTAATAATATTATGCTGATTACTAATCATTAATTAAGATAATACTATTAAAATTATGATAAAAAAGTATTTTTTGAACAAACATCCTTTTACAGTGGATATGATTCATATTTACGAGGTTTGTCCGGAAAGTACGTATAAAAGTTTTTTAAAAATTTTATTTTACAATTATTCAGGTAAATCAATTTTATCCCCTTCAAAGTACTCCCCCTGTGACATAATGCACTTGTGCCAACGCCGTTTCCACTGTGAGAAGGCTCCTTGAAAGTCCTCTGGTTGTAGGTTTCTCAGCTGCCCCGTCGTAGCTTTTTTTATCTCATTTATGTCCCCCAAATGCCGCCCCCGAAGTACCAATTTGGTTTTTGGGAACAAGAAGAAGTCACACGGGGCCAAATCCGGCGAATAGGGGGGGTGTTCGGTCACCGTAATGGAATTTTTACTCAAAAACTCACGGACAACAAGAGAGGTGTGGGCAGGGGCATTGTCGTGGTGAAGAATCCAACGCCCCTCTCGCGCCAATTCTGGACGAACTCGTGCCACACGAGCTTTGAGGCGTCTGAGCACATCGACGTAGAATTTTCCATCAACTGTCTGGCCTGGAGGGACGAATTCTTGATGGACAATCCCCCGAACATCGAAAAAAACAATCAACATTGTCTCGGCCCTCTCTGAATCTTTTTAGCCACTTGTGGACGGTTGGTTCCTTCACAGCATCATCCCCATAAACTGTTCTGAGATCGGCAAAAATTTCACGGCCATTCTTGCCGAGTTTCGAGAGAAACTTGATTACGACGCGCTGCTCTTCAACGGAAGCGGGCTCCATGCCGACGGGGTTTCGTTAAGAGGTAACTTCACAGATGGCGTGACAAGCCAGTTCGCACCGCACGGCGGTCAGACCAGAACTGAAGCATTGTTAGGGACATAAGGAAGGGGTCCTGCGCTTACCTGGCCTCCCCACTCCTCTTTCTCGCATTCCAGAACACTTTTATACGAACTTTCCGGACAGACCTCGTATATCAAATTTGATTAAAATCCATTTAGTTTTTTAAGCCTTAATTAACAGTTATGATAATGTGACATCATAATTAATTCAGCAATTATTTTTATAAATGTTTGATTATATTTACCATTTATTAATTTTGTCAGGATTGCACAGGATCCGAATACTGTAATAGAGGACAAACCACTGACTTCTGAAGAGTTAAAAGAATTTCAAGAAAGAGAGGATAAATTAAAATCTTTCATTAGCAACATGAGATTAGAACTTGCGAAATTAAATCGTGAAGTTTTGAGATATTCTTTAAGCATAGATGAAGTACCAGGAACTGCAGAACTATTGCAATATGAGAAGAGATTCATGGAACTTTACAATCAAGGTAAATTATAAAGTATTAAAATATTTAAAGTATATAAAACAAGTTATGAAAGAGGTTGTAGGGATAGAGACTTTTAGCGCTCACATACATATACGGAAGTACTTCCTTTTTTATTTTATCATCAACATCATATCGGCCGTTAAATTTCCACTCTTAGACATGGGCCTCCTCCTATTGGGGGATTTTGTCAGTATTTGCCACGCATGGCAGCCGGGTTGGCAACCGCAGTTAGACTGGTGTTTGTGATGTTTTATGAGATGTACTGCTGCCTATTCATCGAATATTAAGTTTTCTCAGTCGCCTCTACGACATCCACGGGAATAGAAGGGGTGGCCCATTCCATACCGGGACTATACTGCCTTTTTTATTTAAGTATCTTTAATTAAATAAATAGAAATAAATATCCTTACGACTGTAATCCCTAATGACATGCATTTGTCAATTATTACAAAGTAATATTTATATATTTAATCAAAATAAAAATATTATTTAACAGGATTCGAAAGTAATTTCAACTAATACATGGACTAAGTCTAGTGTATACTAGTTACTGTATAGTAATGTGACTTAAATTTGTTCTTTATCATTTATAATGCTTTTTGTTTCAGTGGCTTCAAAACATAGAGAAACTAAACAGTATTATATATTTTATAATACCCTATATGAAGTGAAGCTGTATACATCGAAAGAATTAAGTTTGCTTAATTCTATATTGGATAATTATGAAGAGTAAGTTTATTGATTGTATAATTTCTTGTATAACATAGAATGTAAAACAAGGTGACGCAGTGTCCACTTGATGCAGAGTTGTAATAGTTACCTATAGATGTGAACAACACTATAGAGAGACAATTTTTGTACAGTCTTGCTGTGGTAAATATTCTGTAATATATTCATGTGACAATGAAATATGTATTAATATATAAATATATTTACAGAGCAATGTCATCAACTAGAAAAAGAGAAGAGTTTATGACCCAATTTGAGTCTATTGTGGATTGGGTGAATCAGACTGTAAGAAAAGTTGAAGATAAGTATAAAAATGAGAAGGACCAAAAAGCTGCTCTGCACAATGAGTATTCTCGACTACTTGAGATTCAAAGGCAATATGCAGCGGCTCTGAAAAAATTAGCCGAAGAAAGGCAAAAGATTGGCAGAAGTAGTTAATTATTTGAGACGGTATAAGGAAGTGCAATAATTTTATATTAATATAATACCTATATGCCACAGTCAGAATTTTCTGGTTAACTATGTTGATTGAAGTATTTAATTACATTACATTATTTATGACTTGATGCTTAGATGTAATAAGTTTTGATATTTTTTCAATCGATTTTTTCAATATTTTTAACTAAGAAGTAGTTATGACTGTAACATGGATAAAAAAAGACATAAGTATATCTAGTCCATAAAGTAGATTATATATTTTCTCGCAGAATTTCTATATTAATGACACCGGTAATAGGAGAATTTTGTTTCATTTAGGTAGATAGAATTGCATGGTAAACAATTAGAAAAAAAACTTCTATTATACATATTTCTCTTTGATGTTTACCATTTACCATCAGATTCTACAAGTTGTTCATTTGTTTTATAATTGTTATGTACTAAAACAAACTTCTGTGAATCTTATGTAGTGAAATAATGAAAATTAAAATATTGCGAGAATAGTTTTTTCTACTTTTATATTACTTTTACAACAATTACATACACATTCGAATTAAGTTTTATAATGTTATATAATACTAAGACTGAAATAGCTTTTTATATTGTTTTGTTAAGCAACATCGTAGATATTGTAAAATGTAATATATTTAATTGAAATTAAACTACAGTTTTATTATTTTATTATTTTATGAATTAGGTGACATATTGATATAAATTAAAAATTAAAATTAGAAATAGAGATTGAATAAGTTTCATACATTTGGTAGATTTTATCTATTAATGTATATCACAATTCAGATACTTATTTTTAATATATCACTGCTTGTAGTAGCACAATGTGTCTTGAAGGATCCATGACTGTGTCAGACAAGAGTTTGGTAACGGTGCTCAGTGTCCGCAGTTCGTCAAAGCGTAACGACATTACCGTGCTGGTGCACTTTATGCGAGCTCGACTGTCCGTGTCCCTGCGCATGTGCATGCGCGTGGGTGTAGGAGTGGCCGTGGCCGTGGCTGTGGCTGTGGCTGCTTGCGCCGGACTTCTTGTACATATTGAAGGATATCAGTTCTCGATTAGCGTTGGTCATCGCCATAGCGTGCGAGATAACATCGTAGCCAAACAGTCCGTGGAGGCGGTTGACTACGACCAGAGTTAATCCCTTCTGCGTCACGCGGACAGTTCTGTCTTGTTCTGATATTGATGCGATTGATATCCCGAATGAAGAGTTTAATTCCTGAAAATGATATAGTTTTTTAATGTAACTAATGAGTACTAAAAAAAATAGGGTATGAAATGGCCGATAATGAATCTACTATCATACATACAGGCAAACTGTTTGAGTGGCGATAATATGAAAAATAATAATGGAATAATATGTCCAGCTACTGATTCGGTCTACGGGCCCAGCAGACTGATTTCGATGTCCAGTTCTGTTTCTGATGAGTGTAATTTTCAGAAGGGCGTCCGGTCTAGTACTCGGTGTGGTGTCCGGGCCAAATGTTCATTTCGCCGGCCGATATTAGTTTGTATTCGATATTTGTATTAAAAATATAAAACAACCAACTATAGTTGTTTATATTTAATTCACAATACTAGTTGTCAATTTTTTGAATACTGTTATAGCCTCTAAAAAAGTAATGAATCCCTAGACATAGTAGCTCTTTTGTCATGTTAAAGACAGTAAAGTTCGTTTAGTTTTTTGGCTGCATATGGTGCATATGTATTCAAACTAAAAATTGTAAAGTAGTTTTATAATGTTGTAAAGTAGGTAGGTAAAATAACAAATTCTGAATGGGTAGTTTTAAAAAAACATGTAGAAATACTATTTTTCTAAAATGTTTTACTATAAAGATAGATGACAATGATTCATTAAAAATGGATTATCTATAGATAAGCTCAAAATATAAAAGAGCCAATATTTCAAATTTAAAATGCCTGCTATGATCTTTTTTTGAAAACTGTTAAATATTTAACATTCAACGAACTCTGTTTATTTTTTTTTATATCTGGATAAATATGTTTAATAGTAAACCTATTTTTACTATTATAATGGAAATTTTTACTTCCGTTTTGGTTCCATAATCATTTAGTCAAGATTGAAGATATTTATTTAAATATTTTTTACGTTACGATGTTACATGTAACAATTACTGGAATTTTGTTATACTGATTTTTTTTTTGGGGATTAAAAATATTGGGTAACAGCTAAAAATTTTTAAAAAACATGCATATAATACTAAGTATTAAAATCAAATAGTCTGCTTATTTATTTTTGTAGTTTATATACATATATAATATAAAATTTTGATAAAATTTATGTTATGTTACCCGCACTAAGGTATCACGTTCTTCACTTTTTAGCCCATACACAGTTACGCCTTCATCCTTTGATAAGTGTGGTGCGCTGAGACTTCCCATTACCATAATATAAGGCATTTTTGATGTTTACACTAAGCACTAATTTATTGATTATAATCTCTCGCTTCTTATGCGAAACGATCATCGGCAAATGGCGGGTTTCATTTTAACAATATGCTATTCGTCGATTGGTATTGCACTACTGTAATAAAATGGAAACACGCGGTCAGAGGCGTTCACTACTACGACAGGTTGTGTGGGTACTGAAGTGTGAGTGAACTCTGTCCAGTCAGTCAGGTAACCAGCTTCGTACGTGGTCTCAGACGCGCTTGTAGTTGTTACAGACGTGACGTTGTGCTGTGTGTCGGCCGATAGATGACCTTCATGGGTGCTTGCTCTGCGTGTGCGCAGCGCACAACGCAGTAAATGTACCTACTTATACATACAATAAATGCATTTAGATTAATAATTTTTAAGAAAAAATGTAATAAATATTCAATCATTACAAAAATTAATACCGAGGTATTAAATTGTTTTGAGATGTAGAGATATGGAAAATTACGTAGATATTTAGGTAGTACCGTAGTATCTACCACAAGAATAAAATATTATGGGTAGTAAATTATTTAGTACTCGCCTTAAATCAGGTTTTCAAAATTATTTTTATTAGATTTTTCTTTCATTAGACATTTAGAGAATTAGATAAATAACTCAAATTTTTTTTAACTATTGAAAAATTAAAGGGGTTCTTAAATCGATTGTATTTTTTATGCTTGTTAGCTTAGAACTCGGTCATTTATAAACCGATTTGATTTTTTTAAATATGAAAAAAGTGCTTTTAAATTTGGTTTTGAAATCAAAAAACTAGTTCGTAATTTAGATTATAGTTTATTCTGGTTTGCCACGGTTGAAGTGTTGGTTTTTTTTTATAGCACAAATTCTACTTGTTATAGATGATGAAATGATAACCCCATCTGCTCTATAGCTATACACTAAAGAGGTGATACCAGTGAAATATCGGACGATAGATGAGGATAAAGTCGGTTCCATTCACTAGAGTAGAATTCACCACGAATTAATAATTAATCACGATGATCTTGGCGGAACTGCGTGGATCTCGATCCAATAAGTGGAATTGCATTTTTATATATAGATTTTTCTTTGAAACAAGTAATTTTTTGTTACATAAAAAACAACAGCAGCTTCAATTGTTATAAAATTAAAATGGTACCAATACGTGAATAAAGAATAGGCGAATTGCTCAATCGATGGTTGACTACTCCCTAATTTTAGTAGCAGTCTTAGATTGTTTGTCTTACTTGCTCTAACATTTCCTAAGTTGCATTCTACCCTCAAACGGTACACAATGCGCCCAATATAATAGGCATCCTGCCACCTGTATTAAATAGCGAGGACGGGATGCTTAAACAAATGCACTTTTAACTTAAACATAAAACCCAATCGATTTAAAAATAATTGTGAAAATTGGTTCAATATTGGCGACGAAATCACGTCAAACTAGTCGCAAAAATTTTTGACGAATTGAGCACCTTTTTTGGATTTTTGACCCATTTAGATAGAGACTGTAGATAGTTTCTTTTTTTTTTACTGGTTGAGAATGGAATGGGTATTCCGTCAGCGCTATCGGTATCCACTGGCGGGTCACTAGTGCGGATAATAGGTAAGGATGAAAACCCACTAGAATTAAACACGATGTTTTCCAGGGGGAACCGCGTGGGAGTCGACCTAATAGTCTCTTTCCCTCCCAGTAAGTAGGTAGTTCTAGTTTTTTTTTTTTGATAGGTGAAAATAGTATGGTAACCCCGCCTGCACTAACGGGATACGCTGGTGGAGTACCAGTGAAGGTTGATAGAAGAGAATGAAAACAGGCCAGTTAGCCCATCATGATGAATTGATCAGGAATTAACCATGATAGTTTCCAGGGAGAACCGCGAGGAGGTCGTCCTAGTTGGGTATATTGCTAGCAATGGAATTCTCAGTCTCCATTACTAACAATCCCTTTCCCCTAAGGTAGTTCTAGCTAGCGAAGCACCAGTGAGGGATGATAGGCGAGAATGAAAAGGCAGGTCGGTTAGCCCATCGTGATGAATTTACTTGGAATAGAACACGATGGTTTTTAGGGCGAACCGCGAAGAGGTCGACCTGACAGGGTGCATTGGACCTGAAAGGGGCTACTAATCCCCATTATTAACAAGCCCCTTCCTCCCAGTAAGTAGGTAGTTAACCAGTTGCACTTATCATCATACACATCATCATTGTTGTATTTTTCAACCAACTTCAAAAATAAGGAGGTTCTCAATAGGTTTGTACTTTTTATATTTGTTACTTTATAAATCAGTTCTAAACCGATTTGCATAATTCTTTTTTTATCTGAAAAAATATACTTACAGATTGGTCCCATAGAAATTTTATCAAAATCGGTTCAGTAGTTTAGTTTTTGAAATCAAAATAACTGGTTTTGTCACAATTGAAGTTTGTTTTTTGTGGAACACAACCTTTAATTTTAATACCTCCCCACGTTCTTGGAATATTAATTATATGGTAATAATGAGATTTTCATTCACTATAACAGTTTACCTTATTTAACAGTCAATGTACACAGGTGTATAAATGTACAATGGAACGTAAATTTTGAAATTTATTGCTGACAGAGTAGTCGTAACACACATGCATATTTGAAGGTATACTATTGTATGGTATAGGTATTAGATAGGTAAATATTTTTTTTTTACACGAAAATTGCTATGGTGTGAGGTACAAGTGAGGGCGAAATGATGACTGAAGACGCATCAATTGGAGCACCGTGGCGAATCAAGATAAGATATTGAATCCATTAGTTTTTTAGAAAGACAGCGTAGAGGTTGACCTAGTAGGGCACATTGATAATGGAACTACTCAACCATATTACTAATCCTCTCCTCGTATAGATATATCGTTGCTCTGGTGAAATATGGACAAGTGAAGTGTTACCTTTACAGCAAAAGCGTTTATCAACTAAAATCTTTATTAGAAACAACAGTCGTAAGAATTTTGTTTTTATCCCACGCCCTTCGAATACAATCGTAGTACATATACGACCTTAAGTTACGGTCTGCTTGTTGACATGCGAAGCTATAGTTGGCTATGAAAGATTAATTTAATGTCAAAACATTTAAATTGGTACTTATTATTAGCATTGCATCCACTGAAAACTAAATTGATTATAATTAAACACAATGAGTCACTCAATGAGCAGTCCTAGGAACATCCAATTAGGTAGGTACATCGTACGCTAAGATCGTAAATTTTAAGAAAATTGATGTAATTAGGAATCTGATAGGCAATATTGAGTCTCTATGAATGTTTTGAGTATCTATAAAATTTAGAAATGTCCAAATTTAGAATATTTTTTTGTTTAATTTTAGTATTTGAAACATATCAAAAAGCTCGCCTTGTGTTCGTACAAACAATGGCCGAATTAGCGACAAGAGCTACAAATGTTAAATGTCTGGAAAGTGCTGGAGTTTTGGGTTAGTGACGTCAATATTTCTTCATTGTTATAATTATAAGCTACATTTTTAAAAGATAGAAACTAGATTAAGAGCATTTTCAAACAGTCTGTTTATTGTGGCTCTTCATGGTAACTTTGTTCATTTAACACTTTATTAGATGAGATTAGACTCCTTAACAGTTTGTACTCGTAACAATATTCTCACAATTATATTTCGTTGAAATATGTGCTACCATTTTCTTATGATTCATCACAATCAGACAACAACAATAACAAACAATCACCCGCATAGTTATCAATGACAATCCACTGCAACCGCTACATCAGTTGTAAAGTTGAATCGAAATTAACGAAGCGATCGTCTTACTCTATTCCTTTTTTTTATACAAGTTAAAATGGCAAACAAGCTGACGGCCCACCTGATGGAAAGTGGTAACCGTCGCTATGAACATGAGCAGTATCATGGATATAACTGAATGTACTGTTTTGCCCATGATACACCCCATGCGTTGCTATTCCTGAGGACTCAGGTGTTATTGCTCTGTACCCTGTAAATTCACGCCATATCCCACCCTTCAAACCGAAACACAGCCATGCAAACACAACTGCTTTACAGTTGAAACACGCATGAGAAGTATTGGTTTTATTTCTAGTAAAATATAGGGTATATTTTCCTAAACCAGGTTATACTTAGGTATGGAACCCGGCTTGTAAACTAGTGTAGTTAATTTGTAGTGAATTCAACATAATGGTTTCTGCCTTAAATTCATTCTTAACTATTATCTGTTAGGGTACCAACTCTGCTGCCATAAATCAAAAGCTCAGATATACCATTTAATTTTTATTAATTAAAAATAAGTGCCAAAAAATCTTTTATTCTTGCCTGTTTTAATTATTCTCTCTGGCTTTGCACTCTTCCCCGGGCTTTATATCTTTTTTTATTTAAGGTCTTAACAAACTAATATAAGTCTGTGTTTTTTTTAATATAAATATTTATGTAGAATTACTACGACCTTTGCTGTCGGACGCATGCAGCTCGGTACGCCAGTGCGCAGTGGTGGCCGCTGCGAGGTTGTGTGAACACGATGAAGGCGTTGCCCGGCAGCTCCTAAATGAGGGCATGGTCACAATCACTCTCGAGAACCTTCATAAATATAATGTAAGTTTATAAAGTTCAAAAATATATTTTTTTAATTTTAGCGTCACTGGCGATATAGTAAAGAATAAATGGATTAAATTATTTTTTGACCAAGCTAGAATTCAGCATGAACGGCTGGAGCGTTGGCGTATATAATTTTTTTTCCAGATGGGGCTTGGCCCCATAAAAAGGGGCATTTGTTTCACTATTTCTTTTCATACCCAAGATGTAATAAATGTGTAGGCGACTCGTACTCGGGAAACAAAGTATTACCGAGGGGAAAGGGATTGTTAGTAAGATTGGAGACTGAGAATCCCATTGCTATCAATATACCCAACCAGGTCGGCCTCCTCGCGGTTCCCCCTGGAAACCATCATGATTAATTCCTGATGAATTCATCATGATGGACTAACTGGCCTGTTTTCATTCTCATTTATCACCATTCACTGGTGCTCCACCAGCGTATCCCGTTAGCGCAGGCGGGGTTACCATACCATTTTCACCTACTAAAAAAAAAACAAAGTATGTACCTACATTAGCACAAGATTGACTTTACTCCTGTTAGTCCTCATAGTCAATGATGGTAGAAATACATATGATAAAAATTCTACATTATCGTTTCAATCAATTTATCGCACAGTGATAAACACGAATTGTACTTTATAGTACGATTATGACTTATCTGTCCATCGACTCCGCGTATTGGTATTCTGGAAGACATCCCTGAAGAGGTTTTTTAAATGGATGATAATGGAATGGTAAGTTCGCCTGCGCTAACGGTATATGCTGGCGGAGCACCAGTGAGGATTGATAGGTGAAAATAAAAAAGCAGGTCAGTTAGCCCATCATGATGGAATACATCTAGAATACAGCACGATAGTTTCCAGGGGGACCACGTGGAGGTCGACCTGACAAGGTATATTGCTAGCAATGGGACTGATAGTCCGCATTACTAACAATCCCTTCCCCCTATCCCTGTAGGGTTACCTATGTATTGCTACTTTATAAACAGAGTCTATATTTTATTTCTAGGTCTACTACAAAAGATCCGCATTGTATTTGATCAGAGCTGTGGCAAAGTAAGTAACTTTTAAAATAGGTAGGTATAATAATATAGTTTTTAAAACTTTTTTATACATTTTGTATTAAAGATGTTTTACCACGAAATGTCTAGATTGGTTACAATAATGGAAGAATAAAAATATGCTTCCGACCATTGGAGTATTCAGCTGATCATTCTTTCACATGATGTACTCAACTAATTTACATTTAGGGAGGTGGAAATAGAGTTAAAAAAAATACGTTAAAAATAAAATTAAGTATGGAAACTTCTGCTGCTGCGATTACGGTTAATTACAAGCTTGATTTTGAGTCCTATAGTTATATATTAAAAGAGAAAAATACAATAATTGTTCAATCATATGATAATATTTTTAATATTCCCTTACAGCTTGACTGCAGTCGTTACTTGGTGTTGTTCAATGTGATTATGTAAAATTCGTAAAATAGACAGTTCTATGATTTAAACATGTGTCTGTTCTTCGGTAAACATATAAAACCGTTCTTTTAGTAATCGTGCTAATGAGCGTTTCAATAGTTTTATAAACTGTATCAACTATTATTATAGAGCTCAAGGATTTCTGTAATACACCTATTGATTTCTCAGACACAATGAAGAGTTAGCGGGTGTGATAGTTCGGCTAGGTGCTCTGGAACATATTGTGTCATGCCTCGAAGATTTTGATACTCAGGTAATGATTAAGCTTGTAAGATTTACTTACTAAAATAATTTTAGCAACATGTGAAAGTTGTCGCGAACCTTAATTTGCGTTAATACTTTAATAAGTTTTTTTTTAATAAAAGATAATGGAATATTACGTCCCGATTTACGTTGGCAGGGTACCATTGAGGGATGATAGATGAGAATGAAAAGGCAGGTCAGTTAGCCCAACGTAATAAATAGACGTGGATATCAGCATGGTGGTTTCTAGAGGGAACTATGTGGAGGTCGAACTGACAGGGCGGGCATATTGCTAGCCATTTGACTGGTACTCCGCATTATTAACATCCCTCCTACCCTTTATACATGGGACAAATATGACTTATGAACAATGAATATGAGTCATTTGTTTTTTTTTTAAGGTTAAAAATGTCGTATCGGTTTGGAAACACTGCTTCTGGAAGTTAATTCCAAAGCACGGTTACGAGTGGAAGAAGGCGACTTGAAAAACCCGCGGTCGTAGCGGATTCAAAAGCAAATGTCTATGAGGCGTTTAACTTTTTTTTTTCTAAAATGGGTGGTGGTTCAGAAAAACCACTTCACTGTAGATTTTAAACATTTATACCATTTTCGAAAAAGATTCATCTATCTGAGCTTTATAATTAATAATATATGTGTTATATTTAAATAAAACTTATTTAATTGCAAACATATTTATTAACATCAAGAGAATGAACAAAGGTGAGAAAGCAACCGGAAGATCCGCTAGTACATACATGTTAACTAATGTCATCTGTCAATTAAGATGCGTTCCTTTATACATATTTAAACTAGGTACGTTCATCTTACACCTCCCCCTTCAACTTTAAAACAAAACTTTTACAATCAATTACAAAATAAAAAAACATTTTACAAAATTACATTATAAATTGAGTCTATCTTTAGGTTTTATAATTCTTCCACTGCGAGTGTGACATGCTTTATGAGGGATATTTGATTGGTTACTATTTTCAGATACAATATTTGGCACATTATTACTAACTTTGTCATTTAAAGAATAATCAAAAAAATCTCTCTTAAAACTATGTGTTTTTGTGTTTGACCTCTTAATGTGATGAGAAGTGCGCCTAAAGGGCTTACAATTTTCTCCCCTACTGATCCAATATGATCTAGGTTCTTTAGACTTCTTAATAACTACTCCTTTTTTCCAATAACTATCATGACCTGTCCTATAAGTTACATTTTCTCCTTCCTTAAAATTTGTTTCACCCTTCCTTATAAATCTATCATGAATTTTTTTAGTTATAGATTGTTTCACAGTTAACAATTTATGAATATTTTTCTCTATTTTAGGTTCTAACATGCTTTCTGTAATAGGTACACAAGTTCTCAACTGTCTACTCTGTAATATTTGAGATGGTGATACTTCTAAACTAGATAAAGGTGTACAGTTATAACTTAATAGAAAATCTCTATAATCTACATTATCCTCCCTCGCTTTCTTTAATAGATTTTTAGCAATATTTACTGCCTTTTCTGACATGCCGTTACTTCTAGGATAGTGAGGGCTACTGGTAGTGATACAAATATCTTTAGATTTATAATACTGAATACATTCATAAGATTTAAATGGATTGTTATCTGCTATAATTTCAGTAGGGTAACCAAACCTTGTAAATACTTCCTGAAAAGCATTTATAACAGACTTTGAACTTTTATTTATTATTGGTATAATTTCCAACCAATGTGATAGATAATCCACAACAACAAGGTAGGATTTCCCTCCATACTCCATAATATCAGAACCTACTTTTGAAAATCTTAATTTAGGTATCTTATGCATTAACAATGGTTCATGAGTATTTGCAGATTTAAATTTCTCACAAGTTCTACATTTAGATATAAAGATTTGAATATCCTGAGACAATTTCGGCCAATAAAATAGCTGTCTAGCTTTTTTAATACTTTTACTTATGCCTGGGTGACCAGAATGAACTAAATTTAATACATATAATTGTAAAGATTTAGGAACAATAATTTTGTTAGTATAGAACACTAAACCTGATTCTACATAGATATCCTCTTTAAATTTAAAATATGGTTTACATTCTTTTAACAATTTATTTTCTTCAGGCCATCCTTGATAATAATATTTTATAATTTCAGATAACACTTTATCTTTGCTAGTCTCAGATCTGAACTCAGACTTTCTTTCACTACTCATAGGCAAATGCAATGAAACTGAATGAACCATGTCTAACATTTCATAGTCCTTCTCTGTTGTTTTCATACTACATCTAGATAACATGTCTGCAAAATGAATGTCTTTACCTGGTATATAATTAAGATTTAATCTATAATTTAATAATTTAAGACACAAACGTCTAAGCCTTGGAGATCCTACTTTAGTAATAGGCTTTTTAATAATTGAAATCAATGGTTTGTGATCTGTTTGTACCTGAATATTTTTAGCACCATATATATATTTATGGAATTTTTGTGTACCAAAATAAATAGCTAATAATTCCTTTTCCGTTTGACTATAGTTTAATTCACAATTGTTCATTGTTCTGGATACACAAGCTACTAATCTTAAACAGTTATTGTTATCTTTTTGAAACAAACAACTACCTATTCCATTCTGAGATGCATCACACTGCATTATAATTTCCTTTTTAGAATCAAAAGCACTCAAAGCTGGAGCCTCTGAAACTTTCTTTTTGAGCTCTGAAAAATTTTTATCATGTATTGGTAACCACTGAAATAAAACATCTTTTTTCAATAATTGACATAATGGAGCCATAAGCTCAGCCATTTCTGGTACATATCTTCTAACATAATTGAATGACCCTATAATTCTTCTTAACTCAGCTATATTTCTAGGAGCTTCTAGACTTAATAAAGATTTGACTCTATCCTTGTCCATTTCCATACCCTTTTCACTGAATATTTGTCCTATATATTTAATTTCTTTTAACTTATATTGCAACTTGTCTTTATTAAATTTAGCTTTTATTTGTTTTGCACGTTTAATAACTTCCCTAACAGTTTTATCATGAGCTTCCTCAGTTTCTCCCATAACTAGTAAGTCATCGAACCATGTTATTACATTAGGTATATCGCCAAAGTAATTTTGAATTTGATCTTGAAATACATCAGGTGAATTTGAAAGACCATACGGTAAAACTAAGTATCTATACACTCCAAAAGGTGTCGCAAAACAACATTTCCATGATGCACTTTCTGTTAGTGTCACATGATGAAATCCTTCCGATAAATCAAAAACTGAAAAATACTTTTTACCTTTTACTTTACATGCTATCTCATCTACAGTTAATAATACTTGGGGTTTTCTAATTATTTTTTTATTTAACTCACTGGGATCTAAACACAATCTTATATTTCCATTAGGTTTTTCTACTAAAACTAGCCTATTTATACATGCTTCTGAACTTATCTCTTCAACTTTAGTGATAGCTTTCCTCTTAACTAACCTATTCAATTCACACTTCAAAGGATTATATAATTTATTTGGTATCTTAGGTGCCGCATGACAAATTTGCTCATGTGGTAATGTAGGAATATCCACTGGTTTAGGAAAATTTCCATGACCTTCAAAAATTTCCATATTTTCTTGTATAAACTTAAATTTCTCATCATTACAATTTAAATTTACTGTATTAATTCTTTTAACTAAATTCAATGCAATACAACCTGGTAATCCTAGTAACATTGATTTACAGTCAACTACCATGAAATCTTCATAACATTCAATTGCTTTATATTTACAGTGTAAATTTACCATACCCACTGGTTTAATTGTGGAGCCTTGAAAGGCCTCTAAACTTTGGTTACATTTCCTAAGTTCAATATTACTTCCTAGTGACTTATATATATTTAATGGCATTATACTCACATCTGCCCCGGTATCTAATCTACAGTTTACATACCTGTTCTCAATTAAAATGTTCTCTGTCCAGTGTGTCTTTTTATTACCTTTTACTTTGTTTCTCGTTATACTGCAACAATACAATTTAGAATTAGAGTCACTGTCAGAATTACAATCTACATTTTGTACCTTTTTCTTCACATTACAACTAACTGCAAAGTGATTCTTTAATCCACATTTATGACATCTCTGCCCAAAGGCTGGACACTCCCTCGGACCGTGGTTTCTCTTACAGCGCCTACAATTAAATTTTTCTATATATTTTGTTTTATTTTCTTGATATGCATGCTGCCTTCCTTTACTTTTCTGTTTCCCATTATATACTTCTTTATTTCCTTGATATACTTCCTTTTCCTTCTGTTTTAAACTATTTCTTTTCTTCACTATATCTATTTCTATATTTGGATTCATCTCTTTTGCCTGCTTTTTACTAATTTCACTTGTACGACAAAAGTTGGTTGCCTTCTCAAGTGTTAAATTGTCTATTCTTAGTAGAGATTCCTGTAAGGACTTGTCGTATATGCCTTGCACTATTTTATCTCTTAATATTTGGTCCTCTAATGATTCTTGTCCTTCTACATTTTTATACGAACAATTAGCAAGCAGCTGTTTTAAATCTGTGAGAAAATTATGAAAACTTTCGCCTTCTTTTTGTTTCCTTTCATTAAATTTATATCTTTCAAATACTTGATTTGCTCTTGGACTTACATAATTATTAATAGCTCTTATAACATTTGCATAGACTTGCGATTCTGTTTCCGTAATCGGCAATGTATGTAGCAATCTTGCAGATTCGATTCCCATCATATTACGCAAAAGTGATAATTTTACTTTGTCCTGCGAGTCATCTTTTCCAATGCTCACTAAATAATCCTCGAATGCCTGTATCCATACCTTCCACTCTGAGGCTGCATTAGGCGATCTTATGTCGAAATTTGGAGGCAATTTAACCGATCCTTCCATGATGGCGTCTGCTTGGCTGAAAAACTTCTTTACGATATTTAATACTTGATACAATATCGTTTACACTTTGAATACGATAATTGCAACTTCAACCATGACTACTACTTCGAATACCGCTACGACTGCGCCATGTTATATTTAAATAAAACTTATTTAATTGCAAACATATTTATTAACATCAAGAGAATGAACAAAGGTGAGAAAGCAACCGGAAGATCCGCTAGTACATACATGTTAACTAATGTCATCTGTCAATTAAGATGCGTTCCTTTATACATATTTAAACTAGGTACGTTCATCTTACAATATGTATGTAACTTTTATTTCAGGTAAAAGAGAACGCAGCATGGGCTTTGGGATATATTGGAAAGCACAGCGAATCATTGGCAGGCTTAGTAGTGGACGCAGGAACACTACCTTTGCTTGTGCTAGCTTTTCAAGAACCTGAGATGAGTTTGAAACAGGTACTTAAATCAAATTAATCGAATGTTTTTTTTTTCTGTTTTCAACCGAGTGGTATTTCAATCAACCAGCTTACTCATTGTACTTATTTTTATTTCTTTAATAGACTGTATTTTACTTTTACCACAACAACCTATATAAGCCTTAATATAATGAATATAAAAGATTGTGAAGACTTATTCTACCGCAGGTATTTATTTACTGTATAACTGCATCATGATATTTTGCATATTGACTTCACATTGTGAAAGATCGTGGGATATATATTTAAAAAATGTAACATCTTACTAACAAAATGTTTTATTCTAAAAATGTAGGTACATTGAGTTTAGATAATTAGTTATATACCTACCTAATGGGATAAGTGAGATGGTAATTGCATGATAGGGAGAGATCTGCATCACCTAAGAGCGAGTTTAATCACACAGCAGATTAAACGCTTATTATTTTATTTACAATAAAGTTCGACACGATTTTGAAAAGTAAGTAAAGATTTGAATGAGTATACCGAGTATTTATTCTATTTGTGATCTTCTATGAGCGTAATACATATATTACTCTGTCTTAATATACCTATCTTAATGCTAAGTTCTTTCAACGAGGTAGGCTAAAAGAACTATTTATGTCTATCCCTCTTTAAATATGCCTCATTATCCACTATCATAACTTGTGTCTTCACCCTACGTTGGTTATTCCATTCATTTTTGCATTGTAAAAACGACAAGGTTCTAAGAGTACTATAAATCGAATACCGTTTTGTGTTTAATTGGGTTTATTGGTCGATTACATGTAACCTTAAGTCTTTATCGCTTTTACCATAGATAGAATAACTTTTACGTGGTGCTTCGTGCCAGAATTGAAACGGCGACCTATGTTATTATTTATGGGTTTCGTCATTTGTCCCCCTTTATAATTTTTACATCAAAATTTTTAATTATTTCAAACTTTCCTCTCGTACCTACTTCAATTAATACTGTATTAAACTCATACTTATGTACGTGCATACGAACATACAATCTGCGAGCCTTACTTTGTAAATTATAAAAATATTTTTTATAATGTTAACCATTCTCGTCTAATAAGATTTCTGCAGGAGCTTTGGTGGATCTTGCCCAACATAAGCCTGAGGCTGTAGTCGACGCAGGGTCCATATGTCATTTAGTGCGTGGGCTAGAAAATCAAGATCCTAAATTAAAGGTATATTAATTCAATTAGAAAATATGATACCTTATACAGCATTATACAGGCGATATGATTCGGTTTCGCATGGATATATAGAAAGATAAATTAGTATTTTATTTTAGCTTTAATAGACAGACTTTTGATACTTTCGATTACTTTATTTTATTTTTCGTAGGAATCTTTATTTTTTTTAAATATGTTACTTGCTAGTAATATATTATTACATTACATTATTAGTGAGTAACATATATTATTTAAAAAAAAAAAATAATGGTGATATATTTTTTAAAATCGGTAGTTTTTGGGTTTATCTATCACATACAAACAATCGAATTTTTTTTATATTATTGATATAGAAAATGTGAAACTCTCAAAATTTTATTGACAGTACAGACTGTGAATACCATGAGTTATATGGGCAATTATGCATGCTTATATGCTATTGTATATTTATTACGTAGGTATCTGATAGACATTATCTGTATTTTATACTATACAATAACCATTAAAATTATTTCCTTGAATGTGTCATAATTACAGTACTTACCAGAATAGTGAGACTGGTTGCATACCATGATGCTTGTCTGTGGTGTGGTAGTACTACACAGCTATCTAAACACTTTTATATTTAGCGTAGTACCTTGTGTGCGCTGGGCGCGGTGGCTGGTGCACGGTTGGAGCTCGCGGAGGCAGTGGTGGCTGGTGGGGCACTGCCTCCGGCACTGCTTCACACTGGTCACGATGCTGCGCCTGTGCGACGCGCTGCCGCATGTCTGCTTAGAGATATCGTGAAACATTCCGTTGATGTTCGTTATTTCATTATAATCAGTTCAATGGTACTTTTTTAAATTACTTTAAAAAAAAGTTACAAGGGGTTGTGGGAGGTCCGTCCAAACTGGTTGTTCAGGCGAAAGACCTACCGACTTTAGTGAAAAGAAAGTAGTTAACTTGTAACTATGAAAGATAAATTCATACCATTGTGTATAGTGTATTCTGTGATATACTTAGCGCTGTTCATGTTTATAAGCGACGGTTACCACTTTCCATCAGGCGTGTCGTCAGGTTGTTTGCACTTCTAAGTGTAAAAAAAATTTCATTGATTTCTTATTAATTTTATTCACCTAACATTGTTATATTTACATGGTGAAACAATTATTGCTTATTATTTTTATCTGATTTTTGTTCACAAATTATCTTGTGAAAACTGTATTAGCCTATGTAAGAATATTTATGTGTACTGTCTTATATCTGTACTGTGTTATAAAGAGCGGTGTTTTCCTTAATAATAAATAAAATAAAAAACATTTTCGAGTTAGAAAAGTAATTGCCTATTACGTTATTTTTATTAGTTGGCGCAGCTTGTTGTAAACACGGGCGGTAGCAGGCCACTGGTAGAGTTGCTATCAGAAACAGCAGGAGGTGTCCGCGTTCCTTCTTGCATGGCATTGGGGTTCATTGCCGGCCAGTCAGATCAACTGGCGATGGCTGTTATAGAGGCTAAGGTTTGCTAAGTTTTAATAATAAAAATTTACTGTGATGTCTATTATTAAAATGCATGTACATTAGTAATGGAGACTAACAACTCTATTGTTAGAAATATATTTTATGAAAATAACCTCTACATTCTCTCCCTGTCAGTATTGGTTTTAGGTTAAAAAGCCTGGTCTCTCATCTCTGGCGTTGAGACAAGATAGGTCCATAAATTTGAATAAACTGGCCGAGAACTCACTGGTCTGGTACCCCTCAAACCAATACAGTAGACTTACAACTCCATTTAATCTATTTATAAATAGTCTTATCATTAAACTATAAATACAATGTATATTCTATATAAAGGCGATTCCAGCTCTAGTAGAGATACTGCAGAATACTGAAGCAGAAGATGCAGAATTATGTGCTGCAGCATGGACAATTGGTCATATATCAAAGCACTCCCCACAGCACAGCCTGGCCATAGCTGTTGCTAATGCTCTGCCTAGACTATTGCAGGTTTAATATATCAATATTATACAAGTTCCACTGATTAGATTTGTGTATTGAGTTTGAGTACTCAGAATTGATTAGCATGGCAACATAGTATGACCCCTGACTATTTGAAAGAGGAGAATTGTAATCTTAATTGTTATATTATATAAAATATCTGCTTAATATTATTCTGGATAATTTTAGATCACTTCTATTGTGGCAAAACCAATTATTTTTATTTAAAAACTAAACTACTATGTGTAAGTATATTCTGTCATATAAAAAATAATTTTCCAACTCGGTTTATAACTAATAGTTATAAGGTAACAAACAAAATAATACAACCAAATTAAGAACCACCTTCATTTTGAATTTTTTTTTATCACAAGTGTAAGTAAAAGATATTAGGTTAAATATAAAATTAAGATTGTAATTACATTTTAATTATTTTGGATAGTAACTTAATTTTATATGGAAATAATATATTCCCACAGTTATATACAAACCCAAAATCATCAGGAGAGGTTCGTGCCCGAGCGTCTTGTGCTTTAAAACAATCTCTACAGTGCTGTCTTCACCGTCCTGCTTTAGAGCCTTTATTACATGCAGCCCCTGCTTGCATACTTAAATATGTGTTGGCACAATATGCTAAGGTACAAATAGAATTTTAACATATTTTAAAGTAATATTATTTATATTTTATTACATATACAACATTAGTTGTTACTTATTTCAGTATACTGGACCATCATCTAGATTATCATCCTCTTCATCATAATCCTCCCCATTATCAAAATAATTGTTTGCATAATCTGTTCCATCATCTACTTCATAGTCCTGTTCTTCCTCATCTTCTAATTCTTCTTCTTCCATAGCATCTTTTTTCACATCTTCATTTTCATTTACTACTGTAGTCTCACCAGATTCTTCTTGCAATTCTTTGCTTTCAAGTGTTTCTAATCTTTTAGATATATCAGTTGTGTCATTAAGTTTTCTTTTACGAACAACTCGAACGCGTGCCGTTTGAGGTCTTAATTCTGAGGGCATACGATTCCACACGCAGTCCAATACCTTACCTTGTTTTGCGTTTAGTGATAACAATTTGTATTTATCAGAATATCGTTCAATACCATCCGTTCTTGCTTGGAGTTTTACATAAGCAGGTGACTCGTGTAAATATTCTATAAATTGATCTTTTACGATTAACATATAATCTGTTGTGGCATCGCATGTTAATGGCAGCGGTTTTGTTTCTAGTTTTGGAAATAAGGGTGGAGGAGCAAGAGGTGCAGGAGTGTTGTCACCACGAGTAATTCCGAGCGCTTGATATTGTTCTTGGGTTAAAGACAAACCACTTCCGCGTCCTCTACCTCTACCTGCCATAATTTATACAATATTTGTATACATTTACTTTTTTTACTTGGTAATCCAAAACATTATTGTTAAATATAAATGTTTAGTTAAGTGTAATTCATTGGAAGAACAGTATAGGTTATGTTATGATTTTTTTAAAGTTATGATTACAATTGTTGTTGTTTTAAAATTCGTCCAACAATGGACAGGCAAAGAGCATGGCTCATACAGCTTAGAAAATAACATAATCACAGATTAGAAAGATTTTAAAGTGACTATGAATCCTAAGCTATAGGAATTTTGTTTCTATGTATGTAATGTATGTATGTTTATAATTACTGACAGCAATTCCCTTCACGATCTCGAAATCGAGTCGTTTTCGTTCGTTCGCTTATTGCTTTGAATAAGCGAAGTTGAGCTGCCTATGTAGAACGATACAAGAATTAAGATTACTACTATAAATTTATTTTGCTTTCTACCATTTGATCTAAAATTCATTCTTGTCGCTGAAATTGAATTTAAATTATTTAGTGATTAGGAAGTTTAGGGATTAATCATGCTACGTAGTACTTTCTTTTGACATTTTGAATTATGAATGTCTATTTAAAAACGTGAACGTTAACTAATTGTAATAAACTTATATTTTTTTACGCGCATGCTTCCGCTAGACGGGTTAAATGGTCGAAAAACTATTCTAAATATCTTTCTTTAAATCCATGGGTTAAATTAACTTTTCTCCAACAAAAGGTGTTATTTATGAACTAGTGATCTTTGTACTTGTATTTTTTTTTATATTTCTAATTGTGACAATTTTAAAATATTGTACATTTTTCTTTTATTATTTTGTATCTATTTTATTATTATGTTAATTTAGTATACTACAGTGCAGTACATAAAAGAAAAAAACCGCGAGAATTTTGAATTTCAAATATTCAGACTACCGAATATGAGTTCTTGAGGTCATGTTACGTCTGTATTTAATTTAAAATATTTATATAAATTGATTTTAAGATAAAAAAGACAAGTCTTTTATTTTTAAGATATTACCTAATGATGCAAGAGCTAGAAGATTATTCGTGACAACCGGAGCTTTGAAGAGAGTACAGGAGATAGATACAGTTCCAGGAACATCGCTCAAAGAATACATTAATATAATAAATAGTTGTTTCCCTGAAGAAATAGTAAGGTAATAAAAGCTTATTAATATTATATTTGATATATATTCTTTATTGCACTTGAACAAAAGATACAGCGATTAGTTATACAACTTGTTAGCAAGGGTGGGCTTATCTCCAAAAGAGATCTCTTTCAGCCAACTCAGTGCAGTTAAAGAGAAAATAATTAATTAGCGAGTTATCGGGTATTAAAGCACGAAAAAAAGTTTTAATGATTTAGTAAATCGTACTATAATTGGTACTGGGATTGTTAGTAATGGGGACGTTAGTCTCCATTGCTATCAATATACCCTATCAGGTTGACCTCCACGTGGTTCCTTCTGGCAACCATCCTGATATTATTTATTGTTGAATTTGTCACGATAGGCTGACCTGCCTTTTCATCCTCATTAATCATCCCTTACTGGTGCCCCGCCAAAAAATTGCCAAGCCAAATTGCAGTTGCAATAACCCGCCTGTCAAGTGTGGCAGCTACTGGCAAAACCCCCCTTTATGGAAGAAGCCTATGTTCAGCAGTGAACGGATAATGACTGATATGATGATGATTATATTTTAATTAGATCAATAACCGTTCATGTCACGATAATTGTATTATTGATTTTTAATTATCATCATTATCATCTCAGTCATTATCCGTCCATTGCTGAATATAGGCTTCCCCCATAGATTGACATAAAAAACAGTCCTGAGCCACCTGCATTCACTGACTCCCTGCAATGTATTTGAGGTCGTCATTTCATTTAATAGGAGGTCGTCCTGTACTGCGTTTGCCCGTACGGGGTCGCCACTCAAGAACCATTCTTCCCCATCGGATGTCGGTTCTTCGAACTATGTGACCAACCTATTGCCACTTCAGTTTGCTTAATCTTCGGACTAAGTCGGTTACTTTGGTTCTTTTGCGGATATCCTCGTTTCAAATTGTTACGCAAAGAAACCGATTTGTAGTTAATAATTCCTATAGATATTTATGGTATAATTTTTTTTAGGTACTATACGCCTGGTTACTCGGATTCGTTACTCGATAGAGTTGAAGCGTATACACCACAAGTATGTTTTTTTTATGTTGTCGATATTTAATGAATGTTAAACATAATAATAATAATAACACACCCCCAAAATTAAAGATACTTATTCGTTCCGTTATAAAATTAACATTATTGTTAATAGCAACATCCTAAAGTTTCTTAAATTGTCGCGTACGATTTGATACATGCATAATATGTACTTCCTACCTACTATATTAATTTGCAAATTCTTTGGTATTATTGGTGCTTCTAGACGATGGTTGTCATTTATCATCAGATGAATGTCTGCTTGTTTGCTAGTGTAAAAAGTCTATCTTTTAAGAAATCGCTTCTTGAGAGCAATTATGTATTTCGTAACATATAAAGTGGCCACCGTTTCTTAAAGGAACGAAATAAATTTTAAAATGTTTTATTATTACGAAAAAAAGGTGAAAAAGATACACCAATGGCATAACACTAATATATTTATTTCAGATACCAGAGTTATTTACTGATCGAGTACCTAGTGATTGTCAAAGTGAATTGACGATAGAAAATGGGAATTGAAATTGATGTAAAATGTATGCTTATTACATTTAATAAACATTTTTCTTATAGTTCATGTACTTAGTTTCCTTTCCCTAAAGTCCATGCCATTTTTTCAACCTTAATAATTCTTCCTCCTATACTGGATTCTTCAATAACCATTGATTGTCCAATAATCCTGTAACTATTAAACATAATAGAATAAATAACCAGTGTAGAAATATAAAATATATTTTGTGGTGTATTTCCGATATCTGAAATTTCTAATATCTTATGACTTTGTTACCTATTTATTTATTTATACAACTTAGAATGGCAAACAAGCTGAAGGTCCACCTGATGGAAAGTGGTAACCGTCGCCTATAGACATGACCAGTATCATGGTAAGTATATTTGTATAAAGTATAAAATTATTTACCAGCTTACAATTGTAGATAAAAACTGGTAAGGAATTTTTTCATCATATAACACAATAGCATACCCATATATATATATATATATATATATATATATATATATATATATATTATTTCAGACAGAAAATACAGAATTAATAACAGTAATTTAAGTATATTTAGTTGACAGCTACTTCCTAAATCGCTCTGCAGAGGCAGCACTAACAATCGCTCGCTCATAAGTTTTAAATAGCAACTTAAATGTGTAATTTTAGTTTACTGCATACTGTTTTACAATTAATATAACTTCTTATTATAAAGAATCACTCCGTAGATTTTGTGGAGTATAACTTATCTTTAATTTGCGTATGGGGTCAACTAAGCCGTTGCAAGTTGACCCATCGGGATCTTTTATGCTTCCCCCTGCTTTATACTATGATTTTATAGTTTCTATTATAACTTAAAGTAAGTAGGAAGTATAACTTACTTGAAATGGTTTTTAGTCAGGAGATTTAACACTTGTATAGCTTGAATATCAATTTCCATAAAATTATCTTTTATTACGTAAATAAAACCTGCCTGTGTTAAATCTTGTTCTAATCTTCTTCTATCTGCGTCGCTCAAACCCTGAAATAATATGGTTGAAAATTATATTTTACTTCTCGACGATTTTACTGTTTCGTTCGGCTAAACTCTTAGGTATTATATAAACTCGTGCCTTATCTTCTTTGGGATAGGCAGAGACGGCGATAAACCGCCACTTTATTTTTAAATCCTCTCGAAGTTCTTACGTGCTCCTATGACTTGTACATTTAAAATTTTTATTACTTATAAACAATGCATGTCGGTGGGAAAGAAATATATAAATGTAGCTAGCAACGTACCTTATATTACCCGGTACTCTATTAGCATATACCGAGTATGTAGTGTGAGTTTTACTTACAAAGATTTACGTACGTTTACGTGAAAGTCCTATTGACTGATTTTGTAGCCTACTATATACCTCGTAATTTATTACTAAAAAAGAAAAAATAGATACCTGTATCTTACAAGATACTAGTCCTGTAGTTTCTAATTGTGTTACTATGATATACTGCATGGTGGTGTTCAAGTAGCGATGGAATAGCAAAATAATTTATTTTATATAATTTTATCTAAATAGGTACCCTATATAGGCTGGATGGAAGTGGTAAATAATATGATAACAATGCGGTTTTGTATATGATAGTTGTGGGTTTTACCCTCGTGATTTAATGTAAAAAATAGATAGGTAGCTGTCATAGAATCAGAATAGTAAATGCAGACTGCCATATGCTAGTTTGGAATATCCTAAAATTGCAAATTTCAAAGTTTTATTTATTTGTAAAACATGCGTATAAATATATGCAGATGTTGACAATATAATATCATTCGACATGTTTATACTTGAACATTGACATTTATAGACGAAAAAATTATATTTTACAAACTGAATATCTGATATAGTATTTTTCTAATGTAAATGAATTTAATTCTGGTTACTTCAGTTAACTAGTCAATTAATTTGAGATAGCATTCACCTCTTATGTGAATGGTTCTCACAAGTCAGGTAGGTATTATTAACATAATCTATGCTATGCTGCCATATTCAATATAGACGTTGTATACCATACTCATATAAGTACAATGTCTATAAAATTTGGTTTCTTACACGTGACCAAATATGGATATTTGAAAAAAAAAAGGAAAATAGTTTTATATTTTTTATTCAATATAATTCTCCTCAAAGGAAATACAGTTTTCATATCGTGAATACAGAGCGCGTTTTAGACGTGACAAGATTGTCTCAAGGAAAATGAAAGGTGTCGCATCTCATTCTCACGGAACAGCAGCCGGCGTTCTTCTTTTGTAACTTTCATTTTTTAATAATTTACCGGATCAATATTGTTCATTCATAATCTTCAATTGTTTTGAAGGGAAAGAATACGAGGTGAGGTTAAAAAGTTCGCGAAATGAGGGGGAAAGGTTTAACTTTGCTGTCAAAATAGGCCAAAATTGCAGACTTAACTTCTTTATCGTTGCCAATTTTTTGTGATGTGAAATGGCATGAGTATTCTTGGAACCCATCTTGGAATGACCTTAGTCATGCCAAGATGATGATGTAGAATATTTAAAATACTTGTTTTGGATACTCCAACCATTGCTGCAAGCTGCTTCTTCTTCAGCCAGGTATCTTCTAATACAAGTTTTTCTACATGTCATTTTCAATAATCTCTTCGTTGTTTGAAAAGACCATGCCACTTGTAAACCATGGTTTTACCAGGAGCAGAGCCTGCGTAAACTGCTAATAGCTCTTGAAAAATCATCAGCGCGGATTTTCCTTGCTTGGTGAGGAAATTAATAACGGCGCGATGTTCAATTTTCTCCATACGCATTGACTTCTTCCCAATTGTTACAGGTGGATAACTCATAAGTAAATGACCCGATTTGGTTCAAACTTGGTATATATATTCTTAATGAGGAGCTTAACAAGTGACTACCTGGAGAAGTAAACCAACCACCTCCTTCCCTTCTTTCTGCAAACTTTTGACTTTTCGTAGTACTCCATTTATCGGTCTCATTATGGTGATGTCAAATGTAAATACTGATTACCTTCTTCGACAAGCCATAGACATCCAATTGTTATGATAATCAATCAAGAAATGTCATGATGTCCATCACCTAAAACAAGTAGAGTATTAATTATATATTTATGGATATAAAACACATTCTTTTGTTGATAATTTTCTTTTCAGATATATTTGTCTTCAAAAAAATCTAGATATATGCTTGTCTAATGGAGTTCATCATGTTAATTCTTATACTGATAGCATGTTTTAACTAATCATTGAGGTAATTTACAACATAGAGAAATATGAAATACCTTTTGAATATAATGAAGTCTGCAATTAACCTGTAACCAAAGAAATTAAATATTTTATTGTATTTAGCATACACGACTCTTAGCATTTGTTGTTCATTTTCATATTCAGTAGTTACCATACCAGTTTCCCCACGGTTTTGTGAGACAGGGATAACTTAGTAATTCATCATAATAATTTTAAATAAGTAGTCCATTCACAAACTTTATAAATAAGATATCTATTATATTATTTTTAATTATTTATATATAAATTATAATCATGATATATATCAATCGATTTTTTCCTGTCTTCTGAACTAAAAATTTTGTAGATTAATGTTTACCCTGGCAACACGTAGCGAAAAACTACAATTCAGAATAATTTACATTGTTTCCCAAAATGGCAACCTCATAAAAATAATAATATTATTAAAAAAAACAAGTACCTATTATTAGTACTTGTTTTTTTTTAATTGTTCATTAAATAAATATTTTTCAAATAAAAACTAAGTAATTATTTTGTTACTCCTTAAAAGTTTTTTAAAATAATAAATATAGTAATAATTTGATAATTATTTTATTTCACAAATTCCTTTCACATTTTTAAACGTGTAATCCCCTTACAGAATGAAATTCGGTTCTTTTTTCTTAGTCGGGATATACGAGGTCTGTCCGGAAAGTTCGTATAAAAGTGTTCTGGAATGCGAGAAAGAGGAGTGGGGAGGCCAGGTAAGCGCAGGACCCCTTCCTTATGTCCCTAACAATGCTTCAGTTCTGGTCTGACCGCCGTGCGGTGCGAACTGGCTTGTCACGCCATCTGTGAAGTTACCTCTTAACGAAACCCCGTCGGCATGGAGCCCGCTTCCGTTGAAGAGCAGCGCGTCGTAATCAAGTTTCTCTCGAAACTCGGCAAGAATGGCCGTGAAATTTTTGCCGATCTCAGAACAGTTTATGGGGATGATGCTGTGAAGGAACCAACCGTCCACAAGTGGCTAAAAAGATTCAGAGAGGGCCGAGACAATGTTGATTGTTTTTTTCGATGTTCGGGGGATTGTCCATCAAGAATTCGTCCCTCCAGGCCAGACAGTTGATGGAAAATTCTACGTCGATGTGCTCAGACGCCTCAAAGCTCGTGTGGCACGAGTTCGTCCAGAATTGGCGCGAGAGGGGCGTTGGATTCTTCACCACGACAATGCCCCTGCCCACACCTCTCTTGTTGTCCGTGAGTTTTTGAGTAAAAATTCCATTACGGTGACCGAACACCCCCCCTATTCGCCGGATTTGGCCCCGTGTGACTTCTTCTTGTTCCCAAAAACCAAATTGGTACTTCGGGGGCGGCATTTGGGGGACATAAATGAGATAAAAAAAGCTACGACGGGGCAGCTGAGAAACCTACAACCAGAGGACTTTCAAGGAGCCTTCTCACAGTGGAAACGGCGTTGGCACAAGTGCATTATGTCACAGGGGGAGTACTTTGAAGGGGATAAAATTGATTTACCTGAATAATTGTAAAATAAAATTTTTAAAAAACTTTTATACGTACTTTCCGGACAAACCTCGTATATCTGATATATATAAAAATAAAATCGGATTTTTTGTTATAAACTATTTACAAATTGTGCTAACTTCAAAATAAAATAACTGTTAGTTTTTTTGTATTATTTATCAAGGTTAATATCTATTTTAATATTCTTGATTAGTTTATTGGAAAGTAACTAAAATGTATAGGATAAAAAATTAATACTGCATGCCCATCTGTATAAGGGAAACCACTACAATCTTCGGAAGTGTTTAAAATTCAAGTGAAGTAAAATATGTCTTATTTACAAACATAATTCTTTTTTAAGTAATTATTAAACAAAAATTGAATGTAATTATAAAACATTTGGAGAAATAACTTATTATTGCTTTGAATTATCAGAAAGTAAACTCGCTAATGGTAGGTTGTTAGCTATTGTCAAATAGTAATAAATTTATTCAGTCATTATAAAGGAATAATTTATTTTATAACCTCTGACTTTGCGTTTTGCTTCTCTGAAGTATGCAATGATTTAGCTAGAAAAGCTCTTTACAACATTCATAATGTAAGAAAAAAGAAATTACCAAATGATGGATGTCCCAAACTCTTTTTTGTACTTGGTTTATTGTTGATCATCTGAAACAATATATTAAAAGTTAATCTATACTTTACAATTGATAATATTTGTATAAGAGGGTTACTGTTTCAGTTGTTACCATACCATATTTTTCCCCACGATTTTGTGAGACAGGGATAACTTAATTATATCATCATTCAAAAAACTGTAGTATAGCTGAATATAAAATTGTGTATGAGGACAAGTTGGTTTACCACATTTTTTAATGTAAGTTTAGTAATGAAGTATTGATAGTAATTATTCACAATTAATTGAGTTCTAATTATATTGGGTTTATCAATCTAAGACTAATATTTATTTTTACATAATGTACAATATTTTGCAGTTCACAGGTACTTACTCATTGTCACAGTTCATGGAACAACCAGTTGTCTACTGCCTTTGGTATGCCTCAAACTATTACATTACAATTTGGGTATTGCTTTGTCTAGACATGTCGGTTGGACAATTGATAGAAACATTCTTTAGAGTGCATTATCATAGAACTTCTGATAGTTTCTGAAACACATTTAAATTTTATTAGGTGTTTGATATTAGGTATATCAAATTTATTTTATATTAATAGTTATTAGTCAGGAGAAAAATTATCATCAAAAATTTATGATATATGCTTGTACATAGCATCATTTAAATTTATAATAAATAATAAAAATTGTATTTGAAACTACTTACCATATACTTTAAACATAAATTCTTATTTTCATGGTTGGTTTCCATAGTAATATTTATTTGGTTTAATTTTGATATTGAATTGCATTATTAAGATCTAAATTACATTTGTTTATTAGTTAAATTTCTAACAAAAAAAATTACTAAGTAATTAAATAAATTCCAACTTTTAGATTTAATTTACATGCTCCACAACTTTAGTCTTATTGTCGATATTAAAATTTCTTCTCTGTTAATCTGAAATGAAAAGATAACTTCGATTTTATTAAAGTATTACATATCTATTACAACTTTATAATAAATAAAATAATCAGAAAATCAATCAACACATCTTATTCTGACTGGGGCGATATAATTATCATCACATAAGTAAAGATGAGAACTTGTTTGTAGTATAGTGATGAAATATTTCATCCATTGATTTTGTTTTATTTAATTAATTATAACATGTATATAAGTGAAATTAAATTTTTAAAATATTTTCGAATTTTATTTCATAACAAAATTTGAAAATATTATCTTAGATATCTTAGAATAGTATTTCACAAATAAATACTTCATAAAAATATTATATATCGAGAACTAGGCAATTAGCGTGATAATTTATGATTTTAATTAATTTAATATAAGACGAACATTTAATTTTTTGTTAACTTACCATTAAATGCAGTTACAGTCAAATCTGTTGTGGGAGTTTTTCATTCCAATGTTGTACTTTGAAACTGGAATTAAATATATTTATTAGCAAAAATCTCATAAATTACTAAAATCAGAAGCATAGTCTATACAATCAGAAATTATCAATCATCAGATATTCAGATAGGGGCGATACTATTGTCATCATGGCATTATACAAACAAAGGAATATTACGAAATAATAACATACCTGTTTTCCCCATAATTATATTCTTGTTTTATTTTTTTTCAGCATAACCTGTAAGAGATTTTATTTTTTTAATATTCATGTATACAATAATACAAAATTTGTGATATTAATAATTCTATATCAGTAAAAATCAATCATCAATGATCAGCTAGGGGCGATACTATTAGTCATCATAAAATTAATTAATTACCAGAGGGAGACTTTGTACAAAAGTCGATTGCTTGGGTACCTCTGTCCCATTCGTGTTTCAACCGTGAAGCAGTTGTTTGCATGGCTGTGTTTCGGTTTGAAGGGTGGGATACGGCGTGAATTTACTGGGTACAGAGGAATAACACCTGAGTCCTCAGGAATGGCAACGCATGGGGGGTATCATGGGCTAAACAGTATACTCTGTTATGTCCATGGTACTGCTCACGTCTATAAGCGACGGTTACCACTTTCCATCAGGTGGACTGTCACCTTGTTTGCCATTCTAAGTTGTATAAAAAAAAAAATTTGTTATTTAGAAACAAATATACAATTTGATTGTATACTGACTTACTATTCAGACAATAGATGAAAATTTACTTCATTTACTCCAAATTCTTCCAAATCCTGGCAATAAATGAAACATAAAGTAAATAAACATAATAATTCATTAAGTGATTCAAATTGAAAGATGCATAATCAGTATTTTGGTAAATTTGAAATCATATTGATTCATACGAACGAGACTATTTTATAAGTCATCACTTTAAAATTTGAATTTAGAGTATAATTATCCATGTTTACAAAGAGTTTTGTATGATTCCATTATCATATATAATGTTAAAAAAATGTATTTTAAGAACTTACATGAAGTTGTCCATTGTGAAGATTTTGCTGGTTTCATAGATCTGTTAACAAAAACAAATATATTAAAATATGTTAGAACAATAGCATGAGTTTTGAGTAAACTGTTTATACTATGTAAAATATTTGTTACACTCAACCCTTGGAGATGTGGCTATGGAAAATCACATTTCTTACACAGAGTGTGATAATGTTCCTAACCAGAGTCACATATGACAGTTTTTGTCTATCATACATCGGCTTTGGTAGGGTATGTAAAAATAAAACAGTAGTATAGCTTTCACCAACCTTTTTTGAAGCATTTTCTCTCTACAGATCTTCTAGATCTGCAACATAAAAATTTAGATTAATAATATACAATGTTGCACTATGACTTTGTATATGATATGATAAATCAGTTAAACGGTATTATTGAAATCACTAATGATCATACGAACGAGACTAAAAATAATGCATCATTTTATCTAATCAAATAGTAAATTAAAACCTTAACTATACATGTTACTAACCTTTATTAAAATTAGGCTCATTGGTGGTAGAGGCTGAAACATAAAAAATATTGAGTAAAACAAAAACATCACATGTTCTACAAAACTCAAGAAACTCACCTATTGTAACATAAATGGAGAGTTATGGAACACTAATGATACAAATTAATAGCTAAAAGTAATTCTTTATTTTAAATCTGTCCATAAATAGTAGTCACACTTTAACTTTCAGACAAGAAAAGAATTACTTCTTCGCTGGTTTCTTAGTGGCGGGTTTTTTTGTGCGCGGCTTTTTCGCAGGTGTCTTGGGGACCTTCTTCTTGCCAAAAGTGCCGGCGCGCGCCGCCTTCACCTTCAAACTCTTAAAAACTGCCGTTCTTGCGCGGTTTCTCTTCACACGTGCTGATGATAACTTGAACCTATCATAGTCTGTCATCTGAGCGCGTTTCTCTTTATTAGCTAATTTCTGTGCCCATTGACTCTCGGCCCACTTCTCGTTTAATTTAGCATCTGTCCATGCTTTCCTTACAACACGAGTGGGTGCTGTGAAGGGATACTTGAGGCGGAATTTAGTTAAATGAAGCTGGTTTAAGCGGATCTGTTGTCTCTGGACTCCGCTGCCGGGTCCATCAACTAGAGCGCGCGTTTGATCAATGACGTCTACCACGCTAACCAACTTTCCCTTCAGGGCGCCGTCAGCCACCAGGGCGACACGCCCCGGTTCTACGTACCGAGCGAAAGGCATGACGTTCTGGAATTAATAAAAAAAAATCAATTTACTGATACACTGCACTTGATTTAAATAGTATTTTTTCTAGTATGTAAATAACAAGACAGCCCACATTCACAACTATGGGAATTATCATGAAATAAATAAAAATAAGGATCACTATATATTGAAATTGTCATCAATAATTAACAGTTATAATTTATAAATAAATTAGAGGGCATTTCATTACGATTAAAGACGATAAAAATAACCTAACCTTACAACGTCCCGAGAAAGAAAAGATAAACTCAAAAAGAAGATACTATAACCATGACAGCAATGACAGATAAATGCAGTGTCGCCATTATAAAAAATGGATTACGAAATACGAAACTCCTTGTACTGATAATCAATAAAACATGATGAATTACATATTTTAAAAGGAATATTAAAATAATAACCGTAAATCATATGGTTGCCACATTTCTTCTTATGCAAATATAATTAGTTAAAAGAGGACGAAAGATACAGTTTTTATTTTATTATTCCTTCTATGTATTTCGTAGTTCTTAACTTTTATTCCTGTGATGGCTCCTGTAATAATAGCTATTAGCGATGGTCATAATATATAAATTTAGTTTATGATGGTCTATAAAACAATAATTTTGGGAAACTACTAAATTAAAATCTTAAATTAAGAGATATGTTTAAAGAAATGACGCGTCAAAATCGAGCTTAGTGTATTAATTAGTATTTATTACTTTATTTAGTTTATGACTACTGAAAATTAAATTGTATTTCTTTGGCAGGCTCATTATAAAATCTTGGCCACCGTAGTTTGAATAAATGAAATATTATCAGATAATATGGCTGAATAAGTCTGATTTCTTTACATTGTCTATAAATTTACAATAAAGAGAAATATAGATTATTAACCATAGACCATAGACAAGGCTATGCAGGAAATGGAAGAAAGGGCAAAAAATTAGCGGCAAATTTGATTTATTTATTTGTACAAGTTATATGAGTTGCTAGGAAACAATAATCATAACATATGGCAAATAAATAATTTGATCGATTATTTTTGTGATTTTAATAAATTCAATATGCGATTCAAATATTCAAAAACATTTTTAGAAGCGCAGGTAATTAAATATACCTATATTAATAAAGAGCTACTTTAGTGTGTATGGTATTTATTAAGAGCATACTTTTTCACTTGGATTATTTGGATAGACTATATTGTGAGTAAATTTAAGAAAAGGTCAATATATCTACTTGGATTTATGTTAAAAATATGTTCTAAAGTTGGTATCAGGGTTGTTATCTAGTGTATGTTAACGTAACACTTTGGACATTTCCACTTTGTAATATAAGTTGACGGCTTACTGGATTGAAAATGGTAACTTTCGCTCACAGTAATGAACAGCGCCATGTGCATCCGTAAATATGTGTTTAATTAAACAGGAATACGAGAGTCCTATTGCGGATTTAAGTTGGTCTCCAAATAACGTGAAGCTTGCGGTGGCGACATGTGAACGAGTGGTGTTACTGTACGACCGGGAGGGTGTGCGGCGTGACAAATTCAGCACTAAACCAGCAGATCCAGCGGCAGGGAAAAAGTCTTATGTTATAACATGTAAAATATTATTCTTTTTTGACAAAGACGTTGGTGGTGGTATGCTCACACGATTGGTCATACGAAAACGAAACGTGTCGTTTGATCTAAAATGTGTTACGTGTGACCGATTTTTCCATGTATTAGTTAGAGCAAATTAAAAGCAATGATCAGATAATAATATCCTTTTCAGTAAGATATTACCACTACTCTGGCTTAAGGCGGCATGTAAAAAGGATTTTGTTTTGAGTATTTTTCTCTTATAATGCAATAATGTGCGCGGAATGAAAGAGTCCAAAATACATTTCAGGTATATCATTTAGCGAAAACTCTGAGCTGCTGGGTATAGCTCAAAGCGACAATATGGTGTTTGTGTATCGTGTGGGCGCAGATTGGTCCGGCAAGAAAGTGATTTGCAATAAGTTCCCTTTGACTGGGGCACCAACGCAGCTACTGTCTGCTGATAACGGATTCTTCACTGCCACTACAGATGGCAAGATAAGGTTTAGTTTACAACTGATAATTCTTTTATTTTATTATACAATTTCAAATAGTAAACAAGTTGATGACCTACCTGATAAAAATGAAACAATCGCTATTGTAATACACTTTTTTCCTTATATGTACCTGTATATTTCAAGTAAAATAGCGGATAACACACGTTGTAAACATGGATTCAGAGAAGAGAAGGACAAGTCAGTACTTGTCCTTCTCTTCTCTGAAGAATAAGATAAAAATAAGATACCAGTGTATCTTATTAATATTTCTTATTTTACTATGCTTCTAATTATGAAATGTTTTGAACTGATAATATTTTGTTTTTGGATAAATTAAATTATTGTAATAAAATAGGTGGTACTGCACATAGCATATGTTTCTGAAAGAAATTTTAGCAAATATTTTTTAATGCTACTTAGAATGATAAACAAGCTGACGGTCCAGCTGCTGGAAAGTGGTAACTATCGCCTATAGTCATAAACAGGACCAAGGACAACAAAGTGTACTGTGTCGCTATATATATATATATATATATTGAATTTACATAAAATCATATTGTCTGTTTGTTAGATCCTTGGATTGTAAAAGCAATAAGAGCTCTAGTTTATGGACGGTCGGGACATGTTGCGTGTCTCTGGCCAAGAGCGGAGAAGGCACCTTAGCTTCTGGACACGTTGATGGTACATTGTACCTCAACGGTAGATTACTTCTGCGCTACGCATTGCCCCCCACCGCTTTAATACTATTGCCACCGTATGTGAGTTCATTATACTTTTTACTGAATAATGAGTGTTAGTGTACCTAATTTGTAGATTAGGATTTTAGTTTTCTGCGGTATTATTAGAAAACAATGCTCAACAAGCTAGAAGGGCACTAAAGACTCATTCTTTCTTTGCGCTTTCGTTGTTAGATTCGCACTTGTCTAGAAGGAAATTTTTCATAGAGAATTTCAAGAACGATTCGCGAAGCTGTTGGGTTTCTTAGATCAATTTAATATATACTAGCAACCCGCTCCGGCTTTGCACGGGTACACATTACATCACATCACATTATATACTTCTAAAATAATCTGTGTTTCTTTACTATATTATGCATGTATTATATATATATATATATATATATATATATATATATATATATATATATATATATATATATATATATATATATATATATATATATATATATATATATAAACCTTTCTATTGAATCTAGTAAAAGAAACGCACTAAAATCCGTTGTAAGTTTTAAATATCTAAGCATACATAGGGACAGACAGACGGAAGCAACTTTGTTTTATACTATGTAGTAATGAAGTATGTTGTTACCTAGTTAGCAAAGTTCGTGATTTTACCACTGAGGTTATCATATAGCTTATACGTTAAACCCATAAATAATACTACCTCGAGATTTTATTATTCATGGGTTTATGTACTTAGAAGCTACATTCTAGTCCTCACAGTTTTAGCAAATGACAACTATCATAATTTTTTTAATTAATGAATGTTTCTGGTGTAGTGTGGTGATTGTTTTTAAACTAAATTTACAATTTCGTATTTCATTAATTATGAAGGTATGACTATGACTATGGTATGGTATGACTCGTAGCCTTTTTTAATAGATATTTATAAAACGTTGACAGGGATACAGACTAGAATAAAAAAAAGTGCAATAAAATAAGAACAGAAAAAGTGTATATTGAAATTTATGATTGACTTCATCATTACTTCAGTTGATAGTGGGCTCTTGTGACGGCCGGGTGACGGTATACGAGGCGCAGCGTGGTGCTCTACTGCGCAGCCTAGAGCCTCAACTACCGCCAGATCGACGTGATATTATTGCTGCCGCGCCGAGTCCTTCAGGGCAGGTCAGTTTAATTTTTAAAAATTCTGTTACGAAAATATTGTTAGTCAATGTATTGGTTTCGCTCAAGTAAATAATACTTGTTGGCTGACTGACAGACAATCTTAGATGTATTTAAAAGCCTGGTAAACCGTGCCTAGCTCAAAATTGTTTGGGGTGTACTCCGGAATTGGAGCGGAATTTTCAGTTATGGACAAAAACATGTTTAAGAGATATATATGCGCCTATATGTATATATGTATGACTTAATTATTTTAAGGTAAATAATCTTAAATACGTTAATGTAGACAAACCAAAGATATAAACTTGTAATCATGTAGGTCCTAAGAAGAGACTTTCCAACGTTCCAATAGGTATGGTAAATATTTGGTTTACACAGGCGAAGCAGGTTACTGTATAGTTAAAAAGAAATTATTATGCTTACTAATAATTATTACACATAATTACTTGCGTTATTGTTTATAGACAATAGCATTCGGGGTATTCGACGGGTGTCTGATAGGTGAAGTGAAGGAGTCTGGTGGTGTGGAACTGTCGCCGCTAGTTATACCGAACATGTATGCGACGCGTGCCCTCGCCTGGAGCGCTGATGGTACCAAGTTGGCGGTCGCCTCGCAGACCGGCGCCGTTATACTCCTTGAAGCTGTTCTCAGGTTATACAGATAATTCTTTAAAGTTTCATATTTATTGACTGGTATTTAATGTTTTCTATGTTCACTTGACTGAATGACGTAGAGAAGGGATTATCAGGCTTTGTATGTATAAATATAAATTCCTTTGAGGCATTTTAGAAAGCAAACGCGTGGACGGATTTTAACGACCCTTGCATCAATAGGTTTGTCTTAATTTTGCGAATGTTACTAAAGATATGAAAATTGACAGCAATCAATTTAAATAAGCAATAAGGTTAAGCATTTAATAATAGTTGTAATCTGTATATATTTGTTTTCTTCGTACTATTTGTTATAAATGTATCAATATATGCTGTGTTTGCCTATAAAAAATTGTTACACTTAGTTCTAAGCTCCATATTTGTATAAATATTTACACTATCTTGTGGAAACAATTGTTGGTGAACCTAAATAAATAAAAAAATAGGACGACAATGTAATACTGTGAAAAAAAATTAAAGTCGACGAACTAAACATAGTTCGGGTTTAGTTAACAAACTGAAGTATTGAATTGAACAAGTATTTGATTATCACCTTTAGATTTCTCTTATCATTTTTCATTTCCGATGACCATTTAGGATTTTTAACGGTTTAATGTTAGTTAGCAACCATTCTTAGTTATTTTTTTTTATATCTGTAGGTACCTATTGATCTCTATTTGTTATAGATAAACAATAAATATTAATTTATAAAATACATAACATGTCACGGTATTGTAAGATTATATGATCACTATAACATATATGTATACGAGTAATGGGGTACCAAAATCTAAGCAATTCTATGGTAACGCTTCTTATTTCGCTACAAGTGTTATTCGCGGAGATCCATAATATTGTTGCAGAAAATTAATAGCGTCACTATACGCATATGTTTAGTTCTCTCATAAGGTATGTTCATTATCATGCCGTGTTACGGTAAGTTATAAAAGTGCACATTAACCCTGGAACGCGCTTCCTGATGCCATTAAGAGACTACTGACTAAATTGTCTTTCAAAAAAAGCGTTCACGCTCACTTTTTATCTTTATCCGAGCAGTAATTTGCTTTATATTATTCCCAAATTCGTTTATATATGTTATTTTAGTATGTATGTATATCAATAATTAGTAGTAGCGCATTCGAGTATTCTGACACTTCCCTATGGTTGACTGGGAGAGAATGCTTTTAGCATTAAGTCCGTCATGTACACATATTTGTACTAATGAATAAATAAATTTATTTATTTATTTATTTATTTATTTATTTATTTTAATAAGGCACACATAACAAATTATAACCTTTTGTTAGGTTTATATATAGATAATTATGGTGTTAATGCTAGGTTATAATTCAAAAACATGTGTACACAACATGATTAACATTTAAACATAACATTTCAATTTCGACACGTGGAAAACATAATAATTAGTAAACATTATATACATATATCATAATTTACATTAAAAGAAATTGAAATCATAAAACTATCATCACACAAGAAAAACAGCCCAGCCTTAGGATGGCCTTAACATGAACCACATCACTAAATACCAGTAAACGTGCAAGTTCATTCCAAACGGCTCACGCACCTCCTGAATGATGACAGCTTCATGTCGAATATATCAATGAATTTGTGGTTGAGCATAAGATCATTATATTGTCGGCACATTCTGACAAGTGGATTATAATAAGAAGTATTGGTTCTGTGAACCTGAAGAGCAAACAATTTATGACTAGGATTTCGTGACTTAAATCTTGTATTAAGGCGTATGGCTGAAAGAAGAGGAGGTGATTCAATTATGTTATTGACTATTTTAAATAAGCAAATTAGGTCACTGCACCAGCGACGTGTTTCCAAAGATGTGATACCGAAATACCTAAGTTTATCTTCATAAGACTTTAATATACGGAGTTTATTTGACTTAAATGAAAGTATTTTTAGACACTTTTTTTGGACATGTTCAATGCGATCATTATGGATTTTATAGAACGGAGACCAGACAACGCTATTGTACTCTAAAATACTTCTGACAAGTGCAAAGTATAAATATTTTAAACTCTGATAATTCTTAAATTGTTTAGTACATCGAGTGATAAAACCTAATAATTTGTTACTCCTGTTAACTACAGCGTCATAATGTTCGTGAAATGTTAATTTTTCGTCAAAAGTTATACCAAGATCATTCACAGATCGCTTGCGCTGCAATATTTCTTCATTTATTTTGTAATCATATACAATTTTACGAGCGTTACGTGTAAAAGATACAATAAAACATTTTTTCACATTTAAAAACATATTGTTGCGATTACACCAATCAGTAATAATATTGATGTTGTCTTGAAGCAATTGACTATCACTTTCATCCTTCACCGTACAAAAAATCTTAAGATCGTCTGCATATAACAGGGTAGGGCACGTTAAACTTTCAGCAAGGTCATTAATGAAAATATTAAATAGTAATGGGCCTAAATGTGATCCTTGTGGAATACCTGAAGAGGCAACAACGGATGAAGACAGATATCCTGCCAATGCCACTAATTGACTTCTATTAGCCAAATAAGATTTAATCCACCTTAAAAGATTCCCATGAATGCCATACTGTGCCAACTTATGATAAAGAATCAAATGACTGACTTTGTCAAATGCCTTAGAGAAATCTGTGTATATAGAGTCCACTTGTAATCTTTTAGCGAACGATCTGCATAAATAATCCTTATATTCCAACAAATTACTTGTAGTTGATTTATTACTTATGAATCCATGCTGTTTAGTTGATAAGATTGGTTTGACGTGATTATAAATGAAATCGTAAATAATACTTTCAAATATTTTTGCAAAATGAGACAAAATGCTGATTGGTCTATAGTTCTCACACTGAGAACGGTCACCTGACTTATGAATAGGCACAACATAAGCCATTTTCCAGTATGAAGGAAAAACACCAGAATCCAATGATTTATTAAAAAATATACATAACGGGACACTTAACTCCTTACCACAAGCAATTATGAATGATGGTGGAATAGTATCCGGTCCTGCACCTTTACGTGAGTCTAGTTTCTTAATTTTCTTAAAAATATCGTTTTCAGACAACAATATATGATAGATTGAATAATTATGATATATATTGTCGCTGTCATTGCACATAAGATTAGAAGAAGAGGTTTCATAAACTGACCCAAAATATTGAGCAAAAAGTTCACATGCCTCTTGACCATTTGAAGAAATAAGGCTTCTGAATTTCATTGATACTGGCATAAAATTAACAGTTTTTCTACTTTTTACGTATTGCCAAAAAGATTTTACATTAGTCCTAAGTGAGTGTTCAATCGAAGATAAGTAGCTGTTATAACATGACTTCATTAGATTACACTATATTACTACTACACTATACTACACTATATTACTATATTCACTTCATTAGATAGACTTCAATTAATTAAATGAAGTGATGGTGGTGGACGTGCGTGGACATGTGTGGGCGTGTGTGCACAGACGGTGGGTATGGCGCGACAGCGTGGAGGTGCAGCACGTGAGCGCGCGCCAGCTCGTGTTGCGGCGGCTGGCGGCCGACGCGCCCCCGCTCACCGTTACCTCCAACCAAGCGCCAGACATATACAACGTGCGCTTCATAGGTGAGCACGTGTAAACGCTTTGGAATGCTAATCACACCTTTGCGGGGGCAAATATATTGTTAGTAATAAAGTTTGTTTAACGGCTCCATTGCTAGCAATATATCCTATCGGGTTCTCCTGGATGCCACCGCGGCTAGTTAGTTTTTTTTTAATGAATGATAATGGAATGGTAACCCCGTCTGCGGTATACGCTGGCGGAGCACCAGTGAGGGATGATAGGTGAGGATGAAAGCAGGTCAGTTAGCCCATCGTGACGAATTCAACGATAAATTAGTCACGATAGTTTCCATGGGGAACCGCGTGGAGGTTGACCTGATAGGGTATATTGATAGCAATGGGGTCTAACTTCCCCATTACTAAGAATCCCTTCCCATGGCTAGTTAGTTAGGTTAGCTCATCGTGATGTATTCCACAAGAATTAATAACGATGATTTATAAGCAGACTGCATGAATGCAGTTCCCGTTACTAACAAACCCCTTTCCCTTGACATGTACACTCTTTTTAAATGAATAATAATGGTGTATTAATTCCACCTGCGCAATCAATAAAGCTGATAAGTACATACTGTCCCGACATAGAACGCCCAACTCTTCCTTTTCCGTGGGTGTCGTAAGAAGCGACTAAGGAAACTTAATGATCGCGGGATGGCAGCGTCCCTTTTAAAACATCACCAAAGCCTAATTGCAGTTGCTAACTCAAATACCATGCGTGGCAACTACTGACAAACCGGGGGAGGCCCTATGCTCACTAATGGACAGTTAACGGTTGACATGATGATGATGATGAATCAATAAAGATAAGGAAAAAATCAGGTCAGACGACCTACTACTATTATGATGAATATATCAAAAATTAACTACGTCTGTTTCTGGGAGCAACTGCATGGAGGCCGACCTGACCAATATTATTGCACTAAGAAATTTAGATATCTTTTAAATGAAGTGATACATATTTCTTTTAGGTAATGACTGGTATGCAGTATGCCGAACTAGCAGCTCACTAATTCTTTGCGACATTGCTCGTGGCCTAACTAGCGAGGTAACAATACAAAATTAATAGAATGAAATTTTTAGCAGTAAATACAATATTAATCAACAGTATGTTATTGTGTAGATTCAATGGACGGGTAGCGGTGAACGTATATACGCGGCTGTGGGAGGCGCATGCTTAATTCATCGTGCTGGAGAATTGAGTGTCGTTGAATATGGGCTTAATAAAGTCCTGCACACTGTGAGTATTTATTGGAAATATCTGAGCTCAAATATTCAAGAGGAATGTTGTGACATTAATATCTAAAATAAACGGCCCACTCGGCCTTTTTTAAATACGTCGTGATACTCAATTCTATTCTTATTCTTCAATTCCTATTACCGTTTTTTTAATTATATTTTAATTTAAAACACATATGTAGTAGTATGTATGTATGTAGGTTCGTACGGAGCGCGTGAACCCGCACGTGTTGAGCGTGCGCATCAACGAGGGCACCTCGTCGACGAGCGGCCGCGACCGCAAGCACCTCGCTTACTTGCTCGACAGGCAGACCATCGCTGTTGTTGATCTATCTACAGGTAAAGAATACCATTGAGAATTGATCTTCATTTTGTAATAGGTACATTAGATTAAAAAGTTTATATCGATTGTTATTTATCAAAATGCTACTGATTACAACCGTGTTGTTCTGAAACTATCTTATCCGAACTACAAAAATATTTAATTTTTGGAAATTCATCAAATATTACGTAACATTTTTGTGTGAAAAGATTTACAGTAATCTTGGTTTACTAATGCGTAGTTAGTGTTTAAAATATTTAAAATACAAATTCTCTGTCGAAATGCCTAAATCCGATTTTATTGACTGTGTCTATGTCACAACCCGTTTGAATAACTTATGTATGCATTGTAAAGTTCAATAATAGTAATCTTTGGTAGGGTGTATCATGATGAATTATTAATTTGGTTCAATATTTGAGATTAACTTCTGTAATAACACAATTTCTTCTCATGACTGTGACTGTTCCAGGCGTTCAACTAGGACAATGGTGGCACGAAGCTCGAATTGATTGGCTTGAACTTAACGAAAACGGACAATTGTTATTGCTGAGGGACACGCGTCGTAGACTTGTGCTTTTGCGTCTTCATAACGGGGACAAGGTAAAAATCGCCTTTTGGCATCCAAAATATAAAATAAAATAGGATATAAATTATAGGAAATAAGATGGGTAGCATAATAATTGATATTTTATAATTTTTAATAGGCTTTTTTACAACTATGCGCACCACACTTATTTTTATATTTATTTTACAATGTTATTGTTTATTGCAAATATACATTTACATTCAAGTAGACATATTTTTAATTCATAAATTTATTGTATTATTTGTTGTAGCTAATTGATATTTTAATTATAAATTACTATTTTTTATTATCATCCCAAATATAAGTTATATAAGTGACATGATGTAAAACGATGTAACATACATTTAATTTTTAATATGCAATAATAATTTAAATAACATAAAATTGTATCATAATTTTATTTTTAGCTTTTTTATAAGATATGAATATTTTCATAATTACATCGTTTAAGGAATTAAACAGTTGTCAAACTTAGTACTTTGCTACATGGCCTTTGTTAATAATTTTAAGAATGTAAATAAACTCATTTAATTTCAAGTAATTTTAAATAAATTTATGGTTTTTATCAGTACAGTAAAAATAAAATCTCGATTTTTGATGAAATGTCGATTCGCTAGATCGATTCAATGCAATTCATATCCATTAAAAAGATCGATTTTTAAGTCGAAATCGATCTCAGATCGCCTTGCCGAGTATGTAGTGTATTTGTCCTTAATCATTCGCTACTTAGATATATTGTTAAATTATTTTTTAGGAAATTATAGCAAGTGGAGTTGGATTCGTGCAGTGGATAGAGAACAGTGACGCAGTCGTGGCACAAACACCTACGCACTTATTAATTTGGTAAGGTATTTTAGCATTTCCACTCAATCCACCTTTATTGTTGAACATAGGGCTCCCCCATATTTCGCTATAAAGAACGATCGAATCAACTGCTACAAATTTGATTTTCTTGCTTTATCTATATTTTTTTTATACTACTGAAAATGGCAAACGAGCTGACGGCTCACCTGATGGAAAGTAATAGCCGTCGCCTAAAGATATGAACAGTACCATGTATTATATTATATAAGAGATTGTTCTACAATGCCTATTTTTATGTTTACCGCTCATTAAACTTTTGTTCGTACCAGCTATCAATTTATTTGGATATATGACTATAGCTCTCAATATTATAATTACGAGTATGTTCCATGCTTATATTGACTGACTGTCAGACAATGTAAAGCGAGTATTTTTTTATAGGTGGTAATTGAATGGTAACTCCGCTTGTGCTAATAGTTACACGCTGGCGGTGTATTAATGAGGGACGATAGATAAAGATGAAAATGCAGGTTAGTTAGCCCATTGCGATGAGTTTATTTGGAATTAAACACGATGATTTCCATGGGGACCGCCAGGAAATCGCTAAAGAAATAGAGTTAAGTCCCATTACTAACAATTATTCCCTTCATCGTACAATCTCAGTAGATTAATTTAGATGCTAAAAATTTTACTGATATTTATTTCATTAACTACGGGTTTTCTAAGCTTCCCACAAGAATGGGAGAAAATGAACTTATGTGACAAAAGTAGTAGGCAGGGGTTTAGGTAGCATATAAAATTGTGTAGATTTATTTAGTTTAATTAATTAACATATAGTCTATATATATTAATAAAGGTATTCAGCTTGGGAGTCGGGAAGTGTGGAAATGGCGGAATGTAGTGGTGGGGTTGCGGTGGAGGTGGACTCGCGCCGTGTGGTGTTTGAGGGCGGACAGCTGCCATACCTGCAGCTAGATGAGCACCGACTAGCGTTCAGTATGGCTTCATTTGTTTTATTATTTCAGAGAATATTTTATCAATAAATGTTTTTTTCGGTGTTGAGACTGTATTGTTGTTTACGGATTGTGTTTTGAAGAACTCTTCGACATTGTGCTTACCGCCACCAATTACCGTCGCACCGCTTGCCATCGGCGGGGAATTCATCCTCACAGCCTAGAATCAAAATGGTCACGTATACTGCGGTTGTAGTGGTTCCTCACACGAACACTCAGGTTGTGGTACGTTCTTCCTGCCGAGGATTTCCTTATAGACTACAGCATAGGGTTCTTTAAAAACGACGTAATAAGGTATATTATGGGTCGGCAACGCGCGCATGATATCCCTGGTGTTATAGACGTCCATAGGCTACGGTGACCCCGTTTACCATTAGACAGGTCGTTTGCTTATTTGTCACCATAGTATTACAGTATAAAAATATTGTAGGTGTCGAATTTTCAATCTTGCAGTAATAATGAAGATCATGTATGTCAGCAAAAAGAGTAGGTGCATTAATTCATTGACGTGTCATATTATTCTGTTCGCATTTTCATACCATCCAGTGATTGTCTTACCATCTCCCACATGATGGAATGTGGTGATTACCGCCAGTAGATTCGAATATATTCTAGAATGTACCATATTACTCATGGTGCCTTATCATTATTATTTCAGAGAATTGAGATGTTGTACCTCTTAGAGGTCACATAATATAGCCTTTCAAAACTAGTGATCGAATAATAGCCATAGTCTAAGGAAGTTTTACATTGTGGCATATATATTTTGTTTGAAGTTTGAAGGCTTCACCTTCAAACCGAATAAAACCAACGGACACATTTCTGTGTTGTAGTAAGATTAAGATAGTGTTGATGTCCGTTCCCAGCTCTACCGTCAGATAAATACTTATATCTCTCAATTATCTTTAATCTCCGATGTATTGTAAAGTCTGTGTAATTACCCTGGATAAACTTTCGACGGTCATTTCCAGACAACGCCCTCCGCAGCGGCGACTTGGTGGGGTGCGCTTCATACCTGGATGGCGTGGACAGCAGCGCTGACGTGGCACCGCTGTGGCGCCAGTTGGCTGACCGTGCTCTTGCTGATGATGACATACAAGTAAGTAACATTACTTTTCATGTACTGATGAAATAAAAATATTACCACTCTTATTCATTTGCATATTTACAGTTATTTAATATATATTCTTATATTTTAGACGTATTACGTTCAGTCATATAATATCTTTGCACATAGAAGACTTGCTCGCATCCTAAGGTTGACAATTCTGGAATGGGAACTATTCAACTCAGCGAATCTTGTATTTTTTTTTACCATATGGGATATGATAGAAAAATTACAGAATTCTGTAGGGTTGGTTCAGTGATAAAGAGTCAGTGAGCCGAGATTTCAATCTTTATTAGATAAATATTGTTCAATATAGTTAGTTAATATTTGAATTAATTCATTATAATAGCTCGCAGCCAAGTGCTATCGAGAGGTAGGCGATGAAGCTCGTACGTTTTACCTTGACAAAACCGTAGAGTTAGCTACTGAAGAAGGTGCTGGCGATATTAATGCAGGTACGTTATATTTGGTTAAAATATATAAAAATACAATGGACGAAGTGTAGTGACAGATATGCCCAAGTTGTTTGCTTGGGCATATCTGTCTTATTCGTGTTTCTATCGAGAAGCAGTTGTGTTTGCATGGCTGTGTTTCGGTTTGAAGAGTGCGATATGGTAGTGAATTTAAAGGGTACAGAGGAATAACATCTGAGTCTTGAGGAATGGCAACGCATGGCGGTATCATGGGCGAAACAGTATACTCTGTTATATCAATAGTACTGCTCATGTCTATAGGCGACGGTTACCGCTTTCCATCAGGTGGGAAATCAGCTTGTTTGTCATTCTAAGTTGCATAAAAAAACATGTCGTGCATATTTCAATCTAAAATAGAACTCTAGTATACCATAGATTTGACACTTGGTGTCGTTAATTGGTTTTAGGTTTAAAAAGTCCATTAGTTCGTGCAAGACTAGCAATATTTGCCGGGGATTTGTCAACTGCCGAAGAATGTTACGTGAAGAAAGCTGGTCGACCTGAGCTAGCTATCAGCATGTACAAACAATTCAATAGATGGACAGACGCCATCTCTCTTGCCGAGAGGGTAGATCGTGCATTGGTTACTACTTTGAAACAGCAGCATATGGATTACTTATCGTCAACTGGTAGGTATCACATTACTTATTTCAATATTTTTTAAATATTTTTACAATAGTGGAAAAAGTCTAAATAAATAGGCAGATAAAGTTAACAGTATAGTTTTGTATGTGCCCGTTAGTAATAATAATTAAGTAAATTAATTTTCCTCCCTTTATCAATCATGTGTCAACTTGGCATCAGGGTATGATTTTTTATGGATGAAAATGGAATGTCATTTCAGCCTGCGGCACTGGACTAAGCCGGCGAGGAATCAGTGAGGGATGATAGGCGAGGATGAAGCAGGTCAATGGCCCATCGTGATGAATTCATTAAATGTTAATTACGATGATTTCCAAGGGCACGTGGAGGTCGATCTATTAGAGTGTATTGCTAGTAATAAGCTTATTAGATCACATTACTAATAATTCTATTCCCCTTGTATAGGTAGATTAGGCGAGGCTGGCGCAGTGTTAGCGGCGTCCGGAGATGTACAAGGCGCAGTGCGCGTGTGGCTCAAGGGCGGTAGGGCGCGGCGTGCGGCCGCTCTGCTGCTGCAGCACCCCTCCCTACTGCGGGACTCTGAGTTGATGGACGCCGTGCGGACGCAGCTTATACAGGTACGTTGTAGGCCATTCTGTTGTTTATCATAAAAATTAACACTGGTAGTCAATTGAGTATTGTAATTTAGTAATAGAAGTAGTTTATTTCATAGCCTAAGGCGTATGGTATATGTGCAGCGTCGACATATGTTTGCAGTATAAGTCTGTCAACCACACTACGTAACTCCCTCGGCGCGACACCTGAAGTGTTTTTAAATTTGTACTGTGTTGTATGAAAATAACAGACTCTTGCCACACAAGTGTATGTGTCAAGAATTGAACGTGTTGTAAGAGTTTCGTCTATAAATTGTTGATAATATAATGTATGCGTTGGACATTTACTATTACATCATTGTTTAGAGTTAATAAAAAGCATTAAATATTAGAAACTATGTTACAGGAAGAGTGGTGGGAAATGGCCGGTGAGTTAGCGGAAAGAAGTGGTGAGAACCGAACAGCTGTAGAATACTACGCCAAAGGAAACAATTTTGCTAGAGCTGTACAACTTGCTCGAGAAGTATGTTTAAAATTATTTTTGCTACATCTGTTTTAAGTAAAGTGTTTTTACAATGTTGATTTTATAAATAGTTATTAGGACAATTTATAAAATGTAAAACTTGACCAGTATCTCTTTGGGGTTGCTGTGTCAGATGGCGACTCATTACATATGCTAAGTCCAGCCAGATTTAAAAGGCAAGTGGCCTATATCGAGGTTTTCTTTTGAGATCAATAGTATCATGTGTTGTGATGATGACGATTGAATTATATTGCAGGGAGGGTGTATGGGTTCAATATGTGCAGTATGTATGGTCCACATTAAAGTCGATGAATATATTAAGATTTTCAAAACCTCTACTGTGACTATAAATATCCCATTATGTAGATTCAACTAATTTTGATCCCTTTCAATGTTCATCGAATTCTGGTGCGAATTTTGTTGAGCTACTTATGTATATAACGGCATTTACGAGTTTCTGTGTATGTTCTCGTGTATATTTGATGGTGAGTATAGTGGTGCGTCACCGTGTTGGCCCCGGTATAGAATGGGTCATCCCTTCCTTTCCTGTGTGTGTCGTAATAGGTGACTAAGGGAACTTATGCTCAATGGACGGGCAGTAGCGACGCTCTAAAAACATCTCTAAAAGCCTAACTGCGGTTGCTAACTCGCCTGCCAAACGCGGCAACTGCTGGCTAAACTCCCCGTATGGAGAAGGTTTATGTTAACCCGTGGAGCGATCGGCTTTAGGCTAGCTCGCTACACCCACTGCGTCACCGATTTTTTAAATTATCAAATTTCGATTAGAGGTTATAATTAAATGGTTTTCTTTATGGGTGAAAATGGGTGGATAGATGAGAATGAAAACATGCCCGTTAACCCATCATGATAAATTCATTAGGAATTAACCATGATAGTTTCCAGGGGGAACCGCGAGGAGGTCGACCTGGTTGGGTATATTGCTAGCTTAATAGGATTTTTCCATTACTAACAATCTCTTTCGCTCCACGGATAAATGGGTTTACTACCTACATAAATTTAATGAAAACGACGCTGCAAATTTAAGTTATGCAACAGATGCTGTTGCATTAGCGCGCGGTACAACAATTTTGTTCGGTACAGCGTATGATGCATAAACGCTGGAGGGGTTAAGCAGTGGACAATGAACGGGTGTAATGTGGTGCAGGCGTGTCCGGGCGAGGTGACGCGGCTGGAGGGCGCGTGGGGCGCGTGGCTGGTGGGCGCGCGGCAGGCGGGCGCCGCCGTGCCGCACCTCATCGAGGCGGGCGACACGCGCGCCGCGCTCGCCGCCGCCCTCCGCGCCCACCACTACAGGAAGGCGCTGCACATCGTGCAGGTACACCCGCCGCCACTACCACCACCGGTACTGCACCACCTGCTGTCATATCAGAGGAGGTGGAGTGGTAGCAGAGCGTGGTCACGTTATTAATGACAACGCTGGGTTTGTTTGTATGCACAGAGTTTTATTATTTCAACGGAAAATTCATATTATTCCTTACAGTTGGAGTAGCACGCCATGTTTTTTTATCAATATTAAAGTTATTGAGTAAATAGCTTCTATTCAAGGCATGATAACCGTTTCGCGTGATACAGATGGTTACACTAGCTCTTTTCTTACGTTGCGATCTTGATCGTGTATATGTTAATCATCAATAAATAAAACTGACCTAATATATTAATGAAATATAAATTTTCACAGGTTATCGAAGACAAGGAATCTATACGAGAATACTGCGAGCAGTTGGGTGATCATTTTATAGCAACTCAAGTAAGAAGATTTTAATTGTAACAGTTTTAATTAAAAATATTATATCCCGCTGCGCATGTGTGGCACTCGCAGTGCGTGCTGTCTGTACGCAATACGCATTTGCCTCAGTATAAAATATCTATAAAAATGCTACAATAAAAAAAATGTTACGTATTAATTACACCAATTGATTGGTTCTTTAATTGTATCCTTGTATATCGAGAAACCGAACTAATTCGATTTAGAAAATTCTTGACTTGCTTGAGAATTAAATTTAAGCGAGTCGATCGATTGGTAGTAAATTAAGTGGTAGCATGATATACGAAACTTAAATAGTAAGGTAATGACAGTTCATAACTATCCAGGAGTGGGAGACGGCTGAGCGCGTGCTGACGTCGTGCGGGCTTGCGGAGCGATGCGTACGCGCGTACAACGCGGCGGGCCGCGCCGCCGACGGCCTGCGCCTCGCCGCCGCGCACCTCAGCGAGCGCGACACGCGCGACATCTACATGCCGCTCGCGCAGCAGTTGCGCCGCGACGGACATCTACGCAGGGCCGAGCAGATCTACATCGGGCTCGGCGAGCCGGACGAGGCCATTTCTATGTATAAGGTACTTTATAAATACTCTAGATTAATGACTAACTAATCTGCTTGATTGGCCATTATATAGAAGGCTACCCGTTTGCTTTTCCGTGGGCATAGTAAGACGTGACTAAGGGTACTAAATAGTAGAGGGATGGGCAGCAGCATCCCTCATAAAACATCTCTAAAAGCTTAACTGCGCTTGCTATCTCGTCTGCCAAGCGTGGCAATTACTGACAAAACTCCCCTTATGTTCAGCAGTTGTCCACGGCTAAAATGATGAATCTACTTGATACGTTACTACACGTATTTACTTATTTATTTAAACTTTATTGATTAATAAAATGAAGTGATTTTTTAGTTATTTATGCACATAGGTCAAAATTATTGAATCCTGTCATCTAGCAAACATTTTCAGCCGATTATATATTAATTTTCCATTTGTCTAAAGGGCCAGTTCACATGGAATGCGATTATATATAAGTAACTGAAAATGTAATTCTAAACTAACTGCATTGCTCAATTTTGTTTACTTAAATACCATAAATAAACCAAAATAAACCATTTTGATCTAGAACATATATGTTCTATCTGGGTATCAAATTAAATTCAAATATTGTCATCCGCTGAAGCGTGACCGCTTTACTTGACGAACATAGTTACAAACTTTCATAATATAATTTTCAAATCTTAGAGACATTTAAATGTATATAATTGAATTTGACTGTAAATTAGGATGCATCACAGTATGAAGCTATGTTACGGTTGGTGGCCGCACATAGGAGTTCTCTACTGGAGGCCACGCGTCGTCACGTAGCGCAAGCGCTCCATGCTTCGGGAGATTTACGTGCCGCTGAAAACTATTACATACAAGCGGGTAATCTTTACATTATTTATTGACGTAATTGAAAGAGGCAGCAATGGGCGACCTTATTATATAATAGTGATCTCTTCCAGGCAACCTTAAGTTGGAAAGGAATAATTAAAATTGTATTTGGTAAAAGCGTAAAAAAAAAAATAGACTAAAAGGATGAAAGAAAGGGCTAAAGATAAATTTAAATGCAGTATAAACAATATAAATAAAAAAATATATACTAGATTTTATGAAAGCATTTCTTGCTTATTATTAGGGTGTTAAGTCTATTAGGGTTTATAAAATTGTTTTATGTATATTAGTAATAGTATGATTAGTAGATGCGTAACATTGACTGGTTGGAGGGGTGGGGGGAAGGGATTGTTAGTAATGCAGACTACCAGTACCATGGCTAGCATTTTACCCTGTCAGGTCGAACTCCACGCGGTTCCCCCTAGAAACTATAGTGCTAAATTCCATGTGTATTTATTATGATGACCAACTGACCTGCCTTTTCATTCTCGCCTATCGTCCCTCACTGGTGCCTGCCAGCATATACCGTTAGCGCAGAGAGGGTTACCATTCCATTATCATCCATTAAAAAAAAACACTGACAGGTTATAAAACTTCATATATTATAAACAGTGTCGCCGTCGTTTTTTCGCACAACAATTTTGTACTGCGTAATAATACTTCTGCTGCGGTATTAATTTTTCGTATACATGTAACTTTTATTTTTGTTAAATTATGTTAATTAATAATGTGTCAGATGATTGGAAGAGCGCGATCCAGATGTATCGCTCCGCTGGACAATGGGAGGGAGCAGAACGCGTCGCTCGGGCTCATGCACCCAGCGCAGTGCAACAACAGGTCTGAAAATGACGCATTGTATTATATATATTATGTATATATATTTTACATGCACACATATACTCACACGCATGCATACATAAACACACACACACGCACGCACGCACGCACGCACGCACACGCATGCATGCATTTAGATATACTTATTACTAATATTAGATAAAGTTTATGTCTTAATTTTATGGTACTATGCTTGTATTTGCATGGTTATGGAGAAGCGTGACCTTCTGATACAGGTGATAACACTTACTAGGTCACAACAACGATCTTAGTATTATATCAATTTTGTTACGAAATAAATATTCGTTTCATTTTTTTTTTCATATTTAACCGCCTTCGCTTCGCACGAGTAGATAGAAAGATAAATTCATATATTATATTAACTTTAATAGACAATTTTTTCTTACCTTGAGTTACGTTATTGTAATTTCCGTAGGGATTTTTTTTTAATAATGTACCTATAGCCTTATTACTCATTGATAGTTTTTTGAAGATGAATGAATTTTTAAAGTCGGCTAAGTAGATTTTATTTTATTTTATCCGTAATAAGCAAACAAACAAACAATCAAATCTTTCCTCTTCATAATATTAGTATATATACGAGTATTATACAGACTAGCTAATTCGATAAATGTTGTTCAGCCTCATTTTCATTTAATATCACGTACTTTATATCTTTATGCAGGTGGCTCTGCAATGGGCTGCAGCTTTAGGTGGAGCGCCGGCTGCCCGCTTGCTAGCCGCTAGGGGACTCGCGGCGTTAGGGGCACGATGGGCATTACAAGCACAGAGGTTACTAGTTTAACTATGCTCTTAATATGCATTTCGACATGTTTGTTTCTGGTCTTGTTTAAGAAGAAAATGGGAATCTTAATAATTGTAATAAAATTGTAACTAAATCATATCTGTACATGGGATATATTCTAGAAAAAATATTATATATTATTAATAAGGTATTAATAAGAGCAATAGAAATCGAAACGATATATTTTTGAAATTTTGACAGTCTGTCAGTCCATCTGCCAATCAGTCTGTCTGTAGATAAAATAATATAAGGACTTTTAATAAAACTGTTTTTTTTTATACAACTTAGAATGGCAAACAGGCTGACGGTCCACCTGATGGAAAGTGTTAACCGTCGCCTATAGACATGAGCAGTGCCATGCACATAACAGAGTATTTTTGAGAAAGTTGCTTTATTTTGATGGTAATTACGAGTGTTCGCAAAAAAATGACTTATTGTTTTGTGACATTATAGGTGGGACATAGCGACGGAGCTGAGCGAGCTGGGCGGCGGCATCACGAAGCGCGAGGTGCTGCGGCACGAGGCGGCCGCCGTGGCGGAGGAGAGGCCCGAGGAGGCGGAGGCGGCGTTCGTGCGGGCGGGCGCCGCCGACGACGCCGTGCGCATGTGGGCCGCGCGCGGGCAGCACGCGCGCGCGCTCGCGCTCGCCGAGCGACACGCCAAACACATGGTAACCACGCGGAACGAGATTATATTCTTATGATCTATACTTTGTACAAAACTCGAATGCTTCGGTACCTCTGTCCCATTCGTGTTTTTACCGTGAAGCAGTTTTTTTTTTTAATGGGTGATAATGGTATGGTAACCCCGTTTGCGCTATTGGTATACACTGGCGGGGCACCAGTGAGGGATAACAGATGAAGATGAAAGTAAGTCAGTTAGCCCATCCTGACGAATTAAACTAGAATTAGTCACGATGGTTTCCACGGGGAGTCACGTGGAGGTCGACCTGACAGGGTATATTGCTAGTAAAAGGGCTATTTGACCCCATTACTAACAATCCCTTTCCCTTCACCGTGAAGCAGTTGTGTTTGCATGGTTGTGTTTCGGTTTGAAGGGTGGGATATGGCGTGAATTTACAGGGTACAGAGGAATAACATCCGAGTCCTCAGGAATGGCAACGCATGGGGGGTATCATGGGCGGAATAGTATGTGTGTGTACTGTTATGTCCATGGTACTGCTCACGTCTATAGACGACGGTTGCCACTTTCCATCAGGTGGGCCGTCAGCTTGTTTGCCATTCTAAGTTGTATAAAAAAAACTTCTTAATTGACAACAAATAATAAATGAAATGATTAAAGTGGTTAGTCATTAAACAAAATTAGACAATTAATTCTAGATGGCGCTGGAATCGTGACTCGTGGTTTTTGTTCATTGTTTTGTAATTAAAGATAATTTGAAGTAAAATTTCTAAATTGGCGAATGATTTTATTTCTTTTTTATCTTAGATTTTATCTAAAATTATAATAAATTATTACTATAGCAGTAAAAAAACAAATAAAGCCATACGCCAATTTTTTAAATTTAATTACAAAATAATTAATAAAAACTACAAGTTCTCTATTATAGCGACATATAATATTTCGTGTCCAATTTTGTTTAGTGACCAGTCATTTCAAATGATTCCCGATAGTTATTATTCAATAAAAAAACTAATTAAATAATAAATTAACGAACTGTTTCCTAATTGCATTATATCTATCGATATGAAGGATACTCCATAATGCGCACTTACTTGAAAACGTATCACATTGGAGAACGTAAACAAATATCTGTAATAACAATAAAGATTAGCTTTGATTGTTATCAGGTAGAAGAGGTCTTGGTGGAAGGAGCGCGCGCCGCAGCAGAACGCGGGGATTTGCCGCAGTTTGAGGCGCTCATGATTCGAGCTAATAGGCCGCGGGAGGTCGTGCAACACTATAAGGATCTTGGTTAGATTGTTATTCCGAAATTCATAATGGTTTATATATAATAACACAAAATTTTAATTGTCATGAAGTACATTAAAATTGAATTTTTATTTTTAATTACTACTAATCTTGATAAATAATTAAATGGTGTTACTGTGATGTACCTAATTAAATATGCGCGGTACCTATTGCAATACATTTCAACGTTGAAATTATTTAAAAAACGAAAAAAGATTTTTTATAGTATCGATTCCTTTTCTTTCTCTATTAAATAATAATTGTCTTTGTTATCTTTAAAGCTATGTTAATTTTTTAACGTTGTTTATATGTTGTGTAGGAAATTTTATGAAATAACTATAGTTGTCTTTTCTGAGAACTGAAACTATAAACATAGTAAGTTCATATAATTTCTGTTAAACACACATTTATATATAGCAACATGCATACACAGCAAATGAATTATAATTATTGGTACAGATATTATAAGCAGTTATTTTCAATTTGTAGAGCTCTGGGAGGAGGCATCACGTGTATCCCGCGAATATTTACCCGACAGCGGAGAGCCGGTCCCGCCTACTGTTCCACCATTGCTACAGCGCGCTGCAGAACATGCAGATAGGTAAGGTGATAAGTTTTCTAATCATATAAAATATAAGTAAACTAGTTTACAAATTTGAATAAACAATACAAAATTTCATTAAAATTTGCTGAATGATTTCAGAGATATATGTGAACAAATATTGTAATAACGGATTTTAATGCATGGATTCCATACGATTAATTTCTTAAATAGATTTTTTTGTTTTTCTGGAATAACGTTTTATTTACTTATAATTAGATGACCCGATAAAATTTGTATCACTTTAAATGCTATCTATTAAAAGTAATTCGAAGTAGCGATTCCCATACAAAATTATCTATTTTTAGTTTATCGATTTTTCAGCAGAATTTTAGCGGTTTTCCGATTTTTTATCTTTTAAACAACCCTTCTTTTGTATATAGATTCTATTGTAATAGATATATAGATTGGGCAACCAATGCTTATATTTAAATGACTAGCGGTCCGTCTCGGTGTCGCACGGGTCTAATTTTTACATTTTTACCTAATCCTACCTAGCTACATTTTTCATAGATGTGCCCGCCCCCACCAGCCCCTCTCCCGCACCGCTACAATGCCTGGCTAGCTAACCACGTGGCCAACACGGCGCGGGTGGCGGGTGGTGCCTTATATCTGACTTTTTAACATAACATCTTTCGAATGGAATATACCTATGATTAGTATTTATTATGTTAGCACGTGTTGCGTGTCGCGTGTTGTTGGCACGGTTGGCACGGTTGTTACGGTTGTCACGGTGTGCGCAGGGGCGAGTGGTGGGAGGCGGTGGAGCTGCTGGTGAGCGCAAGCGCGGCGGGCGCGGCGGGCGGCGCGGCCGGGCTCGCCGAGCGCGCCGCCCTCCGCGCCGCCCGCCTCGCGCGCGACCACCTGCACGCCGCGCCGCGCCGCCGCGCCGCGCGACTCCTCGCCGACAGGTGCGCGCGCGCACACTGCACACGCGCACACACGCACACACACACACACGCACGCACACACACACGCACACACACACGCACACACACGCGCGCGCGCGCACACACACACACACACACATACACACACACACACACAAACGCACACTCACACGCAACAACACACGCGCACACACATACGTGCACGCACACAACACATACGCACTTTATAATCATTGTGGTGTATTGTAGTGTCTTATTCAATTATATAATGTAATATTCTTTTTTACTATGGTGGCAAGCAAGCATATGGCCCGTCTAATAGTAAATGGGATTACCGTAGCCTGTGAACGCCTGTAACATCAGGAATATTACGCGGCTTTTTGAAGAACCCCATGTCTCTAGAGAAAGCCGCTGAAACCGCACTATGTGTAACCATTTATGTTCTAGGATGTGAGGATGGATTTTATTGTATCTACAAAAATTGGATTGAATTAATAAAATGTATAAACTATTAAGACTAATTAAAAGGAAATGTATAAACTACCAAAATACCTCAGTTTGCAGACGAAGGTTTTTAACCAGTGCGTGCTACCAGTGATGATTTATGGAACCGAAACATGGTCCCACATGATTGCCTGTATGCAAAAGCTTCGAATTACTCAGCAGGCTATGGAGGGTGCTCGAAGTCTATGTTATTTGCGTGATAGAATCCGAAACCAGGATATCCACTATCCACAAGTACCAAAGCAAAGAGTAAGCCATAGCCTAAAGGATAAGCAAGCTGAAGTGGCAATGGGTTAGTTATATAGTTCGAAGAATCGACAACCGATGGGGAAGAAAGGTTCTTGAGTGGCGACCTCGTACGGGCAAACGCAGTGTAGGACGACCCCTCCCCATCGAGTACATGGAGTGTCGACCTCAAACGCATTGTAGGGAGTTAGTGGATGCAGGTGGCTCAGGACCGTTCTTTATGGTAATTTATGGGGGGGAGGCCTATGTCAAGCAGTGGACCGATAATGGTTAAAATGATGATAATGATGATGAACTATTAAAACGTTCATAACGAAGTATGTCAATTTTCAAAGAGCAGTTGTTAAATTTTTCTGATTGATTTTAAAAAATACTCTGATAGCGAACGACGTTAATCATGTACTTATTAAATTATCACTGAAAATTTGTAAAATGTATTTGAACTATTCCAAAGTAAAATATGAAGTAAATGCAAAATTTTTAATAGATACTTTTTAAATAATCGATCAGAAACATTGATAATATTGTTTTTGAAAATTGACAAATAATTGTAATGTTGCCATTTCGATAAGAAAAATTATAAATTAATATTTTAATATTGCAGGTTTGCGGCTATCGGTCAGAGCGACATCGGGGAACAACTTCGAGCCGCACTGACTGAAGGTTATGAAGGAGATGACGAAATGGCAGGTAGTTAACGGAGATTGTTGGAAGCCTACTGATAAGAATATCATCTCTTTTTCTAAGAACTGTAGATGGCATCGAAATAGCAATAATGATAACATTTTTAATGGATTGAATTTTGTCAGACTGCTTTACTAATGTCATTGAATGTTGAGTAATTTAGCAAATACATGTGTTTAAATAACAAAATTGTTATTGAGCGGACGGGATTATTTACAAGTATGAAATGTGAGTGTAGGAAGCTTTAGGACTATAATTGTGGTTGTATTTATTGATTTATGACTGTATGTTTATAAATAAAATAAGTATTTCACTTAATCTAAAGGTGCATCACCGCAAGAGGAATACGAGGAGGAAACGGAGCCGGGCCCGTTAGTACGCGAGCCGGAGCCGGATACGGAAGCGGACGGCGAGTCGGAAGCACTGGAGCGGTTGGCCCGTGCGGGCCACTGGCAGCGGTGCCTGGCCCGGGCGGGCCGCGCCGCGCCGCACTACGCGTTGCGATACGCCGCCCATCTCTTTAAGGCACATCCTGTATGCAGGAATTGATTTACTTATTTCTTTTGTTTTTTTATTTCGTTTAAATATTAAATATAATTAAATATTTCTAATATTAATAATATAAATATGTAATATTAATACATAATATTAATATTACAAATATGAGTTTGTTTTTTTGATACTTATTGGTGTTATAAAGGTTAAACTAATTGTCATGTGAATTGGTATTGTACCTATACTTGAGATAGATACGGGTATTAGATTATTTTTATTCTGATCAATCAATATATCCCGATCGGTGCTTTGCTTGAAATATAAGCATGTCTAATATTAATTACATTTACTATAACGGTAACAGCCGACAAATGATTCTGACTATCTAACGTAATAGGTAAGAGTTAATTTGGTTCGTTATCAGTATTTTCTACTAACGTTATATAATACTGGAATGTAGTTTTTATTTATTTGATTTGATCAATAACATATTAAGATTTATTATGAAGCAGATACATGTATATACATATGTATGTTTAATTAAAGCGTATGGAAGGAGTGGACATCGAAAGTGAAGAAGCGCCTGAGGGATTGTCGCAAGCGCTGGAGGCGCTGGACGAGTACTTGGTGCGCGGGCAGGGCGCGGCGGCGGCGGCAGCGGGCGCGGACGCGGCGCTGGCGCGCGCCGTGTGCGGCGAGGTGGTGGTGCGCGCGTCGCTGGCGCCGCGCTCGCTGCGCACGCTGCACCGCGCCGCCGCCGCCCTGCTCGCCGCCGGCGCAGACCACAGGACCCTGCAGGTATGCACTCTCGGCTCTACTCGCCGCCGGCATACGCTGGCCGAGCACCAGTGGCGGATAACAAGTGAGCATGAAAGCAACTCAGTTAGCCCATCGTGACGTATTCCACAAGAATTAGCCACGATGGTTTCCATGAGAAAATTATGTGGAGGTCGACCCCATAGTGTATGGTGCTAACAATCATCCCTACGGATATGTACTTGGCATTATGTATTTATAGTTTACAGCAAATTACTAAATAGCTTCTATCCAAGAGGATTTATATAGTATATACTATTTGTAAGCGGAGAACAAGAATTGTAATTGATTGAAGAAACTTACATTACTTGTGGTAATAAAAATATGTTATTTTGTAATTTCGCTACTATTAAATTTACTTTGTTAGTATTTATTCTATCTTTTTTATCGCTTAATCTATTCTATGTATGTTTTATTTTAGGCTATAACTCTTCTAATGGCTTTACACGTACCGCAAATTGCTTCTAAGGCTGCGCGAGCACTGCCGCGGTATACGGATATTATTGTTGCTGATGTTGGTAAGTGAGAACGTGATATATTTTTAATCCCATTGTAGTAAAGCGTGCCTTGTTATTAATTTTTTTTTTTTTACTTTTTCGTATTATCTGCAATAATGTTAATTGTATAATGAATGAGCTTTTATCCGCTATTTCGTACGCGTGGATTTCAGAAGTAGGAAAATAAATGAAATAGACAACTTCTTAATGGTGTATTAAGATAAAATATACATCAGATTTTATATCAATCCCTCTGGAATACAATTGCGAAAACTGCATTTGAATACTAAATCAAAAATTACTGACCTAGTTTGATTTAGTACAATAATTTTTAATATCGTGATACCGGAGCTAACATACAGACAGACAAGCAAGTTTTTTCAACACACGGTAGAGGACCTCTATTCATCCAGATCAAAATATCCAAAAATTATTGATTTGGCTTCTATTGTTCTTATTAAGACCACTCATATTAATTTTCATTAAATATTTCCTATATACATTTATCGTCTAGTTAGTTATAGCTTGACTATATTAGTAAGATGATTTGCTAATAGCTACATAATTTTCAGTCCTGCTGTTAGATGACCTTTAATAACCTCCGAATCAATATATTCATATCGAGCAACATATATAAAAATTACAGTTAAATGATTAACTGTCTTAAGTTATTCCAAATGCAAGTACTTAATTCTATGGAAGAAATAGACTTTGAAAATTATTAATATTTGCCACAAGTTATTGAATTTATAAGTAGTTATTGCCCTGGCAAATAAACTTTACTATTGATTTATTTGGTACAATTATTTTTATTGAACGTAATATTCGAAATGAAAATAATTATCTGTGGCATATAGGACAGTATTAGTTGTATATCTGTGTATGTGCTACGAGCTACGTGTAACGGCTACACATCATACATAATTTCGTAGCACATCCGTAGCGCGTAACTCTAACGCGTAGCTGCTTGTAGCACATGGGGAGTATCATGGGCGAAATAGTGTTTTCTGTTATGTCTATGATATTAGTCATGTTTGTAGGCGATGGGTTACACATTACATCAGGTGACCCATCAGCTTGTTTGCCATTCTAATTTGCATAAAAAAAATATATAAAATGTAATACTTATAGCTTACTACATATGCGGAGTGCAAGTGCGGTCTGAAGGAACTAGTGGGTACCGTGAAGCATTTGTTCTCCTCAATCGATGCCTCGACTTGGTGGAGGCGGCAGAAGATGACACCGTCCATCTTCTTGACTACACTGATTTTGGTAATAGTTTTTATGATTATTATTTCATCATCAGCAGAATTTCATCCCTTAAAACCCAAACAAAGGTTTGGGTTTTAAGGGTAAAATTCCGCTTGATTGAAAGAAATGGTAGCTAGACAGTATTGCTAACTGTCCTTTCTCTTTCTGTGTTTGGATTTATATTCAATGTTATTCACATAGTCTTATTTAAGGGAGTTTCTTACACCAGAATTGTCTGTAGTTCATCCCAGAATGCGAGTGGAGTTTTTAACCATGTGTTAAACAATATCGGAGAGTACATAATGTGCCTTTTTTGCGCACCCTGGAAAATAGCTTTATATACATCATCATAATATCAGCCAATATTTGTTTATAAAAGAAGTTTTGCCAGTAGTTGCCACGCTTGGCAGGCGGGTTGGCAACCGCAGTTAGGCTTTGGTGATATTTTATTTTTGTATACACCAATGGTTATTTATCTATTATTTTAGAAAAACCAAGATACAATTATTGCAATAATTAATAATAGCATAGAGATTTGACATGTTAAATTTTATCGTTTATTTACATAAATATATAAACCTGTGATTTTCAGAATGACAAATATATAATATTTTTTGACACATATCCATATACTCTCCAAACAATTGTTCTGAAATCTTTCAATTCTTCTGAAATTGATGTCGGTAGTGTTGCATGAATGCAGCTATATTTTTTGTTGGTCTGATATTCTTATGTTTACATGGTTACATAGAGTGCACGGACTGGTCGCGGCAGCCGCTGGTGGTAACGGGCGGTGGCAGCGGTGGTAGTGGCGGCAGTGCGGTGCGGGGCGAGGCATTGCACGATGTACGCGAGTGGGTGCTCGCCGTGTCCATGGATCAGGGGGTTGAACAGGTCACATACATAATGTAATGTAATCTAAGTAGGACTTTATTTTTCGCGCTTAACCTCTCATTGGGGCCGTTATGCGTATGAGTCGTGGCTAGTACAGCCAACCTAGCTCCGCCCAGGTAACAAACGTTTTAAGAAAAATTTTAATGGCAAAGAAGTTGATGGTCAATTTGATGAGATGCGGTAACCGTCGCCTGTAGACATGAACAGTACTATGGATGTCAAAGAATACCCATAGTATCCCTCATGCGTTGCCATTCTTAAAGACAGTTGTGTTATGCCTCAGTATCCTGTAATGATTCCGTGAGTTCATTGAGAGTTTTTTATAATTTGTCGTGCCACAATTTATTAATGATACGATTTTATTGTTACGATTCATAATCGAAAGTATAAAATAGATTTAATTCTATAAAGACGCTTTCTTAAATTCGTGAATATCACTATTGTTATATAGTACACGCCTACGGTATCGTGTTGAATAAATACATTTTGTTCTATTTTATAATATTGTGACTATAAAATCGTAAGAGATTTTTATTATTAAATTATGTCATTATATCTAATTACTAGAGACACGTTGGTTACAAAGTTTGTAAAAGTATTATTATTCGAATATTTATATTTTTCGAGTCCTTATGACTTATGCCTTATTCAATGACATTCATTTATATTTTTTTCAGAATAATTTTGAAAGTAATTTTTATTTTAGGAATAAGGAAGTTGGATTTTTGTTACTTAATTATACGTATCAATATTGAAATCTTATCTATAATTCACCTATCTACAATAGTTACCTGAATGTTATCAATGTGATAGACATAATACTATAATTAGTACTATTCTGTATTCCAGAATTTATTTATTTATTTACAAGAAACATGGCAAGTGTATAGATGTTACAATAAGTAATTAATGAGATTATGGCCTACATAAGAAATGTAATTGATTGATATGATTTATCAGACCCTCCCGGTAGAGGGCGAGGGCGAGTACGCGAGCCGTGTAGGCGCCGATCAGCAGTGCTGCGTGCTCACCGGATATCCGCTGGGTACACGCCTCGTCACTTTTACAAATGGTCTGCATTGTTCAAACTATTTTAATTTTATATGAGGTTAAAGGAAAATCACCGTTCTCTGATAACGGATGCTAGAATTCGGGTGCAATTCAGAATGAGTGTATTTTTATTTTAAATTGGCTTTTAATCGCGACTTCGCTTGCGCGACCTGTATACTTTAGTTTACTAATTGAGATCGGGTAGCTTATTTATGTTTTATGACTTTTATCACGGTGGTGGTTATAGGGTGAAAAAAAACATAACTTTTCCACCCTATTTAATATGTGTACATGTCAAATTCTATAGTGATTGGTTAAGCCGTTAAGTCTCTAAATATTTATAGTATATATAGTAATGTTTGTAAAGTTTTTATATATATATTTTATATTTGGAAAGTATTTATAGTCTCTAATATTAGAATGTAGCAAAAATTTATTTCAGTTATGTATATTTTTGATTCTATTCTGTCGTAAACTAAAATTACAGGGCGGTGCGCGAACAGAGAGTGGTGGTCGCGCGTGTCGAGCGCGGCGAAGGGCGGCGGCGCGGCGGCCGCGCTGCTGCACCACGTGACCGCGTGGTGCGGCCCCGCTGACTACTCGCACGTATAGACTAGCTATATAGCAGGTATCCAGAATATTTCCTACCGAGTAAACAATGGAACTAGACTTATTCAGTTTGTTTGGGAGCGCCAGATGAATAACAATGGAGTGGCATCCCCACCCGAGCTATTGGTATACGCTAGCGAGGTACTAGTGAAAGATGTTAAATGAGGATATATTCCTTATAACTACAGCACCATTCATGTAGAACGAAATTTTAGATGCGATTTTCTCGCATACTTGAGGCCATTTTTTTACGGGTAACCATTTGTTACTTTATATAAAAAGAAAAAAATAATAATTTGGTGTAAATCTTATTAAAGAGCGTGATGAGATTAAATTTATCAAAAATCATATCTAATTTTACCTTTAGTTGTAGCTAACTGAGAGCAGGCCATCCGAGTGCATTGTATTATATTTTTGCTCATATTTCATTTGTCTGTAGAAGACAGCAATGGGAACATATTCTTTTTTTTTCGATATATTAGTAGTATACCTGCTTATGCCATAGCCCAGGATAAACTGACAGACAGGATGCTGTTATATACCTAGTTTTTTAATTCTGCTACTATCTATACATGTGCAACTTATAGTCATTATAGGATATGAAAGATTGTATATTTAGCAAGATATACCCATTTGTTTACACCTACAAATGTATCTAATAAATACAGTATTACGTTTTCCGTGTTTTCTTTTCGATATTTATGAAATGCGATAAATTATAAAAAGTTTTCGTGTTAATAACGAAATACCAGAGGAAGATTTTGTACAAAAGTCGTTTGCTTGGGTACCTCTGTCCCATTTGTGTTTATACCGTAAAGCAGTTGTGTTTGCATGGTTGTGTTTCGGTTTGTAGGGTGGGATATGGCAATGAATTTACAGGATACAGAGAAATAACACCTGAGTCCTCAGGAATGAAGAAGAAGAAAGGGGGTACTATAAGCGCAACAGTGTACTCTGTTATGTCCATGGTACTGCTCATGTCTATAGGCGACGGTTACCACTTTCCATCAGGTAGGCCGGTTGTTTGCCATTCTAAATTACATAAAAAAATATTGTTGCAGCAACTTCATAAAGGAGGATGTTCTCAATTTGCCTATATTTTTTTATGTGTATGATACTTGTGAGTACTAATAGAAGGAGACTTTGTACAAATAATTTGTTTGGGTACCTCTGTCCTATTCATGTTCCTGCCTTGATACAGTCATGTTTGCATGGCTGTTTTAATAGTATCTTCACTATTTCTGAATCTATTTTGATCATTCTTTTTATAGTCAATAGGTTTTACTTAATGCAGTGTTACTTCTATATTAATTTTAAAGGAATTGAATTCGCTGTTTTGTTGTGGAGTAAAATATTAAATTATTTTAAAACAGTTTCGTGAATTATCTTTTAAATCTAAACTCTAAATAAGATGGTTACATGGTTCATAAACAACAAATCATTGAATAGAAACCTACATAATTATATTATTTTTAAAGATTTTTATTTAATTATTGACATATTATATCGTCGTATTAGGAGTTTAGTAATATGTGACGAGGTTCAAGGACAAATAAAATAACAGACGAATTTTGATATCGCTATAATAAACTCATTTGTTATCACATTTATTTAATAATATATTTTGACACACATATTTGTTACGTACTAGTTTTTTGTAGATTTTATTCCGTATTCATGACAAATACTACATTGAATATGATAACAACAAAGATATTTACCTTAAAAATTAGGCGTATCTGAATTTAGATAGAGCGATTAGTTATGACTTATTATAAGAATATGAAAAAACTTATAAAAGAAATCGCGGAGTTACGGGATTAGAAGGACAAAGTAATTTCATGATACAATAATATCATACTCTAGTATTCATCAAGAAAACGGAATAGGAGAATAACTTTGTATCTAGGAAGAAATATAACACTAAGGTAAGAATGTTTAGGTACATGATATCCGATACCATATCACATTGATTCGCCATTCACACTACAGAGTGATACTTTAAAGGCAAAATGGCCACATGCTTTAATAATTGCATGAAGTTAGGGCAAGCTCGTCAGTATAAACTCGACAGACTGAATCCTAAGTCCTCTAGTGTTAGGTGTTGAGACGGCTATCGTTTAGGGAAAGATCTTCACTATTGATATGAATATTCTTATTATATTTATTTCGAGCAATACCTCGAAAATAGTTTGAGTTACAAAGAATTTTACGGTTTTAATATATATACCTAGGAAGATTTAAAAAAGAGGAGAAAATAGTTGAAACTATTTAAGAAGGGGACATTAGGGAGGCATATTACAGGCAAGTGAAAGTTGTAAACTGAAGATTGGTTTCTTTGTATTACCTAATTCTTATTACCTATTTACCTCCCAAAAATTTTGTGCGGCTTTTGGTTTATCATCTTTATTTTTTTTTACTTTCAACTAAATTGAGTGGATATTTATAGTTTGTTGTTTGCTTTTAGAAACTTAGGTTTTTACTTTTCTGCGTATTAGTGTATAAAATACTGTAAACAATAATAAAGAATCATGAAATGGACTGGTATCGGGGCTCGTCGAGGCACGTAACAATATTAGATAATGTCTTTTATACATTTGTTACTAAGAATATTATTTGTTATACTAATATATCGAGATAATAAGCGTAAGTTAGTTTGACTGTCTCCAACATACGTCAGAGCCAAATGTCATTTAATATATTTTTCTTTAATAAATATCTATATTTCAATAATATAAATATTGAATATGTATATTTTATCCCCAAATTAATCGAATACAAAATTATAGTGTAAAAATACACTTAAAACGCCAGATATATATTTAGGCATTTGGAAACATTTGAGTACTTATTTGGAAAATTTTCTAGGTAATCTAAAAAGGAATATAGATTCTCTCTCTTAGGAAATATACAACCACGTTGAAACGATTAGTAGGGCTGCGGTACGCGTGGCCACCATGCGCACGCTCGCGCCGGCCGCGGGGGCCAGCACACCAGGTAAACAAGATTAGTATTGTCAGATGAGCCACTAAGCTATGACAGCACTGGAAGAACACAGATTTTAACGAGATATAATTACATTACACATTTCCCGTAGATATGTAACTTTTATCTAACACCAACAATGAAAATATCATTTTACGATTATATAATGTTTGTATCTACAAATGAGCTACTCTAGTGGCTGTATGAAGTGTGAGACACGTGCTAGCCACCGATTGGATCATTTGACGCTATTGTTCCACTTTATTATACTCATATATCTAATTAAAGTTATAGGTATATCGATGATTTGGAACAACTTTAATTGAGGTGGCAGCTCTACACTCACAGAATGGTAATTAACGGGTTGATTAAAAGTTACGAGTTAAAGTAGATACTTATTAGAATTGTGTACATTTGTTTGGTTTCTAGAGATTATAAAAAGATTAATAACAGTAAATGCTATCACGAAAACAGTTGTGCGTAGAAAATTTTGAAAAATAATTTAGCCGTATTTACAATTTATATGTAAAGATAATTTGTAATAAAAAACAACTAAACTCTTAATAACGTCGATAGTAGTTAGCGATGTCTACAAATAAAGTAATAGGTATACATTAGGGAAATTCACTAAAGCACAACCTTGGAAGAATAGTACCTAGACGCGCTTACTTACTAGAATAACTTTAGAAATTTATTAATCGTATAAGGCAAAGTGTCAAAGTTGGGGTTATTTGAGATGAGATTTAATTTACATTTTATTAATAGATTCGGTATAAATAATCTAATTACATTAAGGGTATAAGTGTACATGGCGCTATACGTTTTATTTCAAAAGTACGAGCTACGTTTCAGTGCACAAACTATTTATATGAAGGACATTTAACAAAAAGTTTGAGTCATAATAAAAACACTACTGTCAAAGTAAGCCAGGCACAGATTAATATATATCACGAACATAGCTGGATCACAGGCGATCCGGATCTAACAAGTGGCGAACTATTAGATGTGACATGCTACAATACTGACGTTATCTAAATAGATTTTTCCTATATATTTCAGAAATGTACGCATATTATATATACTGATATTTATTATATTACACATAACATATAAAATTACTACAAATATATAGGTACAGTAGGCGCAAACATCAAAAATCGCACACAGATATTGGTTGAAAAAATGTACTTTTTTTATATGTATTCCTAGCTTGGTGTATATCTTTTGGCATAACAAACTATTTTTAGTATGTGTAGTAAAGCTAAGGAACGCATTACAGTTATTACTAATATCAAGTTAATGATATACGTGGAATAATTATGAAGCGTGTATTTGCTCATTATATGATTTGCTTTACAAGAGATTCCTATCGCAGTCCATAATTTACTATTGTGTGTGCTATTATGATGTCTGGGTCTAGTATCTAATCAAAAATTCTTCAAGCAATTTTCTATAAGCTCCTCTTTTAGGTCTATACTCTAAATGGTGTTGTCTTTTCAGGATTTCTCGAGGTCAAACCTTGAGTTTTAAATAGAAGAACGTAGAAACGGCTTTCAGTATTTTGATAATTTGGCATATATACACTCGCCACTTCTTCAACACATACCACATACGATCGAGCGTAGGTAGCATTTTCATTATATTAACTGACAATTAAACACGTAATAGAAAGTATTTGAGTATTTACACCATTGTTTTTAACATACGGCGAATAATAAATAATAGAGCAGCATGTGGTTCGGTGGCGCCGCGCGCCGATGCAATGTATTGTAATTCAGAGGTCGCTAATGTAGAGGGTCGTGTGCGTTGTGGTGTGGAGCCGTCGCTGCGTCGTGGGGCACTAGTTGTCGTCACGTCGCTCTGGCGACGGCTCTCTGGATCAGTCTGGTGACTCCTCTCCGCCAAGCGACGTGGCCGGGAACAGCGGATACCAACCATATGTTCGCTGCGGGAGGGTCAACTTATCGAGACAGATCTCTGCGCCGCCTAGTGCGAGGTTGTGCTCGAACCCACCACAGCGCTGCCATAGCATTACGACCAGTGTACGGCCAAGGGCTTCGCTCGCCTGTAACATAATCGTTTAAAAGTTGGTAAATCCCTAATTGAAAAGTCAGAGCTGTTTGTTGATCGTGGACAATATGGTGAACTTATAAACAACTGCATAATGTTATTAAATGAAAGCAGAAATAACACTGAGATGGATTCGTGGCCACTCGAATATCCATGGAAATGAAACAGCTAACCAATAAGCAAAGGAAGGGACATATAATGTCGAAAAAGGTCCAGAACCTTATTCTGAAGCTTAGAGCTAAATAATAGCCGGTTCTTATTGCCAGAGTTAAATAATTTAAAAGTTCTGAGGCGTTTCAGAAAACTACTAAACTAAGAAAAAATATAATGTATGTATTAAAAAGGGCTCTCACTGGACACTGCAAACTAAGCCAACTATGTCTCAAGTAGGCTTATAGCTCAAGTATTTGGAAATTTTGTTACAATGAGGTACAGATGTCGCAACACATTATTTGGGGCTGTAGCTTACTTATGCATAAACGATATGTCTCGTTTTGAAAATATATATTATATCCTAATGATATAAAAAACATTGTTGCAGAGAATATCTTAAAATTTTTATCACTGACAGGTATACGCAGTGAAATTTAAAAAAAAAAGAGCGACCACAAGTGATCTTATCGTTGTTATAGGTTTTTCTGTCTGAAAAAGCCTGTCTTTCAATAATAATAATATAGTGAATTTGACATTTTATAACTACCTACTATTTTTAACAAAACAGCTACCCTAAATAAGTGGTAAACGAATTTATTAATAGAATTCTTATTGTTAGTGATTTCATCAGATGTAACGTTTGGTGTCTTGCTTTTTTTCATATGAGTGGAAATTGAAATAATTATATTGATAAATTCCTTTGCAATTTTATCAGAGGGCTGGCTGGCTGTTATCGATATTACAGCAAAATTGTTTATCTACTAAAATTCTTACCTGTCAAAGGTAATCTTAGTAGGAATACGTAATATTGAAGATACCTGGTATTTGAGCGTTTGTTTGAAATGTGGCTCTGTCGTGCGGCGGATGACGCGTGTTTTTCGCTTATGTAGCCACTTGTCGCCATCGCGAAGGTAACACTTGACATATGAGTCTGGTACTTCTCCGTTTACACCATACACCCGGCGAGCATGGGACACCTAAAAAGATACATACTAATAGGAATTTCAAGTGTTAATAGATTTAAATTTAATATCAAATGAAAAGAATTTTTATTATTTTTAATAGAATTTGTCTTTTTGAAGTATTGAAGTAGTAATGTACACGCAATTTGTATAGGACTACAGCGTTTTTTAATCGAAAAATGGTTGAGATTCTTAATTTATGTATATTTGTAGTATATCATGCAATTTTTTTTTTGGTAAATTAAATCGAATAATACGATTTAATTATCTTAATATGACACGTGTCACTGACCTCTAGTTCCAACTGGCCTTTTATCATTATAATACTGATATTGATCTCGGCGTGCAGTGGTGCTAAGTGGGCGTTTCGCGGCGGCATCTGCCCAGGCCCGAGCGGCACGTCGTCGTCGTCATCGGCGGCGACCGCGTCGCAGGCGGCGGCTGCTGGCACCGCCGCCCACATGCTGCCCTTGCGCCCCGTCGCCGTGCCTGCATCGCCACAACCGATCACCACCACCCGACATACCACAGCCCTATTACGTTACTACTCGTTCTCCATAATGGAGTTTTCTATATATATTTATGAAGGTAACTGCTTATTATTCAAAAAACATCCAATTTAATATAACAAAAATAAAATTACGAAACGAGGGAAACCACTCAATCAAACATTTAAAATGATTAAAATAAACATTACATAAAATAAGCACGTCAAACAGCATCGTGCTAATGTATACAGTTTTTTACATAGACTCGAATCCTTTCTGTTTCCATATACACAAATGAAAGAAAAAGCGTCTTAACGTGTGCAGCCAAGAGTGTAGTCGATTTTCTAATAGTTGCCTTAAGCGGTCTTTAATTCATTATGGTATAAGCATTTTGTGTCATGAACAGCCATTGATCAAATTTAGAGAATGTTCGATGCGTTCTGCGAAGGACTATTTGTGTAGCTCATGCCATTGTTGGCTTCGGTGTGTCGCATCGGGTGCGCTACGTCATGCGCGACCGCGACCTACTAAACTTGCTCGCTTGCATTCGCATTTATCCCTACTTAAAGACTTTAAAATGAAACGTACTGATAATATTGTAATGTCCAACTAAGGCCTAGGGTAAGATATATACAAGAAATCTAATAGAATGCGTAATCGTAACAATGAGTGACATTCGCAGAGGTAATGAATTCCATAACATCCTAGGCGACACAATGCCATCGAGATGAACGTAGACGGGCAGCCGAACAGACGGTACACAGAGACAGATGAAGTGAGCGTGATCGCCCGCGGCCGGGCATGCGTCAGGACAGTACAGAACAGACACAGTGAAGTGATGAGAAGCGTCGGGCGCAGCCACATTCAACGGTGCGTGCGCGCGGCCGCCGCGCAAGCGATGACCCATGCTACTACATGGCCCGAGACCCTATTCTGATTCTTGAACTCGACCACATATGTTATCTGGCGCACGTGTTTATACGGGGGCGAGATACAATATGTGGTTCAAGCCAGTGCGTAGAGGCGTGATAGGATCAGAATAGAGGGGCTGGCGGCCGTCGGACGTCACAAGGGATCGCGTACACCGACATCCCGCACGAACAAACCCTGCAGGGAAGCACGCGCGGGTGCGGGCACTGGTAGTCGCTTACCGAGGAGCTAACGGTCCGTCGCTGCTGACCAAACAAGCACAACACAGTACAGTCAGTACTACCCTTCATTTTCGCATAGTCTAGTGGTTCTTGTGGTGGACAGAGGGGCGGTCTGGAGGCAGTGATTACGGTTATTTCGATGGCGATTGATATTTGCCTCAGTCACAAAGTTTTGGTAGAGTGCACTAGGGCATTATTGGTAGAGTACGTGATCGAATAATACAAAGTAAATTGTGCGAATAAAAAACTGAATAAAATAATTAAAATCTTATAGTGACATAACTCAGGAAAACTCAATACAAATCGTGTAGAAGTAGTTTATAAATCACTTAAAATACAGAGTATAAGAAGTAGACACTTGCGGAAACTGGTAATATTGATAGTTCAAGAATAGTGCAAAGTGACTGTCGAATTTTTTATTTTTATTTTAACATTATTGTTTTGTTATTTACATTTAAATTAATAGATAAAGAATCTAGTTGCTAAACTGCTTAAAAAGTTTAGTGATGAAATCAACTAATAATAATGGTTTTTTTGCTTAGTTGTACAATCCTTTTAATTTGACATGCCAGTATTTTAATAGTACCTATAGGTACAGAGATAAGCAAAACAAATTAGACGTAATTTGGGACGTACATGTATACTGACAGTATGATTACAATATGGCACCACTTTTAAAAGGCGACGCGAGGTTCAGTAATATAAAAGAAAACTCGAAATAAAACCGTAAACTAAGCCATCTGGTCAGCAGAATAGGCTACAATCATTCTATTATGGGAATTAATCCATGCCCATTAATATTTAATAGGTTATTAATATGAACACGTACGAATTAATATTGTACCTATTGGAACTTAGGTAGATTGCCATAAATGTAGAACCAACCATGTATATATGGCCATAAACTTATGTAATATATAATATATTATATATAATAATTTAACATATTTATTTAAAATTACATAATCTAATTATTGAGTAGATTAATTAAGACTAGAAATATCTAACAAGACTTATTGGCTATTTCGATCGATAATCTTGTAAGATTTAGATATAAACAAATTGAATTATCTCAAACCTAACAGTTGAATTAGCGTAATGAAATGTATACGCATATTCTATTTTTGTATAATTGAAACGGTTAGTAAACAATATCGTGATGTTTATTATCGCAATAGTAGTGCATAAAATAAATAAATACTTATAATAAAAGGTTTTTTGTATTAATTAATTATATTTTATGGATTTGTTAAATTATTTTTAATGAATTAAATTGAATACAATACTAACATCGTTTACACAAAAACAGATCATACGTAATTGTATTGGTACTAGTAATAGTGAAGACTCTAGTCGCCTATATTGTGAGGTGTGGATATATAGAGTGCGTGCACACTTACGCCTAGCAGTGGAGCCGGAGAGCGAGAGCGTGCGGCCAAGCTCGCCCTTGACGGCGCGCAGCGAACGCAGGATGTCGTCGGGGTCGCGGCGCACGCACGACGAGCGCCGGCGCTCGTTGCGGCGCGAGCCCGAAGGGCCGGCGCCGCCTTCGGGCCCGCCGCCGCCGCCCGCGCCACCCTCTGTGCACACCCATCACACGACGCTCGCACAACGTACTTACCTTCCTTACTGGCTTGCATAGTTTTTGTATGTATTATAGTAACACAAATAAAAAAAGTCTATCAATTGTGCAGTACTCGAATTACACGTTCTATTTTGTTAGGTAATTGATAGCGCTGTGTGATATGTCTAAGGTTTTATTGCTACATGTTACAAATTATGTGATGAAAAACGTACTCGTACTTGTCGTAGCAATCTATGCTGTTGTATGTAGTCTGCATAAATAAATATAATATAATATTATTTAATATACTACCTATAAGGGGAAAAAGTACTTTTCACTGCTTTCAGATTTGAACTCTGAAAAGATATGGAGCATCATATACATATTTTACATTTTAATAACCTTGTTTTAAAAAAATTACCGTAAATACGCAATAAGTTTATAATATAATATTGTACCTTTTTCTTGTTGTTGAAATGACGAACGTCGGGAGCCGGGTAGAGAGCGGGAAAAGTCTTTTCCGAGCTGATACACTTCCACCTCTAGCGTCTCGGACTGCGAGGAACCGCGGCGCGAGCCTCCCACCCATGCATGGTCCGGGTGCAACAAAGATGCGCATTCGCCGATGGAGTCCATGTCATCTGATCACCAAAGCAAACGACCGTTTGGATATTCATTAGAAATAGCAAGAAAAGTACTTTACTTATGAATAATTAAACAGATATTAATAAACTGAAGTATAACTATAATTAAAATAAAAAAGCGTTCGCTCCGCTCACAACTGCTCACGCTGTACGGTCAACAACGAAAGTAATAAACTGTAATTTATTTATACTTTATTTGTACACTATAATAATACGTATAGAAATATGACACTAAAAATTATTACTCTTTGGTATTGTTAATAAATACGTTAGTTTAACATTAATATCACAAATAAAGCACACTAGAGACAATGCCACATAAACGACGGGTTGTTTGTACAAGTAATTTGGCGCAGAATATCACGATTGTGTGTTTAGTGACTTTGTTTATAGTGTGCTTTAGTATGAATGGGATAAATTTAAAAAGTAAATTAATTTGAAAGTATGTAGCGTGGGCGAGGCGTACTTTCGTTGCCGGCCGTACCTGATACGGAGCGCTGCGAGGCGAAGTCACCGCGACGCAGCGCGCGCGCACCGGTCAGGGATCCCCGCGGCGAAGCGTTGGCGGATCGCGTACCGCGCTCCTCCAGTGTCCACCACACAGCACGTTCCTCTGCGAATGCCTTTTCTATTTCCATCTGAAAATCAAAATAGATTAATTGGTAAAATTTCACTTGAAATATATTTTTTATTGTGCACAAGTGTCAGCTTAAATTTGAAATGTCATGGATTCATGCATGTTAGTATTATGAGATTCTTCTTATTATCGCTTTTTTTATTATTTACTAATTATGTATACTGTAATGTAAAAAATGAGCTAAGTGCAAATCGGATTTATGTACTGAGAGTTTTGTATAATTTTATGCATCTTAGAATGGCATACAAACAGACGGCCCATCTGAAGGAAAATAGTAACCGTCGCCTATAGACATAAACAGTACCATGGACATAGCAATGTATACTTGTCGTCTATGATGCTCTTTATACGTTGTCATTCCTGAGGGCTACGGGGTTTTGCGTTACCTTATTTGCTATTCTAAGTTGCATAAAAAACAAAAAAGAAATATTTTGTAAATTTTTTTGTGATGTAATTACAAATTTATTCTTATTATTATTTATTATTTTTGGGTTTTCGCATTTTTTCCTTTATATATGCTGTACGACATTGCTTTTTGCCATATTTCATGATTCAATATTACCGGAAAGTACCCTATAGTTTTGATTCTCTTGCAGCTGTCAAAATATATGCTATAAATGGCTGTATTTTTTGATTGCATAGACTTAGAAGTTATATTTTTTACAGCTTCAAGGAATTCCAGATTTAACTAACTTAACTGTAATTACTTATTTAACTGTCCACTGCTGAACATAGGCCTTTTCTATAAAGGGATTTGGCCAGTAATTGCCATGTTTAGCAGGCGGGTTGGCAACCATAGTTAAGCTTTGGTGACATTGTAAGATGGGTGCTGCTATCCATCTCTCGACCAGTATCTAAGTTTCCTTAGTCGTCTCTTACGGCATCCAAAGGAAAGGAAGGGGCAGACTTGAGTACTTGATATTAATTTTAGTTTGATACCTCCACATGTTCCTGAGAAAAATCCTTAATAGATAGACAGACAGACGGGCAAGAAATTGATCCTATAAATATTCCGTTTGTCCTTTGAGGAACGGGACCCTAAAAATGGTATTATTTCATCTCTAAGAAACATACAAGATGCAAGTATACCAGACGTAATAGTGAATTAAGTTTAACAGCTTGTAGCCATTTATCAAAATTTTTAATTGTTTGCCAAATGATTGATAAGTCATTGTGCCAATTGATAATAAATATATAAATAAAAATGCAATGCTGTCGGTGAGTAGATTTGCCTACTTTTTCAAGTGGTAATAGTAATTCGATTAAGAATTACATAAATAATATTAATATATCGAATACATGTAAATGTTTTTAACTAAAGTTGTTTAAAATAAAATAATAGAAACATGTGCTTACGGTGCATTCTCCAATGAGGACAGGATCGATTCCGGGACAGGCGTCCCATAATGTGAGTTCCAGTGCACGCCCCGCTATTAAATCAGCAGTTAATCCTCCAAAGCCAAGAGTTGCGTTCCAAACGGGACTGCACGATGCAGATGCAGGGTCGGTTTCTACAGGAGGACAGCTCTCCCTAAAAAAAATTAATGAAGTTTAGTTATTAATTACATAAATAAAGAGAGAAGAGATACGCGTAGCATATATCTAGAAATTGAAAAGGAAGACACGGATTAGTTACTTCAAGTATAGATAGAGCATTGATTTTAATAATGTTATTCATGTTGATCCTAGCAAAATTAATAATTGAAGTGCCTATTAAAAATGTTGGGATTGGGAATATATAGGCAGATATAAATAAAATTTATTTACAGTGATGGTAAAAGTCGAATTCTTGCGAATGCTTCGGGTTCATCCCCATATCCAAGTGTATGATCCCGGGGCGGTAGGTCATCGGCGGCAATAAGAACCACCACCAGCTTTCGCAGTTCGCTTTCAAACCACACCTGTAGTTGGGCACGAGCTGGCGGACGTTCGCGAGCGCGTTCCGCACGATCTTGCTCCTATATATACACAAAATATGTATGAAAATTTAAACTATTACCTGTATGTATTCCTAATAATGTACGTACATTATAATGCAATGCGACTCCGGATTATATAATCCACATTATATTTCTTGTGTAAAGTACAGTAACTAATCCATTCAAATCCAATACAGGATTAGTCATATTGCACGCAAATGTAGTTACACGGCTACTGAACATACATATATCACAGGTGGTCTGTTAGGCAAATACATAAACATAAACAAAATAAATAAAAAGAAACAACGTTGTCCCAAGACCTTTTATGCAATATCTAATTCAGTCGTAACCTTCGGGGAATGCAAGTACTTTATAAAGTAACATGCAGCAACCATCAGCTATTTGTTATAAAATCTTCATCAGCAAGAGATAAAATCGTAGATTCTCATTCATGTGCGACTCATAACAATGCAGAATTATATATATCGCCATCGATTTATTTGAACCATTTGAAAACATTATATTAGATGTACTGACACTTGCAAATTATTTCATGGAAGTAAACATGCTTCGGGCTGAGGCATTTCTATTAAAACACAAAGTAATAAAATCGGACGCTTTCATCCGCCATGCAGTAAGCTGTATCATGCTGATACTGGTTCGAAAAGCTGCATGTACCTATAGGCCTAAGTTTATAGTCGAATCGCAAGGCTTTATTTACGCTGTCTAGAGGGGAATGCGTTGTTTCTGGAGCGTTTTTACAAATTCGAAGGTTTCCATCACAAAGCTTGTATTTGGGACGGGAAGGCTAATTAATAAAATTATTCTATTAGGTATCTACGTTAGGTGGATTTTTTTTTTATATTTATCATACATTGCATTGAATTTGTGGTGTGCAAAATTACTATTGCATATATCTATATTGATGTGACCTAGTGTGTACCTCGAGAATTTAGCATGAAAATAATTGTATGTAGAAAGCTTTTGGGTCATTATAACAGTCTACATTTCTATGTGGTATGAATGCAATTTGTAATTTACCTATCTAAAGAATGTCTATTGTAAAACTAGCTTATTTTTATCAAAAAATATTAGTAACTTACTTTGTCAATAATAGTTTTGTACATGAAACATCGGAGACGTAGAGTTGTGAGAAATGAGTCAAGTGAAGAAAGAGCATGATATGAGTGTGTTTTGAGCATTCGTTCACATCAACATAATAATATAATGAATGAATATCAAATCTTATAAGCGATAACAATACACACGTATGACGTCATCACGAACATTGATAATAAATAATAAAATGACATTCATAGTCGTAGAAACATTTCAATTATTTTCTATAAGTAAAACATATCGTATGTCAAAATTGTGTTACACTCATAGGCTTATCACGTCCCATATGGTGCATTTTACTATATCAATGCACATATCCACATTGTGCAACTTTCATGCAGTTCTCGATCGATCCATGTAACAGTGTCGTAACAATGAACTACGTCAAGAGCGGAGCGCTATGTACATCGTACAGCGTTGATGTGAGGTGTGTCATCGGTCATCGATTACGAGACAGAAGCGTCGGTGCGCGCCTGTCGCTCAAGGGGTTTCGGCGAGTGCGGTGTGCCGCATGCCGTGCTGCCGTCACTCGAAGCTCCTACAGACTAGTGGCTATAGTGGCGAGTCGCGGCGAGTGCGAGCGCCTCTCGATACAAGTGCGGCATCACACTACGCAAACTGAACAACAAGACTCGGTAGCAGACACTCGATGCGCAACATATGAGTCGGTACAAACGGGAATCCGGCGCCGGAGACGAGCATGGTGCTTCAAAACAGCGAGAGCACGCGCCCGGTCGCCCGGTACCGTCCTCACCTCGCTGCGTGATTCCTGACTCGCTGCTCCGAAACTTGGCCGTCGTCTCTACTGCCCATAGTCGGTAACTTACTGTATCACTCGTAATTCTTGTCGATGTATAGAGTGGATTGTTTGTGCCCGAATATCTAGCGCGTTTGTGAATTTAGGTAGATATGTCAGAATCGATTAACTTTGCTAAGCTGCAAGCGGCGGCGGTACTAGCTTTACTACGAAATTATTCGTACTGTCTGTAGACAACGAACACTAATCATCCACGGTGTCCTATAGATGATAATCGATGTCGGGACGAGTCCCCTAATCTACCATTGAATACTAAATCTGTCCTCTCTCTAACACTTACTTATCATCTTGTGATTCATCATTATGTCATTTTGCCGATCATTCCCTAACATTGAACTCCGCCCGGCGCCGTTGGCGACATTATGAAATTGGTCGGGTGATAGAAAAAATAAAAATCTGAAAATAAGTAGGTAGCATTTTTTCACACACTTCACTTAGGATAATCATTATATAAACGATAACGAACACGAATAACAAATAAATTTAAAAATATATATAGGTATATAAATATTTCGAGTAAACAAACAGGGTACCCCTTTTTCTAAATAGTAAAAGTTAACAAAGTTAAAGTACAACTACGGTCGTAAATAGAAACACTAATCTCTTACAACTAGGCTAACGTGGAAGATGTTTACTGATTAGTGCTACAGTATCACAGCAGTTCAACGGAGACCAGCCCCTGCACTTGATTTCTTTATCCAACCTAAAACAAAACCAAGGCGTGGTAGATACTAGTACAGAAAATTGGACAATAGGCGTTTATTAACAGTTTAATATGATAAAGGTTAGTGCGTCTTGGTTTTAGTTTGGACAAAGTTATAGACCGGCACCAGAGCTGCAGTGATTGCGCGTCGTGGCGGTCCTTATGTTGTTATTGGCATGTGTGAAGAAACAAATATTACACCAAACCACCGTCTCTTTACCGAACATAGAAGATAAGACCAAGAAATTCATTTTATACCAAAACTTATATATTATATAGTTTATATTAATAATTAAGCCAACTTCTCACTCATTGTTGTTAAAATCGTTTTCTGGTCTCACCTTCATTTTGTGTTCTTGCGTAATACCAACATCAATATATATCGAATACTCGATCTCGATTTTACTATGCAATAGTTATTGGATCACCTTCCAACTGTATTAACTTTGTTGTTGTTGTAGTAAAATTGATTTAAAACATTTTCACACTTTTTCCGTATAGTAATACATTTTTATATTGTAGAGTGCTAAAGGTAGCAAATGTCCGTACATACAGAAATAATTATTGTTATATTTACAAGATTAAAACTTACTAAAAATAAAAACTTTTAATATTCTTATGGTAAATTGTGCAGATTGTGTTAAAAGTGTTTGGAAATAAAAGCAATAAACACGTTTTAAATAGTTCTAATGTAATGTAAAGTATATAAGAGTAAAACGCGTTTATATTATTTATTTCCACTCCGTGAAAACCTGAGCAGAAATTATATGAGCTATTTAATAGTTAATTATATACCTCTCTGTCATTTCTTGTAGGTATATACCTAACCGATACATTTATGATGCATTTTACTGTTGAAATGAAATCAAAATAAGTTGTTAGAAAAAAGAAGATGTATATATACTCTATGGTGTAATATGAAAACCTACTTTATTACTTACTCTGTAATAAATTTCAGACTCTGATTAGTACTCAAATAATAAATATCTTATTTTGGTACTAATCAGAATCTGAAATTTATCTCTAAAAATTTAAAATTATTTCATAGACCCAATCCAATATTTTTTACTTAAAAAGGATATGAATGAGGTGATCCATCAACTAACATATTTAAAGTACAAAAGGGTTATCCATTTGGGCACGACTATAAATGTGCGATCCGAGAAGCGCAGAGGATAGGCACCGAGTGACAGTCTCTACTAGAGTTTATGAAGGAATGAGCGAGTCGGCTCAATGTCTTATGGGTTCACAACACAGATTGTTACAATTAAAGCCTATGTATGGGTATTATACCGGGGTTTTCGGCAATTTCCGTCGCGTTGGCGATGATGGTGATTTGTCGGTATCCGGTTCTGCAAATCAAAATAATGTGTATTACACTATAACCGATCCTTGAAATTTTACAGTCAGTGATGTTAATGAAATCCAGGTAAGCGGTGCAATGTAAAAATATTTGATTTGCATTAAAATTTTCCATAATTAAAGGTATGTATAAAAATAAAACTTAACTACCTACCGTGAAATTGAAGACGGTGAGGTAGAAGAGAAAGTCTTGAAAAATGATAGTGCAGTAACTTCAGGTAGCATTCAAGTAAGTATTAAAATGTGTATTTTAATAGATATAGCCATGTGGAAGTAAAAGTTTATAGTGATAATAATAAGATAGTGAAAATGTGAGAATAGATTAGTGGCAAGGTATCGTAGAATCTTATTAAAATATTTGAGACAAAGATCTTAGGATATTTCTCTCTCCGGACCTTATATCTGCTAATTTATAAAATTATTTAATGTAGAATCATTTTAATAGAATAGATTTCATATATACTTGGGATGCACCAAATATAAGTTTAAACATTGTCAATAAATCATTCAGCAGAGTCGAAAATCTGACGTTTTATTATTAAAAATAGCAGAAATACGGTTCTAGTATATTATATGCTTAGATTATATAGATAGAGCATCGAGCCTAAAAAACGGGTCAACGTTTTGTCAGCTAATTGTCAAATTAGCTGACTCGTTTTTTTATCAGTATCATCAAATGTATTTAGACATATTATTTAGTGAATAAATTGATTGTTTACGCATTAAAAAGATGCAGTAATTATAAGACAAAATAAACATAGAAGTTATGAAGGAATAATTTATAATTATTTTATCACGCAAAATTGTATGAAAAAGTTGACCCATTTTTCTAGAAGCATTTCTATGGAGACACTCTATCTATATCATCTAAGATTATATGATATGATATTAAAATTAAGTTTTTATTTGTATTTTTACTAGTATATGGCACGCTGTGCGTTGAATCGCCGTATAATATTATTGTATTTTATTATTATTATTATATAATAACAGTCGTTAACTGTCCACTGCTGGGCATAGGCCTCCCCTATAAGGCAATGGGGTATATATCTATGTATACGTAAACTAGTCATCTAGCTGTTGTTTGCGATTTTGTTCATATGAATTCTGTTCTCCTATTCAAAGCTCCATTATTAATGGATGTATTTAGCTCATAAAGTTCTACCTACAATCAACGGTATTGTTGGATATAATACTCGTATTAACAATATGGAGTTGAATTAAATAATGATAAATATTATAGATATATAATATAAGGTTGATACTATTTACTACCTACTTAGAGTTACCAAACGAAAACGGCCTTATTATGACATGAAAGAGCATATCGTAAGATTAGTGCATTGCAAAACTTTATAGTGTTATCACACTAAAAATTTGCGGTCGATACCTGTAGATAGAGATTATATTGAAATAATTTATTATATCTTTAGCTAATAGTGAAAGAAAGAACTAGCTATTTTCAAAATAATTACATCATTATCTTAAATTTAAACTAATGTAAGATTTACGGGAAGTGAAGTAAAATAAGATAGTTTTCGAATTTTATTCTTAATGAGTTTATATATTATATACACATAATAATTTTGTGAAATCTTTAAATTATTGGTAGAAATTTCATGTGTACAATTGGGTTGTTGAGTTTCAACTCGGAAAAAATTAAGTACAAAACCTGCATTGGTGACCTCTTAAATATACTTGTATATGATACTTATATAATTCTCTCTCTTCACGCTAATTCTCTTGTAGCGTAGGTCTTTATCCTTACATACATTTCTTGTTGCATCCGTATTCATAACTCGTTTCATGTATGCACGTCAATTTTTTTAACTTAGAATGACAAAATAGCTGACACCTACCTAACGGAAAGTGGTAGCCAGCGCCGGCATAAACAGTATCATGGAAATAACAGAGTATACTGATCCATGATACTCTTTATGCATTGTCATTTCTAAGGACTAACGCGTTATGCCTCAGTACCCTGAAATAATATTGCCATATCCCAGCCGATACACTAGCAGATACACTAATGGGAGACTCTTTAATATGTGAAAATATACAAGTATATATTTAACTATGTTTAGTGAAACAGTAGTGAACAGAAGGAGTAATAATGGTATCTTGTACCGTATAGCGCGTGGTGGTGGTGAGAGGTGGTGGTGGCGGGCGTGGCGGGAGCGTCGTCGAGCTGCGGTGCAGGTTCTACAAGCAGTTCGACGCTATCACCGCCCCGCTCTAGTACCGCACATACTTCTTCGAAACTGCGTTCCGTCAGTGGCACACCGCTCCACTCTAGCACCTGCACATTTTTAACACAATTTTGTACTTTAAAATAAAAATTATGCACAACTCATTTATACGTGTGTCTGTCCCATATTCATATAACTTAGATAGACATTTAATTTTCGATGTTATCATTATCACTTTCTGGCCGATGAGATTAAGATAAATTGCTGAGTGAAATAAAAAAAAAATGTAAAAATGTATTGTGTTAATTGCATTTCTTTAAGTCTAGTAGATAAAATAATACTATTCTGTTTTCAAGAGAAATAAAAATCTTTAAGTATAAAGTTATACCTTAGTTCAGAATAAACTGTCACTAATCTGTCACGCCTGGATAAACTTGAATATAAATACAAACAGTTCGTTTCAATACCTCTGTAGTGCCCTACTACCTTTCGTTTTACGTCTTTTTTCTCAATGTCCTCTATCTAAAGGTTGTCTGGAAAAAATTGCTTAATAATAAGGCCACCTTTTGTATCACTTCTCATTAAAATTTACTGCATTTATTATTTTTGTAAATAATGCAATAAAGTGTAAATTATTAGTAGTTATTTAGAATTCATTAATAAAACGGATGTTAATAATTTAATAATGCAATGGTACTATCCTTATAATTATTTATTTTTTCAAATAAACATACAATCTGACTCAATTAATACATAGTCAAATTACATTTATGTGGAGCCATAAATAGTTTTCACGTTTGCGTAATTACTCGGTTATTATATATGTAAAAAAAAAAATATGAATTAAATTTGTAATAATAAAACAAAATCAATTTAAATAATATATTTTCTTGGGGCTAATTACATCATTTCACTATGACAGGGAAAAAGAACAAGAGACCTTATCGCCCTGTTGCAGGCCGGCCAGGTCCGCAGGCCCGCCGGGTACGGTCCATACGATAACAGCTTCGCGACGTCCGCTTGCGTCCGGTTTGCCGCCTACCACTCGCATACCGAAGCCACGTGCTATAAACAAACATTTACAATATTATACCACTCTATATATTGTACTAGTTGTCCATTTCGGCTTTACACGGGTGTATTAATTAAAAGAAAATGAGACTACATCTTCTCTTTTTTAACCAAAATATTTTCACTTTTCCGTATGGGTTTGCAAATATTTTTTTATTGTTCTGACAATAACAAACACGATAAAAAAATTACTTAAATAAATGCAGCTGTTCTGCTACACTTATTTGGTTAATTCTTTTTAATGCACTTATATTCGGTAACTGATTTTTATTTTTATAAATTATACTAGACGATGGTCACGGGTTTGATCCCCGCACAATATAAACATGTATTCATGAGTAGGTCACTTCTCTAGGTCTTGAAACTAGCTCTGCTTAGTTTGGGACTAGAAGGTGATTTTACTATTTTTTATACCACAAAGGTGGCAAATAAACATACAGCCCGTCTGATGGTAAACAGTCATTGTAGCTGAGGGACGCCTGCAACACTAGGAGTGTCACGTGCGCATTGCTTGACTCTGAAGAAACCTTAATTACACTTTTTTGAAAAGGAGCTTATTCCACAGCCTGAGCGTTCACGGAAGAAAATTCCTTTGAAATCGCATTGTACGTGATCATTTAGGTTCAAGCGTGGATGAATTCCTTGTTGATGGCGAGGGGTGCAATGATAAAAAGTGGCTATAGACATAATTTCAAACGATTTCTCACAATACACAATTAATTACTACACAAAACATAAATTAATACACATTATAATAATATGTCCTAATGTATTTTGGTACTTATTATTACATAATAGGTAAACTGTAGGTATTCCGTGAGTAATATTCTGCTATTTGCTGCATTTTTCAAATTTAATATTGGAAATGTGAGGAAATAGGTAGATCCTCTAGTACAGAATACAATTTCTCCGAAAACTTGTTTATTTTTGAGCGCTAAAACACATGTATTAGTATTACAGTTTTCAGTAAGGATTTAAAAGTAATTATTATTTATTTAAAAAGAAAACCATTTACATCTGTGACCCTTATCATTGGGGTCCCGTCGTAATGTAACACGCCGCGGTGTTCGGTCGTCGACATCGTGTATGACGATCTTTATCGCCTCCGCGTCGACGGACATCTGTCGTGCGGCGGCAGCAGCGGCCGCGGCGGCCGCTATCGTTGGTGTGGATTCCGTTACTGTGTCTGATCCGCGTGACGTCAGTGCCGCCATTGCACCTAGAGCACCCGTTCGTTGCTGCAGCGCTGCTATGTCGGGTCTGTAAATGAGCGAATATATACCTTAAAACTGGCTTCATACACTTACATATTGTATTTCATATATATTTAAAATAATTGGAATTATTATTTAAAAAGTAAATTATTTATTATACCTACCAGTACTAAATGTCTTAGATCTCTTGTTTGATGAGAGTCGTTTGCTTGGGTACCTCTGTCCCATTCGTGTTTCAACCGTAAAGCAGTTGTGTTTGCATGACTGTGTTTCGGTTTGAAGGGTGGGATATGGCGTGAATTTACAGGGTACAGAGGAATAACATCTGAGTCTTCAGGAATGGCAACGCATGGGGGTATCATGGGCGTAACAGTATACTCTGTTATGTCCATGGTACTGCTCATGTCTATAGGCGACGGTTACCAGTTTCCATCAGGTGAGTCGTCAGCTTGTTTGCTATTCTAAGTTGTATAAAAAGAAAAGAAAAAAATCGTTTATTACTAACATTTTCTGGTAATATTTTTTATTTGTAATAAATAATCGATGAATTGAGACTATTTGTTAGTGATAGATGGGTAGGCATTCATATTAATTAATTTATTATAATTATGAAAATCAAGACTAACAGTTGGCTACCACGGCGTCTTATTGGCCGATCTTCGTCTACGCTGAGGCCAGATATTTGGGGAGTTTCAGCATCGTCGACACGGTACGATCCTCTACGTGATTGTGCACCCCCAACAACGTCCACTGCTGATGCTCTGTAAAGGTAATATTTGAGGTATTCAGTGATTATTTTTTCAGTTAAAATACCATTAGAAACATTATTATGTTTTCGATGGATTATTGGTGTACGTATTGTAATACGTAGGTCAATGTATATCCGCATTGTATTGTTATTACCAAATTATAGTCATTAAGGCAGAATACATTTTGTGACAAAAGTGTTAGTTTCTGTTGTACTTGTCCGTTTCATTTTTATAGTGTAATAGTTATCAGTTTATTTCAAATACTCGTACTTTATTAAATAGCACGTATTATAAAATGTTTAGATTATATTTAGATTTCGTAATCTTTTTCAAATTTAAGACAAATTATTAATTATTATTAAATCGTTATCAACATTTTATACGTTCGATAAATTAATAAATAGAAAAAAGATGAATTTTGAGTAGAATCATAATATTACATAGTTTTTTACAACATACGAGTAGATAATATGAGATCTAGGTTAAATACCTCCTAGACATGGGTGGTGGTGCGGCGAGCGCGGGCTGGTGTCCTGGGGGCACGGCCGGTTGGTCTTCGTCGCAGGAGCGTTGTCGAGGCGCCCGTACAGATCTCCGGCGGGCCGGCGCCGCGGTGCTCGGCCGCCGCGACTCCACGTCCGGTGTCGCGCTGCCGCCGCCCTTTAACTGCCGCCGCGGGCAGCGTGGTTACAAACTCATATAACAATAGTATATATCCACTGTATACCATTAATATAACAGTATAAAGGTGGAACACTGGGCGTGGTTATGTAAAACAGAAAGATCACTGAACAAGAGCTTAAAGAGAATAACAGGTAGTACATGTACAGAACTAGGCAGAATTAGATTATAAGAACAACGTAAGAAGAACGAATTACAATGTTTCACGAATGTAGTGGACAACAGGGTAGAATAGGTAGACCATAAGTAGAGTAGATCTCTTTTAGGAAAGAATGAGTATTCGCTTACCTAATATTTCTTCACCTTTTCACTTGTATGTATATATTTAAATAATACGGTTATTTTTGAAAACACATTACAAAAATAAGTTTAAAAATTGCATATTGAGATAGAGATTTTAACCAAAATTGGATTGTCCTTTATTATTTCAGCAGTTATTCTTTAATTTACTACTATACCACTTAATTTATAAAATATCCATTTCAGTATTGTACAAAAGTATATAAGTATTTTTATTTATTTATTCGTAATTTCATTTTTTTTATCGCCTCTGCATTGTGTAACATCATAATTGTTTGTATTTTAAAACTACCACCTAAGAATACATTTTAAATGTTAATATTAACAGTGGTATTACAGAAAAATCGACACTATTACCTTTTCTAATTCCTTAAGCGAAGCTGGTGATACATCTGAATGCCTGCGCAATTCGGGCGACCGGGGCGGAGCTAGTCCGGAGCTGGCGCCTCCGCTGCCCAGCCGGGCCTCCGAATGCCGCCGCTGCAGCGCATCCAGCACAGGCACCTCTAACAAGGAATCTGTGCTGTCCTGCGCTGCGGGCGGCAGTCGTGGACCCGCTTTGCGCCGACATACTGAGCACCGCCACGAGTTCTGCACACATTTCGTTTAGAGTAGTCATCAGTATTTGGATGATGATGTATTTATTGATATATTGATGTGATATTACAGATTGATGCCATCATCAATCTGATGTGTGAATTCAGGGTGATATCTAAATCAAAAACTGTAAAGTACAGGGGAATAAGTTAGTAGGTACGATTCCCCAGTTCCTTTCGGCTTATCTTTAATTAATGTTAAATTCAAACATCAAACGTTATATTAGTTGGTAATCGATCACTTTCATCTCTCAATAAAAATGGAATATTTTAACTGCGCAAGTATTATTACATTTTTATAGACCAACTATTTACCGGATTTGGATGAAATTTCGCACAATGGTAGCTGGAAGCTAAGGAATATACATCAGATATGTGACGTCATCAAAAATGTCAAGCGGAACATTTATAACTCATGCATGTTTATGGAGATAGAAAGCTATTTGACGTATATGAAAAACTCCTTATATTAGACGCGTCCTTGGCGATCTACAAATACTCTCGGTCCTGGTTAAAAAATTTATATTAGATTATTTTTATTTCTTGTTAAAATAAAAAACTTGACTAGTAAATTTTTTGGGACAAATTTTTATTCCAGGAAATATTAGAAATGTCATCATCTAAATGATGAATTTCATGCAGTCATAATGAGTAAGTCATCAGGCTTAAATCATCGGTGAGCTTAGATAAATAATCATACATAACAACTATATTTTTGTCAATAGGTAACAAAATAATTTTATGGAAAAGACTTCGTAAACTTCTTTGTGGCTTACCGCTTCTTCATCGCTTGCCGGTTTCGAGTATGAGGAGCAGTCTTCACAGACGCGATGTTGACAGCCATTACATATGTGAAACACCTCGCCTGGTTTCAATGCTTTTAGGCATACTCGACACGCACCAGCTCTTGAAGGTGCTTTTCCTGCCTCGCTATAACAAATGCCGAAACGAATAAGTTCCGTATTTTTTTAATACTAACTGGCAAATATCTTGCTCGTTCCCTTGGTGGAAATTGGTATATATCGTATATAAATATTAATTCATAGACATCATAAGATATACAGTACTGTCCATAACAAGTAATATGTATTGCGAATACTAAAGTATTTTATGTCTTATTATTAAGTGCTTATATATTAGCTATTTACTATATTGAATCACAACTACGTAATCATTGCTGCTTCATTAGAGAAATAGGAAAGATAGATACTTTATTTAGTGACTTCATTTATTTAAATTGACACCACAGTACTTATTAGTTACAGTTCTGTATGTATACTAATAACAATAATTTTTAATAAGGAAAGGTGGGAGTAAATAATATCAATTTGTTGAAATCCGCGATCAATTTGATCAGAACAAATGAAAATTATATGAACGATGTATTCAAGTTTCATTAAATCATAGAAGAGCTGGTTTCCCGATATCGATTTTCATTTCGTTAGTCCGAAACAACAGGTTTAACGAAGAGAAGATTCAATTATATGAGAAAAAACATAATTATCAATTATTCCAGAGTGTTGGAGAAACGAAATTTTCTAAGAAGATTCGTAAAATTACTTAGATACAATTTAGGCGTACATTTTAATTAGTAGCGCCCATCCCTCCTTCTCTTGTAAGTACAATCATAATTTTCGTAATTAAGGTTTTATGGTGTTAGTAACTTCGGATAAAGAATTTTTTACCATGTTGTTTTATCAAAACAGAGCTTCAGTAATTTTATTTAAGAGTACTTTTATCTTATATCTACATAGTCTCAGATGAAGTCGAAACAGTTGTCGGAATTGACAAATGTAGTAAGTGTAAAAATAATATCTATATATTTATAATAAAATTACGTGGAACTCGAAATTGTCAATTGAGAATCGATAACTTAAGAATATTATAAGAAAAGTAAATAGAATAGTAACTTTTTGTAGTTTATCCCATATCATCAAACAAATAGATAGGCGAGACGGCGGAGTGCTTTTTTTTTTATGTAATGTGGATGTGAAACAATAATTATTGATTTATAATATCATGTCATGTCATTGAGATGCTTTAAAGTCCATTACATATGGATATAGAAAGGGTATAGAGCGTAATACCGTTCAGTCTTCGCTGATTGTGTGGTAGATGAGGGCGGGGGCTGTGCGGGTGGCGGCGTTGGTGCGGGCTCGGCGGCGCCTTCCGCCACCCCCGGTCTCGGGCCGAGCTTTGTTACTGTAACCATAAATGTAATGGTACCTATAACACGTTTGTTTCTTATTAATTGAGGGTTCTATATCATTACAGGTGCAAAATATTTAATTTCTATAAAGGTATTTTTTTTTTCTTATCTAACCAGCTCATTATTGTACAATATTTTTGTACTTGATATTTTATCTAGTAAATAATCTTAGTGTGTATTTTTTTTTCTGATATTTAGTGATCTTAATATGTATATATTCCGTTTTGAGATGTTTGTTCACGCTGTACTGCAAAACTGTTCAACCAATTTTAATAAAATTTTGTGTACTGTTTACTCCAACTTACAGTTAACTGTAGTAGTTATAGCCTATAGCTAAAAATGAGTAAGCACGGGTACTATGGCATTATGTCAGAAGGATCACTGAAACATGAAATAATAAACATTCTCTTGTCTTGTTGCCGTCCTGACGCGATGCCTTAGTACAAAGTACAAGGTAGGTACTGTCCTCAGGTACGAACTTCAAGCCTTTGTGTAATTATTATATATTGATATTCTTAGTCATATAATTTCAAGTATATTACTAACAAAACTAATTCTTATTATCCGGAATAAAACTATACGCTCCTGTTGTTGCAGGTGTCCAGAGGCTAGAGTGACCGTTTACTATCCGATGGACTGTATGCTTGTTTGCCACCTTTGTGGTATAAAAAAAATACACGATAATTATATTACTCCCATGTTTATTCCGATTAAAGTTATGTTTTGATAAAAATCTAAAAATATTATTACTTATTTAGGATCTATGTTATTGATTTACAAATAATACTTATGCTAACAGTTTTTATATATGAAAAGCAAGTTTAGTTTTATGTCATATTTGTATGTGTAAATTGATAATTCGATATATTTGAAAAAGCCGTTTTAAATAATCCAAAATTATTACCGCCTAGAGAGCTATTGGTTCAAATTGAAGATATTTTCGATTCAATAATATTCTTGTATTAATATTCTTTTATGTTTATAGGATATAACGTATTTTTTCTGGAAATGTTTACAAGGAAAAAGCGGCTTCGATCATGCGAATTAGGATAAAAAGTAAAATATTTGTAGGATTTACTTATGTAAATAACCTCCCTTATTTTGGCTTTTTATAAATCTTTTCACACAATGGTATAAGAAAGCAGGTCGCAGGATCCTATCCTATAGCAATATCTAATTGAGTTAGCGGACTGAATGAAGACCACAAATTCTGTGCTTAGTAAGCCCTTTGGATGGTCTCTAGGTAATCTCTTACATAATAGGGCTTATATATTCTTACGGTTAAGTTCAATGTCAGCTCCAGATGAGGACAGCGACTAGACAATCTTGATTCGATGGCCAGCTTTTCTTATTTTGTCGCACATTAATTTATATTAACATAGAAGGAATGTGTTGGTAGGAGTGCGGTTTTTAGATAAATAATTTAAATGAAAAAAAAAACAGTGCCATACTGTTCCTACATTCCCACGCTTTTTCCATAAAGCATTAAATTTCAATTACGGATGAAGAAACTAAAATAGGGAACTATATAAACTTGAATTAAACTTATTTACCACCTATTTAGTGTGGTATAGTTGTACGCTAATATCCTCCTTTGCGGGGAATCTAGTTTCTAGCAGTTATACGTTAATGGGTAGTTATGATAGAGATTACTAAGCATTACATAAAGAGACAACGGAAATTTGCATTTTAGTATTTTATTGTCCTGGATATACTTTATTTGATATAAATATATATAGGCATCTTTATTAAGTCGTCATATGTGATGCAAAATTTGTATGTGATGTATAATGTATTTTAAATTATTTCAATGAGTAATTTTTTGCATTTCAAAATTATTTATAGATAATTTGAACCTCTTGATTAAAAAATTTACTGTCCGACAATTCAAGATTTGCCAGCTGATATTTCTTCCGTGACGTACCTGAAAACGCTTTCAGACTGGATAACAGAAATATTGATACAAATACCATCGAATCTAATTGTTAGTTTAATATTTAGTTTTATTAATTGTATTGGCTAGTTCTTAAAACTAGTTTTGGGTTCAGATAGAAAGTACTATGAGGTAGTTATATTTGCTATGGTTTGGGTAACAACGCTAAAGAACCAGAAACAGCGGTTAACTGTCGTACAGTATATCAGTATACCTGTAAATACAGGTATATCAGATTTAATCAAGATGTGTCCAACAATGTACTTTGTTCTAATTTAGGTGCTTGCTTGCACAAAAGTAAATTAATGTTTAAATGTTATTTGGAATTGATTCATCATCATTATTATAATAGGAATAAGTCTATAGACACGATGAAAAAATTATAGGAATAATTTATCATCAGAACCACTCTATTATTAATTTTGTAATCAATTGTATCCGTATATAGTTCGACCATTATGTATTATAGGTACATTGTACTACTGATAGTAGTCATTTAGTTCCATTAAAATATATAAATCACTTATGAAATATATTTAATTTGACTTAAATTCAATTGTTATTATTAATACAGATAGATCATTACTTTAAATAATATTTTAACTGTACATAAGAAAGGCTTTAATATCACTCTGAAATCGAGACCAGATAGATATAGGCTGAATTAAATCAATATTGATCGCTTATGAAATAATCTCAAAGTCATTCAGACTCAAATTACATTCAGTTCATTGTTATGAGATACTGAATTGGAACGAAATGGAGGGAATTCAAATAAGTCCGCAGTTTGTGTCTACCTTTAAAGACGGAATCCACTAACAATGCGTGCCAACGTTCTCCGCGCGCACTCGATATTTCGCTATGAATATTGAGAAATGATCATAAATTCCACGATCAACTTCTCAGTACTGACAAATACTTAGGCGTCTCTCATTTTTTATTTTAGATGAGATCAATACTTTATGGGGCGTTCGGTATCATGGAGCTTATGGAAATGTAATATGAACACGACACTTTTTTCGTCATTGGAAGATATTATAATATTAAATGCATTTTTATTTGGTGAGGGTAATTTGCGTTTTTTTAATAACGTACCATTTAGATTCCATTATACTTATTGTCTTTTTTAACTTAATTAAATAAAATTTAATATATTAACTATAAGGATATTTATCAATCTTTTATAAGTATATAGTAAAAAGTGTCTTTCAAGATACTTTTCCTTTTTCTGGTTTTATTTGTGAAATAATATCAAATAACGAAACACTTTCAGTTATCTATGTGAAATGGCGATTTATATCAGATTATTTTATATTTATTAATTAAAACCTTCAACAATTTTTTTAATTATGAAATAGCCATTCTAAATGAAAAAAGTTATTACCTACTGTTAGGTGTATTGTTTGTGTCGAATGACTTATTTTTCCCACGGTCGATATCAAATACAATCATACCTATTTTGTTTTTGTCGACGTATTCTTTACAGAGCTCACATATAGTACCTATTATACATAATACAGGCACCATACGAGTATACTAATTGACCTAGTTTTACCGCACACCTGCAATATTGTTGTTTCGTATTCAATAAAAAAATAAACTAAATGTAATCACAAACAAGAGACGCCTTTTATTTGTTTTCAATTACAAAGTTCACCTCTTTTGATTTATGTTTAGCTGTGCTTGCAATTTCGTCATGGTAGAAGTAAAAAATAACAATTTGTTTTACATAATTTTATAAAGACATGTCCAGGTAACACTTTTAAATAAATGCACAATATCCAACTATCAAAATCTTTAATGTTCTACACGATATCATAGAATAGAGGGATTAAGTCATGGTCAAGTTTCTCCTTCTCTTTTCTCTCTTTTCTCTTAATTCGCTTGACTAATTTTGATAAGACTGAAAAAGTTGGGTTAATACCTATTTGATTATAATAATATAGATAGTGATGATATAATAAGCAAACATATGTAAATACTAAAAATAATTCTCTAGGGTCCCATTGCCTATTTTTAGCTTCCCTAGTTCCTCGAGAGAGCCGAGTGTATGAGTATAAACGACCCTTACGATTTCATTATATTAAAATAGATGTTTGTTATACGATCACACCCAAACAGTTATCGCCACTACTACATAAAGTTTGTTATTTATAATAAAATTAATTATACTTGCATGGCAGTCTAGAGAGACGTAAATAAGGGTTAAAGGTACCCCTGGTAAAAAACCAGCAAACTATGACCCAGTTTCTAAAATCGTTTATAAATAGATTGCCGAGCAAATTAATACAATCTCACAGGATTATACGAAATTCGGACAAGTGTAGAAATTGAATCTTTTAGCTTTTTGCTATTATAAATTATTTATTGTATGTAACAGAAAGGGTATTATTATAAGTTCAAATTCAGCGATAGTATCTATTCGTAAAACCGAATAACGCTCCTAAAGGAATATATAGATTGAAAAAGTAGATATTTTTTAGCGATCTCGTCATCAATTTGGTATGAAGTTTTTGACGTGATAATAACACAAACTGTGCTCTGACTTCACCCGCGTATTTAAAATGAAAAATAGCCTTATTAATAATAAAAAGCATCTACTTTCCCATAGTATCAGCTTTGTTATATCCAAACCATTAAATTCTAGAGGTATATTATTTTATTGTATATATTTTTGGAACGGAATTTTTACCAGGGAAGTTAAATAGGCATTATTTAAGCGTCAAAGATATTACGAAGCTACATTGTCAGGTCCGGTGGGGCATGAGGTCGGAATGTTGATTTTCCGCCCCGCGGCTACCCGGAATGCTCGAGGGCTTACTCATACATCAATCAAATTCTACCTCGCCCTACTTTATACACATTGAATAAGCACATCATTACATTATCGTTGTCAAGGTAAATAGGTTAATATTACAAATAAAATATTAGTTTCCTTTTGTTTGACAAACAATAATCATACTTTTAGTGGTCTTCGAAAAAATTGAAAATACTCGTAGTATTTTACATATCTTATGCGCTGAATATCCTTTATATTATAAGTATATATGAAATAACAACATTATTAAATTCCAACAGTGTAAGATTTATATTTTTAAATCTGCTGTTTTAGCCCTAGTTTTTACTAGAAAGTATATGTATTTATACCTATAATAGTCAATGCACCAAATAATTGTTGGGCCATAAATAACTGCAGTTCAAATATGATTGTACCCGCACATATCATAAATATTATTACTATTTCAGAAAATACAGGTGAATAGAAGAACAAATAATTCTTACAAAGATACACTGCCATCTTTGTGAGAAGTATCTGTGTATTGGTTTTGTATGGGTGTTATCGTTTAAAAATACGATAAAATTAATCAATTTATTTAATAAAGGGCAGCATTGCAGTTATCCACATCCTACTGCTTATTTGCAATTCTCGTGGTATAAAAAAATAGTCATCTAAATCAATTGTAAATTGCAAAAGCATTTTGTAGTTCAGAAATAAATTTAAGTCCTTTGTCTACAACAAATAATTTCTGATGCGAGTATAAATAAAGATCAATTTATAATGAACATAATATTTTGTAGGAGGACGAGGTTTAAGCAGATTTAATTAAGAATACTTTGTTTTAGCAGGTCAAATTTCAATTCAGACGCAGTTTACAAATATAAAATTAACGATGAAAGCAATAGCTTGGAGCCGATCTTTTATATATAAAGAAGTATTATATTATGTACAAAGTAATAGAAATATCTGTTACGCTATAGACATTTACTTATATCCCTATATCTATTATTATTGTCCACTACAGAACATAAGTGGTGTTTTGCCAGAAGTTGCTACGCTTGGCAAGCGGATTGGCAACCGCAGTTAGGCTTTTGGTGATGTTTTAAGAAGGATGATGCTGTATATCCCTCGTCCATTAAGTTCCCTTAGTCGCTTTTTATGACATCTACAGGACAGACAAGGGTGGCCCATTCTATGCCGGTACCACACAGCAAGGCAAGGCATTTATAAAAGTGGAAAAAAAATTGCTATCAGAAAGCAATAAATTTCTTCCAGCAATGCCTTGATTAACAGTACCAGTCTAAATATGAATTAAAAAGTATTTAATAATAAAAAATCTTGCGGTCTATAAGTTTAGTGGAAAGCTTAAATTGTAAAAAGTTAATGTTTTTAAAGAAATTAACTTGTAATTTCTCAAAAACTTATTATTTACGAGTATTTACAAAACACCTTTTCAGAGTTTGTACAAATCATTTCACATAATGTATAATAAATTACTATATTATTAATATAAAACCGGTAAAATGTCTAACATTATTAGTATTCAATAATATTTTAAGTAAAAGTAAACTGTATAGTACTTTAAACATTTTGCCAGAAAAATAATTGTATATAACTATAAATAGTATAAATATCTGTAATATTACAGATACAAAGCAAGTTTGGGTGACTACCCACCAATAAAAAAAACCATGCCACGAATTTATGTTCGTGACCTGGCGGAAACGTGATTCATGACATTGACAAAAACGTATAATAAGTCGCCATAAAATTTAGAATTCTCTTTATGGCTTTTGTAGATAGTAGCTGGCAGTAACATATAAACTAAAACTTCAGAAAGAAAATAAATGATTGACATTGATTTATCGATATAGTATTTGTATAGCTTGCAGTCATATAATTTTTCAGTGCAGATATAATTTTCAATTTGTATTATTGTTCATACCTTTGTCTTGAGCTGTGAGTAGAGACGAGGAGAGTGTTTGGCGCAATTTACCAAAGGTTCCTGGCGTTTCTATTTGCCCTGGTACAGTACTCGGCGTGTCCTCCGTCGCCACCATCTGCATAAAAAAAAAAATATTTCAGTTACTAATATCTATTGCAATATAATACAATAATATGAAGTAGTGATCACAATAAAAACACTTCGTGCTAAGGAAAACTCATGTCACAACGCTGCGGAGCGATAAAACTCTTCATACAAAAATAACGACTCGGTAATACTGTCGTAAATTTTATGGAGAGCAACAGATGGAGAATGAAATACATCAGATCCGGGAAAATCTATATTTTCGTCTCTCGAACTCTACTAAGGAACGATTTTATTGCTTCACTCGGGAGTCAGCTCAAACTTTTCCTCAATAACAAGGTTAAGATAGCGATCGTTTACAGATTTTTCTATTGCAAACGTAGTACAGGTGTGTTAGTATTTAATAGCGATTACAAAATACAAAAGCAGCCATAGAGATTGATATTTTATAATATAATTTTATAACATATGAATATTTATAAAAATTCTATACTGTTTGCGGAAGTACTTGTATATTCTTTAACAAAGACCATTTTCATAGCGGACGTTGTAAAACTCGAGCACGAAGTAGAAGACAGGAACTCCGGGAAGGAAGGAGACTGTAAGATCGCTGTGTACTACATTACTTTGAGAAAGCTGCAAGGGGATCTTAAATGAATGGTCGGTAACTTTGAAGAGTAAAAAAATACCTTGACTGAGGAATATCGAGTATAGAAACTATGTACTTGAGACCAGTCTTATTAAAGTGACCAAAATTAGATGCACTGAAAACAAAATTATTAGACAATATCCTTTTATGTTAATAAAACCTACAACACGTCAGTCATGCAAGTTTTCTAAAGAAAATTTGGAAAAGTATTTTATTCTATCTATCTGGGTTGCGGGCTATCGTAAATACCTTGCTCTTTTTGATGAAACAAAGAGCATATAGCAAAAGCTGCAAAAGATTTAGAGCCATAAGGTGTATGTTTCGGATTAAAACGTAAAGAGATGTCTGCTAGAATGTTCTTGTAACCTTGGCCTGTTATATCGTGTCATCGAGTCAATAACGTCAAATGAAATTATTAAGTTACCATGCCAACCAGTTTCTCGAGCGAATGCGTTTGGAATATTCCGTGAGCTTATTCTTGTAATATAAACAAGAATCTTGGAACATTTTATAATATTAGTTGTGGATGTAGTGAAGTAACGAAAGAATGCTATAAGCACGTTTACATGAAATATAAGACTGTTCTAATCCTTGCTTTAGACTCTTTTTTATTTAATGTAACTGCATTTTAATGCGATGTTTGTAATATATCCCTACCAACGCTTCCTCTCAAGGTGGTAAACAAAATCAATAAATTTATATTGTCACGTTACATTTATATCGAGTAAGTATCGATAGCTGAGAAGAGAGTGGAGGTTGCATAAATGACGATGTAACTTTGGGGCGGCTCCTTATCAACGAATTTACGTCAATAAAAATACTGGAACCAGTTAGAAAAGCAGATGATCTCATAATGGATTATATTTGGGAAAGTTTTTGTTTAACAGTGGACTGAATAGCAAATTAATTTGCAAGTCTGATCAATCATTTCATTATTAAAGATATGTAATATTTTGTTAGTTAATATATTTGTTAATAAGTATTTCAACTATCAATTATTAGAATTTAATGAAATACCTAATTTTCTTTTTGTTATTATTGTAATAACTAAATCGATTAACGTTATTATACAAGTGATAAATCAGCATAAGTTAGGTAGGCATAGTCTGAGGTTCGGCAGTCAGCACCCGTCTTGAGCTAAGTAAGGGATCTATCGGGAATTGCTGCTAGGTTTATAAAAGGCCTTACAACTTTCTGGGATTCAAATAATCCTTATTTCATCATTCTGTTCTTATTTAAATATTGAAATTATAAAAAATATCATTACAAAACGACTTAAAAAAAATAGATTTCCATAACATATGGGAGCAATATAGGAATAAAAACGCTATTAATTGCAAAAAGTATTGTTAAAAACATATGTAACCTACAGAGAAAAATAATTAGATAAAAATAAACAGATAAATTTAGAATGTCGCTGTCGCTGAATTCGTTTAAAAAAGGGCATGTTAAATAAGTTAGGTGATGATTAATGATGATGGGGTCGAAACCATATAACTCACAAGGACAAGTGTATTATTACAATGGGACTAAGTCAAATGTCTATAGTCATGTCAAATAAGTAAAGGTAATTTAACAAGTAATTTCTCAAACAATGTGACTCGCGTCATTAGGGCCCAGGCTAATGTATAATAAGTACGCATTACCTTTTAGTATCTATAGATAGTTCATAAAATAAGAGCGGTCGGGAGTTTCGATTAACCTGAAACAGCGGAGATTTTTGAGATAAAATAGGTCATGAACAAGCGATGTTCATGACCCGCTGTGGGTGCAAGGGGTGAAGAGGCGGGCTGGCGACGGCCCTGTTTGACCCACTTGTTGCCTCAACCCGCTATTTACATTACAAGTCTAATTGCTGTTGGCACACGGCAGGTGTAGGCCTTTATTTTATTACCAGCGTCGGGCCAACCGTTTCTTATTCGTTGTCATCTTTAAGAAGATGAAGTGCCTCGAAAACGGTTTAATTTTGTACGTGCATTAAAATTATTTAGGCCTTCGAGCAATGTCAAGGCAAAGTATTTAAAATAAAGCCAAAATGTAGCCAAATTAAGGCAATTCTCTTTTAAGATATATATTAGGTTGAAAATTTTTTAGTGAAATTTATCTGCAGGGGAAGAGAAGGGAGTGTAATTATGAATCACTGACTTGACTCATAACTACACTCCCTAAATAACCTTATCATTGTTATTTTGAATATGAATATATATATATATATATATATATATATATATATATATATATATATATATATATATATATATATATATATATATATATATATATATATATATATATATATATACTTAAGTACTCTTCGGTCCATCTACAAATTTTCATTCTATAAATTTTATTTCTTAGCTCTGTGTAATTGCGGCATAGAATAGGCCACCCATTTCTTTCCAATGGGATATTTACATCAAGTTCTTTACCAGAGAGAGAGCAGTGAATGACAAAGGTCCATTATCTCTACATAATGCATCTTTCTAATTCATTAGAAGCAAGAACTTTCTTATTTCTCAAAATAATTATTTGCATGTAACAAGTTGCCTTTTTATTGAAATTTGAAATATAAAAATATTTACAGTAAACAAAGTTTTAAATGTTATATAAATACGCTTTAATATTAACACAATTTTAAAAAATTGCATTAAAAGAGATTTGCCGTTTCACAACTTCTCTACGCAAGACAAGGGCTACCCTTCTGAAATCACATTAAGGCAGTTTGGGCTCGACCGACCGGAATTACATTCGAATAAATCTAAATCAGTGAGGACCGAATCTCGGAGATCTACTTTAATCCTCTCTCTTCGCGGCCAAGAGCTCACGTTGATATAACTAGCACTATCCCGCATATTAAAGTTAGGTTCTTAACACCGGCCCAATTTTGGTATCCCAATTATTTTGCGAAGCGTGCTTAGATCATGTAGGTAAGAAATTGTACCATTATTTATTATTTGATATAGGTAGATCTTTATCTTAAATAATCTATTTTTTTTGTGTAGATTGAAAGGCGTGCTGTGCAATGTACTATGGTACTTTACCTGCGTTGCCTCTTCTAATATGATAGATAATACGAGTAGAAATGCCTTATAATAGAAATGTAAAATTTCATTTTTAAATGCTACACATTATATGTATTTATATTATACACGCTATTTGTACATATATTTCATGTTACGTCCTTAGGATGAAAGTTCTATACATCTATGTATTTATTGTCTGGGAAGTCGTGTTTCATTGAGAGATAAATTGAAAGAAATTAATATTCTTACTATATCTTCACACACACACACACACACATATATATATATATATATATGTGTGTGTATATATATATATATATGTGTGTATATATATATATATATATATATATATATATATATATATATATATATATATATATATATATATATATATATATATATATATACACACATCAACATCTAGGAATATTTTGAATTTTTTAACATGCAACATGTATTTTTTATTAATTAGAAGTCGGTAAAATCACTCATGAATTCATCATCATTCATCACCATTAATATCTGTTCTTTCGGTTCTGCAGCGGTTTTTCATGTTTTGAGTCAATGTGATCAAAGTCTTGCTGTGGAATGTTGTCCCTTGGCCCATTTGTAGTCGATGGGGATGGATAATTGGTATTAGCATCTGGTTACGATATTTTTCAGCGATCATGGTGTTTCTGATCCGAACAAGGTCTGTTCTGCCACCGACACGGATTCCCGCCCAAACCATAATTTTTCCGCCATGGCAAGGATGGACTCCCTGAGGGTATCGCAAACGGCTCTCACGACCAGGAACTCGCCATAGACATACTCTTCGTGAATCAGGATGGAAACCAAATCGGGACTCATCGGTAAACAGTACTACAGACTGATTTTGCTGTTCAGTAGAAAACTTTAGATAAAGGTAAATAGGTCTTTTGTGGAAATATATATTAAAATTTATAATAAGATTCTGAAATATGTATTGGATCTACCTTTCACCATAGCGCCAAAAGGTTGAAAATAAATTCGCTTTCATGTGTATGTAAATAAAAATGAATTACCAAATGTATGTAAGTATAACACTTCAGAACGGCTTTAGAAAGTTTGTTTGAAATTGGTTTTTAAAATCTTCATCCAAAAAAAATTGGACGAGTAAGTAAGACAGAAGGTAATAAATAGAAGATTTGGTCTTATTTTCTTTATCAGTAAACCATTGCGAAACCTTGGCGGGCAGCTAGATCTTAATATTAGTAAGGATTCATTTTATCGGTGGCATAACAAAATCTTCGTTACTCTCATTTCAAAATTATATAAAAGAAATAGAGTTATAAAAATAAAAACTTTATATAAGGCAAGGTCGGACGGAATCCCTAAATA